GGTTCATCTGTTGGTTCATCTGTTGGTTCATCAGTAGGTTCTCCAGTTGGTTCATCAGTAGGTTCTCCAGTTGGTTCATCTGTTGGTTCATCTGTTGGTTCATCTGTTGGTTCATCTGTTGGTTCATCTGTTGGTTCATCTGTTGGTTCATCTGTTGGTTCATCTGTTGGTTCATCAGTAGGTTCATCTGTTGGTTCATCTGTTGGTTCATCTGTTGGTTCATCTGTGGGTTCATCTGTTGGTTCATCTGTNGGTTCATCTGTTGGTTCATCAGTAGGTTCTCCAGTTGGTTCATCTGTTGGTTCATCAGTTGGTTCTCCAGTTGGTTCATCTGTGGGTTCATCTGTTGGTTCATCTGTTGGTTCTCCAGTTGGTTCTCCAGTTGGTTCATCAGTAGGTTCATCTGTTGGTTCATCTGTTGGTTCATCTGTGGGTTCATCTGTTGGTTCATCTGTTGGTTCTCCAGTTGGTTCTCCAGTTGGTTCATCTGTGGGTTCATCTGTTGGTTCATCTGTTGGTTCTCCAGTTGGTTCTCCAGTTGGTTCATCTGTTGGTTCATCAGTTGGTTCTCCAGTTGGTTCTCCAGTTGGTTCATCTGTTGGTTCATCAGTTGGTTCTCCAGTTGGTTCATCTGTTGGTTCTCCAGTGGGTTCTCCGGTTGGTTCCTCAATTACTTCGTCTGTTGGGACATCAACTGGTTCCGATGGTTCGGTTGGTCCCAAAATATTAACATCTACTGGAACGTTTGTTGGCTGCAAATCATCTGTAGTGGTTGCAATTTGTCTAGGATTCAAAGGGATTGGTTGAGATAGGCCTATAGGGATAAATGATAGACCTATGAAGGTGAAATAAAATTTCATTTTTCAAAGAAATTTAATTTTATTAAGCGTCAATATTTTTTGATAATTGATATGATTAAGCGAGTGAAGTTAATTTAAAAAAATGGATAAAAAGAGCTACATGCAAATATATTGAACTTTTATATGAATTACAAAGGTAAGGGGTTTATTTTGCTAATCTTTTTATTTTGGTTGAAACAATTTAAAAATATCTTATTTATAATATTAATTCAAGTATAGGAATTACCTTAAATGATTTGTGAATTGATTAATGCCATAAAAATGACATATTAATGTATAATAATAGGAATTATCCCAATTGGAGTATACGGAATTAGTCCTTTAAGAACAGTCCCAAATCATATAGCTTAAATTATTATAGAAAGTGAGTTGAATGTACAAATACGATAATAATATAGTGGGTTTTTAAATCTATTTTTGTCAAAGCAGACAAAGCATAAAGAGAAATGGGTTGGGCCGATCGAATAACTCGATTCAAATAATTGGCCAAAACATCCAAATCTTCAAAGAATCAAAGCATCTCAACCAACATGTTAAATTAAAAAAAAAGGGTTCTGAGTAGGTTAGTTTTATTGCAAATCGACTTCTCTATGATGCAAAAGTCATATTAACTTGCAAAAATTGTATGAAATCCAAAAATAAAATATGCTGTTAATCATCGATTTTGAGTTTCACAATAATATAATTATAGATTAAACTTTATTTCTATATTACCATTTTAATTTTTCCTCATTTGGCAACGCATGGGTTTCTTGTTTAAAATTGACAGGCCAATTGTGCTTGTGCAATTACATATTATTCTGTTGCAGTTCCCGGAGATAATTAAATTATTGCAGTAATAATAAAAATTCATTATTGTATCTCCAAAAAAAATATATTGCTACCTCTGATATTCTATTTCATATAAATTCTTACTAATTGTTGATGCGGTGGCTCAATGGTAGAGCTTTCGACTCCAGTTCTCTGAGCAGCGATCGAAGGGCTGCAGGTTCAATTCCTGTCCGTGTCAGTTTTTTCAAACTTTTATCACAATAAAATAATTTGTTTATTCTTATCTTCTGTAAAGGTTTGGGTTTGATATTGAATTTTGCTAGCAACCACTTCGTCTTACTAATATTGTTTATTGTCTACGCTGAAGAAGGCTACAAAAGGAAAAGCTTATGGACAACACAGAAGCCCGTTTTGCGCTTTTCTTTGCCTTATTGTTTATGATTTTTTACTATCGTTAGTGAGTGCTTTTTCCACTAAAATCGCAAAATAGCTCTGTAAACTCAAATCGTCTGTCAATAGATGAACCTCTTCACCTCTGAACCCACCGTCCTTGTAGGCGTTAGTGGGACTCAATTTTGAGATGAGAAATCTTGATTGTGAATCCCCTTCTTTGCATGAAATAAATCTTGGTAATGGAAATCTTTCTACTAAAATGTCTTTGATATCTTCATTTGGCGACTTTAAAAACTTATCAAAGTTTTCTTTAAATTGATTTCCATATTTTTCTAAAAACTTATCTGGTTCTCTTTGTAAATAGCTATTTAATGCTGCAATGTTCGCTCCATGAAACACCAAAATTTCAAAAAACGTATCCAAAAATAAAATCCGATTGGATTTTATTGACAATGAATCCAATAACACTGCCTCGGTTTTAATATTGTCAAAATTGTTTTGATCTTTATCAAGTGTATCTTGTCCATATGAGAGCAAGACCGGTTGAATCATGACTAATGAATTATCCACATTCTCACTTAATAATAAATGATTATAATAGGTCAATTCATCTGGTGAATAGTTGAAAGAATTTAATAAAAAAGATCTTCTTAAATTGTAAGTAAATCCTGGAAAACTTAAAAATGTTCCTGGCAAAAGCAAGGTATTTGTATTAATATCAATGAAATTGAACTTTCTAATTAGATCAATTAGCATTTCATCAATATACTTGATTCCATTTTCATTTTTTTCAAAATCATTATTCTTTGAGTTGAATTTTTTAAAAGAAATTAACCTGGATATTAAAATAACCGCTGCTTCTTCATCAAAATTTTCAAGAAAAAAATTTTTATATGTGGATAATTTATAAATTGGTCTTTGGATAGTTGTTACTCTCAATCTATACTGCCCATCTAAATGTTGATAATGGAATGTATATTGAATATAAACCATTTGGGTTCGAGTCTGAGTCAGAGCCTGAGTTCGAGTTTGGGTCTCAATATTTTCATGCTGATTATATTTACCATCTTCAACATCTTTATTAATTTCAAAATAAATTGCATATGTTGATGATGAAGAAACATTGCACAACTTCCATGAATTAGTCTTACCGATTCCAATTTCTAAATCACTTATATTAGAATTTGAAAAATTTTTTTTTTTACTTAAATCAACTCTCAAATTGGGGTTTGAATTTTCCATAGAATTAAGAGAAATTGCATTTCCAATTAGCCCGTTAATCTTTAAAGGTACACTTGTTTTAATTTGCAAAGATCCATTAAACCCAATATTTGTGATTTCATTATTGTTATTATCAATATCAATATCATTATCATTATCATTATCATTATTATTATTATTAATTAAACTATGAGATTCAAAGAATTTGATTAAAGAATTTTTAAAAATAGATGTTTTAAACGAATCCGAAAATATGCATGAACCACTAGTTAAATTTAATAATTTTGACATTTCAAATAGTCCAATTTGATCATATGAACCGATAAATAAGTTTAAAGTATAACCTTGATAAGCAATTTCCTTTGCTATGTTATTATAAAAAGTTTTTGATTCTTTATGGAAATTTTTATTTCCATTAATAATATCATTATTTGAACGTAAGGTATCCTTTCTATTAGGTGTTGTTATTTTTCCTAATCCATAATCTGCAGGACCCGATAAAAACAATAAAATTTGAACGTTTGTTTGTGGAAAACAACTGATCAATAAATTTTTAATTATATTTAGACAATTACCGGTTGATCTTAATTTTCTTTCATTTTTTTTAATCGGCCAAACATCTAATTTTAAGTTATTAATAATTTTTTCAAAGACAAAATTATAAGTTGAAATTTTTTGAAAATAGTTTGAGCCAATATTATATTTTTTACTATGTGATCTTAAATCTTCAGGTAGAATACCCAATTTTTCTTGAATTTGAGATTTTGAATAAAATTTATCACCATTAAAAGAGAAATTTTTAATAATATTCAAATCGGATAATTGATAAATATTAATATTTTTACCAAAAGTGATTAAACCGATAATTGAATCTTCAGATAAGTAGTTTATTGAGCTTAAAATTGAAGATTTCAATGATTCAAATTCTTCTAAATCATTTTGATCAGCGTTTAAAGCTAAATCAATAGCAAATAAATAGATATTTGACGGAAATTTTGAAGTTTTGTTGGGCAACTTGTATTCAATAGTTGAGCTAGTTAAAATTTGGTCAAAATCATTTAGGTTAATGTTGTTGTTATCAGCACTTGAATTAGCGAAATAATTTTTGGGAAGAAAATTTCTTGATAAACAAATGGAACATATCCAGGACAAAGAATTATGGTCAAAATGCGTATATTTATTTAAAATTGACTGACAATTTGAATTAGAGCACACAATAGGATTTTGATTATCAATTATGTTCAAGTCCTTTTTTTTAAATAATGGAGTATATAGCGAGCCAATTGGTAGCACCAAGTTTGATGCATCAAAAGTGTTTGTGGGAAAAGTATTCCAGGAAAATCTGACACCATCTAAATCCTCAGCTTCTTGAAAGTTCATAATTGAGATTTTAAGTAGATTTGAATTATATCTCGAGTATGAGTATATCTCGAGCAAAATTTAAAAGACTCTTACACGTTTCTTCAGTGTTATCTCAAAAATTCTAACAACTCAACCGTTAGATGCTCAGCCTCAGGTAAGCGAAAATAGGCACTTAAAGATCAAATTCAAGCACTGTATTTACAATGTACGAGAACCACTTTGTGAAAGCATCTTCAAAACTATCTCCAGAGACATAAAAAGAACCAGAAACGAGACAAAACCAAGAGGAAACACACACTGTCTTTGCAGGCCAACAGAACAGCTCCAGCAGCACTCGCCACAGCCTGTTTCTGCAATTGTCCCACCACGGACAGCTCCGGTTCGAGACGGAACTTTGCAGTTATTCGCAGTCGTGTTCGGAAGAATGCCTGGTTTCCGTGAACATGAACTCTGTGCTGTGCTGAGATCTGCGCAGAAGCACCGGTCAGTCATCTCTTAGGCCTACCGGTTAAAGGTGCCACGTGCTGAGGACTTCCGGCACTCCTGTCCAGTCTTTCTTTCGTTTTTTAGGTTTCAATGTCAACTGGAGCATCTGCTGAACTCAATTTCTGCTTCTTTTATCTCTTGCTGCTTTTTTTTCTTCAGGATTGTTTCTGTTTTTTCTGTTCTTTCTTCTAGCATCCAAAGATGACTGTAATACCCAACAACAGTTTGTTTGCAAACTTCAAAATCGAAGTAAAGTATCTCCAATTATTTTGTGCGCTATTGTGGTGCTTGTTTGCTGCTGGTCCAGTATTTGGCTTTGCTGCTTTAAAACCAATATTGATAGCTCAAGGGGTTTATGAGAATAGATGCTCAGTGAATATTCTTCCTCATGATAATTTTGCATTTTCAGACTTTACAGCTGGTGACAAAAATAATAATGATAACAATGGTAACAATAATGATAGTTCCACTACTCTATGCAATGAGCAAGATCTAGCTTTAAATTTCATGTTTACATTAGCCGCAGTTTTAACAAATACCATTAGTCTAATTGTTGGCATTATTCTTGATAAATTTGGTTCAAGAATATCCGGTGTCATTGGTTCGATATTAATCTCTTTGGGCTCATTAATCTTCATTTATAATAGCTCGACTTTTTTTCAAAACTTGTATTTTTTTGATCCGTTTTTAATTGGGTATTCATTGTTAGCTCTTGGTGGCCCTTTTGTATTTATAAGTTCATACCAGCTAGCCAATTTATTTCCAAACAATTCAGGAACTGTTTTGGCTTTTTTAACCGGTGCTTTTGATTCATCCTCTGCTTTATTTTTAGTTTACAGTCTAGTTTACTTTGACAAATTGAAATTTTTGTCATATTTAAACATCAATTTTGCTAATTTGTCTCTAAGTTCCTTTTTCAAATGTTACTTAATTGTTCCCTTTTTCATAATAATTTGTCAATTATTTATAATGCCAAAAGAGAAAAAAAAGACTGATTATATTTCAAATAATATAAGCAACATAAATGCCTTGGTTGATTCAGATTCAAACAATCTTCGGAATCAAATACATATCCATAACCACGATGACTATGCTATACATGATGATGAACATACAATCAGTAGTTTTTGTGATGAAGAGACTGCTTTACTATCTCACACAACCAATAACCCCATGGGAACCTTTTTGTCAAGACCAAATTCAATAATTTCCAGAAGATCATCAATAACTATTCCCGATTCTTTTGTTAGTAGAAGATTGTCAATTGTTAATAATAACCCCAGCATTGCTTCCATAACTAATAATGAATATAACGAAGGCAATAACCTGCATCCAGATTTAAACTTCAGTCAAACCAATCTTCCAAAAAAGGAAAAAGAAAAGGATATTTTAATTGGAATATGCTACAATTATTCATTAAAGAGACAATTGTCCTCAAAGTTTTTCATACTAATGTGTCTTTTTACATCAATTCAAATGTTAAGAATTAATTATTTTATTGCGACAATAAAAACTCAGGAGACATATTTACTAGACTCAATCGAAAAGGCTATCCAAGTAAACAAGATTTTCGATTTGGCATTGCCAATTGGTGGCTTATTATCAATTCCCTTTATTGGGCTAATTTTAGACAATTTTCAATGTTTAAATATAATTAAAATCTTATTAGTCATTAGCATAGTAATTGGTTTGTTAGGCATGACAACAAGTATGGTTTTGAATATTTTCGGCGTTTGGCTATTGGTTATCTATAGGCCATTTTATTACACAACTGTATCCGATTACTGTTTGAAGATTTTTGGTAATGATAATTTCGGAATGGTGTATGGGTCGATTATCTTCATTTCAGGCTTGTTCAACCTCAACCAGTACTTCCTCGACAATCTAACTCATAACTTTTTCCAAATGAATCCAATTCCTGTGAATCTTATGTTGGTTGTCATTACCTTTGTGCTTGGATGGTGGCTACTCCAATTTGTCATCGTAAATCTCTACAAAATCAAGAAAAGAGATCTTGTGGAAGAAGCTGAACAGGCTCCAACTTTTGAAATCCCATACTGATGGGTCATCGCTGTTGGCCCATCGATGCGGTACTCATGTGCAACTGCGTTTTTTTGCGTACTTGATGCAGAGCCGCAAAGAGGGCCTCTTTTTTTGCTTTATCTCTTTAAAGCTATTATATACCATATACTCGTAAGTAATAATCTGATGATTGTAATTACTCTATCAGAAGCATAGTTAGCGCATTTTATGCTTAATTGCTAACCATTGACCACTTCTATTTATCACGATGGCTAATACGAATTCTGATAGCTACAAATACATTTTGTTTGATAACATTAATTCATCAGTAATTACGAATTCTCACATCTCCAAACCAAAGACAAACTCTGTTAATGTTAATGAACAAACTCCTTTAATATCAACTTCTCAGCTTTTCTTGCACACTTTGATATCGAATAACTATTCCAAAAACGCTTCTGATGGTAATAGCAATGGTCTTCATGCTAGTACTTATTCTAGCAGCTATTCTAACAGTCGCTCTGGCACTAATAATATTAGCAGAATAAATCACAGAAATGATGCCAATCATATTATCTTACTCGAAAATTCAAAGAATTCAATAATCAGTAAGATTTTTAAGAGTTTAAATTTTTTTTTTGTTTTATTTTCATCTTTGGCTTTGATAGCTGCAGCCTCTTTGATAACTTTTACCTATCTTAACCAAGACTCTCTTCAAGAATGCTTTTCGTCTTCGACTGTCATTGAACCTGATTTTCTTAATACCAAAATTACTTTAAATGATAATGGATTTGTCTTAAAGACTAGCCTGAATTTGACTTTTGACTACTCTAAAATCTTGAATGCAGATTCAAAATCAAATTCACTTGTTAGTTTTGACGAAAATTTAGAAACAAGTATTCAATCAACATCAATTGATAACCCTTTTGACAAAAAAAAGATTTATTACTACATAATTAAAACTATAACTGATTTGATATCTCCAATAACAATAATACCATTAGATTCTATTAAATTGTCTGCTCAATTTCAGAATAATAATTATCAATTTTCCAGTTTAAATTTTTTAAATAATAATAGTTTTGAAATTAATTTGAAAGATAATCAAACAAATTTTTTATCTCCTGAAGTAAATAGTGAAATTTATCCAAATAGTACCATGGAAATTTTATCAGATCTAATTGATTATTACTTGCTCAATCCCAACAATACCATTTATAAAATCAATGCTAATATGAAAGGGGATTTCTTATTAACATGGTCATTTGTATCTTTCAACTATCACGCCTTTTACCAAAAAGACATAAAACTAGATCTTAAACTTTTAAACAACTATCAAAATTATTTTCCTAACTTGAATATTTCTAATATTTTTAATCCTACAAAAGATATTGATATTGTTGATTTTAGTATTTATAACACCTCAGACTCACTAATTACTAATTTGCAAACAAATATCACCTATCATGATTTACCAGGCTTGAAATATTATTTAGATCAAAATGACATATTTTTAGATTCTTCAAATTGGGTAATTTCTTTACCTGATCAAAACCATGATAGGTTAATTCCTCTAACAAAAATTTTCATTCATCCAATTGAATTTTCAACTGGTTTGTCATCATTTTGCATTAATCTAACCTCCACCATAAACAGTTTAGATCCTCGTTTATTGCAAAATAATATTAGCAATTCCGATAATATGATTGGTGCAATTGAAGCTTCCAAAACTGATTCTCAAATCTCTCTTTTAAATCAATTTATTTTTAATATTATGAATCGAGAAAGATTTTCAATTTATGTTAATGGGGAAAATGAAGTTCATGACATCTTCAATTTTAAAATTGAATTGCCTAATTGGTTTAAGCAAATATCCAATAGGCTTCATATTCCATTAACAATAAATTATCCGGTGGTAGATTTATTTTTACCAAAAAACAATAATACTAACGATACTTCAAGCTCAATTAACATGAAATCCGTAATCAAAGATGCAGAACTCATTGATGTTTCAATCACTTTACCTAAGAGTTCATTGCCAATTTTAGATCTTGATTTAATTTTAATTGTTCAATTTCCTCAAAGTTTAACAAATTTGGAGTTTGATCTTAATAAATTCAAAACAGAGAAACTAATATTGAGTTATGAATGCATAGATAACAAATCTCTTGGTTTTGTCATGGATGAATGGCAAGATGTAATAATTCATGATTTTATTTTTTCGAATGATCATTACAATCAAAAAATAGTTGAATTAAAATTGAGAAATTTGCAGATTGATCTATTCGATCCAGATGTCATATCTTATTTGATCAAAAAATTTATTCTAAAACAAGATGGGGTTGATGATAATAATAAAGCTGATTTGGTTTTTATAGATTCTGTTTTTGATATCAACTTGTCATTACCCTCAATTTTTCCCTTATCCAATAGTGAGTTTCAAGAATTTGATAACTTGCCAGTAAACTTGAATTGCAATATCACTACCATTTTCAATGAATCTTCTAATAATACAATTGGCGACTATATAAGTAACTTAACTGTTATAATTGATAAAATCACCTACATTGACTCAAACTCAGATAATTTTTTGCTTCTTGAACTTGATATTAAAGTGTTTAATCCATTCAACTCATCTTTCAGTTTCAATTTACCTAAAGAAAATCAAATTTTCATTCAATACAAATATAACAATACGATTTTGGGGGAAGTATATTTCAATAATATAACGGTAGAAGCATCAAATCTTTTTCAGTTTTCTTTTTTTTTCAAAGTTAATCAGATTGATGTTTATCATCAGGAAAATAAATTATTATTGGCCGAATTTTTGAGTAGGTTTGTTTCCAATACTAATGACACAAACCCCGTTGTCCAGCTTCAAGGCAAAGAAATAACAAATTATGATGATGATCGGGTTACTAAAGTATTAAAAGCAATAGAGGTTGCAGTCCCTTTACCTGATTTTAGAAACTCTCTTGCTTCCACAAGATACTCGAACATGATTTCTAGTGATGATGAAAAAGGCTTTATACTAAGTGTAACCTTGCATATTTTCAGTTCTGAAATTGAATGTGAAGTGTATAATCCAGTCCAAAATCAAAACTTGGAACTCAACATTGTTGAAGGAAAAGCATATTATGAAGAAACAGAACTAGGGAAATTAAGAGATAAAAATGTGAAAATGGTTATTCCTCCAGGAGTTTATAAGACACCTAGAATACCCATTGTTGTAAACAAAGGGATAGCTTCAAACATATTAAAGAAAGCATTAAATGGTGAGTTAAAAGTTAAAACAGTTTGTCAATTTTTGATGAAGCTTGGTAATTTTGAGGTGCAATTAAAATATATTGGAACTGATATGGCAACTGATATACGAATTTAAAAGATTGAAAATGTTTTTAGATCTTTTTTTTTTAAGTTCTTTTTTATTATTTTTTTTAAACTTTATAGTTTTTGCTAGAGTTTTATGTTGATTTTCCTGCAACTTCCAATGGCGTAATTATTTAATTTCTTTGCAGGTTATTTTTTGAATTGTATTGTTGGTTAAACTGCTCTGCTTTGTGGACCATACACATTAATAATTTATGATTTTCTATTTTCTCAATTTTGAAAATAATTACAAAAAAATAAAAAAGTCAATTCTATATTAGAGCTCTTGCATAGAAGAAGTGTTAAGATACAATAGTAAAAATAAGTATTAATCTTTAGAATAAAATTCAAAAAAATCTAATCAAGAATGCGAATGCTGTGTTTGGATATTAAAACTAAGATTCCACATTCTATCTGAATCTTTCATATATAATGAATGTACATTCATGAGCTCTATTAATATCAACTCTTGCAATTGAGATACCGAATCCATTGTAATATTGTCATCAAGATTTTGATTGGTTCCACTGGATGATCCGATGCCACCATTGGTTATACTTATATCTCTTAGGGAGTAACTATTAGAAAAATTAAAAGCAAAATCTCTTTTTTTAAACAGATTATTGCTCCCATTTGTGTTGATAATATTATATGTAGAAGAGTAATCAACCTGGAAATGTTCCATATCAGATAATATTTTTACAATCTTAAAATGCTTATCAAAATTAATTAATTTTAAATAACCACTTATTTGTCTATAATCACTATTGCCTTCATTAACAAATATTATGTCTTGTAGAAACAAATTGATATAGGGAACTAAAGGAATGTTACTGACCTGCTGATCTTTTGATATATCCAAATATTTCTTTAGCTTTGACCGATAAATATAAAAATTTTTATCGGGTTGAATGATTGAGCTTAGATAACTGTAAACTTCATAATACTTGGAGTTTAGCTTTCCCCACAAACGATGTAATCGACTGATTGCTGAACTTTGTAATATTGTCATTATCGCAGCCAAAGAATTAAAATTTCTTAAAATTAGACAACAATAAGCAACTTTTATCCAGTATTTCAAATTGGAGATTCTTAACTTTATGGCAATCCCAGGTTTCAATATGGTTTCGATAACATATTCTGATAGTAAATTGGTAAATAGTATTGATTTTTCAACATTAACGCTTTTTTTTAAATATAGGTTCTTGGTGATAAAATTTTTATTTAATAATTCGTCTGGTTTTATACTGACAAATATCTTGGATTCTATAATTGTTAATTGCTTTGACAATTCCATGCAATTGAAGTTTAGTAAAGAAATGTTCTTGGAATTCAAAGATACTTCAAGCTTTTTTATTTCACAAATGTTATACCACGAATCTAATAGTTGTTTGATGTCAATTGGATAGTATGGAATTGGATTTGAAGAAATACTAGAACTAGTTTTAATAAAATCAGGATTCCATGTTTTACCAAATGCAACTCTGAATTGCATTATGGCTTTTTCAATCGATGATAACTGGTTTCGGTTAAGTAAAGATGATATATGTGATGTGGATGCAATCCAATTTGAAATTTTCAAAGAAGATGATCCAATCCCATTATTGTTATTCTGTTTATTTTTAAAAAGAAACTCAGTTTCACTTGTTGGACTAGATAGATCAGCAGGAAGCGCTGTAGTACTTGTTGTATAATAATGGTAACCATCTTCGTAAGAACTCTTATCAATTTGTCCAATTCTTCTTGTGACTAATTGATTGTCATTCATACCAGACATGTAAGCAAAATTCACATCCTGAAATGGGTGATTTGCTGCTAATTTTCCAGCAACCTCTAATATTGGATACACCTCTGTGGGCAAATATCTTATGGCACTCTCATTTAAAAAGTTTATTATGGTTGGTAAAAGCGGATAATCTACTTTATAGTTCCAATAACTTTCAAGCCATGTTTTGAATGCATTCAAGATTAATTTTCTGCGATTTTTTATTCTTGAATCGAATACTGTGTATTTTTGTTCTGAGTTGATTTCATATTCTTCAGATTCTGATTGTGTCGTCAGTTCATCAATAAGAATAGATTTTTCTTTGTTATCAGCATCAAATCTTTTTATTAATTCTTCAATTAAGTCAGCTGGAGTTGAAAAAATGCGAAATGTTAAAAAGAATGTTGAAAAAAAGAACCTATCTGGACGATGTAGTTCATTAACTAATAAGTATACCAATGCTCTAAAGGTAGCACCTAGTATTTTTCCGTTGCCATCTAGTAGAATTTCATTATCTACAGAAAACGGGTTAGTTTTCAACTCCACATCTTGTTGGTTTGAGGAATCCTTATATCGAGCAAAGGCTGATATTCTTACCATGTATGGAGAAGAACTATTGAACTCTGCTAGTGTTTCCAGAAGTGTGATTGGTTGAGCATTTTTGTTTAAATTTGAATTTACGGGAGTTATTGTTTGATTTGAATCTTCTAGTGAATTGATTGAACATTTTTGGACAAATTCTTTGGGGGATATTTTCATTTTTTGAAAGTCTGGATGTTTTCGGTTAGAGTCTAGAGTATAACCATTCGGTATTAAATCCAACAAATAGCGACAGCTTTTTAAGGAGCTGGAGACAGATTTTATCATTTTTGAGACAACAGCAATTAGTTTTATTCCTTCTAGAGTGTAGAAATAAGAGGAGCTTCTGTTTCCCGGGATGTCAGATATAAGATTTGGAGAGTATAGTCTGAACAATGGTGTTGTTTGATTTAAAGAAGTTTTTAGAAGCAATTTTTTAACAGTTGAAACCAAATCAGTGACCAAGACTAGTAAGTTCTCTAGTGAGGAATCTAGAGTATAGTCCGATAGTTTCAAGAACCTGGTTGCAGATTTTCCGATGAACAAGATTTCTCTTAGTAGTAGGATTATTTGGTAAACGATTGTTTCTAATAGGTGGGAACCAGAATTATTATTTTGGATCATATCCATTCTACCCAAAATCAAGCTTAGATATTGGAATAGCAAGTGGTTTATTTCGGACAATCTTGATTTTGCGATGGGAGGTTCATTTAGATAGAAGATTTTATCCTTTTTTTTTTTTTTTTTGAGCAATGTTTTTTCATGTTTGATGGGGTCGAATTGTAGGATATCATTTGGAGTTGATATGGATTTTCTGAGGCTTTTGTGGTGATTTTGTTTGATTGTGTTTGAATCTGATAGGGACTCCGATTCATCAATTGTTTTGTTGTTGTTGTTTGGGGATAAGACTGTGAATGAAGAAGGAGCATTTTTTTGAAAGTTGTAGTTGTAGTTATTGAGTAATTTTTTTGAATTTATTGAATTTTTGTTAGCGCTAACATCAGGGCTAGTGTTAGTGTTAGCGCTGGTGTTAGCGCTAATGTTAGCGTTATTGTTGGTATTGGTGATATTATTTGGAGGAATATTTTGGAGTAAAATGAATTTATTTGGGATAAAATCTAGAATGGTTCCCCAGTTTTTTAGAAAAATAATTGATTTCAAAATGATTTTAAAGATAGAGTATTCAAGGTAGTCTAGTTTTTTAATGAATTTTAGGTAAAAGGTAATGTATTCTGAGTTGTTGTTAGTTGTGTTTAATTTTTGGATTGGTAGAATGTAGTTGTTGTTAAAGGTCATTAGTTTGTACCAATCGGATAACAATTTTTTCCTCAAGTGATGGATTTTGGAAGAGTTTTGAATTAGATAGTCATCTTTTGATAGGGTATTTGTGTTGGATAGTAGGTTGCGGATTGAGGATTTGATTTCGTTGATGTAGTTGTTGAAAGTGATTGACAATTTTTGGATGGAATCTGGGAAGGTGAGGGTTGTGTTGATGTTTGATTTGTTGTTGTTGAGGAAGTTGTTGAGGAATTTTTTTTTCAATAGGATTTTTGAGCAGGCTATTAGTAGGGGTTTCAAGTATATTAGGGAGGAAGCGATTTGGGAATAGGTTGAGTTGGGAGTGAGAGTGGAAGTGGAAGTGGAAGTGGAAGTGAGAGTGAGAGAGAGATTGGGAGTAGGATAAGTGGGGTAGATTGGTTTGAAGTAGTTTGTTATTGGAACCCAGCCATTTGAGATTGAGGAAGATGATATATTTAAGAGGGATACGTTAGCTAGAGAGAGATTTTGGTCTAGATTGTGAATGTAGATGATATCATTTTTCTTGAAGGGTATTAGATTCAAGTCTGGGTTGTTGTTGTTTGATAGGGTGTGGTTGTGGATTGCTCTGAGAAAGCAACATAGATATTTCTGGTCTTTTTTAAAAGGTTGGCTCAAAGCAGAAGAGGATATACTTGGTTGTGAATGGTGCAGAGGTGAAGAGGTTTTGTTGAAGGAGAAATCAGTAACTGAGATGGAATTGGGGTTGTGATTTGGAATCGAAATAGAGTTTGAAGGAGCGTTGGAAATGGAGATGAGATTGGAGATGGATGTGGAATTGGGTATTAAAAGTGGTATTGAGTTAGGTATTGAATTGGATAGTAGATTTGGATTTGAATGTGAATTTGAGAGTGAGATTGAGATGGAACTTGAAGTTGAGGACGCAGAAGTGGAGGTGGAAGTGGAAGAAGAGGAGAGAGAGAGTTCAGAGTTTGCATAGTTGTTTGCAGGAGCTATTCTGGGAGGAGCTGATAAGTAGTGGGAACTATTGGCATTGTAGATGCTTTGGGAGGACATAAAGAAAGAGACGTTATTATCCAGAGTGATGTGATTGGTATTATCAGTATTGGTATTATCAGTCTTGTGATTATGATTGTGATTGTGATTGTGATTGCGATTGCGATTGCGATTGCGATTGGTGAAACTGAGATATGAGGTGTTGTGGCATTGATACAGATCACTGCTAGTCTCAGCATTTATATCAGTTGGATCAGCTGGATCCCCTGGAGCAGCTGGAGCGCCAGGACTGCTGGCGGTGAGGGTGCACGCTGAGTCTCTCCTGGAGCCGGTCATGATGCACAGGAAGCAGAAACACCAATAGGCCAGCGCGTGCTACTTATACCCACGCCCGCTAGAGGAATAGCAGCACCGGCACCAGAAGTTGGCTCCCCTCCTCCTCCGCCGTCTGCGCACACGCGCGCGGAAACATGCAAGAGACTGCGGACGCGTTGGACACAGGGTAACTGCTGGTCTGGGATAAGTCCGTGTTTCTGCTGCTTCTGCTGCTTCTGCTGCTGCTTCTTTGCAAACAACCGCAGCTGCTCCACGATGTCATCCAGCACAAAACACCAGAAGGTGGTATGTTTACAGCGCTTCCGGGCTTTGATCCCGCTCTTCTTTGCAATTTCAACAACTAACTTCTCTTTTTCCAGATGGTTCCACCCATCAACTTGATTTTCAAGTTTTTCCAGCAACAGTCCTTGGTCCAGATCTGGTTGTATGAACAGATAGCCTACAGAATACAGGGCAAAATCAGAGGCTTTGACGAGTTCATGAACCTAACCATCGACGATGCTTACGAAATCAACCAACAAGACTTTTCAAAGAAAAAGTTGGGCAGAATCTTGCTAAAGGGTGACAATATCACTCTAATATCGAGTTTAGATGTTTAATCAATTCGACACTCCAGCCCACTAATCAAGTGATAATCCAACTCAACAATCAATTGACACCACATTTTAGTATTACAATTTAAAAACACAGATTTCTCATAGTATAGCATAGTATAGTATAAGTAAAATAAGGTAAAGTATACTACAGATCCCCTCGGATTGCATCCCAAAACCGATTGTGATCACATGATCTCTGTTTTTTTTCAGAAAAAATTTAAATTATTTTTTTTTTCTGCTGAAAAATTTCATATCAATTATCATCACAAAGTTTGTTTGAAAAAAAAAAAAATTATACTATAAATCTCTCCATTCTAATTTTTCTCTTTTTGCTTCATTTTCTTGGTTTTTTTATATCTTTGGTTCACTAAATAATACACAATTATTTATTCTATATCAATTATCAATCCATCTTTTGTTTCCCATTCCTCCACTCCATATTAATACTCACTACCTTTATATTCAACAATGGCAAGATCGAAACGTGCTAGACTTGTAACCTTATCAAAAACTGATAAAAAGGGTCGTCAAAACAAAAACAGAATCTTCGATCTCATCAGATCAAACATCGATTCCTACAACTACCTCTGGCTACTCGACTTGAGAAACATCAGAACTCCAACCCTACAATCAATAAGAGCTGACTGGAAGGGTTCCAAAATTGTTCTAGCAAAAACTGCTGTTATGCGTGAATCTCTAGGTAAACTTCCCTCCAACGAATACGCTCCAAATCTATCGCTTCTATCCAAAAGAATCACTGGCTCCTCCACCCTCCTCTTCACAAACGAACAACCTCAAGTAGTAAAGGACTATTTCACTGCCTTTGTCACAAAGGATTTCGCTAGAGCAAACTCAATATCCCCAATATCCTTCACCATCCCCGAGGGAATCATCTACTCCACAGCCGGTCAGATATCCGTTGAAGAAGACGTTCCAATCTCCCACTCCTTAGAACCAACCTTCAGAAACAAATTCAACATTCCCACTAGAATAAAAAACGGAAAGGTCGTTCTAGATTCTCCCTTCAATGTCTGCCAAAAGGGCGACAAACTATCCATCGTTCAATCTCTTATTTTAAAACAATTTGGTATCGCATGTGCTGAATTTAAAGTAAAAATCGACTCCTATTACGACAAAAAACTAGAATCTGTAATTCTTTTAACAACATCAGAAAATGATCATCAAATGGCCTAATTTCTCTTTATTCCCTTTTATATCTATCTTAATTAACATTTAAATCTCCACTTCAAAACTTTTTATCGTAGTATATAAAGCCCTGATTTGTAAAGCCCTGCTTAATAAAGCCCTATTCTACTTTATAACATCAACTCAAAATTTTAAATTGAAATCTTTTCTCAAATTACTTTTTAATTACCATTGCAATTATTACTACAATATTATTCATAAAATGGTATGTAATTCCTCTCTTAAACTCACTTGTTCAATAATTATTAAATAATTACTCAATTATTCAATCCTATCTTGATTGCTGCCTTACTTCTTTCCTCTTTCCTCTTTTTCTCCTTCTTTTTTTGTCATTCTAACAATCTTCTTTCTCTCTTTCTCTATTTACCCATTTCCTTCCTCAACAGAGCAGAAAATTTATCTCCACCTCAAATGCTTTCAATGCTCATGACTCAGATATCTATGCTGTTGCTGTCTCGTCTCCCTATACAATAACAATCGGCGGTGATGGCTATTTGAAATTATGGCAAAACAAAATCTCTGAAACTGATAACCCCAAAACCTCAGCTTCCAGTTTTTTAATTGACAATTCGGGTTTGCATCATCTATCACTTTTCGAATCTCCCATCTTAATTAACCTGAAGAAATTAAATCTTATCCTAGTCTCCGTTGTAGCCTTTAGTGGCACAATCTACTTTTTTCAAATTATACACGACACTTTACTTCCACTAGATGCAAAATTTTACCAAAACGATTTACAAGACTACCATGATATCTTATCAAAAAAAAACAATACCGGTGATAAAAACCTGTTTTCAGATTTCTTGAAAAATTCTCCCTTCAAAGTCGACAACAAAATCACTGGCGAGTTCTTTTGGGCAATTGAATGGTTTAAAGCTTCAGATATATCCTTTTCAGACATCAACCAGATTCAAAATAAATTCCTTGCAACCCAGTCAAAAGGTGATACTAAAATATGGAACGTATTAATCTCAATAAGTAAAAACGATAAACTAGAACTAAGCTTCATCAACCATGGCTTAATTAAACCAAAATCTCCCAACTTTGCAATGTCTTTAGCTGTGTCCCCCAGCCAAAACTTGGTTGCAACTGGTTTTCAAAATGGTGAAATCATCCTCTCCCAAATTGATTCATCTAGATCAATTTACAGTTTTTACAATAACTCTGTCCAATTTTCAAATCAACTGAATAATAAAACTTATTCTTCTTCAATCAGATCACTAAAATTCAATCCCGATGGTTCCTTATTAGTTGCCGCCTTGGATTCTGGTAGTTTTGGCAATATTTATTTATATGATACCAAATATGGTGAACTCGCTGGCATGCTAACAATGCCGACTCATTCTGCCTCAACAAGTATCAACGTCAATGCTCATGATGGTTGGATTTTTGGAATTGATTTCAATTTAGAGGGTGATTTGTTAGTAAGTGGAGGTTACGATGGCAAATTAAAAATTTGGAATATTGATACAAGATCAAAAGATGGTCAAATTCTGATATCACCTTCAGATTTAATACCCGAAGATGAAGATGTAAGAGAAGATGATAACCTTCCAGCCAATGATTATGTTGCTATAATAGATGTAAAATATATCAAGAAAGGAATTAGAGGTGGATCCGGAGGAGATACCAATGAAGGTTTAGTTGCTGTGGGTTTTGATGGTGGCATACGTTGGTACAGAGAAGCCGGTGGTATTTAAATACTTACTGTTATTATTAGTAACTCTAATTTTGCCATAATTATCGATGGTATTAATAAAAAAACAATATACAATGAAATCTGTTTATATAAATAAATTATCCATTTATTCAATTCTTTATGATTTTCATTTAACCAATCAAAAAAAAAAACCATAAAAAAACCAAATAGTGAAATTAACAAAATAAAAAAAAAATAATGAAGTGATGAATGATGATTTAAACTAGGTAGTTGTTTTTAATATAATGTAAATCGGCATGTTTTTTGAAGTTATCTGTATGATTTTTGCCATCATCTACAGAATTGGAATCGTTTATACTGTTTTTATTTTTATGATTTGATTTCTGTTTATTTTTGCTTTTTTTGTGTTTTTTTTTAATTTTACTGTTGTCATTATGATTGTCTAGATTATCAATTGAATTGCTGTTTCCAGAAGGATTATTTTCAGAACCTGAACCATTTTTGAGATTGTCAATAAAATTGTTTGCGTCTCTGGCTAAACTCAAAATTGAATTTATCGAGTATTTTTTGGCAGCTGAAATTCCAGATAAGTCTTCCAATACTTTTTGGTTTATAGTTGAATTCGCTAAATAGGAGAAATTATTTGCAAATGCTTTTTCTAAAAAGGAATCATAGTTAATGTTATTTGTAATATCCGAGGATTCGCTGGATTTATTGTTTTTCTTAGTTTTAAACTTAGTATTTTTTTTATTTTTAGGTTTTTTAATTTTATGTTTACTATTTTTGACAGCTTTATTTTTGATGTTTTTAATGATTTTTTGAAAGGAATCCCCATCAAGATTATCAGAATTAATAGTCTTATCAGGCATTATACAGGAGCTAGTATCATTCTCCATTATGTTATTATAATTATTATTAAGAGAATTACTGCTAATACTATATTGTAAAAGTAAAAGGTTATTCTCAGATTCATAAAATTTATAATTATTATCGGATAGTTTTTCAATTCTGAAATCTAGCTCATGTCTTCTAAAAAATTCTTTGACATATGATCTTGTAACATAATGGTCCACACCCAGATAAGGCTTGTTTTTACATAACATTTTGTTTGCATAATTACTATTATTTACTTTCAAGTGATCATATCTTTTGATATTCCTGGTTTGATCTTGATTTTTTGTATATTGATTACTATTTTGAATATTTCGATTATTCTGATTATTCTGATTACTTTGATTATTATTAATATTATTAATATTATCAGTATTATGATCGTTATTGTCATCATCAATATCATTTTGATTTTGATTTTGATTTTGATTTTGATTTTGATTACCATTGTCATGTTGATTGTCATTTTCATGTTGGTTATTGTTTTTGCTTTCATTTTCATTTTCATTTTCATTTTCATTTTCATTTTCATTTTCATTTTCATTCTCATTCTCATTCTCATTCTCGTTTTCGTTTTCGTTTTCGTTTTTATTTTCATTTTCATTTTCATCATTTTTTCCATCATCAATCACAACAGAATCATAAAAATGGATTCTATCATCGATTATTTCGTCTATCATTAATAAAATGTTGGACATATTAATAATAAACCCTCTCTTTGTCAATTTAATTAATCTTTTAATTAACAAATTTTCTTCGGATAGAGTTAGCACTCTAGACTGGATAGAATAAGTCAATCTTGATCTATTACCATTAACTCTGCCATGGAAAGTAGACTTTGAGCATTTTAACTTAAATTTCGACTTGATATATTCAAAAGATATGTTTTTCTTAAAATGCCTTGAGAAACTAGCGTAACTGATTCCACCAGTAATGTTATTCGCATCACCTGAAGTATCGGCTTCAGTGGCTGCGTCCTGGTTAGAAGCAGAGTTGTTTGAAACCTTTAGAGACTCGTTGTAAACTTTAGCTTGTTGATAATATTCTATGGCTCTTAACAAGCGTATCTCGTTCTGCAACTTTTCCTGGGTGGATAGTTTCTGTTTCTTGAGAGTATTTTGGATGTCTTTTGGCAAGGTTGTGTTGACATCATTGATCATGGGATTGTTGATATCGTCGATGCTGTTGATGATGGTGTAGTCAGCAGTATTGTTGATAACAAAAGCAGTAGGATCAAGATCAGCATTCGCGAGACCCAACGAGGTAGCATTCAAACTGGAGGTCAACGAATCATTTAGGCAGGGGAGAGAAGAGAAAGATTCAGTAGTCATCTTGGGTGAGCATCAAAATAAGGAACATATCGCCAGTATGTTTTGAAGAGCAGCAGGAAGAGGAAGCAGCTGTTTTTGAAGGGCTGTTTTCTATCTACACAGGAGCGGAAACGGACCAATCAGTGTGGGAGAAGGGTAATTGCTAGCTGGCGATGGGACTCTTCAGAAGAGGCTCGAGCAGCTCTGGCAAAGAAGAGCAGGAGTGTTGGGAGAGCTTGGAGTCAGTCAGGAGAGAGCTGGGGGAGAGAGCTGGGGGAACAGCATGTAGATTGAGGTTGTTTTGAGAGCTTATATGTAATGTTGAAGACTAAACAAAACAGGAGAAAGAGAAAATTAACTAAAACAAAAATTAAACTGAAAAAAAAATTAAACACACAAAAGAGAGAAAAAAAGAGTAGAAAGATTTATTGAGATGATTATATAAGATGAATGGTTGACCAAGCAGCTGTTTTCATTCCAGTCCAATTGAAAGCCATGCATTTGATTCTGGGTGTGTACTATAAAGGAGCATAATAAAGCTGGGATAAATATTTATTTTGGTATCTGACAGTGATGGCAGTGGCCAAAGTGTTTTGCTTGATACTGGTTGTGGCTAGATGGTTTAAAACAACATGATTTGGAATAGGCAAAGAGCCCGATGCATTTTCTCTATTATTTTCTCGATTGCTGTAGCTATTCAAAATGACGTTTTCTAAATGGGGAGGAAGTTGTGGAGGAATTAGCCACTGAACATTAGCATTATTGCCATGGCGATGAGAATGTTCTAAAGTTCTATAATACTGTTCCATAATTTTTTGTTCAGTGAATACTGGGGGAATTTGCTGGGTGTAAACTAATTTTTTTTTTGACGAATTTTGGTTACTTTTGTTTTTGTTACTATTCTGGTTATTTTTTGAACTATTAATATTGGTGTTGTTTGTATTTGTATTGTTGTTATTGTTGTTAGTGCTGTTGGTGCTGGTGCTGTTATTGCTATTGTTATTGTTATCACTATCATCGACTTCATGATCATTTTCATGAAATCTTGAATAACCATCACCCATATCATCTTCATCATCATCTACTCCCAAGAAGACTTGGGATTTAGCCTTTTTGAAAGAGTCTAGTTGTGAATTTTGTTTTTGTTCTTCTTCTTTATTTTTCAAAATTTGTTTAATTTTTTCATTTTCCAATTTTAAAGATTCAGTTGCATTGTGTTGTTTTTGTTTCAAATTTGAAGGAGGAAAAACTTCTATAAAATTGAACAAGTGACCAGATTGATCAGTTGCGCTTAAGGCATAATCTGAAGTTTTAACTTCACCGTCTACTAAGAATTTGTAACGATAGGAGCCGGGAGGTAAGTTGATATAAACAGAAAATCCATCGATTGAAGGATCTTTGTATAATCTGATCATTCTTGTCCATCTTGTAAAAGAGCCAAATACATTAACTTCAGTACCTTCTTGAATCCATTCAAATTTTGTTGGAACAGTTAGTTCGGGCTGATCTGAACTAGTTTGTTTGGGAGACTGTTGTTGTTGTGGAATTTGAGGTTTTAGCTGCTGATGTTGATGTTGTAGAGGCATTTGCTGAGGTTGTTGGGATTGTTGAGGTTGTTGCAGGTTTCGTAGGTAAATCTGTTGAGATAATAATTGCTGTGATTGTAGTTGTGATTTTATTTTTTGAAATTTGTTTTGAATTTGAGATTGATTTGGTTTTTGAATTTTATTTTGGTTTTGATTCTGAATTTGATTTTGAGTAGTATTGATATCGATATTGGATAAGCCATTATTTATCAGATTCATGTTATTAACTGTATTGTTGTTATTTGCATTATTATTATTATTATTATTATTATTATTATTATTATTATTATTATTATTAGTATTAGTGTTAGTGTTAGTATTAGTATTTGTCTTTGTCTTTGACAAATCCAAATTTTGATCGTTTATTGTTGTAGGGTTATTCGTTGAAGATAAGACTGGAGAGTTGTTTGAAGAGGACACAGGCTTTAAAGGATCTTTAGAAACAAACTGAGGGTCTTGGAGATCAATATAGAGATTATTCTGAGCAAAATTTCCATTATTAATGCCGACCATATCAATATCTGTGGATTCTGAGTTGTTTGTGTCATTGTTAGGGTTTTTTTTAGCAAGATTGGTGAGGGTATTATTGGGAAGGTTATTGTTGGCAGCAGAGCTGATGTTGATATTGGCAGTGTTATTAGAGGAACCAGCATCACCAGAAACCAATATAGAAGAAGGGGCCGGTTGCAGGGGGTCTTGATTATTCATGATGTAAGAGTGAGAAAAAAAACAGGGGCAGCAAAGACAGCAGAAGCAGCAGAAGTAGCAAGGGAAGCAGAGAGGCAGGCAGAAGAAACACCAAAGGCAGCAGGCTCAGTGCAAGTGTTGAGCAGTTGACATCAAAAGCCAAAGCTGCCTTTGTCCAAGTTCCTTTTCAGAAATGCCGCTGCCCAAAACAGACCAAAACCAGACCGGTGGATCTCTATGCACGTGATGTTTGGTGAGCTCACTCTGCATGATCATGCGCTGGAGCGTTGGCTGCACAAGCACATGTGAGTCCGTTACTGTGGCGCTGCTGACTAATCAGGTCTGTTATTTTCGGTTATAAAGAAGGGACAATCACTGGAAAGCAATTAGTGGGGACCACCTAGGACAAAGGTATCCAGCAAACGTCTCTGACAAAGCACATCTGGAGCAAGAAATGTCTTTAATCAAGCTGCCATTGCTCAAGCCCTTGAAAATTGCGTTGTTACAGCTTTCCGCTGGCGCAAACAAACAGACCAACTTGCTTAACGTTGAAAATCATGTTGCTGAAGCATTGAAGTTGAGGCCAGACACCGATTTGATCATGTTGCCCGAATGTTTCAATTCTCCTTATGCTGTTGACAAGTTCAGAGAGTATAGCGAGGTGGTTTCGGTAAAGGATGGTGAAACCACAAAGTTTTTATCGAATTTGGCGAAATCGAACAATGTTTTCCTCGTCGGTGGTTCAATCCCTGAGCTCGACCCAGTCTCGAACCAAATATACAACACCTCCTTGACCTTTGACCGAAATGGGGAGTTGATTGGCAAACACAGAAAGGCGCATTTGTTTGACATTGATATCAAAGGTGGAATCAGATTTAAGGAGAGTGATTCTTTGAGTCCTGGTAATAAAGCGTCCTACTTCAATTTAAATGAGTTTGGAAATATTGGGCTAGGCATCTGTTACGACATTCGATTTCCCGAGCTAGCAGCCATTGCACAAAGAAAGGCCAATGCCTTTGCCATGTTCTACCCTGGAGCCTTCAACACCACGACTGGGCCCTTGCACTGGCACCTATTGGCGCGATCCAGAGCAGTTGACAACCAGTTCTTTGTGGTACTCTGCTCGCCAGCCAGAGACTTGAGCTCCAGCTACCACGCCTACGGCCACTCGTTGGTTGTTGATCCCAACGGCAACATTGTTGCTGAAGCAGGCACTGACGAAGAAATCCTCTTTGCTGAGCTCGACCCCAGCTTGCTTCCCACTGTGAGAAGCTCGATTCCCATCACCTTCCAGCGCCGATTTGACATCTACGACGACGTCGCCTCCAGCTACACTCCTGCTGCCAACTAAACACCTCTGCGACCCACACGCCAGCACCTAGCAGCATAGCAGCTCGTGTAGCAGAAAGGAGGTTCCATTACCCTTCTGCGTCTCTACGCTGCTCGCGCACTTTGAACGCGCTGCGGGTCAACCCCCTGCTACATCCAACTCGCTTCATCCAACTGTCCTCTTTTCCAAACCTTTTAAGTTAGCCACTGCAATATATATATCTGCTCACATATCAAGATCACATCGCATTATTGTTCCTATCCCTCTGCTATTGTTTTTTTCTTTTTGAATATATATTCCCTTTACTCTATCTGCGCAAACCACTTCTCTTTCTTGCTTTCTCTTCTTGCTCCCTTTTTTCTGACAAAGGAGACTGTTACATTAATTTAGATCAGATCAATTCAGCTCAGCTAAGCTCACCTCAACTCAATATCCTTTAATTTTATCAAGTCGCTTCAAATCAACTTCTATTGGTTTGTTCACTTTGAAATTCAAACCATCTATCCACTTTAGAAATCTCCTATTTTTTTCTTCTTACTCCAGCTTCAATTATCTTCTCTTGTTCTTTCTCTGCTTTTCGTTTATTCTTTTCTTATTTGGTTGCTTTCTTTGCCTATACCTTGCATATTAAATTCCTCTATCTGTCCAACTTACAATAAATGTCTGATACAATGACTGATGATTATTCATACGACTATGAATATTTATTCAAAATAGTTTTGATTGGTGATTCCGGTGTTGGTAAATCCAATCTACTATCTCGTTTCACAAGAAACGAATTCAATTTGGAATCAAGATCAACCATCGGCGTCGAGTTTGCCACAAGAACTGTTGAAATAGATGGTAAAAGAGTCAAAGCTCAAATTTGGGATACCGCTGGTCAAGAACGTTATAGAGCTATTACTTCAGCTTATTACAGAGGTGCCGTTGGTGCTTTAGTAGTCTATGATATTTCTAAAGCGGAATCCTATGAAAGTGTTTCAAGATGGTTGAAAGAATTAAAAGAGCACGCTGATGCTAACATTGTTATTGAACTAGTCGGTAACAAATCGGATTTGGATCACCTAAGAGCTGTTCCTACCGATGAAGCTAAAAACTTTGCTGCTGAAAATCAATTACTATTCACTGAAGCCTCCGCTTTAAATGCTGAAAATGTAGACTTATCCTTCCATCAATTGCTAAAATCAATTTATGACATGGTTTCAAAACATCAGTTCGATATGAACGATTATTCCTCTCAAGCACCAAGTAAAGGTCCCACTGTTGATTTGACTCCAAAACAGAATGAAGAAAAATCTTCAAAGGGAAACAATTGTTGTTAAAATAAACAAAAAAATAATAAAATTCGAATTTACAATACTCAAAGAAAGAAAAAAAAAAAAAAAAAAAATAAAATAAAAACAGAAAATATTATAAAAATAAAAAATCTATTGAAAAAAATCATTAAAAAGCCCATAAAAAAAAGTAATCAATCAATAAATCAATAAATTAGTATATTTTGATATATTTTGATATATTTCATTTTGAAATCACCTTTTTTCCTTTCTTTTCTTTATCTTTTATTATTTATCCTTTTATTATTTATTATTTATTATTTATTATTTACCCTTTTATTATTTATTACTTGATACTTTATTATTTTATTTTACTGCTCTTTTATATTTTTGGTCTTTAGTAATTATAACTGATAAGTTTTTTTTTCATTTATTTTTGTGTTTACACATATATACTATATATATTTATTATATATATTTATTACATATATATATATTATATATTTATTTGATAACCATTTTATAATATTTTTAATTTTTAACTTCTAGTTTATATCTGTATAAGTAATAACGAAATTTTAATCATATAATAAGACAATATAAAATCCAATGTTTTATTAACATATTAATAAAATGCTCAAAAATATGTATATAATAAATAATAAAAACACAATAAAAGAAAGTAAATAATCGATAAAAAAAATACAACTGAATAAAGTGAAAAATAATAAATAAATAATAAATAATTAAAAAATAAAAAAATGAATATAATTATAATTAATATTAATATTAATTCTCTTTAAAGTCTTCATCATCCGGATCATCATAATCGTTATCATTTTCATCGTTAGCATCAGCAAATTTTTTTAAACCACCCAATTTTTCAGCAGTTTTAGTAAAATCAATTACTTTACCTCTTGTTCTTGCACCAGTAATAATATTTGAAGGATCAATTTCACTTAAATCATCCTCAACGGTGTTAAGATCATCTTCAATAACTAATTTTTCATAATCCTCGTCTTTTAAACCATTTTCATCTTGGTCATCATCGTCTTCTTTGATTTGATCTTGTGTTTCATTTCTATACTTTGATCTACGATGCCTATGTTTATGTTTATGTCCTCTTTTTCTTTTTTTGGCTTTTTCCCCAGTTTCTTCAGCAATAATATCATTTGTTGAGTTTTCAGACGTTATATTTTTTGGTTTATCATCTTTATCTTCTGTTTGGTCATTGGTCTTATTGTCAACTTGATTATTTTCATCAACTTGTTGCAATGAGCGTTTCTTAGGGTTGGGAGTGATTTGTTTAGGCTCATCGTCTTTTGTGTCGAGTGCAGCGTCGTTTGCGGAAAAAACAGCTGGCTTTGGAGGTTCTGTGCTATCGGAGGGTGTTAAAGCAGAACTATCTTCCTTTGACATTGTAAATAAAAGCAATTGTATATTATACTTGAAAGAATTGTGTTTGTTGAAAAGGAAATCGATGGGAGAGAGATGAGAGCCTGAAAATACAGTGCAACATCACAACAAGAACACCATTACCAGGACTGAGGGTCGTGTGTAAATCTGGTACCAGTGTATTTTTTTTTCATTTTTTTGCAATTGAGAGGAAGAGCAGAAAGAGAAATCGATAAGAGCAGATCTTTTGGCAACATAGTATCTCTGCTTATTTCCTATAACTGGTTATTATTGTTGGTATCTGCTGGTAATTGCGAGTAATTGCTGCTTTGTTATAGTTACAAATTGTTGATAGCGCTACAGAATGTCAGCACTAAACGTGTCGAAGAGAACCAAGATTGGAGACTTGCTCCACTACAAAATCAAAGTGATCACCTTGGATGGAAGAGAGCTTGTTGGAGAGTTGTTGGCGTTTGACAAACACATGAACCTAGTGCTCAGCGACGTGGAGGAGTTTCGGATCACCAAGAAGTCGAGGTTTGCCATCAAGGACGCAAAGAGAAAAGGGCAGGCAAGCACACAGCACTTGGTAAAGGAGGATAAGAGGGCGCTAGGCTTGATCATCTTGAGAGGCGAGCACATTGTGGGCTTCAATGTTGTGGCTGCTCCCTTGTCAGCAGAGGCAGTGGGCCCGGAAAGCAGCAGAGGCAGCAAAAGCAGCAGGGGCATCAGCAAGCCGTTGGGCTCAAAGGACAACAAGGGCTTGTCGATCAACAAAAACAGTCTTGCCAGCGCCTTGAGCGCGCCTATCCGTACAGTCAGCAGCACCGGCAGCAGCACCAGGGTTGTGGCGCCCTCCACAGGCTTCAGGAGAAGCTGAGGCAGCTGTGCACCGCCACCCGTGCCCAAAGAGGAGAATCCGCCTGGGTGGTCTCGTGCTGCGGCGGGTGCTGCTTGCTGTTTCTTGTTGCTGCTTCATCATCTCTGCCTGTGTTGCTTCTGCTACTTCTGCTGCCTCTGTACTGCACTCTCCATGGACATCCAGCTCTCTATCCCCACGACCTCTACTGTCAACAGCTCCTACACCGTCTACCACATCCAGGTTTCCATTCCCTTGAAGAACTATGAAATCATCAAGCGATACAGCGATTTTGTCAAGCTCTTTGGTGATATGGAGTCCTACTTCAACAACACAATCAAGTTCCCCATTCCCTTGCCCCAGAACAACTTTAATTTGAACAGCTTGTTTGTCAAAAAAATCAACAATGTTGAATTGATCAACTCAAGGAGATCCTATCTCCAAGACGTCCTTATCAAGGTTCTAAACGATGAAGATCTAATCAACTGGAAAAACTCAAAACCTTTTAGGGACTTTCTCAAAATACCTTCAAATTTCTTAGATTCAAACAACTACAAATTCAATAAATTCAATAGCAACAATCTAAACAGCTTAAATATCTCTTCTTCTTTAAATTCTTCTTCCACTTCTTTATCTCTAAATTCAACTACTACTCCAAAATCCGTTTACAACACTTTTTCTTTAGCAAATTCTAACAAATTTAAAGACTCTCCAATAATCGACATAAACCTTTGGCTAGAGACAATCAGAGACTGTAAAAACTATCTACAAGATGCACGACTAAACTGCTTCAACAACCAATCCTTGGAAATCAGCAGAAAAAACTTGATTTTAGTAAATTCTAAATTTAACGCTTTAACCAACGGCTTAAATTATCATTCAAATAACAAACTATTAGGCGATGGCGAAATTAGAAGAAGAATCGATCTACTAAACTCAATCAAAAGAGAACATTCCGATATCCAAAAACTACTATCCTCAATCCATAACAATAACTTAGACAATAACATCTCCGTCAACTCAAATAATAATCTGACTAATACCGACAACAACCTTCCCAACAATAACAACTATATCCTGCAAAATAATACAGATCTTGATTTCTCAAATAACGACACCATAAATTACACAATCTCCTCAAACAAATTCAATTCCTCAGCTTCCTCATTACCTTTAGATAACAATAATCCAAATCATTTTAACAACCCGAACAACGATAAATTGAATTTATTCAATAAAAAAAGAGTTTTTGGTAAACCCCTCGAAGAGACTAATGAAACAAGAAACTTAAATTCGCTACAGCTCTTGAATAATCAAAAACAAATCCTCAAAGATCAAGAAAAGGAAATAAAATCCCTCAACCAAATTATCGTCAATCAAAAAAATATCTCTCTAACCATTAACAATGAATTGAACTTCCAAAACCAATTATTAGATGATTTAAACAGAAACGTTGATAAAGCCTCTAATAAATTGCGCTATGCTTCAAGGAAGACAAAAAATTTGAATAGTAATTAATCATATATTAAATGTCTATTAAATGTAATATTAAATATAATATTAAATATAATATTAATTATATATTAATTATAATAAAAAAAAAAAAAAACTTAAAAAAAAATAATCTTTAATCTTTAATCTTTCCCTTTTTTTTTATTACTATTAATTTAATACCTAATTTCATATGAACCTGCTTTTGCAATATATCTAACCCATTTAACAGTGGAATAACCACTTTTTTCAACAACTTTAAGGTATTTAACTGTTAGCCCTGAACAACTGAATGAATTCAATGTAAAGATTAGTGAAATTGGAGGCCTTGACCAATTAATTAGATTGTTTGTTATAGTGCTAGTTTTAATATTTTGATATTCCATATTTTCAAAAGAATTGATAAGGTTTTTGTCATTATTATAAGTGTCATTGGTATCATCGTTGTCCAAGTTTAGTAAGTTTGAAGAAATGTTTGCAGTTTGTACAGGAATGTTTGCTTGAGATGGAACAATTTCAATGTTTCCTTTGAAGAAATGATCCAAATTGCCAGGAAATTTATTGATTTTCCAAACTATTATATTATCTTCGGCGATGAATCTTGCTTTACCGCCACTAATTGCGTTTGAGAATTTGATTGTGCCTGTTGGTACGGGAATATTGATCAAAAGATTTGAGTTGAAGTTTTTTTCATATAGACTTTTAATTTTTATGTTGTATTCCATTCTTGTTTTCGACAACTCTTTAACTTTGACCATGATTTCAAAGGGCAATTTGATGTTTTCCATTGCTCTATATCTCATCAATTCGAAATCGCCATCGGGAGGAATAAAGGTGATTAAACGGTTCTGGTCGAATTTGTTTAGTTGGACACACTGGTGAAATTTGCAGTCTTCTAGTTTGACTTTGTTATTATTGTTGTTAAAATTGCTCAAGTTTGTTGAGGACTTTCTTAGGATGCCAGTGTTGATAGCAAATTCATTACCGTTAACAAATAGAGAGTCATTTAAACCAAATTTACATTCAGGCATACCAGATAAGTGAGACTTCATTTTAATGTAACCATCTATATATAGTCTTAAAATTGAGCTGTTTGCAGACATTAAAAGGTTTAAGTTTTCATAGACATCTAAAAAGACTTCGTTTTTCCTATATTTGATTCCAAGAGGTCTCCAAGATATTTCAGAAGTTGATTGTTTCGTTAGGTTGGCATTTGATGAGGAGTTGTGATTTTTTGTGGCAGTCGTACTATTAGAGTTATCATCCTTAATGTCATCGGAACTATTTTTATTTTTATTATTTTTGTTATTGTTGTTGTTGCTTTGCTTGTTGTCTTGGTTATTAGTGCTTGATAGGAGATCCTTTGATTTGTTTAAGGAGATTAAATTTTTCAAAGAGTTGGTAGTTGATGAAGGTTGTGGAATTTGAATGTATTGTTTTAAAGTTGTTGGTTCCATATTTTGTGGATAACCAAAGTCCATGATTTCATCTAGTAGTTCATTGATCCAAAAAAAGTTGTTTTTAATGTGTTGATCTGTTAAGAAGGAGATGTTATTTATATTGATCAAGTTATTGTTTGCATTTGAGAGATTATTGTTGATCATGCTCATGTTATTAGAGAGGTTTAGAGACAAGTTGTTTAGATTTGAAGTGTCGATTTTATTGTCAGAGATTTTGGAAGAGGTTTTAGATTTGGCATTGTTTGAAGAGGATAGGTTGATTTGAATTGAGCTTACGGGTTGGTTTAGGATATAGTAGTTCAAGAGATCTAGGAATTTATAAAGAAATTCGAATATGATACTAGCATCTTGGTTGGATCTTGTTATTGCAACAAACCATAAATTTGAGTTTTTAATGTGTAAGAAAGTAGTCGAGCCCAAGGTGAGAATTGGAGATCTAATATTGTTGGCGGAAGATATAACCTGGATTCTAAAGACATCGGAGATGGTTTTCTTGATGTCGTCTCGAAAGATCCTGGATATTATGACCTCGCCCTTCTGGTTGAAGATGAAAAAAGCAGATATCATTGCCAAAAACGAGAATCCAGAGAGAGAAGAAGCAGCAGGCAAGGGGGAAATGGAAGCAAGAAAAGCGAGTAAAAGAGAGGGACAAGAACAGAAGTGGTGGGAATGGCAGCAAAAGTAGATGCTGTTGCTGATAAATTCCAGGCGAACGGAAGATGAAAAGGCACGTGCTTAATCGGTAGCTAGATGTACAGCATGCGGAGATGCATGTTTGCGCATCATTGAGCAGCCGCGCGGGCTCACAACCAGCGAAAACAGGGCAAAAAAAGGCAGTGCACCAAAAACAACAGAAAACAGGATCCTCAGATCCAGGATGGCACACACAATGAACCAGCTCAACCAGCTCACGCAGCTCGCGCACAGCCAGCTGGGGCCTGTGCTTCTCGGCCAGGGGCTGCTTTCTTTGGCGTCGTCGCTCTCCGGCAGCTCCGGCATCAGCAGCACCATGGGTCCTGTCCAGGAGGGCTCCACTTCCACTCAGAACGTCAGCATCGTCAAGATCGTCGACAACGAAAAGATCTGGATGAAGCCTCGCAGAGACCTCTTCTCCAATCTCATCAGAAAGAAGCTTCTTCTAGGCATCGACAATGAAGGCAACGGCTTGCTCAGCAAAAAGAGCATCAGAAGCTCAGGCTATCAGGAAATCGCCAACGAGTTGAACTACAGGTTCAACTGCAAGGACTTTGACAAGACAAAGGTCCAGAACTTCTATGCCGACACCAAAAAACACTTCAGGTTGTACCTCAAGGCCAGGTCCTTGCCCATGTCAAGAATTGTCGATGGAAACAACGACACGCTTGATGAATCCAACATGAAATGGATATGGCTACCAAATCTGGTTTGGGATGAATTGGCAATCGACTATCCACGAATAAGATCTCTTAGAAACAAAGACATTTGGTATCTCGATAACTTGTCTCCAATTCTCATGAGTCACAAATTGCAAACCTCCCACAGAAAGAGAAAATCTTCCATCAGCATCAGCAGCAGCACTCCTAATCCCAGCATCGTCAACAGCAACCCCAGCGGTCACCAGAACATCAATTCTGTCAATAACATCAGTAACATCGACTCTGCTGTTTCAACTATCGATATCAACCTTCACTCTTCGCCCATTGATAGCCCCCTCGCTAAAGATCGCTTGAATTCCAAATCAAAAAAACAGAAGACCAACACCTTCACCAGTCTTGCATCCATCAACAACACACCTCCCAGCAATGCCAACAACAACAACAGCGACCAAAACACCAGGAAATCAGAACTAGAAGACTTGTTCAAATGGCACAAGTCCCAGAAAAACGACAAGCAGATCCAGCAGATTATCGAACGACTAAACCAATTGGAGGAAAACAACTTCATCTCAGATCAAATCCTCTCCTACTTTTTGACTGAAATCAAAGAAGACATCCTACTTTCTTTGTTCAAAAACAAGCTAAAGCTCAGCAACAAAAACCTCGCCGCCATAGCCAGAAAAATCTACCAAAACCAAAGCTCGTAGCTCATATATATCGCTATATATTTCTCTTTCATTTCTCTCATTTCTCTCATTTCTCTCATTTCTCTCATTTCTCTCATTTCTCTCATTTCTCTTTCATTTCTCTTACATATCTCTCATCTCTCATCTCTCATCTCACCCACCTCCACGCCCTCCATTCGGCTCCGCCCGCTCCTATAAATACTCCGCTCCCGCCCTTACGGCCCTCTTTCGCTACTATCGCCCTTCCAAACAGCTGCTTTTTTTTCTTATCCACCTCAGATAACTCACAGCTCCAACTTCAACTCCAACTCCAACTCCAACTCCATCTTACAACTCTCATTTTAACAAATAAAATGGGCTTACTACAATCTGCAGATAAGGAAAAGATAAAAAGAAACATCCCCAGACAGAAAAACAAAATCATAGACTTCACTGTTGCTAGACTCTACATCTCGCTTCCTAACCAAAATGACTGGATATACACTGGCCTAAGTGGTGCAATAGTTCTAATTGACGACTTGCTAGGCCATACTTTCTTCCTCAAATTGATCGACATATCAAATGGCTCCAACAAAGGTGTTCTCTTCGACCACGAACTATACGTCAACTTTGCCTACAACAAAGATCGAACCTTTTTCCACACCTTTGAAATCGACAATTGCTATGTTGGGCTTTTGTTTGAGGATATCAATGAAGCAAACAAATTCCACAAAAGAGTCGTCAACAGAGAAAAATACGCTTCAAAAGAGACTCTCAAAAATAAAAATGCTATCCCTTTGCAAAATAACCTCTCAAGTAGTTCCAACACAAACTCCTTTCTCAATCACTCAATTCCTGGTCCAAGAGGCAACAACAATCCTGACTTTGAGAACAGATTCAGAAGCAACTTCTCTGACTCAATTACAAACAACACAAACAATCCCAATGTCTCACAACCCCATCCAAAATATAAAAAAGAACCTCCTCCCCCTCCTCCTCCACCATCTATTCCAACCCAAAATTCAAACTCTACATACCAATCCTCTTCTCAACCATCTTTTCTAAACAACTCTTCGACATCATCTTTTGCTTCTTTGCAAAACTCTTCAGATGAGGTTCTTCCCACAATAGCTGCTCAGAAATCGTCAATTACACCTGCACATCCAAATCCACCCACAACTACCACATCAAATCTTAATCAAACTTCCCAACCTTCAGATACTCAGCCTTCAAGACCAAAGTTTAGAGTCCCTCCATTACCAACAGGTCCAATTCAATCAAAAATCTTGCATCCTAACCAACAACCTCACGTTCAGTCATTGCAACTTCCACCACAGCAACGACAGCAACAGCAACCTCCATCTCAACCACCAGTTCTACCTCCCTTTTCAGCTGCTGCCTCTCCTCCACCTTTACCTCCAAAAACCCCTACTAGAAATTTAACACCAACCAACAATCCTTACACGCCCATCACTTCCTCAATTCCTGCTCCCCGTCCTCCTCCTTCAAGATCAAATCTTCCAACTAATAACATTCCTCCTCCTCCACCATCAAGACCTCAATTGCCTCCAAGACTCCCAATACAACAAGGCATGCCAGTTCAAGCCTCTCAGTTTGGTTATAATAATAATAACATCAATAATAACATCAATAATAACAATAATCTGAACAACAATTCTAGAAATGGTCCTCCTCCACCTCCACCTCCAAGAAGAGGTGTTGCTCCTCCTCCTCCAGCTTCAAGACATTCACCCAATAATCCTAGCGCTAATCTTAATTCTGATTTTAATCAAATGGTCAATCAAACCTTTCAAAACAATACGACTTCTCAATATCAACCTCAACAAGTTCCTCAACAAACACAAAATATTCCTACCAATCCATTGCCATTAAATTCATTTTTACCTCCACCAAGACGTATCATATCCAACTCTACTCCTATTAACAACCCAGATCAGAATGATAACTGTCAATCCTATCAAAACCCTTCTCAAACACCATCTAATTTATCCAATAACATTAATCTGAGACCCGCAGCTCCACTACCACCAAATCTTTCTACTTCTTCTATTCCTCCACCTGCTCCAGCACCACCTCCAAATATTTCAAATTTTTCTGCTCCAGCACCTCCAGCACCACCACTCATGCAAAGCAATAACCCAGCATCCTCAATGAATACATCTCTGATTCCAGTCGTGGAACCTGAAAGAGATGCCTTATTAGCTTCCATTCGAAATGCCGGCGGTTTGAAAAGCTTAAAAAAAATCGAAAAATCAAATCTAGAAAAGCCCTCTGTTTTACTAACAGAGACTAAAGGTGGAAATAAATCTTTAAATTCTAATGCTAATCCTAATCCTAATTCTAATTCTGATCCTCAGGCTTCTTTAGCCGATGCATTATCAGTAGCATTGAACAAGCGTAAACAAAGAGTTTCTAAATATAATGATGACGATGACTGGTAAATAATACAATTCTGCTATACTATTTGGGATTTCTGATAATATCCTTTGCCAAAAATGAAAATATATTAAATTTCGTAAGCTTTTGATTTTTCTGATTTTTCTCTTTTATTTTTTGTATTTTTTTTTTTTGCATAGAGAGCATTATACACATGCTCTTATAAACCATCAGACTTTTACTTGGGTATTTTTTGACTTTTTGTTGTTGTTTTATTTTTTTTTTCATGTTAAGCGCAAAATGTATAGAATATTTAATTGTTTATATGTTTATTTATATATTTATTTACAAATTTTACTAAAAACATTTAAAAAAGCTAAAATATTCCAAACCATTTTTTTCTTTTATCATTATCGGATTTTGTTATCTCGGACTCATTTCCATTAAGAGGTAAGCTGTTATTTTGTTTTGATTCACTGACAATTTGTTCTGCAATATCAAGAGCCTTTAAGTATTTCTCTTCTCTTTCTTGCAACTCTTTTTGGGCAATGATCAACTGATCCTTTGAAGGTCTTTGTAAATGGTACTCAGTCTCATTATCAATATCTTCAACGGGCTTGGAATCGATTTTTTGCAAATTAAATGGCTTCTTTTTAGGAATCAAATCTTCATATTGCTGTTTAGTTAAAGATCCTCTTAGATATAACTGACAACGTAATCTAAACCTATAAAAATCAGAAAAAACATTATCGTATCCATCGTTCCATCTTTGGAAAAATACAGCATATATAACCACTCCATATGTCAAAAAATTTGAAGCAATATTTATGCCCTTGTTGAATTTTTCATTTCGATTAATTTTTCTTAAAATTTTAAACTGTCCAGGGTAGAGCTGTGATTTTGGCCTTGGAGTGTAGTTCAATCTTTTCATTATGTGACGAACAGTCTGGTACTGATCAGGAGTGTTGATGGGGCCCAAGTGAGACTGGCGACCAGGAACAGCAAACTCACTTGGATAACCTCCAACAGGTCGTTGATCAGTTGGATCATAGGGATTATAAAATGCCCTTGAAGGTTCTTGGGGTTGGGCTCTAGAAACGAAACGTTAGTCATGAACAAAGCTGGAAAACTCGGTAGAAAAGCACAACGTACTTTTTGTTATTCATGCTGGACCAAACAACGCTTTTAAAGGCTATCTATTGGAGTGTGTGGTATATATATATGCTGGTCTGCAGTGAACGATATGCTCATTTATTGGTTTGTTTTCTGTTGATCCCAATCAAGAAAAACAGATATAATCGAAAAAGTGGAAATTGCGGTCGAATCTCATCACTGAAGCAGGCCATTTCCAGGCAATGGAACTCGAATACAAGACTACTTAGGGCAAGACTACTTAGGACAATGCAATAAACACAGAAAGAACTACATATACCATCGCAGAAGCATCTGCACAGCCTATTTTTTGAGAATTGTAACTACATCTTCATCTTTCAAAATATGGCTTAATCCAACATATTGAGGTTGGTGTTTGACACTGGAGCCATACACAGCTGCTGTTTTGAAATCAGCAACCAAACTCTTGTGGATCTGGTTGCAAAAGTCTTCAATTGAACATCTGTCTGATCTCAAGACGACTGGCTCGTCAAAGTCTGGTAGTTTGCCCTTTGGTTTAGTGTAAACTCTCACCAAGTTCAATCTATCCCACATCATCTCCAACAAGTCGTCGAGATTCCAGCCTTCTTTGGAGGATATAGGAACACAATTCTCGATCTTGTATAACAACTCCAATTCTTCGATTGATATTGAGTCAATTTTGTTCAAGACATAAACCGCTGGAATATATCTTCTGGTTTTAATTTCAATTGCATCAATGAGATCATCTACTGTAGCATCGCACCTGAAAGCAATGTCTGCTGAATTTAATCGATACTCAGACATGACAGCTCTTATTTCGTCTTTGTCTAGTCTGGTCAAGGGAACAGTATTGGTGATGTTGACTCCTCCTCTCTCTTTCTTTTTGATTATAATATCTGGTGGAACTTTATTAAGTCTTATACCAACACCCTCCAACTCTTTCTCTATTATCTCTTTGTGGATCAAAGGCTTGTTAACATCCAAGACAATAAAAATCAAATTACAAGTTCTAGAAACAGCTATAACTTGTTTTCCTCTACCTCGTCCACTATTGGCACCTTCAATGATACCAGGCAAATCTAACATCTGAATCTTAGCACCTTTGTATTTAATAACTCCAGGAACAGTGGTTAATGTTGTGAATTCGTATTCAGCTGCCTCTGAATGGGTTCCAGTCAATTTGTTCAATAATGTAGATTTTCCAACAGATGGAAAGCCCACATATCCCACAGAAGCAACTCCTGTTTTTGCAACGTCAAATCCAATACCTGGACCAGAACCACCTCCAGAAGCACTTGAAATCAACTCTTTTCTCAATTTTGCTAGTTTGGCTTTAAGCTGACCAAGATGAAAATTGGTCGCCTTATTCTTTTGTGTTTTGGCCATTTCGGCCTCGATGGCCTTGATCTTTTCAACAGTAGACATCGTTTCAAATAGACAGGATAGATAACAGGGACTTCTTTACCATGAAATAGTGGATTGTGGATTATGCCAAAGCTAGAAGAACAAGTTGAAAACAATACTCTTGATGGTTGGGAAAAGGGTAAACTTTAAAAATTAGAAAAAAAAAATTGAATTTTGCTTTAACCGGCGCTGAGTATTTTTTTTTCTGTTCAACGTCAAATAACAATGAAGATATCACTTAAATCAAACAAGAATTCAGGAACTTCTCAAAAACCAATCAAGCTTGTCTTTGCAAATAAACGCATTGGAAAAACAAAAGTTAACAGGCTTCAGAAGCAAAAGCCTTTACCCAAAGCTTTTGCACAAAAACTCAATCACAATTTTGAATTGCTGCCTACAGAAGAAGATGGTGATAATGTGGAAATCATTGAAGAATACGACAAGTCCAAATTAAAAAAAAAGAAACCTCTTAAAAAATTAAAGGTGATCAACTGTGATAGAAATGAAAAATGGAAGGAGAAATTGTTGAGTGAAATTCCAGGGTTTAACATTGAAGAAAAAGAAGAAAAAGAAAAAAAAGAAGAAATGGATAGTAAAATGGATATCGAAGAGGATAGATCTGATTCTACGAATCATACTAGCCACGCTGTTTCATCATTGAGTAACTCATTGTATTTCAAGGACATTAACAGTAGACCAGATGCTCCTTCATTTGATGTTTATCAACAGGTTCCTGTGGAAGATTTCGGTAAAGCATTATTGAGGGGCTTGGGATGGAAGGGAGATAAGGAAAACAGTAATTCTGAAGATAAAGAAAATTCTTCCAGTATGTTTCTAAAGAATATTGAAACTGCCTCTAGAAGAAGTATTTTTCTTGGTTTGGGAGCCAAACCATCAAGTTCCAATAAGGGAAAAGAAAAGGAAAAAGAATAAGACTAAGACTAAGACTAAGACTAAGACTAAGACTAAGACTAAGACTAAGAATAAGAATGTGAATGAAAATGAAAATGAAAATGAAAATGAAAATGAAAATGAGAATAAAATAAAGATAATTATGGAGCCAAACTATGGAGGTAAAGAATATTTTTTAAAAATTCATTCAAAACTTTAACAGGTTGAACTGATTGTTTATGAAAGCTTTATAATTTGATTGCTCTTTTATTTTAGTAAAAGTTTTAAAAAACCACTAGAAGGTTGTATATGATTTGGTTATTTTTTTATGGGAAATGTGAGTTTACGACAATACCTAAAGATTAGTAAAATTGGTTTTACTTGAAATGAAATATCTATTTGAGTATATAATTTAGCTTTTAAGATTAAGCTTTTCGGATTTCAAGCGATATATAGTTCATAAATTGTCGAAAGAATCCAGCTTTATATCTTTCCATGCAGGCAATTTAGATTTAATATTATCAGGATATAGCTGTGGATAAAAGATTTTGATGTTTTCCATGATTTCGTTATACATCAATCTGTAGCCTTCGCCACTGTAATGAATTCCATCAGTTAGCAAGTCTTGCCATGGACCTTTGTAGGTGGAAAAGATGTCGTATAAATGAATATAAGGAATGTTTATTTTGAAGCAGAGTTTAGCTAGCTCATCGCAGTAAAATTTGTTGTTTTCGTTTGTTCTGAAATTGCCCAGTTTAACGTCATCTGAGTGAGCAGGATTCCATGTTTCAGCATCATGAACTGCAGGTCCAAGAACGATCAAGCTGATATTCTTCGAGATGATCTGATTGATCATCAGCTCCATGTTGCAAAGAAACTCATCAAGAGGAACCTTCTGGGGCCCATTTACTGCAGCGTCGTTGGAACCAAAATAAAGGACAATCAAGGAGACCTTGGAGCTTTTGTTGGAAGCATGTTCGATGTCCAAGATTTTGGGCAATAGTTGTTTGGCATGGCGAGTGTTGTACCCAGCGAAACCTCTCTGGACGACATCTAGCTTTCTTTTGTAGGTCTCTTGCAAAGCTGGGCCCAATGCAAACGAGTAGCTTGGGGTTTTGGAGGAGATGGGATTGATGTTGTAGCAAAATTCAGTGATTGAATCACCAAAGAGCAACAACTTGTCGAAGGAGAGGTTGTAGTCAATACCAGCCATTGTATTTCGAATAAGAGCCCTGTGGGTGGTGGAATAGTGGGCAGTCTTCGCAAAGGCAGGCTCGTCGTCTTTATATATGTGCAGATCAAAGGAGAAGTGAAAATATTTTCTGGGAAGGTTTTTCTGGGCCAGATGAGACAAAACAAGTTACCACCCAAATCAAAAGAATTCATTGCACTGTGGAACACTCCAGAAGCAATGGAATAAGGGCAAACAGACTACAGCTCCCCAAAGTAAACACTTCGAGAGGCACTACGCCAGCTATCGCCTGTGGAAGAGTCTTCTGCTGGTTTTCAGTCTCCAGGTTCTCGAGCTGCTAATCCCACTGGTACTCTTTAAAAGCTGCTCAAAGACACTGCTTTTTTGGCTGGAAACTGCAAATTTGCACTCGAATTCTCGTCTACACTCATTCACATCTTTCTTCAGTCGTTGTTGGGAATGTTTCTCAACAAACAATACAAAGCACTCGTTTATTCTCTTCTTACAAAGTCCAAAACCAACTCACCCTGCTGCTCATTGTTTTGCACAATGTTTCGGTCAAAATAAGATAACGACGAGAGATTGTATTTGTTGTTTATGTTGATTGTGTTATCTTCCTTGAGTCGAGAGGTCTGTCTATTTATCCTTCTGAGAATTTCGATCACCTTGCTATTAAGCTCAACTCTAAAAATTCTGTTGCCAGATGAGGGATCCACAATAAATTTTGAATACATTCTCATTACAATATTCGGGATAATAAGATCGCTTTGCAGAAATCTATAATTTTCTTCTCTTTCCATATCAAATGTTTTCAAAACTATGGATCGATGGAAAACTTGATCAAAAAACTCATAATCATCAAACTCAATGCAAAGTTTTGACTCAAAATTATTATAATCTTTCAATGAAATGGCTGAAGCTTTTATTTCATGAAACTGATTATTCGAATCAACCGTATAGAGCTTAAAAGGCATTATTTTAAATCTAGCAAATAAATGTTTTTTCTGACGACCATTTGGTGGTACGTAACATTGAACATTTTGCAAGTTAAACTGTTTAATGTCTTTTAGTGATATTGATTCATGAACCTGATAATTCCTAAATCTATAAAAAAGATCTTCAAATGAAAAATTAACACTAGTTATTATTGGAATTTCAAAAACATCTCCACTATGGTATTTAATGATACATTTTCCAGATGTATTATGATTTTAATATTTCCAGGCATATTACTCTTGATATATTCCTTTAAATTATAAATTTGGGGTTTAAAAAAACCAGCATCTTCATAGATGTCTTCCCAAGTCTTTGATGCTTTAGGATAGGGTGTTTTAGTTCTTCTGTGAAATTCAGATTCAGGCTTAGGCTCAGGCTTTCTAGAACTTTGTGAATATTCTTAATCAAATCTTTCAAACTGTTCCCTGAATTCATCTGAATTCAAAATGTAAAATTCATACGCTTCTCGATATCTTGCAAATTTCAAATGTTCTTTAAAAATTCCTTTATCTGGAAGTAGAATTCGAACAACTCTCCTATTTGCTTCTTTAATTAATCTTAAATCAGTTATTATCGAGGGCAATCTTAAAATCCGAAATAACTTTTCTCTAGAATATGGTGAATTAGGTGACATTACTTGCATCTTGTTATTGTTATTATCGTTATTATCGTTATTATTATTGTTAAACACTAACCAACTCAATGTAAACTCGATTTTTTTCCTTCAAAACCAATCTATTTTTTGGTATACTAAATCATAAAACCTGTATTTATATAGATACGAACTTTTGAACAACTTTGTTGCAAATCACATTATATCTTTTTATTGATATGTTTCTTATAAATTTTAGACTTCAATAATAGTTGGCCGTATCAAATATTCAAAACAGTACCAAAAGTATCCAAATCCAAATCAACAACTCTGTCTCGCTTAGAATCAAATAAAATCAAATAAAATAATGTCATGCAAATTAGTGGGTTTTACTTTTATGCCACCATGTATTCTCTTAGTTTCATTTATTTTTCCAGCCCTATTTATCAGTCAGATATTATAGGTTCTTCATTGAGTAACTTATCAAAACTGCCTTTGAATCTTATTTTGCATTTGGGACAGAGATTTGGCCAAATCTCGATTTTTTTCACTCAAAAAATTTGTAGCCAAACACATATACAACACATATATCTAGCAGCATTCCATATCGCCAGCTTGTTTGGAAATATAGACAGCAAAAACATTTAAAATCACTGAAACTGCTGAAGATGACCTTTCTTAACTACAGCGATTTCATGGTCCCCATGATATCCAACCTAGAGTATTCTATCCATGAGTTGTCTTATCAGATCAGATTGAAACCAAACTGGACACTCAAATACAAAAACCCAGAGATAAGAAAGAAATGGGAAAGCGAAATAGAATCCCAGATAAAAAGAGGATATAACTTCCCCTACAACTCTCGCGAGATAATTGAGTACATTTTTGATCAGTTGAAGTACTTTGAGTATCTTCAAAATCTAACCACTGATAAATACACTGTTGGCGCTATCGATTACATTTTTTTCAATGACAATGTTGTTGATCCTTTGTTAAAGAAGAAGTTTTCTGATAATGTTCGTGAGTTTGAATCAAATGAACCAAGAGATTACCATCCAGGCTCCAATGATCAAATATTGGATTTAGTTCATCCTTCTTTGTATACACTTCGATATGGTTTCACTCCTGTTTTTGATGGTGAAAATTTCAAAATTGTCCAACTAAGTGATTCTTATCAAGATGAAACTGCTGATCCGTATGACGAAAGTCATGAAGTTTCTGAAAAGTTTCAATGGCTTCCAACTATTTTTCAATACAATTCTTCTTCTGACAAATACAAAGCCCAATCATATATCAACAATTTGCATCCAATCAAATACAAAAAATTATATCGAAATATTGAAGATATTTTCAATTGTTGTTTAAATGGCTTGAGTTTGGTTTTAACCAAGTCATCTAAAAGCGACGATTACAATCTTTTAACTAAATATATCGAGGTTCCATATGCGTCAGTAGAAATATATGACAAAAATTTTCAAAAATTGGTCAGTGATTTGGAAAAAACAAGTGAAGCTTTAAATTATCATGCCCAAAATAAACTCGATAACGAAATTGAAAAATTATACTATAACGGTACCAGTTTAAAACATTTAAAACCCTTTTCAAATCTTTCTTTGAAATTTTCTGCTACCAAAGATGATTATAAAATTGATCTAATTAATTTGAAAGAAAAGTATCCTGAATTGAAAGTTATTGTTAAACTAGCTAATATTGAGCTAACCCCCGAAAAGCCCAACTACAAAGGTGGATCCTGGCATGTTGAAGGTTGCGATAATGAAAAAATTGTCTGCACAATTTTGTATTACTACGAAATGACCAATATTGTTGAAAGTAAAATTCGTTTTAGAGCTGCTGTAGATACCGAGGAATTTATGGAATATGAACAAAATGCTGACGGCCCAGTATTAGATTTATATGGTTTGTCCAGAGATCGTCGATCGGTTAGAGAGCAAGGAAATATTGATTGTAAAGAAGACAGGATATTGATTTTCCCAAATTTTCTTCAGCACCATGTTGACAAGTTTGAGTTGAAAGATAAGTCTAAAAATGGAACAAGAAAAATTCTATGTTTTTTTATTGTTGACCCATCTGATGCTGGATATCATGTTTTTTCAACCAGTGACGTCCCCATTCAACAGAAAGAATGGTGGGACGATAAGTTATTCAATGCTGAATTGAAGGAAGATTACTTAAGCGATGAAACTAAAGAAGATATCCAATCATTAATCAAACAAACTGAAAAGCCATTTGAATGGCCAATAACTTTAGATGAATCAAAAAAACTAAGAGAAGAATTGATAAAGGAACGTTCAATAAAAAAAGACAATGCAGATTTGCCTTTTAACAGAGAGTTTTCATTGTGTGAGCACTGATTATATAACAATCTCTTTTATCTTTTCTATCTTTTCTATCTTTTCTATCTTTTCTATCTTTTCTTATGTTTTTTTTTCTTTATCCTTTACTCTTTTGCAAATATTAGTTTATACCTAAATATAGTAATATAGTAATAATTTTATAACATATTCAAGATCAATATCAAAAACAGGAAAAGGTTATTATCAAATTATCTACTGCTTTTGACGACACCCGTAGTAAAATTCGAAGACGAAATGTTTTCAAAATACGCCCACTTTAAAAACAGAGTTTTTGTAATTTCAGAATTAAGGTTCTGTTTGAGCCTTTTTTTCAAGATTAGGTTTTCTATCATAAGCCGAAATCAAATTCAAAACCCGGAATTGGTCACATGCTTTTTTTTTTTTTTCTAAAGTTAAAAATTTTTTTGATGCTTCAACTTTGGGGGAAAAAAATTCAATTCACTAAATAACAATATGGATAATAGCATTCATGAAAGACCACTCAAAAAACCAAGGGGAAATCTGTCTGAAATTTCTCTCTCTGCAAATGGAAACAAAAATTCTTTTACAGCTACAAATTCTTTTGATAACTTAATTCCAAATCAGACAAGTGCAAAACAGGCAAAAGCATTAGAAGATGGTCCTACAAATCCTCTAACTGGAAATGAGTTTTCACCTTCATACTATGAAATTTTGAAAACTCGTAGAGACTTGCCTGTTCATTTTGAGAGAGATGCATTTTTAAAAATTTTCCACGAGAATCAAATTGTTGTATTTGTCGGTGAAACTGGTTCAGGTAAAACCACTCAGATCCCCCAGTTTGTATTGTTCGATGATCTTCCTCATCTAAAGGATTTGCAAATTGCCTGTACACAACCAAGAAGAGTTGCAGCTATGTCTGTTGCCAAAAGAGTGGCTGATGAAATGGACGTTAAGTTGGGTGAAGAAGTTGGTTATTCTATTCGTTTTGAAAATAAAACCTCTGATAAAACAATATTAAAATATATGACTGATGGTATGTTATTGAGAGAGGCAATGGATGACCATGACTTGTCAAGATATTCCTGCATAATATTAGATGAAGCCCATGAAAGAACATTAGCAACCGATATTCTTATGGGTTTGATTAAGCAAGTCGCCAAAAGAAGACCCAATTTGAAGATTATTGTAATGTCTGCTACTTTGGATGCTCAGAAGTTTCAATCTTATTTTAGCGATGCTCCTATTTTAGCTGTTCCAGGAAGAACCCATCCAGTTGAAATTTACTACACTCCAGAATTCCAAAGGGATTATCTTGATTCTGCAATTAGAACAGTAATTCAAATTCATGCTACAGAGGGAGCTGGTGATATTCTTTTATTTTTAACTGGTGAAGAAGAAATCGAAGACGCGTGCAGAAAAATCTCTATTGAAAGCGAAGAATTAGTTAGAGAGCATAACTGTGGTCCATTGAAGGTTTATCCGTTATATGGTTCTTTACCCCCTGCTCAACAACAAAAAATTTTTGAACCTGCTCCTCCCTCTTTCACGCCCAATGGAAGACCAGGTAGAAAAGTCATTGTTGCTACTAATATTGCCGAAACATCTTTAACAATTGATGGTATTGTTTATGTTGTGGATCCAGGGTTTTCCAAACAAAAAGTTTATAATCCTAGAATTAGAGTGGAATCTCTTTTAGTTTCCCCAATTTCAAAGGCCTCGGCTCAACAGAGAGCTGGTAGAGCCGGCCGTACAAGACCTGGTAAATGCTTTCGTTTATATACTGAAAATGCATTCAAGAAAGAGTTACAAGAACAAACATACCCTGAAATTCTAAGATGCAATTTAGCTTCAACTGTCATTGAACTCAAAAAAACTGGAGTAAATGATTTGGTTCATTTTGATTTTATGGATCCTCCAGCTCCCGAAACAATGATGAGGGCCCTTGAAGAATTGAATTATTTGGGTTGTTTAGATAATGAGGGTGAATTGACTTCATTAGGTAGATTGATTTCAATTTTTCCTCTAGATCCAATGCTTGCTGTTATGCTAATTAAATCTTCCGAGTTTTATTGTTCTGATGAAATTTTAACAATTGTTTCTTTGTTGTCTGTTCCAAATGTATTTGTCAGACCTCCAAATGCGAAAAAAGAGGCAGACGAAATGAAAAATTATTTTGCTCATTCTGACGGTGACCACATAACATTATTGAACGTGTTTAAAGGATTTAACTCTGATGAAGCAAGAGAAATGGGTGCACATCGTTGGTGTCGAAAATACTTTCTTTCTTATAAAGCTTTGCAAAGTGCCGATAAAATTCGTTACCAATTGCAAAGGCTTATGGAGAAAAATGATTTAGAAATAAATTCAACTCCAGAAGATAGCAGGTTTTATTATGATAATATACAAAAGGCTTTAACATCCGGTTTTTTCATGCAAGTTGCAAAGAAAAAAAGTGGTGGAAAGGCATATATGACTATAAAAGATAACCAAGAAGTTTTATTACACCCAAGTACTGTCTTGTCATTTGACAGTGAATGGGTGATTTACAATGAGTTTGTTTTAACCACTCAAAACTATATTAGAACAGTGACAGCTATAAAACCGGAGTGGTTGGTAGAACTAGCTCCTTTATATTACAATTTAGATCATTTTCAAAGTGGTGATGTCAAGCTAAGTTTAGAAAGAGTAATAGAACGAGTTGAAAAAAGTAGAGAAATAAAACAATTAAAATTGAAAGAAAATTCAAAAAAAAACGGCGATAAATCAAAATCGAAATCAAAATCAAAATCGAAATCAAAATCATCCAAAATCAAGTTTGATAATTAGTGATTTATTTTAATTTTTTTTTATTTTTTTGTTAGTTTTGTTCAGTTTTTTGCATTATTTTTTAATAATAATAATAATAATAATAATAATAAGATCTGTTATTTTATAATAAAACAGGTATAAAATTCTACTTTGCTTTTTTGTTTGATTTGGTTTGGCTGGTTTTTTTGTGCAAAAAAAAAATAAAATAATTAGCTAGATATCTCTTAATTTTAAACTGTATAACTAGATATGCTTCTCAATAGAATATTTTTACTCGATATAATAAAAATTCAGAGTTCAAACTAGGGAGCTTCTTTGAGATTTATCACTAGTTTTTTCTACTATGATTTGAATTTACTCAATCTAAAAAGTTGAAAGCTTCGAGTTTATTCTAAAAGTAAAAAGTTTGGATAAAAATGTAGACAGAATTAAAATAAAACATAGAATTAAAATTGATATAAACTTGAATAAAATCATCTAAAATCAGTTTTTCCAATACCACGTTTACCAGAAAATAAATGTTTTGGAATACTGGCAGTTTGGAATCTGTCAGCATCACCCTTTTGTCCATCTTTTAATCTTCTTTTTCTTTGTAACTTGGCTAATCTTTCATTCTTGCTTCTAGCAACAACATCAGTAACACCCTCATTTGCTCTATCTTGTTGATACAATGGAGTTTTAATTTTCTTTTCACTAATAGCTTCACTCATTATAACTTCGGCACCATTGGCATTGTAGTTATTTTGCATAAATGAATTCTTTTTGTTGACTAAATGAGTGGTATCATGACCCAAAGATTCCATATGATTAACCATCTTGGAGAAAGATTTTGATTGTTTTGATCTTGGCATATAGCCTTTGTTTTTGATACCTTTTTTATTTCTTGCTTCGTTTATCATGATTTTTTGCTTATTTCTAATCCAGTTTGCTTTTTCTCTTACTTCTTCTATTTCATCATCTTCAATTTCTGAATCTGAATCATAAAACCCTTCTTTTTCCAAGGATTCTTCTTCTTCTTCTAATGCTTTCAATTTATTGACGATATCAACATCAAGAAAATCGTAAACGTTTCTACCGTTAAGGATCTCGGGCATGATGTCGTTTTTCCATTCTTCATCTTCAAGAAGATATCTATCTTTCAAATTAATGTTATAAACACCTGCACCACCATTTTCTTCTTCAATATCACGAGCCAATTTTCTTCTTTCAGGATCATCTTTATTATATTTTTTAAAGGATTTAACAGCTTCAGGAATAAAGGCTTCTCTTTTGATGTCGTCTCTTTGAGCTGGGTTGGCAACATGAATTTTGCTCAAGACGTTGTTAACTCTGGAAGTACCTTTTAATTTCTGTTCAATTCTAGCGGCTAATAATTTTTCGCAAGCTTTATTTCTAGCATTCATTACGTTGTCTTGGTCGATACAGGATATTTGAACAACATCGACACCTGGAATTTCTACTACTGATTTCAATAGGTTTTGATTATCTTCGGATAAATGTTCTGGTTTAATAATATCAGTTTTATTTATTACTACCATGACGGATTTATTGGCAAATAAGGGCTTAATTGAGTGAAATAATTTGACTTGATCTTGGATGGAAAAGCCACATTGTTCGGATAAATCCATGAAATAAAGAATGCAAGATCTTAAATGGGCAATAGCGTAAATACTTTGCATTTCAATATTATTCATTTCTTCGGTTGGTCTATCTAGAATACCGGGGGTATCAATGGCTTGGAATCTTAAATATTTGTAGTCAAAATGACCAACATAAAGGGATTTAGTTGTAAAAGCGTAGGGTTGTACATCGACATCAGCTTTAGTGATGCATCTTAAAAAAGAAGATTTACCGACGTTTGGATAGCCACAAATTAAGAGGGTTCTGGTGTTTGGATCAATTGATGGCAAACGACCTAAATGCTGTCTAACTTGTTCGAGATAGACTAGAGGATCTTTTAATTTTTTTAGGATTGTTGCCATTCTACCTAAAGCAGCTCTTTTTAGTTGTTTGCATTGAAATAAGGATTGACCGAATTTGAGTAATCTGATATAATCTCTGGATACTTGTTCGATTAGAGTTTTTGCTTTGGATACAGAAGCTAACGAGATTTTGAATTGATTTTTTTCATATAAGGTATCCATCAAATCTCTGTGAAATGGGTGGATTTCATTAATGTTGGGGAATCCAGATAGAATATCAGTGAATTTTTCAGAAAAGCCTTCAGCAGTGAATTTAACTTTTCTCATGTAAAAAGCTCTTATTCTTGTTATTTTGAAACCAGGACGAACAACAGTTGGAGTCTTTCTTTGGGTTCTATTAAGAATGATATCCAAAAGATCTGTTGATGTGGGTACGGTGGGTATATCTTTAAAGGTAAGCTGCATTTTGAGTACGTAGTTAATATCAAATCAATAATATTGATTGCTTTACAAAGATAAACAATTAATATATGAAGGAAAAAAAATTGAAGCAGGTGTGAAAAGAAAAAAAAAAAATTTTCAAAAATAATTTTTTGTTTGATGGAAGACGCATAAGGAGCATGAATATGCATGATAAAATATTCCACCGTGACGGATCTTTAAGATTAGGCAAATTTAAAGAGAAGCAAATGAATTTTTGAAATGAATTATTTTGAGCTAATTGGTTCGTGAAAGATTTCATCTAGCAACTCGCTCCGATACGTTTGAAAAATCAAGGGAAAATCGGCAAAACAGGCCTTGATTGCATTTGTCACAGACTCTTTTTTTGATTTTTGAAGAGCTAGTGGTTTTGAAGGATAATTTTGAGCCTGGCCATAACCGATAGATTGATGATAAAAGCCATCACTTAGTGTAATCTTGACAGTGATGGATGTCTTTACATTGTAGGCGTATTTTTTGTCGACACCTGAGTCTGGGTCAGCGTTATCGTTGTTGATGGCAGTGTTGTGAAGAGTTCTTTCGGTGTTAGCAGCACGACATTCTTGATTTAAATCGATGTCGAAATCCAAATCAGACTCGTTTTTTATGATGTTATTGTTGAGATTATTGTAATAATTTTCGATAAAGTTTTTGTCGTTGTCTTCGAATTGAGCCAAAACAGTGTCTAGCGTAATCAAGCTGAAGGAACCAGGCACTATTTCTGTTGACCATCCGTCAAAGCCAAAAGTGCGATTCGCTAAGTTGATCAATCTGTGGTAGGGAATATTTGTGATGGAAGAGGCAAAATACGATTTTCTGGCCCGGATTGCCTTCAAACCAGCGGTAAACTGGTCCATTCCACTGAAGGACCATGGAGTCAACAAATGGCAATTGAACCTGGAATCGTCAGTATCAGCAGCAGCATCGTCTGGGTCGTCTGGGTCGTTTGGGTCGTGAAAGAAGAAGTCGTCAGAAAGATCAGGGAAAAGGACAGTTATCGGGTCGTGTGTGAGCTGGTACTCCTTCTGCGTGTGCTGCTGAGAAAGCGTTGTGATTCTGGAGCTGGAGACAGCCATACTGTTTCTTGTTCTGCTGCTGCTTCTGCTGCTTCTGCTTTGCTTCTAAAGCCGGCATGTCACGTGTGCATCGCACTCCGACAGAGGTAGACGGCTGTCAAATATCCGAAACCGGGCCGTTGGAGGAAAACACCCTCTGTTTTTCCCTGAGTGTGATTGGAATATATTCTTTGATCTTGACTCACTTGATGAAAATTTTCCTTCTTTCGACTTCTCGTCTTGGTTCTTTTCATTTTCTTCTATATCTTTTTACACCAAGATTCATCTGCCAATTGCCCAACATTCCACCATGTTTTCACGATCAGTGGCTTTTCGCTCCACTTGCTCGAAATCCATCAACAGCCTCAGATGCTTTTCGTCCTACTCGCCTGCTCTCGACAAGATCAAAGTCAAGACTCCCGTCGTGGAAATGGATGGTGATGAGATGACAAGAATCATTTGGCAAATCATCAAGGACAAATTGATCCACCCATACTTGGATATCGACTTGAAATACTACGATCTAGGCATCCAACACAGAGATTCGACAAACGATCAGGTCACCATCGATTCTGCCAATGCAATTAAAAAATATGGTGTTGGTATTAAATGCGCTACAATTACCCCTGACGAAGCAAGAGTTAAAGAATTCAACTTGAAAAAAATGTGGATCTCCCCCAATGGAACCATCAGAAATATCCTAGGTGGTACTGTCTTCAGAGAACCAATTGTAATCCCCAGAATCCCTAGATTAATCCCAGGCTGGGAAAAACCAATCATCATCGGTAGACATGCCCATGGTGATCAATACAAATCAACTGGTTTAGTTATTCCCGAGCCTGGTTCTTTAGAATTGGTCTACACAAAAGCCTCAAATGGTGAAAAACAAGTCTTCAAAGTCTTTGACTACAAATCTCCAGGCGTTGGTTTGGCCATGTACAACACAGACGAATCAATCACTAATTTTGCCCACTCTTCTTTCAAGTTGGCCCTTCAAAAAAACTACAACCTATTCTTATCCACCAAAAACACAATCTTGAAACAGTATGATGGCAGATTCAAAGACATCTTTCTGGACTTGTACGAAAACCAATATAAATCTGATTTCAAAAAAAATGAAATCTACTACGAACACAGATTAATTGATGACATGGTCGCTCAAATGATCAAAAGTAAAGGTGGTTTCATAATGGCCCTTAAAAACTATGATGGTGATGTTCAATCTGATATTGTCGCCCAAGGTTTCGGCTCTTTAGGTCTCATGACTTCTGTTCTAATGACCCCAGATGGAATCTTTGAAACCGAAGCTGCTCATGGAACTGTCACTAGACATTTCAGAAAACACCAAAAGGGCGAAGAAACCTCAACCAACTCCATCGCTTCCATCTTTGCCTGGACAACTGGTTTGCTCCAAAGAGGTAAATTGGATAACACCCCCGATGTTGTCAAATTCGCTGAAACTCTTCAAAATGCAACCATCAATACTGTTCAAGAAAATGGTGTCATGACAAAGGATTTGGCCTTATGTTGCGGTAAAACTGACAGAAGTTCTTATGTCACAACTGAAGAATTCTTAGACGTTGTTGCTGATAATTTAAAAGCTTCATTATCAAAATAGTTCAATCCAATTCAATTCAATTCAATTGGTCATTATCTCTAAATATTTCTACTAAATATCATTACTAAATATCATTAATATCTATTCAAAAATTTTGTAACCATTCGGATTTTCTTTTATTTTATTCTTGCTTTTGCTTTTCCTTCAACTGTATTTGTTTATTGATTGTATACTTACTAGATCATAGTCACCTTTCCATTTTCTATCAATCAACAATCTGACCAGAAAAAAAAGAAGTAAAAAAACTAAAAGAAAATTGCTTTTGTCAATGTATAATAGCCCATTGTACTTTTTTCTCCTTTGATTATTAAATGTGAAATACACAAAAACTCAGTTCAACACTACATTGCTGTAGAAACCTAGCGCAAAATATTCCTGGTTGGTTGCACAAAATTGGGATCTAAAACTTAGCTCAATGAACATGCCTTCCACTATAAAAGGAAGTACCCATAAACAATTTTCAAAATGATTTTTATTTAAAATTACTTTCAACTGAACTACCTATCGAGCGATCACTTCCATCAGCATCTTCTTGTTCGCCCTGACTTTCATCTTCATCTTCATCTTCATCTTCATCTTCATCATTGTCTTCTTCTTCTTCCTCTCCTTTCTCTTCAGGAACACCAACAACTCCCCATATTAATCCGGTTGACCAATATAATCGTTCTAAAATTCTTACTAATGGTGTATAAATTCCAAATTGTTTGAATTCCCCATCATAAGCATGTAACATTCCAACAACACCTAATCCGGTTCTAGATTCCAATTCTGTTCTATCTTCAATTTCATTTATAGTTTTTAAGCCAGTACCAAATGACTGCTTCCTTTGCGATCCACTATTAGTTGGTTTCAAAGATTCATCCAATTCATTTTCTATACTATCTTCCAATTTCTGTAAAATCCATGAGCCAGAATCACCTCTTTCAGCAAAATTGTTTGTGGAACAAACTACAAACTCGCTGCTTTTTATTTGATTATCAGCCCACCATATGATTCTCGGTTTATTGAGAACTCCTGAGGTATATTTAGTAGTTGTTCCAAACTTGAAAACCTTTGAGCCAGGTCTAATTTTTTTAATAACTTTGCAAACTTTATTATTACAGACTAAGCTGGTATCATGTTCTGCAAAACGAATATCATCGCCTAATATGTTTTCGCATTTTAGAGCTGGTTTGCACTCTATTACAGCATAATCTAGAAGATAGTTTGACTCGATGGTTCTCTCAGCAAACGCTACTTTTCCCAAGGTTCCCATTGTTGGTGGATTTTGTTGTAAATTTTGTAAAAAAAAGCCATCTAGCCAATTGTAGGCCTTATTGTAGGTGCTGTATCCTGAAGAATGTTCCTTTTTCTTTGATCTTTCTCTAATCAAGGCATCTTTAAATGAATTTAAATTGGCAGGAGAGGGAACGTTGATCCAAGGTCTATAGGTTTTGTCATCTCGATCCGTTATGCAAACATGACCACAAGTTAAGGCATATGTACTATAGTTTTTGTTTTCATATTTATCGCCGGGAAATATTGGATAAACAAAACCACCCAAGGTTCCAGAGATTCCAGCTTGATATGGACCTAGAGATAGGGACATTGTGATATGGTTTGGATCTTTGGGATAACGGAATGGAGGATCAATAGGAGGTAAATTGTAGAATAATTTTGGAGAAGATTTGTTATGATAGTACTTGGGATTATTTTGGGGGATAGAGCTGAAATTAGGAGGAGCAGTTTCATTAATCGCAGAAGCAGAAGCAATGTAATTTTTTTGTATTGAAAAATGAATATCAGGGAAAGTATGACATAGACCTTTTACATCTATATAGTGTTTTTTGTCAGGTTTTTTTAAACCATATATTATAGTTGGAATAGTAAGATAAGTATCCTTAGTTCGAAAGCCTCTTGAAACTGGAGCCAAAAAAGAACCATCTTGATCAAAGACATTTTGGATTCCTAGATTCGGAATTTCTTCCATAATTTCACTAATATGAGTTGAACCTTCGTCAACTAGTGCGAAAATAGAGGGATGAGGAACAGTTTCATTAGCCAGTGTGGTGAGAATTTTGCAATTTTTGAGAAACTCGCAAAACCCTTCTAACAACAACATTTTATGAATATCAAAGGTTCGATTTGCTTCACCAAGTAGAAAATAATCCAACGGTAAAACGACATCGTGCAAGTATAGTATTTTGCGAAGAATATTGTATATGTATTTATTTTTGTTGGAATTCAAATAATCATTGGTTTGCTTTGTGGGTTTAAAGGCTTTCAAATCTTCGCTTATCTTGTAAGGGACTTTTGAATCATAATTTTCAGTTAATGAAGTAATTCTTTCAGACAAATTTTTAAGATCTTCTGTATCCTTATCTAGCTTTTCTAACTGAGAGGTTCGTAGCGAAGTGCCCACGACGTTGGACTGAATAGAAGTCTTTTTGGTTGAGGATTGATTTGTGGATGGAACAGTAGGTCTAGTGGAAGGGCCGGAGAATACACTTGGTTTATCGGATCTGTCAAACCCATCAGACTCATCAGACCCATCAGACCTTTCAGACCCATCAGACCTTTGAGATCTATTAGAGCTATCCATTAGAGAAGAAAAGAGTGTATAGTATAGTATAGTATAGTAGCAGTACTGCAGAAAGGATATTTGTGCCTGGTTGCGAAACAAAGCAACAGCTGGGAAAAGAAAAAAAACATTGCTTCCCTCAACTATTAAATATCACTCTGAAAACCGAAGCGAAGGTTCAGTGCCTCATGCTCTGTTTTTGGGAACGGCATTACGACCCAGAACCGCTCTGAGAGCCTCCCAAATTCACGTGATTGAACGTGAGTATAAGTGCACAATATGTGTGTAAACGCATAAGTGCAGTGCTGTACAGAGCTCACCATTGTTGCATGTATTGGCGGGTACAAAAGCCGGTTTGTATTCTAGGAAACCCAAAGAGGCAAAGGGAAAGTAGCGAAGTAGGAACAGATATCAAACAAAACAGGAAATCAGCAGATCAATGCAAGAAAAGCAAATAAAATAGCAAATGTAGAATTATGCTTGACACAGAAAGCTGAGTAAATGTTGCGGTTTTACAAAAAATAATAATATAAAACATTACAAAACAAAACCAGTAACAAAAACAAACTTTGAAAAGAAAAACAAATAATCAACAAAGAAAGATTAAAATCTATACAGCTTTTGATAAAAAATGCATCACACCAGGCTGCAGAAAACTAAAACTCGCTAAAAGTGAATTGGATTCCCTATAATAACAGCAAGATTTGTGCAAATACAAAACCAATCATTGTCATAAACACATTATTAGCGAAGTAATTGGCAGAATTGCTGCCATTAACTTGCTCAACTGTTGGAATTGGGACACCAAATGAACCACATTCTGAACTGGAAGCCACAGCAATTGTAGGAATAGAAGTTTCATTTTTCACACCTTTGTAAGAAACAAAAGTAGTAACTGTTTTTGATGATGGTGTTGATTCTGGTGGGGTAAAGTCAACTGAGATTGAATAACCAGTAATTTCTCCCTTTTTATTTGTTTCAGCAACAATGTAAGAGATTGGATAGACTGTAGCAGTAGCTAAGTGAGCACTTGTTGGTTTCTCAGAAGCTGGAACAACAGTGACATATGTCTTAATTATTGATGCTTCATAGCTTTTCCAACTGATGGTTGAACCAAATTCATTTGTCACAGGAACCGAAGTTGTGGTATAATAAGTGACTGCTTCAGAAATAGGACAGAACGTACTATAAAAAGTAACTGTGCTTTTTATTGTATCAAAATCTGTAGTAACGCTTTTGTCATTGATCTGAGGAATGAGAGTGGAAACAACAGAAATAATGGTCGAAGTGATAGATTTAGCTGTGTTTCTGCTGCCTAAAGTTTCTGGGCAGTAAGTCGTGTATAACGTCACGGTACTTTCAACTGTTGCAGTACCAGTAGCAACTCCATTAGAATCAATCTTCGGGAAACAGCTGATAATAACTGAGGTGTAACTGGATGTGATAGTTATTGCTGAAGTTGAAAATATAGATGAAGTATCTTTACTGAAACTTGAGCCAAAAAACAGAATTGTGGATGAAATTACACTTGATGAGGCAGTGAATGAAGGTGCTGATATTGAAGAAGATATAATTGAGGAAGAGATCAAGGGTGACAGAGAAACTGGAGTTGAAGGAGAAAGCGAAGATGATAATGATAACAATAAGGAGGAATTTTGAGAGGAGTCAGCAGAAGATAAGGATAAAATTATGATTGAAGATGATAATGAGGAAGAACTAATGGTGGAGCTTGAAGATCCAAGAGAAAAATTAGACAATGAAGATGAAGATATTAAATGTGATAAGGAAGAAGAAATTGAGTTAGGAAAGGTGACAAGCAAGGAAAGTGAATTAGAGGAGATATAATATAAAGAAAAAGCTGAAGAAGCTGAAGAAGAAACCAAGGAAGAAATTGAAGAAGAATCTAAGGATGGGCTTAACATTGAAGAAGATTCAGATGATGAGCTCAACGTTGAAGAAGATCCAGATGATAAAACTGAAGAAACAAAAGATAAAATGCTGGATGAAACCAAAGCTGAAGAAGAAGCGAAAGAAATTAAAGAAGCTGAAGAAGCGGGAGAAAAAGTTGAGGGTAGGCTTGATGTTGAACAAGAATCAGATGAGACCGAAAAAGTTGAAGAAGAAAATGAGAACAAAACGGAAGAAGAAACTGAAGATAAAAGTGAATGAGCAGAAGAAGAAACTTAGGATGATATCAAGGATGAGGATGACAAAGAAACTGATGAATAAACTGGTGATGAGACTAAAGAGAAGACTGGAAGAGAAGACTGGGGATGAATTTAAATCAGATGAACTACTAAAAGAAGAAGAAAAAAAATTTGAAGATACAGAAGAAGAAGAAGAAGAAGAAGAAGTGGAATTACAAAGTTGGTTTCAACAATAGATGGGTCCATCTGATTGTTCAGCACATACGATAGAGTAATCATAACTCTTTGCGTAACTCCACTCAGAACATTTTCCAGTTTTATCTTTTTGACCGGTATTTTGACACCAATTAAATTGAATTTGAAATGGTTTTATACAATAATCATTGCCGTAAGACTCAGCTTTTACAATAATTTCAGCAGACCAATGGCAAGGATCTGTAACATCATAAACTTTTGAATTATCACTGTATAAAAGTTTCGTGCCAGAATAACCATCAGGAACAGTAAGACCGATAATCTTAAGTTCAGAGATAGCATCAGTGGTACCAGTAGCTGGACAGGAAACTTGAGAATCAAATGTAAGAGTGATTTTGTATGCATCGCCAGATATATGTTTTACGTTACTATAAGAAAAGGATTTTACCGGGAAAGAATTATAGGCACCAAAGTTATAATTTAGACATTTGGAGTATAGAGAACATTCATCAGATGTTGAAGTTAGAGTGTTTGTTGCAACAGCCAATATGGGTTAAAATAAAAAAAGCAAAAGAGCTTTTGAGAATTTCATTTTAGTTGTTAATTTTCAGTTGATTTAATTTTTTTTATATTGTTATTATTATTTAGTTTTAATGTTATTTTGATGCTTTGAATAAAACAATAAGAATTAATTAATTAATTAATTAATTGATTGATTGATAAGAATAAGAATAAGAATAAGAATAGGAATAGGAAAAGCAACAAAGTGAAAAAACTAGAGTAATGCCAAGAATATTTATAATCTTTCACAACTAATAAGCTATTGAAATAATTGTAAAAAAAATACAAAAAAGCCAAACTAAGTTAAATTGAAAAGTACAAATTCAAGCTTTATTTAATTCCGAATTAAATTTGATCAACCCATAATAGAAAGGGAGTGCCAAATATGAAATGGAGTTGAGTAATAATAAGATTAGCCTTTTTTCTCTTAATATCTCTTTTTTAGCAAGTCAAATAACTGAGAGAATTAATGCTGATGATAGTCACTCAAGTTATAGTTGGCAATATAGTTTTTGCTTTGAAATAACTGTGAAATAAGCAACTCCATGTACAAAAATAAACCCTAGAAAACCAAAAGATCTAATAAATTTGGAAGGTTTTTCAAATAACCAGATAAAAACCAGGTATTTTCAATTGTATTACTAATGAACCAATAAATACAATTATAGATATGTTTGTAATAAATATATGAGTTAAGATCATGTCCAGCATGATGAAATCATTCTCTATTGGAGAGAAAGAAGCAGCATTTTTTTGTCTTTGGTGCACAACCTTAGAGGTGAGATGTTGAAAGTTCAGATGGTGAGGCTCCAAGGCAAGTACATAACAGGCTCATAAGTTTCTAAGAAATACAAATTGGGATGATTTTATTAAGCAGAAGGTATTATCAAAAAGTAATTGCAGCTATGAGGGAGACGTGGAGCCAAAATAAGGTGGGAAAGGGAACAGCATTTCTATAGGGTGATCCGGCGTTTCTTTTTTGAGACAAAAGCTCGATTGGGTAACAAAGGCTTTTCAAATTGGTACCCAGCCCTAATCTGTTGGCACCAAGACGCTGAAGAAGCTTGTATATCTTCAATTTCTGCCTGATCGGGAAGCTAGGAGACGCGCCAAACCTACAGCACGATTTTGCTTCCTGATATAACCACACCGTAACAGTCAAAGCACCAGAACCATCGCTTCTTTGGGAAGACAGACAATTCCTTTCAAAGCCGACCGTTAAATTCTGAACGTTACTTTTTCTTAGCGTGGTTTTTTCCAATTATTTAGCATAGCACTTTGGTTGTGCTTTTTGGGTTTCTATTTTATGTTTGTTAGCAACTATCTCTACACAAGCGAGTAACTCTTGGAATTCAGTAGTTTTTTGTGAACGTGATTAGATCAAAGGATTAGAAAATAAAATAGGTATATTAAGTTAGATATATTACAAGAAGAAATGATTCCCGCTTGATCTTCTTCTCATGATAAAATCTCAAATCTCAACTATTTGTATTACTCTAATATTTATATATTTCCATATTTGTTTATCGTTTATTTTTTTTTGATTATGAGGATGAAATTGCGGTAAAAGTAAATATTAAAAATAACATATGATTAGAATTAATCATTTTTTAACAATAACAAAAACCTAGCTCGCAAATCTAGTCTAATGCCAACACTTTTGAGATGTTTTTCCTGGCTACTTTGAAGCATCAGGAAATCTCTATTCATTCATATGCTACATTAAAAAACTATTGTTTTGTTGCCTCCGCTGTAAAAAAGCTTTTTATATTTACTTATTTTCCAAATTTGGAGAACAGAACAAAACAATTATTTTCTGAATCTATGTTTTTACTGAGAATATATTGCTTTTGTACAAAAACGTTGTTTTTTTTCACCTATAACAAATCTGTGTTGGATACTGTCGATATAGTAACCTTTTCCGATTTTATGAAGAGCAGTTTCTTTTTTTTCATGAATACAACACTTTCTAATTGTTGCTTGAGCCCAAAAACATCTGAAGCTCAAAAAAAGCTCTGAAGGCAAAATTTCTGGACAAAATGCTCCCTTTCGCAGGAAGATTTCCTGTTTGGTTCCACAGCTTCTTTCCAAATCCCAAAAAAGCTCCTGCATGAAAACGCAAGACTTCTTTTCTTCCGGGCTCACAACGGCACCAGCTCCATGGGTATAGTATTCTTGACGCCGGGTAACTGCATGCCTCAAATTTTCTATTTAATCACACAATCTCACTGAAGAGTGGGCCCCTCAGAAGACATAGCAAATATATTGTTTTCATTTACTGGGAAACACAACTGTTTTGCTTTTATAAACATGTTTAGCTTTAACAACAACCAAACCGGAAATTCAAACACTGGTTTTACTTCCACCAGTGCTAATACCAACGCCATTGGCGGTGGCAGTTTATTTCAGCCTCTTAATCAATTCTCTAGTCCAGTCACTCAAAATCAAGTTCGAAATCAAAATCAGTTCCAAGCTCAGAATAATTTGAGCTTAAATCAAAATCAAAATCAAAATAACCAATTTCAAAATTTAAACCAAAATCAAAACCAAAATCAAAATCAAAATCAATCTCAAAATCAAAATCAAAATCAATCTCAACCTCAACCTCAATTCAATCTTTTAAATAATACTAATGCTGCTAATTTAAATAATTACAATACAAATATCAACAACAACAACATCAATACTACTAATAATAATAACCCGATAAACAAAATCAATGAAACAATTGATAATGAAAATTCTATTTTTTCTAACATAAATAAACCTGCCCAACCTTCGAAATCCTGGTATTTTGAAAGAAAATCTAGGCAATTACCATTAACCGTTGTTCCACGATCAATTAATTCATCTGACATAAACGATTTTGATTCATCTGAAGAATTATTAATTAACAATGACATCAATATTCTTAACAATCAAGATTCTTTAAAAATTTTCAATAAATCTTTATCTTCTGCTTCCGCTGTTACATCTCCAACTTCAAATAAAAAAAAAATCTTGTATAATTCAGCTTTAAAAATTAATTCGAAAAATAATAAATTGAATAACAAACTAAATAACAACTCAAAAATCTCAAACTCTTCTAATGTCGTTAAGATTAATGACAACCAATATATTAATCTATACAACTCAAAGTTATCCCAAAATGACATCATCGATTTAATCAATATCAATAACAACAAAAATAACGAGGAATTACCCCCAAAGAGATCTTTTTTAGATTTAGATAATGATTATGATTTTGACAACACAATTGATACTGATGATGACAACGATAATGCAAATCAAAACTCTCGTAATGATCGCAAGAAAAAATTGTTAAAGCCGTCCTTTTTCGATTCAATAAATAACTCAATAAATTCAAATAATACTACTAATAACCCTATTAATAACCCTATAAAAAATGAAAACAAAATAGATATCTCTTTTAATGCTTTTGATAACTTTTTAAATTCTTCCCAGGATTTAAAATTCATTTCAAATATAAGAGATAGTAAATATAAAAATCAATCAACTAGAAAAAAATTTTATAACAAAAATAATTCTTACAATAATAGTAACATTAATAAGAATACTAATAGTAGCAATAATAATGATAATAATAACAATGATTTTAAAAATGATTTCAAACTAAAAGAATTTAACTCATTCTTGGTCTATGGCTATAGAGAAGCTGACTCAGAATTAATTATACAGCATTTTGCCAAATATGGCAGAATATTAGAAGATTTTCAAATTTTAAGAAAATTCAATTATTCTTCAAATACTTTAATTAGCAATAACAATTTTAACAATTTCAATAACCTTAATGGCAACTTTAATATCGATAATAATCATGATAATGACAATGACAATGATGATAGGGAAAATTTTAATGAAAAACATTTGCCAATTTATACCGGAAATAGATGGATCAAGTTGACATATGACAATCATTCTTCATTATTAAGAGCTATAAAAGATAATAATTTAAAATTTAAAGGCAGTTCAACAATTTTTGTTGAAATTTTTTCAAACAGATTGTTTGATAAATTAAATTTATCAAATGATTCAAATAAAATTATAGATGATTTGGTTGAAGAAAAATTAAAGTTACTACAAGATAATCAAGATAATCAAGATAATAACAATGAAAATAAAAATAAAAATAAAAATATAAAAAAACAGTACAATAGATCCAACCAAACAGCTGATTATGCAGATTTGGATACATCAATAATTTATGAAAATACTTTTATCAGAAATACTTCAAATAATATTGATACAGATATTGATAGTATTACATTAAATAGTTTGGATGAAAACAAAAATAACCAGAAATTCAACAAAAACAATCAAAAATTTAATAAAAAAAATCAAAGTTTTAAAAACAAAAATTATTCAAAGAATGACTATAGAAAAAATCATAAGAAGTCAGATAATAATTTAGAAAACAAGCTTTCTGAAAATAAATCTGGAAATAGTGACAACAATAACAAAGATAAGAACCAAACTGATAATAAATATAAAAACGAAGATAAAAATGAAAATGAAAATGAAAATGAAAATGAAAATGAAAATAAAAATAAAAATAAAAATAAAAAAATAGATAGGAAACTAAAACAATTCGATTCTAGTGGCATTGATAGGGCTTCTGGGGGTTCTGAGTTTAGAAATAATAACAAGTATAACAACAGTAACATAAAAGGTAATATCATTGAACTAAAAGATGGAAAGAATTTGTTTATCAAAAAGCCTAATAAAGATAAAAAAATAAAGTCAATTCAAGAAAGTTTTGTTGCCAATTATGAAAAATCGAGCAAAGAAGAGCTGAATCGTAAAGGCTTTATTGAGAGAGGGCTACAGTGGGCATTTGGGTATGATATTTTGTAAGATATTTAAACGATTTAAAAGATTCATAAGATGCTTCATACGATAATTTTCACAAAACCGCCGGTGTGTCGCAAATTTCGGTTTCGAACCGTCTCTTTAAATTCCGAGCAATTCCGAGCATAACTTCGCAACTGTGTATTGCTGTGCATATCCAGAAAGAGCAACTAGGTGCTCACCACGCTCAAGTCAACGCGTTACCCGGGACACCATGCCTCCACTATGAAGCGTCGGATGTTGGGTGCAAATTTATTTACAGCTCCGTGAACATCAAGACGGTTCTGGTATTTCAGCAATAGTCTCTGTCGTTTCCGTCTACAAATGACATACAAATAACATGGGAGTGCTGCTAATCAGTATGTTTGTCTCATCAAATCGAGTTTCTTCTATTGCTATCTCTGTTGTGCGATGTCTGTTGATTCTGTTTTTGTTTTGTATCCTCTGCCGGAATAATTGATCTGTTTTGATTGGGCAATTATTTCCGTGTAAATACGGGCATCGCTGTGTAAATTCCAGAATTGTGCATACGCCGGCTTGAATTCAATTCTCAAGACTCCATCCTCTTTTGCTTTAGGGAGAAGGAAAATTTTCTTCATCGTCAGCAGCTCCTTGTCCCTCACCACAAGAAGATAACCATCTTGGAGATAGTAAAACTAAAAAAACCTTCTTTATACTGCTTCTACCTCGTCTGATTTAATTACTGAACTGATTTTGAAAAGGTATTTTCTTTGTTGTTCAGTTCTGCCATTTAAAATATTTTTTAGCTTTCCTCAATTTTTCAGAAATAATAATTATTACCAACAATACAAAACCCAAAACAAGCTATTTACAAAAATAAATTAATTCCACATATTCACATACTTCAACATATAACTATCTGATGAGATTACACTTAAAAAACAGCCCCTCAAATCCTGAAGGATCTCCCACCGCTTTAACATCCACCAATGATGCAGCTTCCAATTTTCTTAAATCTTTAACTGAAGATTTAGATTTAACTCAACAAATTGTAAACAGGTTAACCACCCATCCTTCAGAAAACAACAAACAAAACCAGGATCAAGAAGGTCATTTGGAAAATCAAAATAAGACTCCAGATGATTTTGTCCATGAGAACACTGGAAATGAAGAAACAGAAAATAGGGAAAACAGCCAAAGTAATCCAAATTTTGAAAATCAGTTAAGCAAGAATGATGAAAATAAAACTGAAATTAATGATGACGATGACTATGACTATGACTATGAACCTGAAGATTTTTCTGAGGAGGAAAATGAAAACCTCCCCGAAAACACTTATCGCCAAAACAACCTAACTCAAACTGATTTTCAACCATATAATACAAATAAAATAGAAAATAAAAACAATACTGAAATCGATTTTAAAATTCAAAAAGAGTCCGACACCGAAAATAATGAAAAAGTAAAACCAAATATTGAAATTATCGATAAATATAAACATGAAACCCAAACAAAAAACAATTTTGAATTTAAACCCCAAATTACAAATCAAAATCAAAACGAAAGCGAAAACAAAAATGAGATTGAAAATGAACTTAAAAATCTGCCCAATTTTGAGAATGGTGATGAAGTCGAAGATATCACCAGAGAAGACATTGAAAACGAAACTCAAAGTGATACGAAAAACGACAGCATCTTTGAATACGAACCACTTAATTTCCAGATCTCAGAGCTTCAAGCTCAAAAAACACAATCCCAATATAATCCTCAGGAAACGCAATCTTTTTGGGACCAGCAAGAACATCAATCTCAACTCCAACCCCAATCTTACTCCCAGCCCCAACTTCAATTTAATTCTACCTCCTCATTTTCTGAAAACTCAGATCCACTCACATTAGCTAAAAAATTAATAAGCTTTCCATATTTCACCCAACCATCATTTCAAAACCTACCTCAAGATGGAAAAGAAGCATTTATAAGCAAATTTCTTTCCGATCCAGATGCATTCAGCGCCCAAATAAACTCTTCCAATGCTTCAGGTTTTGTAGATTCCAGTCCACTTAACTCATTGTTTTCTCCCGATTCCAGCTCAATTTCAAATCAAACTTTAAATCAGGCTTTAACTCAAGCTTCAAATCAAGCTCCGAATCAGGATACTCTCACAACTACAACCCACCAACCACATCTAACTGACCTTGAATTGGAGAATATAAAAATAAAAAACCCAAGTTGCAAAAGACCCGATATTGACTCTGCAATGTCTTATCAGGAAATTGAAGAATATTCCCGATTTATTCAAAATGAAACCAGATATCTTAGCTCCGGTAATTGGGCTCAGTTTCCTAGAGGTTCCAGATTATTTATTGGAAATCTCCCTGTTAATAGCATAACAAAGCAAAATATGTGGAGAATCTTCAAGCAGTATGGAGATGTAATTCAAATAAGTATTAAACCTGGTTATGGCTTTTGTCAGTTCAGAACCATTGAACAATGTAATTCTGCCATTGAAGGTGAAAAAAATGTTCCTTTATATGGCAAAATAATGCATTTAGAAGCCTCTAAACCTCAAAAACCCAGACATTTTACATTTGATAAACACCTTCCGGTTTCCAACCATGTCTTTTCTTTTAATAACAGAATTTCAAAACATCCAAGAGATGATTATATGAGAGGTGGAATGATCAAAAGACCAAGGAAAACATCAAATAACTATACTGTCGATACTGTTCCTGAATGTCAGATTTATGTAAAAAAGGCTGCTGACACAAGGTTTGTTACACAATTGAAAGATCTTTTGAAAGGCAAAAATATATTGACTTACATCACAAATGTAACCCAACAAACTGATTTGAAGGCTTTGATCAATGATGCAGCGTATGCTGGAGTCAATGGAATTATAACTGTTCACAGGGATAGCAATTTGGATGTTCAAATTTTTGATAAAACTGCAGAAGGTGGTATCAACTATAAGGAATATTTAGCTGTGAATATAAGCGTGGCTGTCGAACTTATCTATAAATCAAAGCTAGAAAAGTCAAGCAAAGGAATCTATGGTAATGCACCTCCTCAAAAAGCCTTTAAAAATCGAGGTCGTTTACACAATATTGGTATTTACAGCATTTCCCAATCCTTTAACAACAACGTTACCAACAAACCTGAATTTAACAAAAACAGCACTAACACTGAAATTACAAACAACAATAGCAGCTATAATAATGATACCAATAGAATGCAATTGATACAAAATCTTCCAGGCGATAAACTTGACAAATTCGCAGCTATGTTGAGTTCATTGCAACAACCATCCCAGCAAAGCCAATCTAATCAATATGAGAATTCTGATATTTCAACAAATATTTCAAATTTAAACCCTTATAATAACTCTAATCATAATTCCAGTTTTAATTCCAATTTAAACTCCAATTTAAATTCCAATTTTAAGCATTCCTCCAGCTTTGATCAAAACTCCAACCCTAATCCCAACCTTGATTCCAGTATTAATCCCAGCACTTATTATAATTTTTAGTTAATCAAATTGTTTTTCCAATTTATTTCTTTTTTTTTTAATTTATTGATTCATATTTATACTAATACTACCGATTCTGCTACTGCTACTTTCTATATCTCTCTATTATATTGCTAACTATATTTTTTTTTCTTTATAGTGCCATCAGATTTGTTTTCCGAATGATATACTTTGTAACGATTGAAAAGAAAATCAGTTTACTACTAAAACAGTATAATATTCTTTAGAATATCAAGATCAAAAAATAAAGTAACAAAAAATAGGCTTCCTATATTTTCATTCAACAATTATTCGAATTAGATTGCTGAATTAATCAAGAATCAAATCCTTTGAGTTTTCAAAAAAGATTCAACATCAAAATTTTCACAGATAATATTTTATTTAATATATGGGGTCTGGAAAACAGATAAAATCTTAATCTAAAGATTAATAGTGATTCTTGGGTTACGTATGATATTAATTGATTTGTGAGGGTTGTAGTAAAAAAGTAGTTGGCTTAGGTCATGATAACTTGGATGCTCTTCTCTTTTTAGCAATGTGAGCACTATCAGTAGAAAGATCTTCAGTTCTAGATGCAAGCGAATTTTCGCCATAAAAAGATTCATGGGCATTTTTGTAATTTAACAATTTTAGTAGTATATTTTCTTTTTCCTGCGTGATGCTTCTTAACTTTTCACGAAGCTGCTCACAGGTACCTTTGAGTTTCAATAATCTCGCTAAGTTGCCATTTTTAAGGATGTTAGTCTCAACGAGCACATCATCATATTTTTTTTTTAAATTGTTGTATTTTTTCTTGATGTAAAGTACCTTTTGAGATTTTCTATTAGCTATTTCTAAACTTTCTTCAAAAATCTCATTGTATTTTCTTTGTAATTCATTGTATTGAGTTTTTGTAATTGTTGAAATATTTATAAGTTGCTCTTTTAATTCTGTATTCTCCTCTTTAGCTTTATGTAGTAATTTTCCTGTTTCCTCGACTTTAAGTTTTAAATTAATAATTCTTTGGGATTTTGAAAGTTTCAAATTTCCATTTTCTGCCAGCAAAATTTTATTTTCTTTTTGTAAAGTATCATAATTTTTCTTCCAGTTACTTATTATTTCAGACTCGTTATTTTTCATAATTGAACTTTGTCTTGAGATTTCATCAAATTTTGTTTGAATATCACGAAGTTTTTCAATTGCATTATTTTTATGATTCATGGATAATTTGATTTCTTCATTTAGTGACTTTATTTTATTTTCATATTCCTCTTTCTGTATTTTTAAATTTAGAATTTGAGTATTCAAGTCCTTAAGTCTCCGATCATTTTCTTCATTTAGTATATCATGTAGAGCTTGCAAATAAAATAACTTATTTTGTAAATTTAAAGTGGTATCATTTATTTCTTTCTTCTGACTTAAAAGTAAATCATAATTTTTTTGTAAATTACTCAATTCCAGTCTAATAGGACTTTTTATTACTGAATCTATGTGAATATCAATTTTTGCTTCAATTGATTTTTTTAACCTATCAAAAATATCTTGATTTAGCAAAATTTTTTTGTCGTATATATCTGCATGAGGAATTTGAAATTTAGCTAATAACTCAAAGTAAAAATTATCATATTTTTTAGAGATGTCTTTTTGTTTATTTACTTCCTCGTGTAAAATGGTATTATCATTTCTTAAATTCTTAATAGTGTTATTCATTAGATTGATACCAGAACTTAAAATTATGTTATCTTTTTTAAGATTTATAATTTCAGTTTCAAAAGATGTAAACAGATCAATTTTTTCAATAACTTTACTTTCAATATCATCAAGAGGGTTATTTTTTATAGAAAGGTTTGGTAATTTTAATTTTTCAATGATCTTTGTGATGACATGTTCTCTAGCTATGAGTGAATCATTTGAAATTGACAAAACTTCATGTACGCTTGAAATTCTTTTGGATATTTCTGAATATTTTGAATATTTATCTTTAAAAGCTTCAATCAAAGGTAATAAATTCAGGACTTTTATTTTGAATTCAGAATCTAGAGTTTGAATATGATCAATTTGAATTTCTTTTAATTGTCTCAAAATGGAAATTTTGGAATTGTTATTTTTGTAGTAGGGTGCTAAATTTGAATTTAGCAATAAATCAATTTTTGAAAATAATGATTTGTCATAAGTTGCAAGTAATTTTTGAAAGTCAGGTTCAAAATATTCGTTTGAAATTATATTAAAAAATACAGATAATTGGTTATTTAAAATAAAAATGACTAAATTCTGGTAGGTTAATTCGTCATTAAGATCTTTATATTTATTAGCAGATAATAGGTTTTCAGCATTTGAATCAGACAAAGCTTTAGTTAGCTTATTGACTTTATTTTTCAAGGCTATCAGATCTTTTGTTTTAATAGATAATTGAGTTGTTTTTGTTAATAATTTTTTATTTAAATCTTCTATTGTTTTATTGATTTTGGTGATTTGGTAAGATTTTGAGGTTGATTCATTTGTTAGTGATGTAACTTCAAATTTGAAATTTGAAATTGTTGACATTGCAGTTGAAATTTGAGAATTTAGAGAGTCAATTTTTTTTTGAGATTCCTCATTTGATTTCTCTAATTTTGAAATTTGAAGCTGTAATGCCTTATTTTCTTTTGATATATTGCTAAAATTTTTAGAAATAATAGCCTGTGAAGCCTTTATACTTTCATTTGAAATTTTGAAAGCATTATAGTTACTATTTAATAAAGTATGATCATTATCCAAAGTGGTGTAAGTGGACTTTAGAGTATTATAATCGGAATTTAAAGTATTATAAGTTTTATTCAAATCATTAAAATTTGTTTTCAAAACATTATAATTATTATTCACAAGATTATAACTATCATGTAAATTTGATTTTTCTGTTTCCAAGGATTTATATTTTTGCTTTAAATCAGTATACGAAGAGTTTAGAGTATCATAGTTTGATTTCAAAGCTGATATATTTTTTTCTAGATTCTTGATCTCCACCTCTTTATTAAAAAGAAGAAAAGAAGAAATCAGGGAGGAGTTCTTCTGGTTATTATTGTTGTAAATTTCAGTCTTGGAGAAAATCTTGAAAATATCCATATATCTTACACCATAGTAGGATAGCAAATGCTGCTTGTCAAAATGCTCATTGTGAATGTTGGTGATGCTGAAATTGTCTAAATCTTTGATCTTTTTGTTGGTTATTTTCAAAAACATCAGTATTATATCATTGACCTTGGAAAACTTGGAAATAAAAAAATAAATAGGTGGAGTAGATTCGTTGTTTCCCTGGCTCTGACTGGAGTTATTATTGTTGATGTTGGTGCTGGAGTCGTGCATATCAATGAATTGCACACCAATAAGAATGGTGTTGGAGTTGGACACATTTGAATCTGGATCCACTAGAACACTGGAAGTAATGTGTGTGCTTTTGTAGTTGGAGAAGGTGTTTAAGTCAGACATATCTTTGTATTCACCAACTGAAGACCTCAGCTCCAGCATCAAAAACATCTTTATACTCTTCGCCCCGTTAAGACACAGGGCCGACGCTGCTGAAAATGCCGACAGAGCACGGACACAAAGTTTGAACCACACGAATGGAGCAAGCCAAACTTCTGGATTCTGCCAATGCACGTTTTTTGGTGTTTCTGCCTGTGCATGTACATAGACATGCATTATGGTATCACATCCATTGCAGTGGTATTTCTGAGAGAGAAAGAGAAAGAGCTGTTTCTTACTTTCTGGTGTTTGATTCATCTCTCTCGCTGATATTACGATGATTGCCAAACTAAAGTGGCCCTGGTTGGGTATAGCTGTATGCTGTCTATGCTTTCTTGCAAACACTGCTTTGTGGATTTTCGGTTGCACTTTCAACTAACTTTATCAATGTCCATACTCTAGATCCCATCCTTCTTGATAGCATTTATTGGTTATTCGGCTCATTTTTTCATCTTTAGGAATGATTTCTCGATGAACAGACAACTATGGTTTGAGTTCTGCTTGTCCATGATTTGGTTGAACTATTTGCTTGCAATTAAAGTAAATCCTGGTTCTCCTCCCAAGTTTTTTGTTCCCGAAAAGCCTCCAATAGCGTGGAAAAGATGGTGCAAAAAATGCAACAATTATAAACCCGAAAGGTCCCACCATTGTCAATCTTGCAAACAATGTGTATTGAAAATGGATCATCATTGTCCCTGGACTAATAATTGTGTTGGAAACAATAATTTGGGTCATTTTATAAGATTTTTATTATGGGTAGACTATACTACTTTTTTTGTATTGGTTCATTTAATTAAAAAAGTAATGTATTTTTGGAGTCGAAAGAATTATCCCTCTTACATGATCAACAAAAAAGAATTGACCTTTACAATTATTTTGTTGCCCATTGATTCTTTTGTATTTATAACTGTATTTATTTTAACTTTAAGATGCTTTTATTATACTATTTTCACAGGAATGACCCAAATTGAATTTTGGGAATGGGAAAGAATTGAATCTCAAATTAACACAATTCAATTTTGGGAAAAGATCAAAAAAAATTACCTCTCTGTTTACAATAAGTCTTTGTCCTTGACGAGTTTAAACTCTTGGTCTTCTTCAACATCCTATTCAAACAGAGAATTGGATGACTATTCAAATGATTATCAAATCTCAAGCTCAAAAAATAAAAAAAATAAAAAAAAATTGAAAAATAAAAAAAATAACTTTATATCAAATATAAATGATATTGATAACTCTGATGATTCTGATAATTATAACCAAGACTTCAATTATCAATTACCGAATTTCAAAATTGATGATTTTATTTTCCCTTATGACATTAGTCCATGGCAAAATTTTGTTCAAGCTTTGAATTACCCTTGGTTATTACTAATTCCATGGGTTTATCCCAAATGTGATGGTGTGCATTTCAAAAAAACTGAAGATCTTGAAGAAGATCAAATTGGTTTGCCATGGCCTCCTGATGGTAATAATCAAGATAAAAACGATGAATTGGTTCGAAACGATGCTTCTCCAGGTGTAGGGGCTGAAAGATTTGTAGTAGGGGAACTTTCTGTTATCTCAAAATCTAAAGTCAAAAAAAGAGTTCATTGGAAAAATGATTTTGGTGAAGGTTTAAAAGATTTTGGAGTTGATATTGAAGCAGAAGATGATTGATATTGATATTAATATTATTTATTAATTTATTAATTTATTAAATATTATATGTAATAAATATACATATATAACAAAGCTTAATTTTATTCAACTGTTTTCTAGTAAATAACAAAATCATTACTTAAAAAACAATTTTTATCAAACCAAATACAAAGAAATGAAAACCATTCAAAATACACAACAACAAAAATTATTTTAAGCATGAAAATAAAAAAATAAAAAAATAAAAAACAAAACAATGAAAATGAAAATGAAAATGAAAATGAAAATGAAAATGAAAATTAAAATAAAAATACAAAAACAAACTCTATATTCTAACAAAAACTCACCAAGAAAATTAAAAAAATCAGAAAAGTACCCATTTAATAATCACTTGTCGGATATTATTATTTTCATTCTGTTATTTAAGTATTTAAAATCAAAAAAAAAAAAAAAAATTATAAACATACCAAATTAGATAAATAAAACAAAGGATAAAAAAAATTTTAAATTGTCAAGTGATAAAAAAATATACAAAAAGATTAATGGTTAAATAAAAAAATATTAAATATTGCTTTAATATCTAGTATGCACAAAAAAAAAAAAAAAAACATGGTTATCATTTCATTCAGTCATTTTTCAGAGAGACATTGTCAACCATTCCCAATTGTTTTGACCATTGGAATCAAGATCAACACCATTTGTGTCAAACATATCATTTTGGTTGGCACTATCATCATTATTTTCAGTGTTTCCATTATCTATATTGGTAGTTGTGTTTCTGTCATTCGGATTATTTGTTGTTACTGTTTCTGACTCTATACTATTACTATTTTCGGGTATTTCACTGATGTTAGGTAAAGTTGCCATTTGAATCAGATCCTCAGTGGTTAAATTAACGGGCTTGGGTTCTAAATCATCACCATCAATATCGCTAGTTCTTTTTAATAGCATGGATTTATTGGGAAATCTTGTACTATTTGATGGATTTGCACCAATTACTCCCAAAGCGTTAATATTATTAGATTTATTAGGTGAAATAGGACTTGTTTCCTTTTTTATAAGACCTCCATTTTTATCAATAGGAGAGGTATCACTACGTGCAACAGCTTTGGAACTGTCTTTTGAATTTTTGCTATCATTGTTACTACCTCTATGTCTTTTCTTGATGACATCTGTTTTCAAAGATAAGGGTCTAACAACACCATGCAATTTTAAAAATAATCCACAAGCATTACAAAGCGGTTGACCTTCTGGATTTCTTCTCCAAAGAGGAGTAGTTTGAGTATTGCAATTTGTGCATCTAGTTTGAGAGTTTACTATTGAGTTGTTTTTACCTTTCAAGGTGTTGGTGCCAGAAACTTTGTCTTTTGATTTCGATTTTTTTGTTGGTTTATTTGATTTCAGTTTTCTGCTTGCTGTTGAATTCTTTCTTTGGTATTTTCCAATAGATGGGTCATCTTTATTTGTGATTTTATTTCCATTCAAGTTAGGAATTTGTTGTAACGGCAGTTGATGAGATTGGATTTTGTTGATGAAGCCTGGAGAAATTGTGGAGTTATTTTTAAAATTTGGTTGTATTGGTGGAAATTTATTTGTAGTTACAGGAGTTGAGTTATTAGATGAAAGATTAGAACCAGGCTCAGCCATTTCCAACCAGCTAAAATTATCATCTTTCAAAGAAGCAAAAGAGGATGAGCTCATTTTTAAAGAAGTTTTTGAGCTTCCATTTAAGTTAACAGATGCTTTATTTGAGTTATTATTGTTATTGTTATTGTTATTTGGAAAGTAAGGGGAATCACTTTCAAAATTAAAAGTATTTGGGGAATATAAATTGATTGAGCCGTTAGTATTTTCGTTTTGATTTTGTAAATTTGGAGAAAAAAAAGAATTGCTGCGATTTTGATTTGTAAAGTAGGGATTTTGGAAATTTTGATGAATCGAGTTGTTGCTATTACTATTATTATTGTTGTTTAGTAAATTCGAGGGACCAATTGTTTGATTTTCTAAAAAATGGTTATTTTGTGAGGATAAAGTAAAGTGATGGTGAGAAGGATGAGTGGCTAAAGTATTAGGCGGCACAGAATTTGAATAGTTGTTTGAAGGAGCTTCTACAGCTAAGGGATCTAAAGAAAAATGGAAAGCATGGTCGTGTGGATGAGGATTTTCATGCAAAGTTTCAAGACCCAAGATGGGATTTGAGGAATTAGAGGAATTCGAAGAATTGGGAGGTTTAATTGATCTAGTGTTATTGTTATTATTGTTATTGTTACCGTTATTAATTTTTTGTTTTCTATTGTCTTTGTGAATGTTATTGTCTTTGTGAATGTTATTGTTGTTTGTGAGTATGTTTTGGTTTATGTTAAAGTTATTAGTATTATTTGGGTGAATATCAGTATAAATATTATGGGTATCAACAGGTAAAAAAGCAGGAGAAAAATCAGCAGGTCTTTTTTTTGAATTTGATCTTTGAAAATCTGGGGGTTGTAAACCTATAATGTTAATGTTGTTGTTGTTGTTGTTGTTGTTGATATGAGTAATGTTATTTTGGTTATTGTGACTATTCCCATAGTTTCTAATATGAGCAACATAGTCAAAGTTATCTCTTGAGTTATTCAAGATCGGGAGATTTGAAATTTCCAAGTCATTATCAAGAGAAGATAATATGGGGGTTTTGATGAAAGAGAAGTCATTTGAGGTAATGTCAGGGTGCAGTGAAAAGTTGTTATTATTATTATTATTGTTGTTGTTAATTGTGTTTGAAGATGGAGGATCCATGGAGGGATCATAGGCCCATTCCATCATACTGTCACCATTAAAGTTGTGTAACTCATGAATGCTTTGAATATTTTCCATGGGGTAGCTATCTAAGCTATTTGCGGGTATATCGTTGTGGTTTGTGTTGTGGTTTGTGTTGTTAGTGATATTGGTGATATTGGTGATATTGTGGGTGATGTTGTTGATTGAATTATGTGTGTTGTTGAAGTTTGCATTATTGAGGATATTACTGCTATTATCTATTATGATATGGTTATCAATGTTATTGTGGTTTAAATTTATATCTAAATTCGAGCGAGAGTTTGAGAGCGAGTTTGAGGGTGAGTTGCTTGAGTTGTTTGAAGATTTATTTATAATATTTTTTTTTTTTAAAGAGATTGCCATCATTCTCCAGGTTAAATTTTCCATTCTAGCTCTATAGGGTAGAGATGCTTTAGCCTTCGCATACATTCTCCATAAAGACTCGCTTGAGGCAGAATCAGAGTTGTGGAATAATAGCAAGGTTGCAGATTTTTGTTTTGAAAGATTTCTAGTTTTGTTGCTAGTGTTGCTGGTGGTACTATTGTTCATTATGTTGAGCTTGTTTGCAGATTTTAAAGAAGTTGAAGAGGAGTTTTTTGATATTGGAGGTAAGGGATTTTTGTTTGACTGAGCAGATATAAGATCAGGTATTTCAGACATATTGGTGTTGATATTATGAATGTGGATGGATTTGAGGTGAATTAATAGGCTAATAGGCTAGACGATAAGGGGGATAAGATAATAAGATAATAAGATAATAAGATAATAAGATAATAAGATAATAAGATAATAAGATAATAGGATGATAATAGGATAATAATATAGCAATAGAATAGAATGAAATATTGAGATAGTAAATTGTGAGGATGGGATATCCTTCTAGGTATATTACAATTCAATAGTGAGCAGGAAAGCAAAAAGAAGAGCCAAAAACCAAAAATCAGGATTAGAGATTGAAGTTGGATGAAAAATTTGGGGAAATATATTGAATAGAATAGATATATTTGCAAACAGCAAATTAGTGTTTTGGCTGAAGTAAATTAGTGTGATAATACAATTTGAAAGGATATAGCGATGCTGGATTTTGAAAACTTTTAACAGCTTCTCAAATTTTCCTGAAAACCAATCAAATAAACAGATTTGGTTTAGGGAAAGAGAAGCATTTGGTGGAAGCAAGCTGCGGAAGATCCTGCACCAAACGCACGCCGCTGCGGCCGCTGCTGCCGCTGCTTCCCGCGCTGCTGGGTCCGAAGCTTCTTGTCCCATCCTCGCAAAGGCGCAGGTGCCGCAGCGGCAGCAGCTCCAGCTATCGCTGCTAGGGGTCTGCGCTCATCCGCCCGCTCCCGCTTGTATGGGGTCTTTCTCGCTGTGCGCGCCAGGCCCCCCTCCAATCCGCCCGTTTTCTGCTCACGGGGACCCACGCCCGCTCTTCTCGAGATCAGGGGTCTGTCCGTCGGAACATCCCATTTGCAAGATTTCATGTCAGCACGACAACTCAATTTCGTTATCGTTCCTACAATGAAAATCCCAGTCACCCATTGGCCAGGTCCTGCAGATGCATATCTTTCTCTTCTGACTTCTCCGATTCCGCACAAAATGCTGGTTTGCTCAGTCCCACTTTTGTATGATACACACGTGATAAATGCTATTAAAATAGATTTCTTCAAAGCAATTGTTGCAAACGGGAGCCGTACTCATTGGTCCTGTCGCCAACTGCACCCTCTTTCTCTGCAGCGCATTGTTGTTAGAGCAAACTTAGATAAGAGTCCGCCGCTGTAATCGGGATCAATGCCTGTATTTATTCCGCAGCAGATTATTTTCGCCAAAGAATTTCCAGCATGGAGCGTTTGGGAAAATTGTTCCAGCCAGTGTGCTATTTTTTCGAAAACTGTTTGGATTCCTGAACAATGCTCTATTTCTTTCTTGAAAACTGGTGTTAATTGCAACTGTTGTTTTGTACACATCCTGTGATGCTCCGTCTGCTAGCTCTGAACTTTATGTGCACTATCTAGTGCTGTCTTGTGCGTCTCTCCTGATGACCGTCAATAGCCGGGTCTGTGTATATTGCAGAACGCGCTAGACAGAATAGTATTGCTCCGCGCAAAACTTTCCCAAATGCTCTAACTCCGCCGAAAACCACACTGACTCCGTTCGAGCACTGGAGGAGGCCAGAAATGTGGTAGCACTGGTATTACGTAATTGCTGACCGCTCTTTGGATTTTTTCACTTTTCTTTTCCTCTTTCAGACCCTCTAAAAAAATCATTTCGATCAATACGTCCACATTTCGATGCTGATGCTTTTATTTCAAATAGGGTTGGTTTTGATTTGGTTTTGATTCTTCATTGCAAAATGCCAACAAACTTTCTCCAGCTAAAAGCTCATAAAGACTATGTTTTATCTCTATACAAATGTCTATTAAAACACTCAATTCACCTAAATCAGCTTCCTGTGCCTGATTCCATGAAACTTCCTCAGAGAAATCATGAAATTAATCAATTAAATATTTTATCTAAAAACTACTATTCTCTAATTAAAAATAGATTTCACATATATTCTCGCATTAATTCCTCAAAAAGAACAAGAAACTATCTACTTATTGCCAATAATCTAGAAGTCTTTTTAAGAAGCTTATATTCTTCAAACCATACTGATTCTGATTCTGATTCTTCAAACATTTCTTTATCTCATCATTTGGGTAAACAACTAACTTCTACAAAATCCATCTTAACAAGTTTGTTAAATCAAAATCAAACCCGAAATAATCAAAGCATTAAAAATGATCACTTTCTGGTTCCCACAATTACTTCTAATAACATACCTTTATCAGATAAATTACTACCTTTAAATCATCATCCTCAAAAATCAAAAACTCAAAAATTGCTTCAAATTAAAAATAGTAAACACTTACAACTAGTAAGATCTCATATCAAACGCTTAATCTTTAAAAAAAAATTACCTCAAAATTTTACGGTTCCAACAACTTTAAATCAATTAAATTCCTTATTAAATAATGAACTAAATCAATCTTCTTCTTCTCCTCCTAAACCAATCTACAATTTTCTAGTTAAAAGTGCCTACTATCATTTAGCTATAAAGGAATTGGGCAAAATTCAAAAATCAATCTTATCTGGCCCAAAACCACTTAAAACTTACTACGTTAAAATCGATGCCAAAAGACATTTTAAATTTCTCAGATTCCCCTGGAGGAGAAATCTCATTGCTTCAAATCTTATAAACATGATCAAAAAGAAACACCAAATTATAATGAACAACATTAAACTAGTCGAGGACTATCCATTCCATCAATATGCTATAGACGAAGCTAAATGGGAATATTTGTTATTTTTATCCAAATCTCATCAAAAAACCAACCCACAATTCAGAAACCAATATTCTTACATCAATAGCTGGACCCAATACTCAAAAGATGCTTCAGACTTTCTCTTAATTAAATTAGATAACTTTATATCTCAAAGAAATCAATATTTCAATGACCATCTCATAACAGATTATAAATCTAAACTAAATCGTACCCTTCTTCGAAAATATAACAATAGAATCAAAAGATTCAAAAAAATGAAATTATTTATTAAAAACAACAAAATAGGTTTAGATTCAAATCCCAATTTACTACAAACTTTAAAATTATTCAAATTTTATAAAGATTGATTTAATCTTCTGATCATCTTCTAATTATTATTTAATGTAAATAGTCTTATATAATTCAAAGAAAAAAAAATTAAAAATTAAAAATTAAAAAATTGCTTGATATCCTTCAATTGATTTATGTTTCTTTTTATCAATATTAATACTTCCATTTTCATCATTACTTTCATCATTACTTTCATCATCACATTTAATATCATTAAAATTCTCTTCTCTATTAACACTTGAATATCTTTCAATTACATCACTAAGCAAATCGGTTTCAAATGATACTTTTCCAAAATTCGGCTTTTCTTTATTACTATTAATAGTGGTTATACTATTTCGATTATCATTCCCATTTCCATTTCCATTATTATCACTACTACTAGTACTAGTAATATGTTTGTCTTGATTGAGATTCAATTTTCTTAATATCTCGACCAAAGACAACTCTTCATTATCTTGTTTAAACTCCCAAAGATCTTCCAAAAGCGAAATGTTTTTCTCATAAAACAATTCTCCAACCTTAACAAAAGTTATATTGCTTCTATTAAAAACCGCTTCGTCTAGCAACTGATTTTTATAAAACTCGGAACACTGATAATGCTCTTTTGTACAATAATTGTTCAAATAACTGTAGGGAGTTCGGATTTTATTTATATTAAGAGTCTTGTTTTTAATCGACCTCTTATGACAAACAGGATAACCACATAGTTTACTTAAATTTCTTTCCTCGACAATATCATCGTAAATCAGTGGAGTCAAAAATCGTGATAATAGTTTCAATAATTCTTTATCAGTAGAATTTTCTGCTAATCTTTCAACTAAAATTAACTGCAAATAATTAGATTCATTGGGCGTCAAATACCCAGGTTTAACAAACCTATCTAAAACAGGAGCAATTGAACCAATAGTTAGTCTGGTATTTGTAGGAACATCGAATAACGATTGCTTGAGTTGATTGTTCATTGTTAAATTGATCGATTGAGCAAAGTCCTAAACGCTTTGAAGACGTTCTTTTATAATTGAAAACAGAGATCCATCGCAGTGGATTCTTCTGATCTCTACATCAAGGCGCATGAACCATTGGTTGCCACACTTACTTTTCAAAGATATACGTTTATCTTGTATTTGTAATTATATTAAAGTCAGTATCTTTAGTTGTTGTTGATTGTATTTTATTGTACTTCGTTGTATTGGTTTTCATCATGAAATTGACACTTAGTTTAGAAAGCCAGGATGTGTTCATGGCATTAGAATTACCTTCAGATATGAAATTTGCTGATTTGAAAGCATATTTAGAAAACGAAACTTCAATTGATGTTAGTAAGCAGATAATTTTGTTTAATATGAAGGAAATAACATCAAAAGAAAATGATTCAAAGACTTTAGATCAGGTGGGCTTTCAAGATGATGATATAATAATTTTAAGATCAAAAGATGATATTATGCTGACATCCAGTGGCAGTGGCAGTGGCAATGGAAGTGGTGGTATTAACCCTCCAACTGGTTATAACAATCCAAACCAGACTCTTTCTGGTAATTATACTGATTTTGAGATTGAGAAATTGAGAACTACTTTGCTTGAGAATATTGGGTTGAGAACTAGATTTCCCCCAAGCGTCATTCAAAGTTTGGATGATCCAAATAAATTTAAAGAGACGGTATTAAAATTGATGGAAGATGGTAATAATCAGTCTAGTAATGGGTTAAGTGCAGAAGAATTGAGAAAATTGGAAGATGATCCAGATGATCCAGAAAATCAAGAAAAGATTTTAGAGTTAATTCGTCGAGAACAAATCGATGAGAACTATAGAAATGCATATGAATATAACCCAGAGACACTTATCAATGTTTCAATGTTATATGTTAACATTGAGGTCAATCAACATCCGTTAAAGGCGTTTGTTGATTCTGGAGCTCAAATCACAGTAATGTCGCCAGATATTGCAGAGAGAGTTGGATTGAGTAGATTAATTGATAAAAGAGTAATGGGAGAAGCAATGGGAGTTGGAACATCTAAGATTATTGGGAAAATTCATTCAGCTTCGATTAAAATTGGAAATAGTTTTTTCAACTGCAGTTTTATTATTTTGGAAACCAATATTGAGTTAATATTGGGATTGGATATGCTAAGAAGACATCAAGGCATTATTGATTTAAAAAGAAACTTATTGGTTATGGGTGATCAAGAAACGCCATTTTTATCGGAATCAGAAATACCATCTTCCAAGAGAGAAAGCAATGGTTTGGAATCTCTATCGAACAAAGTCGAAGGAAAAAGTAAGATCACTGGAGGTGAAAAATTAGGAGTAATACCTGGATCAGTCAAATCAACATTCGAGGATCGTCCGTTGAAAATTGCAGTCAATGTTGATAATAAAAGTAGCGAAAACAATAGCGGATTGACAAATAGTTCTAATCCAAGCGGAAATGTTCAAGGAAGAACATTCAATGAAAGAGGTACAAAACACGATGAGGCCACAATACAAAATTTGGTCAGTCTTGGCTTTACAAGAATTCAAGTGATTCAGGCTCTAGATTCATCTGGAGGAAATGCCGAATACGCCGCAGCAATGTTATTCAACTGGTAGTGATGGACTATTAAATGTAAAATTTTTATTTTGATTCTTTTTATTTCTTCTTTTTTTATTTTTTTATTTTTTAGTTTGATGTCTTTTCCTAATTAGCTTTTTTCCTTGATTCGGAAAACAATTTAACCCAAATGCAATTAAATTAATCAAATTGAAGCATTAATTGATCTAAATTTAGTGTAGACTTTGAATACGTGATTTTCTTTTTTTTTTCTTTCTCCGACTTTGACTTTTTGACTTTCTTTTGAAATTGACCAGTACTTTCTTTGAAAAGATGAAATGACTTTGTGCTGAAGAGAATTTAATGTTGATAATTCCTGATATACTGAGGCATGAAATTGCTTGTTTAACACGAACCTTCATAACTTAAAGAAAAGCAAAAAGCAAAAAGCAAAAAGTCGAAATAGAGTTGCAGATTGAAAGCTTTATAAACCAGATGAAGATATTTCATGAATACGGCAGTTTTTACTGTATTTGAGCACTGAGCATTGAGCAGCAAGGACAGCTGAGAAGATGATCATGATTATTCCAAAGCTCGAAAATAAAAGTGGCTCAACAACGGCAAAAGCATAATGCATGAAATAATCCACTGTTAAAGCCCTGTTCGAGAGACGTTTACGACCTGCATGGGCCGGCGAGTGAACCCCTGGTAATGGTCTCGAAGATTGCATCCATACGAATGTATTCAAAGAGGTAAAGCCTGATCAAAAAAAGAACGAATCAAGTGGCTCGGATAGTATTCGGTCTCTCAAAAGAAAAAAAACAGCTCTTCTCAAAGCTTAAGACACACAAGCTACGGCAGATGAAAGTCAAATAAAAACGCGTGGGAAGCAAGAACAGCAGAGACAGTGCTATTGATAACAAGACAACAAGAAAACCAAACAAGGCCACTATTTTCATCATTTCCAGCTAAAAAAAACCGCTTCCCAAAGCAGTTCACAAAGAAAAAGAGCAGTTCGTAAAGGTGCTTATGCAGAAATGCGTTGCAATGTACGTCGAGTGACGCACATTGATGCAGTAATACATCTGACATTCTGCGCACTTAAGCGCCACTTGGTGTTGCTGCAGTCCTGGTCGCTGTGGGAATAAAGTTTATGCAGATTTATATGCAGGATTTGGCGCGGGCTCAAACATGTGTGTCTACTATACTCATGCCCTTTTGATCTTTGCTCTTTTAGTCTTTTATTGCGCAGGACAATCTATAAGAAGTTCTAAATATACCCGTTCTTAAATGTTAAACTGGACCACTACCATCATAATAGGATTTTGGCTTCTGTTTGTGTTGATATTCTTGACTTTCAACGTTTCTTTATTTAGAAGCCATTCTTTGTCTTGTCTTTTCTTCTTGAAATGTGCTTTCTCCTTGTCTCTTGACTGTTTTCCTGCTCCACCCAGCTAATCAGTGCTTACTGATTCCTGATCTCCGTGGGAGTAGTATAGGAGTTTAGGCTAGTATTAGCTATCTTCAAAACATGTTTCCTAGCCCAATATATAAAGCCCAAAGAAAATCGTCGAAAAACAGGTTTCTCGCTTTGCTCTCTCTTTTTATCTGATCACAACTTCTTATCTTAGCCTTCGCCATGGGTTTTTCTGCTTATTCTTTATTTGAATCTTTTCAGAAAAAACTCTCTCGGTCTTCCCACATAAAAACAAAATCTATAGTCATTTTGCTTTTAATATTTTTGTTTATTATATTGTCCACATTGCAACTACAAGTCAATTACGACTACAGCATAATAGTTGAAAACAATAGCGATATTTCTAGAAATCATTCCAATCATGCCCCTAATAATGATAACAATAGTGACAGTAAAAGCTCATTTTTTCTGTATCTAAATCCCCTTTCAACCAGCTCAAATTCAAACAAAAATAAACATTTGAAACACTTGAAATCTATAATAGATGAATATTCTGACAACTATGATCCCGATCTTTTCATAGATCCATCCTCAGATTCATCCTCAGATTCGGATTCAGATTCAGATTCACTCCATGATTATAAATTGAAATCAATAATGCTAATATCCTATTATTTTGATAACCCAAATCTACAAATTCAAAAAGTTAATGATTTCTTTACAAACATCTTCAATACTATAGAATTAGCAAAACCAACTGTTTCCTCTTTAACTAAAAAATACAAATCAAAATCTCCAACTATAAGCTCGGATAAAATAAAAGAACCCATATATGATGAAGAATTCTTAAAAACCTTTCTTCAATTAGACCCAGTGGAAATCAATTCTTTAAAATTATCCCATGAGATTTTTATGAAAAACACTCCAAATTCAATTCCAAATGACTTGAATTATGTTGGAAATGGCATTGTTTACGCCGGTGGTGGAAAATATAACTGGCTCACTTTGCTATCAATAAAATCTTTAAGAAGAACAGGCTCAACCTTGCCTGTAGAAGTTTTAATTCCAACAATAGATGATTATGAAATCGACCTATGCACCCAAATTTTCCCTTCTTTAAATGCTAGATGCATTTTTTTACCTGAAGTCCTTGGAAAAAATGTCATTCAGAATTTCAAGTTCAAAGGCTATCAGTACAAAGTGTTTGCTATCTTAGCTTCTTCTTTCCAAAACGTCTTATTGCTAGATTCTGATAATATGCCTGCTATTAAACCTGATTATTTGTTTGATTCAGAAGTTTTCCAGGACAATGGCTTAGTAACTTGGCCCGACTTTTGGAGAAGAACAACCTCACCTTATTTTTATGATATCGCTGATGTCCATGTAGGCGAAAGAATCAGATTTGGATACACTAACTATGGTATATACACTCATGGAATCTCTGTTCAAGATGAGAAAAACATTTCAAAGGTGCCTTTTCATGATAGGGAGGGTGCAATACCTGATTCTTCAACAGAATCTGGCCAATTACTAGTCAACAAAAAAACCCATTTTAAAATGCTATTGTTATCCCTTTATTATAATACATATGGTCCTGATCATTATTATCCTTTACTCTCTCAAGGCAGTACAGGAGAAGGAGATAAAGATACTTTTTTAGCAGCAGCAGTGAAAACAGGATCAAAGTTTTATCAAGTTAACAAGTTTGTGGGTGTGCTTGGTTATAACGCTGATGGAGGCTATCATGGAACATCAATGGTTCAGCACGATCCAGTTGAGGATTACCAAAAATTTCAAAAAAATGCAAATATTCTTAATTTAATTAACGAGGGTAAAGACAAAAAAGCATTATTTAAATCCTTTGAAGAAGCAAATGAAGCATTGCAATTAAAGCTCAAAGAAAGCAAGAGCGATAATGAAAACAACAAACTCGATGAAAATAATGAACTCAATGAAAATAACGAGCATAACAAAGATGGTGAAAATAATCTCTTCAATAAATATAAACTAGATGAAAATGACTTGGTCTTGAAACCAGCAAGTCCAAAAATAGTATTTGTTCATTCTAATTTTCCCAAATTAAATCCAGCAGCATTAAAAAAAAACAAAATCTTGGTTGATAAAGAGGAAAAAAGACATCGATATTATAGTAAAAATAAAATCGAAGGATTTGATTTAGAATTAAAAATATGGGAAGATATGAGATACTTTATTTGCGAGTTGCAATTAAAACTCCTAGCATTTGGTGGAATGGGGACTGATGACATTTGTGAAGAACTTAATGAACAAATAAAGTACTTGGAAAGCACAACAATATAAAAAGAGATACCTTTTTTTTTGTTTTGTTTTGATATATATAATTGTTTGGTTTAATTCAGGAGAGGTCTTAATGGTTTATAGTTTATAGATGGTAATTACCTTTTAGGGTAGAGACGTGGTGCTTGCTGATAAGCTGATGAGGTAAAGACATGTTGGTATTGATATCTGAGTCTGTGATTAAAACAGAAGATAAAGAAAATAGATTTGAGGTTTTAGTTATGATTTATATGTACTATTAAATGAGATTAGAGTTGTTCTTCATATTCCTGTAGGAATAACCAGTTATGGCATATGCCTCAGCTCACTTGATTGGCGAGTGTACAGCCAAACGTATATATAATGGGTTGAGCGAAGTATTTTTGTTTCTTTTGTTTCTTTTGTTTCTTTTAGTTTATATCAGGATATATATATTTAATAAAAGAAAGAAAAAAATAAATACATAAATAAATAAATATAGGTGAAAATGGATATTAGCAAGATTACAAGTAAAGAACAGGCTGTTGGATTTTTAAATCAGTTTGATAACTTTCTATTTGACTGTGATGGAGTTATTTGGAGTGGGAATACACTTTTGCCAAAAACAATTGAGATTCTAACATATTTAAAGATGGAGTTACACAAGAATCTAATATTTGTTTCAAATAACTCGACCAAGTCTAGAGAGGAGTATTTGAAGAAATTTCGTAAATTAGGGATCAATTTTATAAATAAAAACGAGATTTTCAATTCGAGTTTCGCAAGTGCAATTTATATTGAGAAGATTCTCAATGTCAATAAAGAAACTGACAAGGTTTTTGTGATTGGAATGAGAGGAATTGAAGGCGAGTTGAGGGAAGCAGGAATCAAGTATATTGGAGGAGAAGATATTAGATTGGATGATAAATTCAGTGTTGAAGAGAGCGAGTATTTCCAAAACCTTGATCCAAGTGTTAAAGTTGTATTGGCAGGATTAGATTTGAATATCAATTACCACAGACTAGCTATTGGGTTACAGTATTTATTGAGGCCAGAGGTCTTTTTCGTTTCAACCAACATTGATTCGACATTTCCAAATGGAAAATTCAAATTGCCTGGAGCAGGCACAATGATAAAGGCCCTAGAGACCTGTTCAAATAGAAAGTCGATTAGTTGTGGGAAACCCAACTTGAATATGATGAAGAGCATTATCAAAGAACACAATATCGATATTAGCAGAAGTGTTATGGTTGGAGACAGGTTAAATACTGATATCAAATTTGGGAAATTGGGAGGATTAAGTACATTATTGGTTTTGTCAGGTATTTGCAGTGAAGAGGATGTCTTTAGTAAGGATAACGATGTTGTGCCAAATTATTATATCAATAAGTTGGGAGATTTGTACGAATTGATCCATGAATAGAGGGCAGTGGAATTGATCATTAGACAAGTAAATCACTGCATTGAAAAAAAAAAGAGGGCCCAAACACCAAACAATTAGATAAATAGAGAAATGTATTTATACTATATAGAATATTAAGATAGAACTGAATCAAATTGAGTAAAATGGAACGAAATGTATGACTGGACTAAATATTCCAAAAACTATTCGTCTTTATAATCAGCAAAGGAATAGGTTGGGATTCTAAATCTGCCATCGTTATAGACGTTTTCGTCAACATCCCAACCAGTGATATTCTTCATGATTATGGATTCCTTTGATCTGTCAGCCAAATGCTTACGGATCAAGTTTCTGTCGTGCTCAGCTATCAACAAAGGAGACAAGTAGATTCTCGCCCAGTTCTTCTCTCGTTTCAATTCGTTTCTCTCTCTGATGGCCAGACAACTTTTGTAAAAACCGTAGGACATGAAGAGCACCAAGCCCAAAAAGTAGATCTTGGGTCTGAAGCCCCTGGAGGGCAAGTGTCGTTTCCATTGAATAGGGTCGTAGCCCCCGACAGGGGGGAGATCTTGGACAGTAGGCATGGTGAAGATATTAGCAGCAGGGGAAGCAGCAGAAGAGGCAGCAGAGGCAGCAGAAGCAGCACCAAATACTCCAGTTTTCCAGCTTTATGTCCACCGCTGGCCAATCGCCGCCCGCGCATTCCTAACACGGATGTGGTCAGCTGATACGGGTCTGAAATATCTGTCCCGGAACTTATCACGGCTCTATCAGCGCTTATGTAACCCGCGGAGGCTGCGGATGAGCAGCAGAAAGGCAGAAAAGGCATCTTCTTCCTGTGCTCCATTTCTGCTTCCTCTGCTGCTTCTGCTGCTTTTGCTTTCTGGCTCTTGTCGTATTCAGAATGGGGTTATTGGCTATTCAGTCCAATGCTATCAACCAGCATCTCAAATACAGAACTCTTCACTGTCTTGCCCAAAGGCGTTTTCTTTCTCAACTCTTGTCCAAAGATCATCCTGTTCACAGAATGAGAAGGCCTTCCATCAGAATTGCAATTGCTTCCAGTATTTTGATGTTTTCTTACTACTTGAACACCAGCTTCGATCTTTCCTTTTTGAATCCCACTGATTACTTCAAGAAAAACGTAATCTACTCTGACACCCCTGCCAATTCTAACAACAACAGCAACAACAATAACAGTGGCACCACTCTTTTTACGTCTTTCAGTATTAGAAACGACTCGAATTCCTCTAACATCAACAGCACTGCTTCTAATGCCTATTTCTCAACCTATTCCAACAGTCAAAAGGATTACAACAAACAAAGTATAGATCTACTATCAGACGATCAGTTTTTAAATATCTTGAGGAAACATGAGGAAAGCTTTAATATCAACAGAAATAACGGTGTACTAAGATACGATATCTCTCAATTGCCCTCAAATAATCCTGTTGAAGATGATCGTTCAGAAAAAATAGTTCAAATTCCCTACAATGATAATGATAACAATAAAAACAGTAATAATGTAATGGATTGGATGCTATGGGGAATTTACGATGGTCATGCTGGTTGGACAACTTCAAACTATCTTAAAAACCATCTACTAGATACAATAATAAACGAGCTATCTGTTGCCTATTTAGAAAAATCCTCTTCTCCTTCTTCTCCTTCTTCTCCCCCTCCTCCTTTTCCTTCCGCTTATCAAATTAAAAACTTTGAAAGCCCATCTCATTTATCAAACTCAATTGATACTGCTATCAAATTAGGGTTTTTGATCTCCGATGATATTCTAATCAACAAAAATATTCAATCCCTATTTTCAATCTCCGATAAAAATTTAAGAACTTCAACCGCTGCTGAACTATTAATGCCTGCCTTATCTGGTTCTTGTGGCTTGGTCTCCTTTTATGACTCAAATTCAAAATTATTGAAAATAGCTGTAACTGGTGATTCCAGAGCTATTTTAGGCTCCTTCGATGATAACTGGACCGTAGAAGCTCTATCAATTGATCAAACTGGTTCAAATCCACACGAAGCTCAAAGAATAAGACATGCTCATCCGGGTGAAAAAAACGTCATCTCGAGAGGTAGAGTCCTAGGTTCTTTAGAACCAACTAGAGCATTCGGAGATGCAAGATATAAATGGACCTCCGATTTACAAGATAAAATTACAAAAAACTTCTTTGGTAGAAAATATTCAGAAAATTTAAAGACCCCTCCTTATGTCACTGCTGAACCAGTTATTCAAAGCAAAAAAATCGATCCAAAAACTCACAAGTTTCTAGTCTTAGCAACTGATGGTTTGTATGAATTATTGTCAAATGAGGAAATCGCTGGTTTAGTCATAAGATGGATGCAGAGAAAAAATTTTAATAACATTCAGTCCTCAGTTTCCAAGAGCAACTCATCTTCTGCCTCAAAATTGGGCTGGAATCTTTTACACCCCTTCTCATCTAATACCTCAGCTGAAAATATAAAACAGTTACCCAATGTAACTGATGTAACTGACAAAGAACAATCTGCCTTTTTGAAACCCCCTTTTAGATCAAAATCAGATAATAAATTGCAAAACGAAATTTTCCTCGATGATGAAAATTGTGCAACCCATTTAATCAGAAATGCCTTGACGAATTGCAACACAAAAAACATTGATCAAGGTAAAATGCTATTAAGTGTGCCATCTCCCTGGTCGAGAAGATATAGAGACGACTTGACTGTCACCGTTATCTTCTTTGGTGATCAAGATTCAATATCTCACAAGATCAATATCGATGGCAAAATTGAATCCAATCTCGAGGCTACAAAAGGTGGTCGTTCTTCTCCTAAATTATAAATATGCTAAATTCGTCTCCCATTCTTTCCAATTTTTTTACTCAGGTTTCTTGTTTCATTATATATATATATATATTATTATTATTCATCTTTTATATTATTTAGTAATTGTTCAATAACCATTTCATCTTGTTTCTATTTATTTTGTTTTTTTATTATTTTGTTTTTTTATTATTTTGTTTTTGTCTCAGATGTGTCTTCGGAATTTTATTTTTTCCCTTTTCTTTCCTTCATGTGATTCTAAATACATATTTTGCATCGAGGGACAAAGAATGTTTCAAAAAAGGTAACACTGTTATCAACATCAACATCATCACCATCTACTTATATATTTGCTTCCTTCATTAGTAATAGACATCGTTTTGTTCATTCTACTCACAGCATAAAATAGCCTACACAATCCACTTTTGGTACAGTTATATTAAACTATACGAAAATTGTGTAAATGTTTAACGGTACTTTAATATACTATGAACAAATTCTCTTCTTATGAAAACCATAATCTCTATGGCGAGGACGTTTTAAATGATGACAGTTCCAGCGGCCATAACAATATTCTCAACAACGATTTCCACAATTTGGATATAGAAGAAGACAGCATGAACACTGCTAACAATAATCTCGAGTTCAGTAACAATTTTGCACATAAATGGCCCAGAATTAGAGACACTTTGCTGTCATTAAAATCCTTTCTACTATCCAGAAGATCTATGGAGACATTTTTCTGTATTATAGGTTGGTATATCTTTTCATTGACTATATCCTTGTATAATAAGTGGATGTTTAGTGATCCTGATTTAAATCTACCCTTTCCTGTATTAATAACTTCATTTCATCAATTAACTCTATTTTTTTTCAGTTCTGTTTTTTTAATTTTTGTTCCTTCTTTAAGACCGGATATTTTCAAATCTCAAATTAATCTCGATAATGATATTGGCAATAGCACAAATTTAAACCGAGATGGACAGGTCAAATTACAATTTAAAGATTACTTGATGGATCCCAAATTGTATGTTATTGCAATCGTGCCCTGTGCAGTTGCGAGTGCTGCTGATATTGGTTCTGGTAATGCTAGTTTAAAATTGATTACTTTGAGTTTTTACACAATGGTTAAATCTTCTTCGATTATGTTTGTATTATTATTTGGTATATTATTTGGATTGGAGAGTGCCTCATGGACAATTGGTGGTATAGTTTCTATCATGACTATTGGTGTGATCTTGTTAGTAGCAGGAGGTGGAACGCCAAGTGATGAGAATGTAAATAGTAATGCTGGATTTCAAGTGATTGGGTTTTTCTTAGTTTTAACATCATCAATAATGTCTGGTTTAAGGTGGACATTTACTCAGTTGTTATTAAAAAAAAATAAATATACATCAAATCCAATATCTACGATTTTTTATTTGGCACCACTAATGTCTGCGATATTGTTTGTAATTGGGAATTTTTTGGAAGATATTACAAAAGTGTTTGAAAATAAAATATGGAAAGAAAAGGGAATTGTTCTAACGTTACTTATATTCATTTTCCCTGGTGTGTTGGCGTTTTTCATGACTATTTTTGAATTTGCTTTACTACAAAGATCTCATGTTATAACGTTGTCAATTGCGGGAATCTTTAAGGAGTTGCTAACTATTGTTGCATCTGTAATTACGTTTGGTGATTCGTTAAATTTTTTAAATATTGTGGGATTGATAATAACATTATCTGCTATTATTTGGTATAATTGGTTTAGGTTTAAACAGAGTCTTGAGGATGGGAATTATGATTTAATCAACAATAATAATAATGGCAGTAACAATAATGATAATGATAATGACAATATTTTAAATAGTAACATTGAGGATAATTATGATATTGAATTTGACGACTTGGTGAATGAGATGGAAGAAATGGACGATATTCTGGTAGAAGATGAGATAATTGATAATGGTTCCGATATTTATTTCAATCCGACCAAATAATAAAGTGTTAAAGTGTTAAAGTATTAATAAAAGTATTATGTTGTTATAGATAAAGTAAAATTTTGTTTTTTATAGGTAAACATCACGTGCTTGAAGTTGATTTTGGATTATAAGGATGAAAAATTAGAATAAAGTTCCTTCTTTTGAGGGGATTTGGACGAATTTGAAATGTTATATTGATATATACTCGGTGAATTAAGTAGAGGTAAAAATGGAAATAGATAAGATAGATAAGATAGATAAGATAGATAAGATAGATAAAAATGGATAAAAATGGATAGAAATGGATAGAAATGGATAAAAGATAATTTAAAAACTACTTCTTCTTAGGAGGAGGTGGTAAAGAATCAATTTTATCATGTTTTACATCGCCATCAACTTGATGACTTTTATTAATCTGTTCTTCAAAGTAGCTACTGAGATCGACGTTTTTATTTTTAGAGAGAGAGTTGCGCTTTTTTCTTCTACTTGTGGGAAGCCTTTGGGTGGTTAATGGTAGAGAAGAGAGAGGAGGTAAAGAGGGATTGGTAATAGATTGAGAAGGAGGAGGAGGAGGAGAAATTAGTTGAGAAGGAATAAATGGGGTATTGTCAATAGTGTTGTTTTGGTTTATGTATTGGTTGTATTGATTTTCATAATCGTTATTGATATTGGATCCAATATTTGGTTGAATATATGAATTTATGTTTGAATCTGGATTATGATTGATATCATTGATATCATTGATATCATTGTTGTTGGCGATATTGTTATCATTATCATTATCATTACCATTGATAATTTGAGGAATTCGATGTAGATAACCATAAGCTACAGAACAACCAATTAGACCACTACCACCCCAGTTGTTGTTTGGTTTGATTTTAACGTGCCTAATTAAATCAAAGTCGTGGTTGTACACCAATAGGTTTATGGTTGAGTTTGAAGGGTTTCGATTGTAAATTGAGGTTATAACTCTGCCGAATAGGTCTTCACCGCCAGTAGCAAGTAAGCCATTTTCGATGCCAATTATATAATCGCTGTGAGGGATTAGTTTAGCATGGTAAGCAGGAGAGTTTTTTTGGATTTCGATTACGTGGTAGACGTATGTTGCAGAGACTAGAGAAGTTAGTTGGAAGGAGATGCCAATTTTGTTGAATTTTATATTGATGTTGTTGTTGTTATTGCCTGTGTTATTATTTTGTAGGGAATTGGTTGAAGAATGAATATTGATTTCGTCTAAGATATCGTTATTTTGATCAATTGGAAAGTAAATTTGTCTTGTTGTGCCACCCTTTGCACTCCAGACAGTTAAAGTGATTGAAGTGCCTATTGAGTTGTTGATTTCGTCCAAGAAGGAGGCATAATCAGGTAAAAGCTGGTTGTTAACGAATTGGTTTTGGTAGTTGTACGGGCTGTACTGGAGGTCGTTTGCTAGGGGGTTTGTGGTGAGCTCGTGGTTGTTGATGCCAATGATATAGTCGAACCATGGCTCTAGGCCTGAGGAAGCAGCAGGAGAAGAAGGCTCGACGTGGAGGACTCTGAAACCATAGAGAGAGCCATCTGCACTTTTGAAGTACGTATCGTTGGTGCTGGAGACGTTGGGAACGATGTTGGACTTGAGGGTCTCAGCAGACTGTTCCAAGGTGTTCAAGAGCTTTGAGGCAAATGAGGAAAACATGGTGGAGCTGTGCTGGAATTGGAGAGGAGTGTTGGAAAGGAGCGTTGGAGAGAAGAGGCATGTTAAGAAGCTGAGGAAGCAGAAGCACGGCGCGGCGGTTTTTGCGACGCAGATGGCACACGCACAAGCAAACGCACTTTTGCTCACGTGTAAAGAAACGCACTTTGCTGTGCAGAGCTGTGAGCACCGTTATCAGGTGCTTCAACGACAAAAGCTAATTAGATCTCCTGTATTTGAAGAATTACAATCACATTGCAGATTTTTGTTTGAAGATAAAAGAAAGTTTCATTGACAGAAAGTTGGATTCTTCTACTGTCGTTTACTTTCCTTCAACAGATGCATTTGTTGGTACTGTTCAAAATAAATGTATTTTCAATAAAAAGAATGCTTTGGTTTCTCGATTAATAGATATATTTAAATCGACTGCAAAATCTAACTGGTTTAGTATCTTTGGATCATCAAACAAAGCAGCAGTTCTATTGAATATACTTCAGGCAACTAGCATTGCTAATGAAATTTCTTTTGCTTCACTGAGAACTAAATAGCCAAATGTCAAAGTCGAGTACTCCGAAATTTTTTGAAGATTGTTTTGAATAACTGAGTCTGAATTAGGATCTAATGTTAAGAAAATTGACTCTTTGAAATCAATCAATCAATCAATCAATAAAATACTGTTGCATTTGCAAATTGCCACATTGACCAAAGCTTGCTTCAAAATATTGGACACAACTTGGTGATCTGTAAAGTGAACCAGGCTATGTTCGGTTTTGCCTTCTACTGTCAAAATAATGCTGTCGGTTTTTTGAGTGTTATCCTTAAACAACCATCGATGTAAAAGTTTTTTTTGGCAAGATTTTGTAGTTGGTGTAAAAACGAATTCGAAAAAACAATAAAGGAACAGGATCAAAGTACATATCTTTTAAAAATGACATTAAATTACTCTCACTAGCGATGTGTAACTATTACAAAAGTTAATTTTTGCGCTAGGTATGGCATTGAGGTGCTCATCTAATTGTTGTAGGATTTGAGCTGTATTTAGCTTTGAAGACACGAAATGGGTAAATGCGTTTGCTATGACAAAGAATATGGTTGTGCTCTTTGGATAACTGAAAAGATGCAACACTTGGAACATACTTGAGACATTACCAGAGTGTGACCAAATAAATGGCTTGCGTTGGCGGATACGGCAAATGCGTACCGGTGTTTTGTTTCGAATAACCGCCGTTCTCGGGACTCCGTACGTCCGTAAGTTTGTTTACTTTGGTGACTCGACGCAGAGGCAGCAGAGGCAGCAGAGGCAGAAGCAGAGAAAGAGAAAGAGGCGCCAGAAACAGCAAAATCACCAGAGAAACCACCCACAACGCCTCTCTGCTGCCCATCGCCTGCGTGGCTCTGGAGAAGATATCTTACCACCATCCAGTAACAAGACCTGTTCTGCGTTTATAATTAGACTCTCTTCTATTGTTCCAATTGGTAACTCTGATATACTGTTTCTGTCCAGTTCTATCAGAGCCAGATAATCTCTTCTTCTGCTGTGTATCATTCCAATCCATTCTGTTCTACTGTATCTCATCTATTCCACAACGCTCCACTGTTTCCATCACTGAAATACTTCCCAAAGGAATATTACCATATATCGTTTGTTTGGGTCAACTTATAATCTCACATCTCAAAATATCCTATTCCATCGTATAAATCAACTTTCCAGTTACATTCTTCCAACTTCTCCTATTCACCTAAACCTCATCTCTTTCTCATCTCTTTTTCTTTCTCATTCTCTTCCCTTTTCTCTTTCTTGACCACACTTTATCAGCCATGGCCGATACTGAAGAAGATGCTCTCCAACTATACGAAATAGTAACTGGCGATTACTCTCTCGAGCTTAAAGAATCTCAGCTACTAAAATTCAAAACTCATGTCAAAAAGGAATTGGTCAATCTCAACAATGTTCCTCTCTACTTTAAAACCTTGGTTTATGCCTTCAACAAAATATCAAACAGCTCCATAATCTCAATCTCACTAACCACAATAACCCATCTAATAAAACGAGTCTCAATGCAAGACTCCACTGGCAATTCCCTAAGACTATCAATAGAATCTGGCGTCTTGAACATCTTCATTAACAATCTAAACGACTACAGACTATCCTACAGAAACCTATCCAAAAAATGCCTCTTCAATTACTGGCTATCAAACAACGTCGACGTCGAAATCTACCTCAAAAATTACTTATTCAACAACTACTCCCTCTCTTACTCCCCAATCATCCTAGAACTACTAATCATCATCCTAGAATTCTACCAAAACAACAACAACTTGAACTTGCAAATTTTCATCAACCCAATTCTAAAAATATACCAAAACATCTCTCTCAACTACAACTCCATCTCAAATCTAAATCTAAATCTAATAGCAAACACAAACTCAAACCTATTATCAAAATCTTCTCAGAACATCGAACTAATAGACAAAATCAAACTAAACTGTATCTCTCTAATCCACCACTACATCTCTCAATCACAACAAAACAAATTCAAATTCTTCCAAATTTGCGACACTTTAAAAGTCCCAAAAAAAATTATTGCCGAACTTATCCACGACATTGATAACCAATCAAACAACATCCTAAAATCTGACCCCAACACAAAAATCTACCTCCCAATATCTTCAACCAAATCCTCCCCAATCTTATCCAATTTCAATCACAACCAATCCCAATCCCAATCCCAATCCCAATCCCAATCTCATAGAAAAAGTGGCTCCCTCTCGCCTTATTCAAATTATACAAAAAGACCCATCTCAAGACAACTTTTCTCAGCAACAAATACATCTCAAATCAAAAGACCCTTATCAAGAAATATCTCAACTCCTTCCTCTCCAATCTCTTTAAATTCAAAGCCCACCACTTCACAATCTACAATTTTAAATCAAAACCAAAACCAAATCAAATCAACATCAAATGCATCCTCTTCAAGCTCAATTGCAACACTAACTCAAAATTCCTCCCTCAAAACAAATACTACAGTCACAACCACTTCTAATACCATCAAAAGATCCCAATCAAAAAAACAAATCTACACTACCCAATCGACTTCCCAATCGACTTCCCAATCTTATTATCCTAACAACTTCCAAAAACCAGACTTTCTTCTTAAAAATCAAAAATTGGACCTCTTCTTAAATGCCTTGAATGATTTTCCCCTAGAAAATTTTGATTCTCTAGACCTCTACTCCTCAGAATCTCTTTCCCTAACTTTAAATAAAATGGAATACGATTTTAAAGACAAGGAAACTGAATTCAACTGGAATGGCAGAGAAAGAAATATCATCACCTTAAGATCCCTCATAAGAGGCAACTTGATCGATGATAATCAATTCTTGGGCATCTTTTTCTACGAACTAAAAAGATTCCTACTAGATGGAATCGCTAAGTCTTGTTCCTCTCTAAGAACAACTCTATCCAATCATGCCTGCAAATTCATTAAAGAATTCTTTATTCTCTATAATGACTTGATCGACTCTTCCACCGTCGAATTCATATTCAACATTCTAATCAAATTAACTATATCAACTAAAAAACTAACCTCAATGAACGCATTTATCGCCATTTGCTCAATTCTAACCTTCTCAACCTGCAACCAAAGAATCATGGCTTCCTTATTCACCTATTCAAATGATAAAAACTCTTCTCCAAGATTATACTCCGCCACTTATTTTAAAATCTTGCTCTTAAAAGACCATGAAAAGTACTTTGATTCGAGCAATATCACAAAATTATCAACCATTATCCAAAAAAATCTTGGTGATTCAAATCCCAGCGTTAGAGAAGGCTATAGAGATGTATTTTGGGTTTTTTATGAAAAATTTCCTAATAAAGGTTTGTTCCTATTCAACAAAATAACTCCAACAATTAAAAAAACCTTAGAAAAAGTCAAACCTGATCACATCCCTATTTCAAACTTAAACTCGCGTTTATCAAGTAGCTTCTCAAGTCGTCGTAATACAAGCAGTAGCATGGATCATCGTGATATATCAACATCAAGAGCAACCAATAAAAATACAAATGTACGAGATTTTATTAAAGCCAATAGAGAAAAACTTAAAATTCAAAAAAAGGATTTGGCTTTTGAAAAACAAAGAAGTCAATCCCAACTTTCAAACACCAACACAAGTCGTGCCCAATCTGCTAGAAATACTAATGGTTTTCATAGATCAATCTCTTCATTAGCTCAATTTCATACACAACCAACATCTAGTTTGACTAAACCCACAAGAGTTCTAAACAGCTCCAGCACAAAAACCCTAAGTTCCTCAAGAACCAAAAGCAATACCTATGGATTTAACTCATCCGCAACTAACAATGTTTCAAGAGAACCCTTTCGTTCAAAATCTTCTATTAGTTCAAGAAGGTATATGAATTATACTGAAAGCTCTCTTGGTGGCTCAAACAGAGGCAGCATATCTACTTCTAGATCCTTTAATGCTAACTTATCAAGTGCAAAGTCTTTTGTTTCATCCAAGAGGAAATCAGATATTGGTATTATAAGCTCTACTATCAGTTCCACTTCAATCAAACCTACTTTCAAATTTTCTTCAACCTCATTCTCAAATATAAGAGCGCAGTTTGATAATAATGAAAATCATGTTGATAACAACAATCGAGGTCTAGCCAGCAGTCACAGCATGGGTTTTAACATTAACGGTGATAATATTAGTTTGAAAAGTCAAAAAAGCTCTCCTTCTTTACGTTTATCGGGAAGTTTCACTCCTTTAAATAAAGTTGAAGAGATAAATATTGCTGGGGTCTACAGATCGCTGTCCATCACTCCAATAAAAGAGTATGACACCAACGGTGCTCTTAATTATAATTCAGAATTATTTACTAATCTCCAAGAGAAATTTTCTACCAAAGATAAAAAATTAGACATACAAAACTCAGTATCTGGAAAAGATGTTGATAGCGATGTTGTTATGATTGATCGATCAATTTCAAACAATGAAATCTCTAAAACCTCGGATTTTGACTCAAAAAGTATTTCCAAAGCCAAATCTCCTTTACTGGGATCTTTGAGAAAGCTATCTAGTGCTAGTACAATAAAAGATTCTTCTCATACACCTGCCTCAACACTTAACTCAATTGATAGGCCAACCAATTCTATTATTTCAATACCTGATGTGATAATTAGTAAGCTTTCATCTGATTCAAATGAAATTAATTTGGAAGGTTTGCATTTTTTAGTTAATTCTTTCAAAAATAATGAAAACTTTTCTTCTGATGAACATCTTAAAATTAAAAGCATATTGGCTGAGTTGGTTACTAAAAATCCAAAGTTATTATCAGTTTTGACTAGCGATCAGGAAGTAATAAAGAATTCTATTCATTTTTTTGATGAAAAGACTTTTCTTGAACTTGTTGCTATAAATCTTGAAAGATATCAAGTTGAAAAAAACTTTTCATTTTACTTAAATGAGATAAGGATAGTTGTAACTACTTTGGTTAATATCATTGGATTTGAAAGATTTTTTAAAATATTAGTAAATTTCATTGATGAGTTAAACCAGGGTTTGGATACTATGAGTTGTATAAAAAAACATGTTGATTTGTTTTTGATTAAGAGATATTTGAGATATAAGGAGCCTAATTACAAATTTTTATTCTACACGTTAGATTACCTAGTCTGTTCTCCCCAAAAAAATAAAATATTAGAAAACAACTTTAGAAAATTGATATCAATTACTATTCCTTCAATTTCCTATCTCAAATCTATAAAATATTCTGATCCAGTTGAGAACATTTTGAAGTCTTTATTTAGCTACAATAATGGATCATTTTTAGAAGAGTTGACTTTTTATTATGATGGTTTGAATAACGAAAATAATTCTTTTGATAGGAAAAATTTGTTAGATAAAAAAGAAATCATACTTATTGCTAATCCTTCATATGTCGAAAGTTCGGAGAGCGTCTTTAATGAAGTTTCTAATGAAATTGAAGTCGAAGCAGATGAAAACCAAGATAATACCGATTTCATTTTTGAAGGTAAAAGCATCCATTTAAGCCCTTTAAAAATTGGGGATTTAAGAAAAAATAATGATCCTCAATCTCCCAAATTTGAACTTGATAAAATTGAAGCCAATTTCAGTCCACTTAAGATTAAGGATTTCAAAGGCGAGACTATTTATTTTACAGAAGGAGAAAAACAACTTCTTGATACGACAATGATAAATCCAGAAAAAAATACTTTACAAAATATTGAAACCGATACTTTGGAAGATGAACCCTCAACAAAAGCTAAACCTCTTAGTGAGAATAAAAAAACAGCTGAAATCTCGTTGAATTCTGGTGATGTTTCTGAGAAATCTATTTCTACCAACACAGAGTCTCAGGGAATAATAAGTATCTTCAAGAAAAGATTAAGTCTAGACTCCGTTAATTATGAGGCATCCACTTTAACAGATGGAAATATATCTACTAAAGATCAAGGGGTATTGGCATCAGAAGGTACAAAAGAAATATCTCGTGAAAATGAAGGTATTGTTGAAGATAACTCCACCAAAGCCATTGAAAAGTTAAGAAAAATTATTTCCAAAAATGACCCTACATTTTCTAGATCAAGAAACCATCCTTTTGTGATTTATCAGGATGTTTATCAAAACAACCATGAATTATACTCAAATTTCAAAAATAATATAAAAAAAGAAAATCCAGGCCTTGAAAATTTGGATGTCACACTTTTTCAGATGCATTTGGCCAAATACGAACTTTTTGTTCAAAAAATCAATTCTCAATACAATAGAGAGGACAAACAATTTTTCAGAAGAAAACTCAAGAAGAGATCATTAATCAAATTTAAATTCACTTTGAAAGATATTGAGACTAAAATTGACAATATTTTAAATTTTGATGAGATAAACCATTCGGATACGGCTATTTTGATATACTTGGTTAAAAATATAATTAAGGATTCAGATGATAAAAACTTTAAAACTAATAAACTGTATGAATCTTTGCAAAAGTGGTATATCAATAAAGGGTTTGATATGTTGTTTGAAAATTCTATAAAGTTTTTTGAGCTTTACAAAATAGTTGATTTGAGAGATAAAGAAATTCCTTTTATGATATTAGTATTGTTGAACATTTTAATTTTAAAATCTAATGTCAAAGTTGAAAACAATAGGAGAAAGGTTTTATTTAACGAGTTTCTGCAAGTTGAAAATTTTTGGTACTGCTTAGTTGATATTATTAATCTTATTAATAGTGTTAACGATAATGCATTTAAGCTTGTTGAAGAATTGATAGACAATTTGCTCTTAATAGGTGATAAAAAGATGATCAAGAAACTAATGGATCTAAATTATTTGTCTTTGGTTTCAAAGGATAGAGATGATCTTAAAAATCACAACGGTTTAATATTGATTCTTGAAACAATTTGCAAACTTTTAAAAATTCTTGTATATGAATATGATATTATTCAAGGCAATGAAGTTGGATATATTAATGAGGTAATATTCAGAATTCACAGCAAAATCAAACCTCTTCTTGATAGTCAAAGTGTTGAGCTAAGAAGATTGGCTATAGTGGTATTTGCTTTATTTAAAATATTTAAAAATCAATTACTAGAAAAAAAATTATTGAATAGTTGTGGGATTGTTAACAGTGCATTCCAAAATTTATCTCCAAACAAATTGAAATTGATTGATTTTTACAGTAAAAAAAACATTAGTCATTGCATTGCTAAAAATATTAGTTGAATATTTTTATACTTTAATTTTTTGTTTTTTTAGGTGATTTTAAATTTGTTTTAAGCTGGATCTTATGTTTTTATTCAAGTTTTTGACATGCGTTTGAATTAAGGTTTATTATTGATGTTCATTAAAAAACTGTATCGTTGCTATAACAATATATATATTTTCGTTAACTGCATAATAAATAATAGTTTCGTTTATATATTTGGGATAAAGATGATTTGGCTATTTTATATAATCACCATTGTTAAAAAGTTTTCCTTTGACGAATTGCAAGCCTTCGCCAGAATATGAAATCAAACCATCAAGTTCAATTTTAGCACCATCTTTAATTATCGCACCGTTTTCCTTCAACCATTTAGTATGTAAAGCTAACAAGTGAGAAGCACTTGTTTCTGGAGTATCTGATTTGGCTCCAGAAGCATTTTTCAAAGGAGAAAATTCCTCCTCTCTTTTTACCTCGAGACAACCAAATTTTTCTAGACTGATACTTTCAAAAATATCAAAAATAAACTGTTCCAATTTAATACCATTTGAAGAAGTTGGTTTGATTAGTTGGTTTGAGGCAGTATCGAAATAAGGAATCTTCTTTTTAGCAATGTGATAAGGTAGATACTTTCTGGAATTTATCCAAGATGGAATCATGTTGGATAAAAGATCAACCGAGTAAAAGTGGTTAACGATGTTAGCAGCACGTAAGTATAATAAGGAGTCATTTGCAGGATCTTTCTTATTAGCTAGCTGAGAGGAGATTTCACTATACTCAATTACAGCTGGTTTATGGTTTTTTGAGATGATTAACCCAACAGATTCATTGGGATCAGTTTTCCTAACAACTTTTGTGGCTAAATCCCATTTTTTTTCTACAGCAAGACCAATAAATAAGGGATCAGCGACCTTGACTAAACAGTTATCAACACAATACATGTGGATGTGTTTTAGGTTTCTTTTTTTGAAATCATCTAATAGGTTGTTATCATAAATTGCTTTGTATAGACCTCCATTTCCATCGGGGGATTTTGCAATTGAAGATTTTGAGCTCAATAAAATTTTATCGCCTTTAAGGTTAAAACAGGGCAAAGTACCTTGATTGAAAAAAATCACATTTTGAGGGTTTAAGCCAAAGTAATTATTCTCTTTAAAAAAATTCTCGGTTGGGGCTCTTGTTGGTTCGGAAGTCATAATATACCAAGGTAAAACAGAAGTATCACCACCACTGATTTTTTGTAAAGCTTTGATTCTTTTAGCTTGTAGCTCAAATAAGGAATTGTTTGAAGGAATGGTAATTCTAAAAGTGCCCTTTGGGGATGAAGAGCCTAGTCTTGTTCCTTGACCACCAGCCATTAAAATAATACCAACTTTATTTTGCTTAATCAATTCAAGACCTTTGTTGTAATATTTAGTTTTCTCGTCATCGGATAAAGAGTTCTTATCGTCATCTTTCAATAGAGAATAAAAGTTGTCATTAGGTAGCTGGTAAAAGGCTGAATCATCAGTGGAAGAGGAATTGGCGTTTAAAAGCTCCAAAGCATCTTTAACAGAATTAATCAACTTTGAAGGACTTGATATCTCACTGGCATCATGCAAAAGTTGCTCTCTCTCTTCAGTGGATAACTCATTGTAGAACTGAAATAAGTGAGACTGCCCAGCTTGAGCGAAAACCTGTTTGAGTTCGGTAGCTTGAGTTTCGGTGTCAGAAGTCGCAATAGTCATTATAAGAGAAATTGAGTAGCAAAAAAAAAATAAAACAAATGGATAGGAACGAAAACAAAACGAAATAAGATTTGTGAAAAAAAAGATGAGAGTCGTTCAATATTGCTCAATTTATAGCACCGCAATCAACAAAAAAACAGCCTCATAAACACCAGCCAAATACCTTTATGTCTCTTCAATTCTGGCCGCTGCACGAAAATCGAAACGTGGGCTATATTTAGAAATCCCTGTGAATGGACACTACCAGCACAGACCTGGAGGGGTGCTGTGCATGAATGTGCATACAGAGCACCGCATATATTGGGTCGATACCACTGCGACGGGAATGGTCTCTATCGCGAAAAATGCTCAACGCGAGATTCAAAAGGATAAGAAGCGTACCGATAAGGTCTTTCAACGTTTGTGGAAACAATAAAATACAAAATAGTGGAGCACGCTAAGGCGTGGTATCAATGTTCCACTGCTGTCAAGCCACAAATTTCACTGGATTTGCCAAAGTGACACTTGGGTGTCTTGCAGTGACTTTTTGGATGACAATAAAGGAATGAACAACACCATTTCACAATTTCAGTCTGTGCAAACTTTATTGCCAAAAAATGTTGGGGATTGATCCATAATGCGCTGGATATTTGTTTTCTGGCATTTTGGTCTTTATTTTGCATTTAAACTGCAATGGTTTTGTTCCATTTGGGTCTGGATGTCAAATGGCTACCAAATGTGGTCTTTTATTGATGTCCAGCAGCACCTCTCTCCAAACAATCAAAAGTAGAAAACAGGACTCAAAGATACTAAACACAAAAAGTATATATATTCTTGACTCAAATAGGCAACAACTTCAAAACTCTACATGTTGAGATTTTATGTCTTTTCAATAAAATTTTAGTTGCATCAAGGTTCAGGGATGAATTAAATGCTTAATGTTAGATTAAAAAATTAATGTGTCAGACAGATGTTAAACAACAAAATTTTCAAATGAGAACTTAATAATGATCATCATATCCACAGAAATCTATAAATGATCAGTAAAATCAATTAATAATCTCGTCTCCATCACTATCAACGTTATCATTTCCGCGTTCGCTTTCGTTTGCAGCATCATCGCTTTCAATTTCATTATCATCTGCATCACTGTCTTCGTCACTATCGTCATCATCCTTACTAAATATCTCGGTTATTTTACCGTCATCTAATTCGTCCACTATAACATTTTTCCAACGGTTAATATTAGATGTACTACTACTAGAAGTGTCATTTACATTGACAGTATTACCAACATCTAAAGTATTTGGATTTTTAGACGAATTCCCATCGCTATTGTTTTCATTCAAGTTTTCTCTTTTGGGTTCTTTTGAGCCTTCCAACACATTTAGATATCTCTTTTTTTCAGCCAATGCATCTTCAGATCCCCAAATCTTAACCGTAAAATCATCGCTGGCACTTGCAAACATCCATGGGACCTTTGGATTAAAATCAACACAATTAACAACCTCATTATGCCCCTTTAATGCTAATATTAAAGCTGAATATTTTTTATTCCATATATATATTCTGCCATCTTCGCTACCAGAAAGAACTAAAGATTCATTGATTCCTCCAAAACATGATCTTATTATATGGTTTTCTTGCTGTTGCCCGACAAATTTTTTCAACAATATTCCCTTGGCCCAATCCCATAATTGAATGGAGTCTGGTAATACATTGATCAAAACATGTGAAGGGTGGAGTCTTGATACTGTCAATGATGTTAATTTTTTCCCAACAGATATCATTTTAATTAATTGATGTGTTTTAAGTGACCAAACACCAATACATTGATCTGAAGTTATTCCTATCAAATAATTGGAATCTTTTGAAATACATAAATCATTGATTCTATGAGTTGATATTCTAAATTTCTCTTTAAATGTGTTTGCATCAAAATAGATTATTTCCTTTTCTGGTGAACCTAAAACAAATCCAGCAGAGTTTGGTAGCCAAACACAAGAAGAAATTCTTGGGTAGGATTTTTTAGAAGTTGATTTTCTTTCATTTGAAGATTCATCCCCATCCTCATCCTCATCTTCTTCATTATGATGGAGATTATTATTATTATTATTGCCACTACCGCTACCACTACCACTAACATTAATATTAGTACCCATTGAGTTATTGCCAGCATTGGAATTTTCACTGCTGGTTGTTTTATTTTTTGACTTTTCAGGATTAACATCAATATGGATTTTTGATTCACATTTACCTGAGATTAAATTCCAAACCTTAACCCTACAAGAATCACTACTTAATAGTTTTTCATCATTTGAGGACCAAGAAAGATATGAAACATTCTTTTTATGACCCACTAGCCTTTTAACTAATTTGAAGCTGGATGAATTATAAAATTGATCATCCTCAACATCTTCAAAATAATTAAAATTTGAAACTTGATGAATATAAATGATTCCGCTAGTTGTGGTAGTTGCAAGGTATTTTCCATTATTTGAAAATTTGACAAACCAACTTTGAATTCGAGGAGTTTTAAAACTAACTGAATTAAAATCTAGAGTTTGTAAGATTTTATTTGGAAATTTTTTTAATGGAAACTGAAAATCCTCAAACAAAGAATTGTTATTTTTAACACTATAATTTGAAAGGGAGTTATTTGGATCGTCAATATAACCTAGTGTGATTAGATTTCTGGATTCTTGATACAACCTTGCTTGATTAATAATTGATAATAATCTATGTGGAGGTATTAGCTGATGATAATTCAAAAATTTTGAAAGTTTGTTAATTAAAAAACTTCTTGAAATTTTCAACATTGAGTGTAATTGAGTTTGAGATAATTCTTCAAAATTATAGGATTTATTAAAATCAAGATTTAAGAAAAATCCGTTGTCTTGCAAAAAAGAAATAAGCTCTTTGATATTGAAATAGGTTGGGCTATAATTCAAAATTAGTTTTTGGTTTAAAATTAACGACAGTAAAAGGCTTTGGTCGTTAATAAAATCTCTAACACTGTAAACATTTGATATTGAAAAAAAGGATTCAACAGGTTTAAGATTTATAAAATTTATTTCATTCATTAAGATTTGGGTTGATTTTAGGACGTCATTATGTAAAAATAAAGATTCTAATAATTTGTGTCTTTTTATTAATGATTTGGTCAAAGTTTTTAAAACATTTATGGTATCCAGTTCTAATTTTCTTAAAATCTCTTCTGAAGATTGCTCCTTTTTAGCATTTGTTTTTTTAATTTCGTGATCCTCAATATTATTGTTGATAGATTTTGCGACTGAAACTGGGTAAATAAGATCAGTGTTAAAGGTATCAAAATAATTTGTTTTGAAAGACAAAAAAGGAATTAAATCTTCTGCTTTATCAAAATCACCGATTTGAATGTATTTAATAAAATTTGAAATCTTGTTATCAGGGTCCGTATTATTCGAATCAATATCAGTAGGATTAAGAGCAATTTTAGATTCGTTTTTTAAAGTATCAAAAGTGTTTTTATAACCCAAATCATTTAAAGTCTGTAGTAATAAATTAGTTAGTTCAGCCTTTGATACTTTACTTTTAGAGTAAATATCAAATAGAGACTTTGTAGACTTCAGATTGAATAATAAGCTGGTAACACCAAGGGAATTATCATCAGTTAGTGCGCCTTCGGTTTTATCAGTAGAGGTGGGAACGTTACTAGTTGCAGTGGCATTTATGTCAATAGAATGGGGGTTCTTGGAGGAAGATGATCTTTGAGTGTCTTCATGGTTAAGTATGGAGTTAATTGTATTGTTTCTTTTGAAAGTATTGCTCATGGTGACTAGGTATTTCGGGCAAAACGAACAAGTATACTATCAAAGTGGTTGATTGTAATGGTAAGATTAGCATTATCTGTATAACAGAGCTTAAGTATGGAGGTTGAGAAAAAAAACAATTACCCGGAGTGATTTTATGAGCCAAGCGGATGATGCCTGCTCATGTGACCGGACGGTTTCGAATATGAGTTCCGGTTTTGCCAATTTCCTGTTTCTATGATTTTATTTGTAAGTTTGTGCAAAACAAGATTATAATAGGGGAATTGGGAATTGGGAAGTGGGAATTGGAAGTCGTTTTGAGGTTAGAGTTGGATAGATGATGACAGCATTGGGTTGATCAATGCTTTTGTGCGACTGAAGCATGAAATATGGAAAAGTCTGCAAGATGTCAAGCTACTTATGCAAAGTGGTCTATGTGGGAATATTTCACTGGAAAAATAAAATTGTCGAATTATTGAAATATGAAAATACTCTAATAGACGATATAAAAAGAAATTAAAGAATATCGATAATAAGATTGGTGTATAAGATTGGTGATAAGAGAAATGAGAAATAAAATGGTAATAAAGTTTGATTTAGGTGGAATAAGTTTGAATAAGTCAAATATTGTCTTTAATTAAGTTAAAGGTTGTCTTCAAAGGTAAGCCAACGACATTGTAGAAATCACCATCAATTTTATTGAATAAAATTCCTCCTAGACCTTGAATTTTATAACCCCCTGCGGCACCTATACCTTCACCAGTTTCGACATAATCGAGTAGATCAGCGTCGGTTAAATTATTGTCCATGATTACTTGGGTTACTTCTACTTTTGAGGCGACTAAGCCATTTTCATTGAAAAGTGCAATGGCGGTCATAACGCTTTGATTAATATTTTTTTTTGAAGAGTTCAATAAATCTTTAAGCATTAAGAAATTATGGGATTTATCAATTGGTTTTTCATTAATAGTTCCATTTGATTCCACTATGGTATCAGACGATAGGATTAATAGATTTTTATTTAGTTTTTGAGTGATGGTTTGAGACTCTTTTTGAGTGATATTATTTATATCAAGTTGCGCATGTTTTTGTGATATGATCTCATTGTAAACGAATTCGCCCTTTTTCACTGCAGTTTGTAAAACGTAATCTTTGGGGGATAATAAAGTTTTATTCAAATTTTCAGGAAAACTAGAAGGATAAATTTCGATGTTACTGATCCCCATTTGTTTAAGAATATCCAATCTTCTTGGTGAAGTTGAAGCTAAAACAAAGCGATAGTTTTTATGATCGTTGATTAAGCTTAAGGTTTCCATTGAGAATAAAAGAAGGTAATAATGTAATAATGAGATAATGTAAGAGTATTAAAGAAATAAAGTATTAGAGTATTAGAGTACAAAAAAGAATGGTAATTGAAGCAATATGGGATAAAATTTGACTGAAAAACACTTTGGCTGTTTTATTCTCTTTTTCTTTTTTTTCTTTTTTTTCTTTTTTTTCTTTTTCTAATTGTTGATTTCACAGCAATGAAGTTTTGAAAGAGATAATAAGCTAGCAGAAGAAGTTAAATAATATATCAATTGCAACTACATCATAAAGAAAGAAGTTTGAAGACAAAATTGGTGCAAATGGATCTGGGAGAGTAGTAATTACGTCATGGTAGCGGTAGAGACAGAAAAGCAGGGGCCGGAAGTAAACAAATACATGTGACTAGTTCGGCACTAAAGCATAAGAGAAAGAGAAGCTTGCTATTCTGTAATAGTTTTAATGGATTTTTGTGAGATTATAATTAGCTTATTGGTGATGTTACAGTGATGTTACAATGTTTTTTTAGTTCAAGTATTCAAGTAGAGGGAGCAGCTTACGATTGAAGGAAGGTAGCTTCCCAAAATATTTCACAATTGTTATGAGTGTGATATAAGTGCGGTTTAAGTGCTTGCAAATGGATCAAATAGAATCGAATTGAGTTAGGTGCTAGCACTAATGTATGAGTAATTTGCTAAAGAAAACAGGTTGAAAAAAAAAAAAAGATATGAAAGGGGTCTAAGAGTTGTACTCAATTGGTCTAGAACGTAGATTGGTAATTTGGTAAATGGCAAGTTGGAGAGTTGGAAATTTGGTGATGTAAAATTATATTGTTTTTTTTTTTCTTTTTTATCATTACAATCTTTTGTAGAGGCATGGCTAAGTAGTAGATAATCATTGAATAGAAAACCAAAATTTCTTTTAACTGCTTTTTTTTCGAGTTACTAATTAATCTGTTAGTTAATAAATATTATTCTAGTAATAATAAATTTGGGTTGTATGTGGTGTGGAATGAAGGTAACGAAGCGGGTTAAATGAAAAAAAGAGCCAAAAAAATACATCCTACAGAAATATGGGATATATAAAGTCTGAAAATATGAAGAATTGCAATTGGATATTTCAAAACCTTGAATTTCAAGTTTGGGATTTCAACATTTGAAATTGAATTTTTGCAAATTTCAATTTTCAGTTTCTAAATTTATAGTTAAGATCCTGAATTGAAAATGGCTAAATCGATGCTATCACTATTTTAATAATAAATATTATCAAACAGTTTTCATCATTAGACATATTTACTGTGATTTGTTGTTGGAAGCGGCAGTCTGGGTGATTAAGGGTTTATGTTTTGTCAGCATTTCAGCCAAAAGGTAATATCCCAAATTGGTTTTAGTGCAGATTGTATTATAAAACAGGAAATAAGGTTGGGATCTGGATTTGTCGTTTTGGAGATGGGTATTTTAAACAACCAAAGCCAACACCACTCACTTGTATTAGACGTGGCTGTTGACATTGTTCAGACCACAAGCCCATCTAGAATGTTCTGAAAACCGTAAGATTAGAAATACCAACAGTCTCGAACACACACTCAAATACACTCAAATCCAGTCTTGTAGGTGAGTGTGAAAATGGGATCAGAGATACCTGTTTACAAGCGATAGTCATCATCTTTCTAAACAGGACGATAGCAGAAACTTTCTTTTTGTCCAGCTCACCCTCTCAAGGTGTGTCGAGGACGTCAAAAGAAAAAAAAAAAAAGGCCACTGAAAAAGGCTCGTGAAAGTGAAGGAAAAACATTACTCAAATTAGCCCGCTCTACAAAGAAGCATATATAAACTCCAATCTAGGTGCCGGAAGTCCTGATGCGCTGTCCTGCTCCACGGTGTTTGTCATCTGGCGGCCGCACCTGGTTTCTCTTTTTATGGGTCGGCAACATAGAAAAGCGGCTGTGTTCCGGGGCCGCACATAGTGACCTCTCCCGCTGGTACGGGTGGTCATTGCATCATAATTACGTAGCAGTAAGGTTCTCTTCCCCGTTCACGACGCTAGATGCATTATGTCAAACCTCACAAGCACAAAAAGAGCACTTTGTTTTGTACACCAGGCTGCATCTGCATGCCGTCAGAGGCTGCTTTCGATCTGGACACAGTTTGTGGTGGATAGTGTGGACGTAAATTATGCAGGACTAAAGCGGTTAAGCTTATTTTTCCTGTACTGTCAGAGTCTAGTTCGCTATCCTAGTTTCGATTCTTATAAAAGACATGCTTTCCATCTTTCATTTTTGTTTTTGTTTCTATTATTTACATCTCTATCTTTTTCCTTTTGATTCATCTAACCGTCCTATCTTCTGCTATTTACCATCTTTCTAAAGCTCAATTGATTCTACTTTGCTACTATCTATAAATACACTATACATATCTCATACTATACATTATCTCACACAATGGATACCCCATCACCAGCACTTTCTCCCTCTTCAATTGGCTCCCCAATTGAGAAGAGAAATAGATCCAGATCCAGAAGTAAAATTGAATACGAGGATTTATTATCCTTTGATCTATACACTTTCTACAACTACAATTCCGATATATTAAAATGGACTGCTTATGAATTCTCCGATCCCTTTGCTATCAACGAATTCTTTGTTGCCAACACTAATTCAAAAATAATTTGTCGTCCCGACTGCGAATATTACCCCAAAGCTGCTCACTTAGATGATATCGAATTCCTAACGAATATCGACCAATTCATCAAAATCAAGTCTTCTAATACAAACTACAAAATTTGCTCCAGTTGTAATCCCATTTCTTATAATTCAAATTCCGAATATAAAAATTTGGTGCAACTATGCTCAAAACTTGTCAACCAAGAAATTAATTTCGACCCAATCAAATTTTTCAACTCCGCTTGGTTTAACAATTTGCCCTACAATAATAATAATAATAATAATAACAACAATTCGAACTCCAGTTCCAACACTAATAATATTAATGATAATGATAAAATTAGAAAAGACAACATTAACTGCAATCACGTTAAATTGGTCGAAATCGCCTGCAGACATTTAGCTGCTGTCGCCGTCATTCTAACTAAAAAGGATATTGAAGAAGAATTGCAAATTTTATCAAATAACGAAAAACAAAAGAAATCAAGACACATTTTTGCCTCAATCTCCCCTAAAAAGAGAAGAGGTGGAATCATCGGCTTCAAAGAAATCGCTGCAAAGGCAAAAACTTCTCCATGGCACTTTCACAGAACTTACAAAAATGTCACCCAATTAACCCCAAAGGCTTATGGTGACAAATGCATGACTTTTTTAAGATTATATCTTACAAACCAACAAGCTCCTTTTAACTTTTTTAACCAATCTAACCACATTAAATTAACTACTCCAATTAAAAAGAAACATCTTTCCAACATAAATAATAGCAACACCATTTCTGCCGTTAATAACAACATAATATCCAAAAATGATTATAAAATTACTAAAAAACCCTCGATAACAAATCACTCATTAACAAATCAAAGAAATCATTCCACGGCCTCTTTATCCAGTAGCATAAGTAGCCCCTTATCTCAACATAATCCCTTAAAAGTTAATACAACCAATTCTAAAGACTCTAGAAACATTTTCTTCTCTTTAAACAACTACAATATCCAAAATGCTTTTGATTCAAATACAGATATTAATAACAATATCAACCATGAATTAATTATTCAACCAAACAACACCATCACCAATAACAATAACAATAACAATAATAATAATAATAATAATAATAATAATAATAATAATAATAATAATAATATTAACACCAATGTTAGTATTAATAACGACTCATTGGATAATTTTTCAAATTTATCTTCCTCTTTAGCTTACGCTTCTTCAATATCTTCCTCAGTCTCATCCATAAGATCTAATTCAACTTCAGATATATATCAAGATTTGGACTTAAGTTTGAACTTTCCTCTTAATTTGGATTCCAACAACAACATTATTGATATTGATATCAGCAATGTTCTTGATTTTTCATCCATTGGCACTCAAAATGATTTCACTAAATCTCTTTTTACTGATGATTTCAATAATGAACCCATTAATGCTCAATTAACTGAAAAATTGGATGATTTTTTAAATTTCGATGGCTTAATTTCTGAACAGGATACTATTAATCATAAAGACTATAACAATTACAGTGATTACACTAACTATAACAATTCTTCATCCTTATTCAATATGGATAATTTGGCTGAATTTAACCCTTTCAATTTTCAGGTTAACTACGATAATCAATCAAATAACAATATTACTGCTTCTACCGCTACTACTAATAATAACAATAATACGGTCAATAATCAATTTAATTCAATTCCAAATACTCAATCAGTGGTCATTGTAAATGATAATGACTTAACAAGAGAAGTCACAAAGGACTTGATCAATCTTTGGAATGGCAAAGGCAAAAATAACAGTTTTAAAGCTGAAAATTTATTTGATGATGATTTATATAATCAAATTATTGCTTCTGGTGGTTATTAAATAAGTGATGATAATGAAATTTTATTCTTTTTTTTTTTATTTGTTTGCACTGTTTTCTGGTTCATAATTTTCTTCATATTCACAACTTTTCTTTATGGGCTTTAAAATCATGATTTTTTTTTGAAATTCATTTTATGTTTATTATATTTAAATTGTTGATATTCCTCTGTCAGTTCTTTAACATTTTTATTTCTATATTTTTTATGTATTTTATATTTTATTCAAGGAAAAAATAAATGATTAGTAATTCTAAATTATAACACAATAACAACAAGCCAACAAAACAAAAGTTGGGATATTGATGTAGTACTGATTTTTTTGAGCATTCACTTTTCTCCCTAATTTTCCTTATAGCTTGAAAATAGATTAAAAAATATATTAACTAAGATTTTAAATTAAGTTAAATAATAACCGATTGAAGACATTAACTTGCAAGAGTATAAAAAGCAAAAAGGAAAAGGAAAATCATGTTCAAACAAATTCAAACAATACCACTTTCCTATGTCTAATTACAAGTTTCCCTTAGGTAAAGTATATTTTTGTTTATTTTAGCAGTGGACATTATTATGTCACTAATTAGATAATTTAAACATTATTGGAGAAGACACTCGTTCAAAGCTCAAAAGTTCTGTTTTAAATTTTGTTCAGAACTATTTCTGGTTTACATCACCATTACTCTTGATTGTCATTACACTCAATTTTTAATTTTGTTATTGCTTTATTTATTACAAATGATGGTTTGTTCTTAAATAATTATAAATTGAATCGCTATATTATATTGTAAATAGTTATGTTGAAAATCAGCCTGATTAATAACAAGGGATTTAGCCCAAATTCTAATTGCAGTATCTCAAAATAGAGTTGCATATCTTCAAGTGGCTCGATTTCTAATACCCTCTGTGTTTATGTAATTTTTTTTGTTAATTACTGACTTGTATTGATTCTTTTATTTCTCTGACTCTTTGATCTCAAGATATATTGCAAAATTAATTAATTTTGCAGAAATCCCCCAATATTATCAAAATATCATCATTTCAATAAACATTTACTGATCATCATAATAAAAAAAAAATATTCAATTTCATCTAACCAGCTGTTATCACGTGAAAAAGAAATAAGGTTTTTGCTTCATCTGATTGAAGTTTTTTAGGTTAAACAATCACTCCAGGAAGCATATAACTCATTATTTTTAATTTATATTATCTTTTGTGAAAATTCTTAATTCCAAGGGCAAATCAAAATTTATTAAACCTTTTACTTCTTATTATTGTCTTATTACTGTAATATTACCTTATACTACTCACAATCAAGAGATCCATCATCATAATAGATACTCAATTTTAATCTTCTCAATTGCTATAGCTAAAATGTTGTTCTCTTCATCATTTTCTTTGCCTTGATTCCCCGATAATAACGTTTTTTCTCTTGTTGCTACTCCATACCTGAAGATGATGCTTTTGTCAATTTATATCTGCATTTTTCCAAACATACCCATGTTTGGATTGTTGTTCAAAAGAGTATTTTTTTTTCATTTAAAGTTGAAATGAAATTTGAAATGAAATTTAAAGGAAAAGAAATAATATTAAATTCTATAATAATAACAATAGTAATAATAATAATAATAATAGTGATAGTAACCTGTATTACCAGCATGAAACTTTGATTCAATACTAACTACATCCAAAAGGGTTGTTCAAGTAGTAATTTTTTTTCATCAACACCCTTTTCGATCTCAACCAAATAATTTCTGTACCATTTTATTTATTAAATCGTTTATAAAAGGGTGGGAAATCATATTTCTTAAATAAAAATGATTTTAACAACAAAAATCAGTTTATTAGGCTCTCCATTAGAACACCTAGAGCTTCTTCCAACATCTGAAAGTAGCTAGTAACTTTTCATTAATCATTATAATAAATTTATACAAAGGAGTAAGGTGAATTCAAATATAAATGTGAAATAATTTTATTAAGAGATTCAATGTAAACATAAATATAAATCAAAAAATAAAAATTTGCCCTCTCCTTTTGGCGTCAGTTTAAAAAAAAGACCATGTATCTCTTTGACTTATATTTAAAAGACTACCAAATTAAATAAAAACTTGGAAACTTGTTTTAATAAAAAACATTTGTAAAATAATTTGTAAAAAAAATTATCATAGAGCAGTTGTTAAATAAAATTTTTAATATACAAGCAACATGGTAAAAGTAATAGAAAAATTTCAAATTTCAAATTTCCGAATCGATTAAGGTCCTGTTAAGAAGAAACAAACAAAACCTTTCCATTTCGGGAATAATGGAAACAAAAAAATCTTTCTCAACAAATACAAAATAATTCTTGGGCAATTTTTTAAAAATTAACTAGCTAGAGCCATGTTTTCTAACGAATAACATGGTTAGAAAAAAGTATAGACTAATAAAAAGTAATAAAATTGAGGAAACAAAAAAAAGGAGAGAGTTTGAACAAAACCTCTCTTGAAACAAAACATTAATTTAAACTGCATTTGTATTCTTTTAACTTAATGAAGATACCAAAAAACACTCAATCAATTCAGAATTAAAGGTCTCAAGTTTGACCATTTTAAATCATATCATTTGTCAAATTTGGATTCTGATTCTGCTCTAGTCTTGAATTTAAGATAAAACTGCGAGCCATTAGAATAACTTATCATATGTTATTCTTGCAATTTGATAAATAATTTTTCTCCAAAACTTTGTTGGCCTTGTAAAAAAAAGTCTCAATGCTGACTTGTTTTCTCTTTTTTCTCTTTTAGTTATCAAGCTAAGTTTCAAAGTAGTCAAAAATTTTCTAGCTTTTCTAGCAAAACTATAGCCCAGTCGCAAAGATAAAAAAATTTAAAATAAATGTGTAGCATAAATCATAATTGTTTGTGACCAACAAAATTAATATCGCAAATTAATTATTATCTTGTTTATCTTTAAGACTAATTAAAAAGAGTCTGAAGATTATTCATTCAAACTGAAAATTTCTAATTCCATTTACTTTTATATTTTAAAACAGCTCAACAGGAAATAAAGTATTGTGCATAGCAATAACTTATCAACTGATACTGAAAGAATCATTTCATCCACTTTGTTCGTGTATAGTTTGATCAGTAACAAAATTTTCATTTTAATTATTTATCATAAAAGCAGTAAACCCTTTTAATTTTTTAACTGAAATATTAGTATTGCAAGCAACCAAAAATAACGTAAGCACGTCCAATATATAACATCATAATGAGTAATCTTCGAAAACTATATGGTTACATGGCAAATCTAGAATTGGTGATTTAAATTGATGAAAAAGGAAACACTAAAACTTTTACCCGGCCGTGACCATCTGCTTTACCCGGTCATAGCACCTTAATTTGTTTGTTCTCTGTCTTTCTACATCATTTTTCAATTAGATGTTAGCAATTCTAGTATAAGCAGGAGTTCTAGAAATTCTTGTGACCAACCTGAAAGCAAAGTAATAAAAAGCCATCATTTTTTTGTTTTTTGTTATTCTTTGAAATAAAGAAAAAAAGAAAAAAAGAAAGTCTTCTCTATTCTTTGGTTTCAAAGCTATTTCTTTTGATAATATCTATCATTAATTACTACAGTTTGCTACAATTACTTCAATTACTTCAATTAGTGCAACTAGGATTTATAAATTTATTGTACTTCTTTCTTTTTGATTGCAGTTATAAATTCTAGGAAAAAAAGTATTAGAGTTAAAAATCAAGCTTTTTAAATGTAGACTTCTATTTTACAGACTTAAATGATATTATACCAAAATCCTTTTGTGATCCAGCACTAATAGAACGATATGAATTTGAGGATTTTTAAGTGGTGCTTTGGAAGTAATGGTGGCAGTAAATATTTCTAGAAAGCAGAAAAGCTGTAGAAAAATACATTTTAAATAACATGTTTTTCTCTTTGTTCGATTTATTTCATTGATCTTTTCTTGTCTTTTACATCCAATACTCAAAGGTGTTCAAACATCAAACATTTGTTCAACCAAACGAAAATGGTGCACAAATGAACTGAGTTAAAAAGGACTGGCTATTATGATGCTAAACCCGGGTAATGGCCATTTTTGAAAATAGAGGTTTCTTCGAAAAGCGAAATTCTCGTGAAAGCATGACCGATCACATTTCAATTTTTCTATTCGGAATATTATCCGCCGTTTTACGTAACCCCGTCATTTCAAAGTGTTACCGGAACTGTTGGCAGAACCAGCCATCGTAACCCCTTATCCCAGACCCCTTTCTTTTTTTTAAAGGGTTATCCAATACTTCTAATCAGTTCAATGGATTCAGGCTCAAGCTTTATTTAACCAATTAACAGAATCATGTCAAAATTAATTTGATATTCATCAATATAACTTTATCTTAATTAAATTAATCAGAATAAAATCCTTTTCAAAAGCTTACTTCAATCTGAAAAGTTAACGTATCTTCATGACAACTACCAGTAGATTCAATCCAAATGAGCATACACCACTCTTACAAGAAGAGTTTCCTAACTTTATTCCTATAGAATCTCGAATTTCAGAAGATGATTCTGATGAAACCGATACATCAATCGATCTGGACTCAACAACAATAAATGAGATACTAGGATGGTGTCTGTATGGTTGGGCTGCTGAACCTTTTATAATAAGTGCTATTGCAACTTATATTCCTTTATTGCTAGAGCAATTTGCTAGAGATAACGGTGTGCTTTTTGATGATCATCTAGTTCCTTGTGTCTCCTCGAATGATCCTAATGATGAAATCCCCAATCCAAATTTACCTCCGAATAACGTAAATAATTTAGCCTTCAACATATTTAAAGCCAAACAATGTGTTGTTAAAGTTTTAGGATTTTATGTTGATACTTCATCTTTTACTATGTACACTTTTGCATTTTCAGTATTTGTGCAGACTTTACTAGTTATTTCTATAACTGGTTTTGCTGATCGAGGAAATTACAAGAAACCAGTTTTAGTGATCAGTGGGTTTTTAGGAGCAATCTCTACAATTTTAATGTATTTTTTGAACTATAAATTTTTGCTTCTATCTGCCTTTTATTGTGTTTTATCAAATTCATGCTTTGGAGTAGTCAATGTCTGTGGAAATTCAATTTTGCCGGTATTAGTATCAAACAGTTATAAAATTAGAAAACTAAATAAGAAGCTAGTTCAAAGTTCAGAATTATCTTTGAACGATCAAATAAAGATCGAGGGCAAATTAACAATACAGAAAGGTTTGATATCATCTAAAATTTCTGGTTTAGGATCAGGGTTGGGTTATTTTGCAGCTTTTATTGTTCAATTAATATCAATTCTTATTGTGCTAAAAACTGGGTCATCAACCCTTTCCATTCAATATGCGCTATTATTTATCGGCTGTTGGTGGTTTATTTTTCAATTTCCAATAATTTTTTTATTAAAATCTCGAGAGATAGACCCTGATCTCATACCTCTTACAAACAATAATAGAAAAATCACATTTTTTGAATATATCCAAATTGGATGGCTTAATCTCTTGACAGCTTTTAAAAAAATTAAACTATTAAAAGACGTTTGCATTTTTTTGACTGGTTGGTTTATAATAAGTGATTCCATTACAACGATAAATTCTGCAGCAATTCTATTTTCAAAAACAGAGCTAAGTATGACTACTCCCGAGTTGGCCATAATTGGCGTAATAGCTATTATCGCTGCAATTTTTGGAACGTTAATAATACCAAACTTTGTTCAACCGTATTTTAAGTTGAATTCGAAAATGACATTGATTTTAATTATAATTTGGTCATCGATGATTCCATTTTATGGAATTCTTGGTTTTTATTTTGATAATATTGGGCTTCAGCATAAGAGCGAAATGTATTTATTAGCAATGTGGTATGGAATATCATTAGGAGGATTATCTACTATTTCTCGATCATTATTTTCATTGTTGATTCCAAGAGGTAGAGAATCCTTGTTTTTTGCATTGTTTGCAGTTACTGATAAAGGTAGTTCAATCATCGGGCCTATAATTAGCGGGCTAATAACAGATAAAACCCACAACATTAGGTACTGTTTTTGGTTTTTGTGGATCTTGTTGGTAATTAGTTTGCCAGTTTTTTGGCTTTTAAACTTGGAGAGAGGAAAAAGAGATGCCTCAGAGTTTGAAGATGAGGAGTTATTACATGAAGAATTAGCAGATGGAGCTTTTCGAGTCACTCACTATCAACAATAGAACCCATATTTCATAAGAAACTTTGTGCTGTATTATATAGGATTCATTCAGCGACTTTCGCTTAAATAGACTAACATTAACAGAAATTGAACTTTCCATGTAAGTGAATTTGGTGAGCATTCCCAGTGGATGGATATGGAAACTTGATCACACCTAAAAGGGATGTCCGGAGCATTGAATTCCGACCAGGTTTAAGTCCCAATTTATTTTTGTATTCGGGTTGGATTGATGATCTTTTTAACTTACTGCGTTTTTGTCTGTGCTTTAATACCTGATCTTTCTTTATAACAACAGAGTATTTTCTCTCTGATTTATTGTTCAAGCAAAATGAAACTATTACTCTACTTAAATTTAATTCTACTTCTGCTTTTGGTTTCAGCTGAAGTGCAAACAGAGACAATTTCAACAACTCTACTATGCGGATCATATTTACCACCTAATGATCCAGAAACTGTCATTGATGAGGACGAAAGGCAGAAGTATTCTTTGTGCAACAAAGTAGCAGGCAAAGAAAACAATTTGATTAACCAGTCTACGCGATTTCCAGCATCATCTTCGCAAACACAAACATTCAACAGGTCGCTAGGACCGACAGAATCATCTAAAGAGCTTAATTTTTCAGAGATATTAAGATCAATCTACTTTGCTACAGTTTCAAAAGGTTCTTCTGACACAAATTATTCTAGTTTTTCTATCTATGTGATGACAAGTACCAAGATTTCTTTTAGCAGTTTAATTTCTACTAAAACAGTCACTAATGAGACTCCAGTTTTAGGTTCTTTACCATCTACTTTCCAGCTTGATGGCAATAGAACATTTTTTGATTACTCTACTTCTAGTGAAAATGGTGCTGTTAGTTTAAATTTTCCTAAAGCTTTATTTAATATTAAAGAAAAAAAAAATTTTATGTTTTTTGATTTATGTCCTTACATATTTTTGTCACTGGTTTTGTTTTTTGTTTTCTTATGAACTTTTTTTTTTTTTGCTGATTTAATTTTGTTTTAGATTATTTTTGTATATTATGCTTAGTTAATTTGTTTGGTTTTCATTCCACCTGTTGTTTTATTTTTATTTTTTTAAAAAAAAAGATCCTCCTTTTATCATTTGTTGTTTAAATTCATTTATTAAACATAGTTACCTTAGTTATCTTTTTTTTCTCAATTGTTTTATTTTTTGCTAGTTTGTTATTTTATTTTTGTTTTTTTGTTATATTCCAATGCTTTATTGATTATCCCGCTCTTTTTTCGTTTAAATCAATTCATATTTTATATGTTTTTCATTATTTTATCACTGTTTTTACTGCTTTTCAAAAAACATTTTTGAGTTTGTTTATTTCCTTATTTAGATAGTTTAAGAAATAATATCTTATGCTCAAATACTTGGACTCTTCTGTATTTTACTTTTGTACTGTTTCATTAATAGATTAGCAATAGTTATTTTTCTTTTTCTTTTTTTAATTAAGTTTTGAAGAAAGGTTAGACTACAAGAATAAAGAAAAATGTAAAGCAATCAAGCGTAATACATGGTATAATTAAAATGATATAAAACAGTATAAAAAAATAAAAAAATAAAACAATAAAAAAATGGGAAAGATTCTTTATCTTAAGTAAATTAAACTCAAAACAGAATGAATGAAAAGTTTAACATTTTCAAAGAGAATTAAAGAGAAATGCTGATAAAAAAAAAAGAATAAAAAAGAGTGGATGGTTTGATGAACCTAAACAATCCAGAACCATATTTTTTGCAAGAAGTTTTTTGGAACAATTTTTGGATAAGTAGCAGCTTCTTCTTCAATTTTATCTAAACCACTGATTACATCAATTTCTTCAACTGGAATATACCATCTAGTCTTTGCGTATATTTTGTGTCCGAAATAAAGAGCAAAGAAAATTGGAAGAGTAATATAAGCAGCAACAAAATCTGGGCCATTGAAATCAAAGAAAACAGCGTAACCATTTGTAATTGTAACAATTGAAATGAAGATAATGAAAAAGTAGGTTGAGTATGGTTGGAATGGAGTGATAAAAGTACATCTATCCCACAAGTTGTTGTAATCCATAGCTGCTCTCCATCTTAAATAAGTAATACCAATAACGATCCAACCAATGAAACCAGAAATGGTACAAATGTTAGATAACCAGGTAAAAACATCAGAAGATGATGAGGAAACATTTAAGTAAGCTAAACAAGCAATAAGAGCACCAGCACCAACCGAGTAGTATGGAACACCTTGTTTGTTACATTTGCCAAAGATCTTTGGAGCATATCCAGTGTTAGCAAGACCCATCAAACTTCTAGAAGCAGCATATAAATAGGAATTACCAGAAGACCAGGCAGAAGATAAAATGACAGCATTGATGATATGGTTAAGAACTTTAATACCTGCATTTTGAATACCAATAACGAAAGGAGATGCAGCTGCACCACTAGCACCTTCACTTACAGCACTCATTAATCTGTCATTGTCTGAGGCAACAATAACACCAATGACGATAGAACCACAGACGTAGAAGAAAATAATTCTGTAAACAAATCTTTTCGTAGCCTTTGCAAGATTTCTTCTTGGAGATTCAGTTTCACCAGCAGCAGTTGTAATTAATTCTGGACCTAAAATGAAGGCAAAACCTGATTTGATAATAGAAGTCCAGACAGCACAGAATTTACCAGTTTCACCAGTAGTCAAGTGTTCAACAAATGCACCAGGATGGTTCCAGTAATGGAAACCTAAAATACCGTCTTGAGCTGGACCACCGCCGAAGAAAATAACAACACCACAGAAAAGTAAACCAATAATACAAATGATTTTCAAAGATGCAAACCAAAATTCAGTTTCACCATAATATTGAACAGCACAGAAATTCAAACCAATAATAACCACTAGAAGAATTGTGATCCAAACTGCTACATTGACTTTTTGTGTCCAATACTCAATAACAATAGCTGCAGCAGTAACTTCTGTACCAACAAGAATTGCAAAAGAATATACATAACAGTAACCGGTTGCAAAACCTAAAGATTCATCGACATATCTAGTCACAAATTGAGAAACCGAAGTACCTTTAATACACATGAAACAAGTCATCTCACCCAAAGCATTCATGACAGCATAAATAACGAAGGCCAAAATCAAATAACCAGTCAAAAGAGCTGCTGGGCCACAGGTGGCTAGAGCAGACCCAGAACCAACAAATAAACCAGTACCAATGCATCCACCCAAGGCGATAAGCTGAACATGACGGGACTTTAAACCTCTTTTAACACCGGCTTCTTGAAAGCCCCCAATTCTAGAAGTAGAGGAATCAAGTTCAAAAACCTGTTGTTGTTTTTCAACATCTTTAGCAGAGCTGTCGGATGCAGACATTATTAAGTATTGTTAAGTATTATTATTATTATTATTATTATTATTATTATTATTATTATTACTATTATTATTATGAATAGTAAAGTTTTTTTGTTTTCTTGAATTGGCTTTTTCTGTTTTTTTTGATTTATATCTTTTTACCGGATCGGTTTAATTGTTAATGGATAGAGAGATAAGCAAAACACAATGAATAGAAAGCAGATTAAAATCAAAATCAAGAGAAATTAAAAGACATATATATATGATTTGGAGACATAGATAATCATAGAATAATAAAACCATATTTTATATATCTGTAATTGATGTAATAAGAACTCCAATGACAAGAATAAAGTAATTTGACTGATAATGCAAGGTAAAATAAAAAGAAACACACAAAAATTAAGTTTCACAAGCGGCTTTAGGTTGTAAGACAAGTATCGCCATGGAAAGGAAAAACAAGAAAAACCAAGATACCAAGAGATTAGAGTGTGCACTATCAAGAAAGACAAGAAATATTCCAAAGCTCGGAGATCGGACAGATCTGCGGTGGTTCACCCTTACTCGAAGCATGCCTGTGCTATCCGGACGAAATGGTGAAGGCGCTGGATAGGGTTACCCACCTCTACTCATTTGGCCATCTGTAAAGCCTTTCAGAAGTTTCAATTTACTATCAGAGTTTATCTTGAAAACACTATCTATGGACTGAACATAATATTGTTTATATATTCCAATAATAAGCCTCTCTGCTTTATTTCATTCAATATTATTCACAGGCTCTAGCAGTTGCTACCTCTCTTCCATAAAATCCAAACCCAGTTCCATTGCAATTGGCGTATTTTAGATATTTTAGATTTTGAATATTATCTGAGTTAAATAGGATTCAACTGGCTCCAATTGGGTTAAATAAATTAGAGTTGATAAATTTTTGTGAATGTTTTGTAAATGGAAGTTCTATGCCTACTATTCTAGAGCCAGTAAAGCTTAATTATTTGAATTCAACTAGTTTAAAGAAAGTACTCCTCATTTTAATAATAATATTGAAAAGAATAGCATTAAATATTGTTGAAGACTCAAATTTATTGATTTATTTATCCAGTAATGCTGCTACTCATGACAATTCTGCAAAAAAGAGTTATTACAAAAGTCAAAATCCTGGTTTCAATAACCAAATTACAAAGTTTAATTATATTTCTACAAAATACCTAATAAAATTTCGAGAGAAAGATTATGTGAATAGAATTGTTTATTGTTGCTATCAAAAGACAACACAATAATGTATTGCAAATATTATCTAAAAAGCTATCGTTATCATCAATTTCATTGTAGTATCGTCTCTTGATAATTATTCTAACTCAAAAAAAAATAATTATTCATCTTGAGTGATTGTAAAATGCCTAACGAAATCTGATTGGCATTGACCAATAAACAGATAAATTTTGCTGATGATGAGAATAACAAATTCAAGATTTGGTATAAAACGATTATTCTACTTTTGAGTATTTCCCAAATCAAAAACTCCGAGATGGTTTATTTTGTGTAAAAAAACAAACTTCGAAACTTTTTTTTTTTTTAGTTTGATTAATTTTCAGCGGTTGTGTTCAACTTCAGCGGCTTTCGTTTTCCTACACAAAAACGATGAAAAAAAAATCATTTCTTCAAAAAGGTTTCCAGATTTTGAAATTATGTAAAAACAAAAAGGCATCAAACCTAATGTATACATGTGCATAACCGTTGAATATTAAGATTTTACTAAATTTTAGCGGCAATGAAATTGCTTATAATGTCGACAAGAAAATAAGACTAAGAAATATACCAAGTCTTATTTAATTTCTACTATATTGAAAAAGTTAAAAAGAAGAAATTCTTATGTACTGTAATTTTTTTCCTTTTATTGATGGTATTATATATAGATAATTAAATCAAATCAAATCAATGCTTTCAAAGGAAAGCAAATAAATTAATCGTGGAAGCATACAGAAACATTTGTATTTATTACAGATATTTCGGCGGTTATTATACAAAGGGTAATATTTTACTTTTCAGAAATGATTCCAATTCCTTAGTGTAAGTCACACTGCAAAAACAAAATTATATTACACTTGTGTTCTTTACAAAAATGGTGAGGTTTAAATGCCGTACAAGGTGGAATTAATTTACTAAACTACTGTTGTCGTATTTTATCTCTCCGAAAAAAATAGCTTATTACTCTTAAGCGTGTATTTAAAACTTAGCTTCAAACTCAAATACTCAAATCTTGGATCCAGACTTTGCCATACAAATCCTATTTATTAAACATTTTGTTTAGAAGGGGCATTTCTCCTTTTTATTCTTTTCCTTTTTCTGAACTAATAGCAGTCATAATTCCCCGCCTTATCAGAAAAGCCCTGTTTTTTATTACTTAAAATCCCGAAAAACTCTTAATTGTCTAATTATTGTTTCATCTAAATGAATTCACATATCAAAGACCTTAAAACCAACAAAATATAATTTATATTGTTAATAAGACAAAATTATTTGTTAATTGCCAAGTGACGATTATTGATTAATTTCTACTGTCAATATTAGGATACACTGCTAAAAATTTCTAAAGCTTTTTTATTAGGCCAAAGAATGGTTTTTTTCTCTTTCTGTAAACCAATATAAATTGTTCCTTGAACCCTGAATTCCTAGTTGTTCTATTTTAATTTAATTGAACTTTTCAAATAGTTAGTTTTTATAATTAGGATCAATTCAGGACTACCTCTCTGTCATTGAAAATACTCATGTTCCTTTTTTCTTTTTCCCGCTCGCTCAAAATGTATAAGGAAATTTTTTTCAACTAACCTCCTACCAGTCCAAAACACCCTCCAACATTTCCATCATAATGAATACCTCTTTAGATGTTCAACAGTGAAGTATATTTCAACAATTAACTACCAAATTACTCTTTTTTAGTTATTTAGTCCAGCACCAATTTAATGTAAAGAGAAAAGACCATATATTGCATTGGGAACAATCCTGGTTCTAAATTATTTGATTCATCTAACAATAAACCGTTACTAAATTTATTATCGGAGACTAACCACAATTTTTTTTAATTTTTTAATAAATTGTTCTATTTTCAGAATTAATTTATGATAAAGAGAAAATCAAACGAACTTCTGGAGATGAAGATCCATTACATTTGAACCTCTTTAACACGATCTTCTCTGAGAGAATTAAATTAAGACTTATAAACTTAAGACTTATTTTTAAAGCCTACTTTGAAAATCTATAAGTTGGAGGTTAATTTTATTCATTGATATGATTTTCAATTAAAAAATGTGACCGGTTGGCTTTGTTTCATTAATTATCAATTTGTTTTAGCGAACTTCTAAAGATTCGGATGGCCAATTAGGACAAAAAAATTCTTTATCTAAGAAGCATGATATCGATTACCACTGCTGATCTGCCAAAGATAAAACCAGAAAATATTATCGATCTTACCTTCAACAGAGATTCTTGGAATTTCAATATGATGTAACTTATGTTTTGCAAACTAAAGTTGATGATAGTGGGGATAGAAGATCAGTAATTGATAAAACACCCAATTATCTTCATGTATCTCGTATTAAAGATCCAAAGAATCTTATCCCAATATTTATTTTTCTGATCTTACGATAGAAAATTAAAAATTCAGTTCTTTAGATTATATATATTATTTCCTTCAATTTTAAAAATTAAAGCCACCCAGGTTGATTTTTAGAGATTCGCCCAAGATCAAACTAGAAAAGCAATAAAATAACTATTGCAAAAAGGTTTTTAAAAAACCAGCATTTTATAAACATTTTTAATTCCTCATTTAAAAAGTAGCACTTATAATAATATTTCACAACTACACAATAAAAATCTATTTAGGGTAAACCAACTATTTATATTGTCCACTCTGTAATTCATTAAAACCAGGTAATTAACAAAACAATAGATAATTACCATACCTGATTTGTTGTTGTTGAAAACTACATACCTCGAAATCTTGGGATAATCAAAAAACACCAATCAGAAATTTTCATCAGATGCAAAAAAGTTAAATAAGTATTAACAATAACAACTTATAGCCCGACGCGGGGCTCGAACCCGCAACCTTTTGATTACCTAAACCTAAGAGTCAAATGCTCTACCGATTGAGCTAGCCAGGCACTATCTTGAAGTACAAAATTATCTGGTCTTTTATATAGCAATCTTTGTTTTTTTAGTTCCGATTTTTATTTGTTTGCTTTAGTTTTTTTTTGTTTAACAGTTATGATTTCTTTCTAAAATCATTCTTCCCCTATTGCAAAATAACTAACAGATATAATCAACAAAACTACATAGATTATTTTTTGGAAATCCTACTTATCCTTTAATCTTCCGAAAATGTCTGGCGAATCTTGGCTTTTTATTTTTGCTGTTGTTATTAACATCGTTAGCTTATTCTTTCAGGTTTTTTTTGTTATCATGTATAGTGACCTAGAATGTGATTATATTAATCCTGTTGAATTATGTGTGAAATTAAACTCCTATATGGTTCCAGAATATGCTATTCAAGGTTTCTTATCTGTTTTGCTTTTGATTAATGGTTGCTGGTTTAGTTTTTTGCTTAATTTGCCTGTTTTAGCTTTTAATATTAACAAATTTGTCAAGAAAACCTATTTATTAGATGCCACTGAGATTTTTAGAACTTTATCAAAACATAAAAGCGAAAGCTTTATGAAATTGGCCTTCTATCTTTTTATGTTCTTCTTTTATCTTTATAGAATGATTTCGGCTTTGATTGCTGAAGATGAGTAAATTCATTATTTAAAACATCTCTGTATGTGTTGAATCAAGTCTTCTATAAGAGAAATCCCAAAAAAAATTTTAAAAAAATGAAAAAGTAAAAAAAATATTATCAAACATCAGTATTTATATATGTATTGTTCTTTTGCTGCTTTATTTTGTTACATTTGTTCCATTTAGATCATTGTTTTTGTTGCACTTTTTTACAACAATATTCATGTTTTAGTTTTGAGTCTTAAGGAGGTTTTTTAATTTGTTTAATTCTATAAGCTTGCTGTTTTTTCTTCTTATCATGCTTTTCATCCAAACAATTTTCATATTTTTATATAGCAAATCTTAAACTATAAATTTAATAAAAAAGAGAAAAAAATGAAAACAATAAATATTTTTAGTATAATAATTAATGATATTTTTATATTTTTATATTTTTATATCATTCACATTGTTATTCAGTGTTTTTCTTTTTGAAGTTTGCAAATTTAAAATCCGGATAATCATCATTAAGCCTTCTTCTATTTTTCTTTTTAAATATAATTGCTGAGATTACATTGTTTTCCAATTTGACTAAATTTTCAATATTTTTCAATAGATTTTTTATATTGTTCGTTTGTGAAAAGATTTCCATGGACAAAATCGTCATTGTCTTATAATTATCTTTAAATAGTTCTCTTCCTTTAATCGAGAAAACAAAAGGCAAATTTTTATCTAAATCTAAAAACAAACTCATTTGTGAATAATTAAATATAAAAGTAAAGCTTTTTTCAATGTCACTAGCAAAACTATATGGTGATTTCGAGTATAGTCTGATTTTCTGTTTTGCCGATTCTAATTCGTAGAGTTTTATATTATCATAAGTTTTGCTTGTATTCATAAAATTTTTAACCATTGAAGAATTCAAAATATTGCATCTTAACAACACTGAATTTATGTTTTCAATATTAAAATGTTAGTTGTTATTTGAGTTCAGATAACCATATAGATGGTGGATAATACCCATTTAATTATGGTTTTACATACAGCAAAATGAATGATCCTCAATGTTAAGAAACGTTGGAGTATCTGTTTTTAATTCTACAGTCATTTTCAACTGACCCCAGATCTATAGGATAAAATGGCAAAATGACTGGTTAATTGATTGTTTTTTTTCATATTTTTTTTTTCTTTTTAGGAATATTTTGAATTCTGATTTGTATTCATTAATAAAAGGTAAAAAAAATACCTTACTTTCCGCAACGGATTTCATGAGGTTTTCCAAAATTGGTTCACCAGGTTTTAACACTCTATCATTGAAATAAATAGAATAAACAAACTTCATCATATGGTCAAATGGAGTATCGTGTTAATATTTTAGTGAAAAGCCAATTTAGTAAATAAAATCAATTGATCATACTGATATATAAGGCAATGCTGGAAGAATAATCGAGTTTTTCTCATGAAATTCCTCGCAATAGCCTTTGGCGGTTAAGGATTTAACGCTATCACTAAAGTCGTTTTCAAGAATGTTGATTTTGTAGGATGAATCGTTTGAAACAAAAATATCGTCTTGTCTAAGGTACCGAGTATTCTGTTCAAATATGATCATTGTAAGAATAAATTCAAAGAAAATCGGCAAAAGTAAGATAGATAGATGGATAGATAGAAAGAGAGATGGAAAGAAAGATTCTTTCTGAGATCTACAAAATTGGAAAAATAAAAACCCAAATAATCGGAAATAAAACTAAAAATTGAAAATTTAAAACATATAAAATTTATTCATTAAAAAGATAAAAAAAACTATGGAAATTTACATAACAAATGAACAGCAGTGATAAAGAAATTATTCTAAAGTATTTAAGTCAACTGGTTCACCGACAGTTGTGATGGATGGATATAACAAAGTGGTTAAAAAATCGCTGAATGACTCACCAGTGATTTCTGGTTTGAACAAAGAAGCTGCCAATTCAAATTTGTTTCCAACTGGAGCTATCTTTAATAATTTTTCGGTTTCTTCAGCTAATAAGCTCGAGGACAATTCTGGTGTAAGAGTTGCGCCAGTGTCAGTTAAGACAGCACGATGGGTGACCCATTGCCATAATTGAGTTCTCGAGACTTCAGCAGTGGCAGCATCTTCCATAAGATTGTTGATGGCAACACAACCAGAACCTCTGAGCCATGCCTCCATGTAACATAAACCAATGTAAAGATTTTGTCTTATACCCTTTTCAGTGATTCTACCACCTTCAATTTGAGTTTCAATCAATTGATCAGGAGTCACTTCAGCAGTGTCTGGGATGATGTGTATTTGGTTTGGAGTTTTCATGTGTTCATCAAAAACAGAAGTGCAGATTGGCTCTAAAGCTGGATGAGCAATCCAAGAACCATCATGACCGGCCAATACCTCACGTAACTTATCTTTTCTAACATTACCCATAGCAATTTCGTTGGCAGCTGGATCATTTTTAATTGGAATTAAAGCAGCCATACCACCCATAGCATGGACGTGTCTGGTATGACAGATTTTGATTAATCTTTTAACGTAAGCGGCCATAAATGGAGAGGTCATAAGAACTTGATCTCTGTCTGGTAAAAGATGCTGTGATTTGTTTCTTAATTTTTTGATGGTTGAAAACATGTAATCCCATCTACCACAGTTAAGACCAGCTGAGTGGTCTCTTAATTCGAATATAATTTCATCCATCTGGAAAGAAGCTGGTAAAGTTTCAATTAAAACAGTGGCTCTAATGGTTCCTCTTGGAATTTCGAGAATATCTTGAGCAACATTGAAAACATTGTTCCATAACCTTGCTTCTAAGTAGTGTTCCATTTTTGGCAAGTAGAAGTATGGACCAAAACCGTTAGCAATCGATTCTTTAGCATTGTGAAAAAAATAAAGACCGAAATCCATCAAAGAGCCAGAAATTGGTTCACCATCAACGAGGATATGATCATCGACTAAATGCCAGCCTCTTGGTCTAACGATTAAAGTTGGAGTTGGTTTCGAGAAATCGACTTTATAGTATTTCTTTGGGGTTGGTAATTCAATTTGTTTTCTAGTGGCATCATAAAGATTAACTTGACCATCGACCATATTTTCCCAGGTTGGAGAAGAGGAATCTTCAAAATCGGTCATATAAGTGTAAACAGGAGTGTTTAAAGCATTGATAACCATTTTTCTTGTGGTTGGACCAGTGATTTCAGCTCTTCTATCAATCAAACCTGGACCTAAAGTAGGACCTTTCCATGTTAAATCATCTCTAATTGCTTTAGTTTCAGGTAGGAAATCTAGTTTATAATTACCAGAATCAATTTTTTCTTGAATGATGTCACGGTTTTTCAATAATTCAATACGTGTTTTGTTGAAAGTACGATGAAGTAAAGCAATAAAAGCAACAGCCTTTTTGGTTAAAATATTTGCTTGAGTTGTTGGAGCACCTTCATATGCTGGTTTGTTTGAAATGGAGCCAAGGATTTGAACACCATCGAGGGAACCATAAAATTCTTTTTTAACCATTTTGAGTGAAATATTAATTATGTTGTATTTGGAATATGGAGTATAAAGAAATAAATTTGATCAAGGTGTGATTGAGAAGTTAATCAAATAAGTCTGCTGTATTAAAAGATAAAAATTGAATCTATTAATGACGTTGAATTATAGATGATGATTTTAACTGGAGTAGACAAATTTAAAATGAGAAGATAATAATTAGTTTATATATTCTCAAGAAACACAATAAAAAACAGAAATCTTGAAAAACAATTAAATGAAACAGCCAAATCAATCGGTTTGATGGCTGTAGAATAAATTCAATTTAGAGATGCTTGCTAATTAGGTTGAGCAGCAGCAGCAGTTAGGTTTCATTACCTAAATGTGAAATCCATTTGGTAATGATTGAATGAATTAATATGAAGAATAAGCTTTTTAATTTTCATCAAGCCATTGAAATTGAACTTGAGAATAAAAATAAAAGGAAATTATAGCAAAAGCAGAAGGATCGATAAGAATTTATCCATTTAAGCATAAAGCATTTAGGAATCTCATAAACAGATTCGGAGCTTTGTCAGTCATATTTAATCTGGCCAATGGGAGGCCGTAAAAAAAAGCCTGGGACTTTTACGTTTTTCTCCAAAGTCAACGCTGGCAACGAAAATTCAGGTTTTTTCAGTATTGATGTCTAAAGAAAAACTTGGCTGGTAGTCTACGAGCCCGCGAAAATTGAGTTGTTCACCGAATAGATAACGTGGTAAATTTTCTTTTTTCATTTAAGATTGCAATCAAAATCTGTCAAAAATCTGGGGTAAAACTCTTAGAGTATTAAAGCTCAGCAAAACTCGACACATTTCGTTACATCTGGAAAAATGGATGCATGGGCACCGATTTAGACTTATCTTTCTTTTGCGATGTTCGAAAAATGTAAATTCATAAAAAAAAAGGAAAATTTGATGAATCAACATTTATCATGTCTGTCTTTTTTGCGTCGAGCCAACCAACGCGAATTAAAAAAAGTGCCTGCGTGGTTATCGGTCCGTCACTACCGGAGAACACGGGCCGATGAATGAACCACTACTGACTCGGGACTGGATCAGAGCGGGAAGGAGTCAGAATCTCGAGATGAAGGCAGTGTTGGTGGAAGTCAGAGCCGTTCTGAGTGATGGATATTCGCCACCAGCAACTAGCTCGGCCCGAAAGCTGTTCTACACGTGCTGTTTATTAGATCCTTGTTTGTGGTCTTGGTTTTGCATGTGACTCTTGGTTTTCCACAGAAGTGAAAACAGAGATGGATCTTGGGTGAGAGCCAATTTGATACAATCGTCGCAAATGGGCCCAAGAAACATCGAAGAGCTTCTTTATCAGACTGTATGTTTTCCCAACCTTCAATTTGTCTTTTCAAAGCACTTGGAGCACAATATTAATATTGTCTTTGGCAAATTTAGCTTTTACGCAGCAAGGGCTTCCGAAATTTTGTTCGAAAAGTTTATTGTAAAGTTAATGGCATCCAAACAAAACCCATTTTCAACAAACCCAAAATCAAAACACTCTATTATACTGGATGTATGTATTTAACCTAACCCAAGTGGGTCTTTTGGAATGAAGTGGATTTAAAGTATTAATATAATTATTAGATCAACCAACTCAATTCCAGAAATTCAATGCCTTCAGAGTTCTTTTTGTGCAGGAATTGAAGAAGATCTTCGGAAGATAGACATTGATTATCAAGTTTGCTTGTTTATTAAATTCTATTCATTTAAATTTAATGAGTAAAAATCTTTTTGTTGTTTTGTTCTCGAGTTTACACTCCATGAAAATTTAAAATCATTAGATGGGCTTTATTTCAAATTTTAATAAACATTGATAATTAAATTTCGCGAGGAAATTCAAAATTAATATATCAAGTTATGCAAAAAGAATCCGATACAATCACCATTAACTAGAAACTTACTAAAAACTTACTAGATTACTCTGTTTGTTTTTTATTTGTTTTAATGATGGTTATTATAATGGCCTTCAAATAAAAATAAAAGAAATATAACCTTTTTGTTTAACAGTAATCAATAAATAAATAGAAATACTTTAAAATCTCAAATTATATTGCATTAGTACCCAAAGATATTCATTGTATTTGAAAACATTTCTATCATTACACATTTACTTTAAATTCCCAAGCTTTAATATATGGACTCATTTGCTAATAAAAAAAAGCTATAATTACACTTGAATACTAAAATTTTAATAAGCTCTGATATGACTAACCAACTCAAACATTTTTTTATAATCTGAATTCTATCATAAATTTTTGTTCTCCATTAACAGAAATTTTACCAACTAAACTAATAACATTTCAAGAAAATACCCATTGAAATTTCAATATATAAAACTAAGTGTGTTTTTTCCAAGAAAAAAAAAATATCAAGCTGAAATAGCTACTGCTTTATTGTACTCTAAAAAAAACATAGAAAAATATAAAAAGGAAAACGTTTCTATTAAAACCAATTGCCACAAATAAATTCTGATGGACAATAACCAAGAAACTCAAAAGACCTCCAACTACTATCTAAAGTAAATTATTATTTAGATGTAAACCTCAAATCTTTTCCACTATCTCCAACATCAGCGGAATTCAATTTTGTGAAAACGTCCGTCTTTACTTTTCCAGCGATTGTTCGAATCTGATTATCTTTGATATATATCACAATAATACACAATACACAATATAGAATGGCCCTCAATGCTGAAAATTTTAATAGAACAAGAAGAAATAACTCTTCTAATCATCGTATTTTGCCTTTCAGTATTCTAAATTCCCCCTTGGCTCAACCAGGCTCCAATTCTAGTCCATCTAGTTCATCGCCAATAAACAATGCACTACCTCAATCTCCAATGAACAATCACAATTTGTTCTTGCAACCACTTCATGGCTCAGATATTTTGGACAGAACTTCTTCAAACTACAAAAAATTCTCTTACAAAACAAAAACATCATTAAATTTTGCTTCTTATACCGAAATACAGGCTCTTTCCTCTTCAAATGATCCTGCTCACCCAAACAGAGTGGTAATTGCTGGGAAAAGTTTAATTCAAGTTCTAGATATCGACAACGAAAATTCCACAATCACAATTGTAAAAGATGTTTTAAAAGGTTCTTTTCTACAAAAGAACGTTACTCAATTGGGCTCCATCTTTGACATAAGATTTGGTTATCACTCAAATAAAAATTTGATTGCTGTTGCTTCGATAACAGGTTCGGTTTATGTATTTGATAATTCGGATGCATCTTCATCAACATATAATAAAATCGTCAATAATCTTAAAGCACACAATCGTCCTGTCAATTCCATTGCCTTTTCTCCTCATGATTCTAATCTATTGATGTCTGGATCCAGAGATGGTGTTATAAAAATTTGGGATCTTCGTTCTGAAGAGCCCGTAAAAAGCTTATCTGCAAATGCTGATGTAGTAAGGTGTAATGAATATTCTCCTCATGATCCATATAGTATTGTTGCTACCTATGATTCTGGAAGCATAGTAAAATGGGATTTGAGAAACAATAAACAAGAAAAAAGATTTAATGGCCACAATAAAGGAGGTCTCACTCTTGAATGGAATAATAAATTCAATTATATTGTTTCTGGAGGTAGTGATCAACAAATTCAAGTGTGGAATATGAGCTCCAAGAATATTCAAGATCGTTCCCAGCCAGATTTCACAATAAATACATCAAGTCAGATAGCCAAGGTTTCGTGGTCTCCTTTCACAGAAAACTGTTCCTCTGTTATCGACTGTCAGGTTGCATCTTGCTACTTAGGCAACAATTCTTTTGTGAATGTATGGGATCTCAAAAGGAACTTTATACCTAGATTTGTATTGGCTGAACATTCGCAGCCAGCTACTGGTTTGTGTTGGAAAGATCAAAATCACATATGGACCTGTTCAAAAGATAAATTATTTATACAGCATGATTTGAGAAGTGAGAGATGTACAATAGAAGATTTACCTAAAACTTCTGTCAAATTTAATTGGTCCAGATTTAATGAGGTTTGTTTTATTTCTCAAAATGATGATTGTTTTACTTTAAATAAAAACAGAAATGAGAATCTATCCTATGATAAGGGCCATTCGGTTTATCAGTCTTCAAGACATTTTAAAGAAAATTTTAATGATTATTTTATATCCTCTAAAGAAACAAATCAAAAATATAATCATCTACTAAATTCTACGCCTGATTTAAGAAATTCAGAAGATCTCATAGATGATTCATATAACAATATAAATCATATATTGAGTGATTGTTCTAACCATATAAGTGAAATTCATGCTCAAAATCATGGAAATCGTGTTTTTTTTCCAAAATTTTCTTCCTTTTTGTTTAAATTGAAGCCCAGAAACCTGTTTGATCAAGAAAATCTGACAAATGAAAATATTCAATCACAGGGAACGCACAGAGATTCTCATGGTTCAAGTAATTTGGACTCAAACAACTCAAACTCTAGTTCTGTTGTAGGGTCACTTCCGGTTCCTCAACTTCAACGACATATCAGCTTTTCCAATCATCAAATTAATCAGCATGGTGTTAGTTTTGGAAGTTCCAACCAATTTTCTAAATCTGATCAATCTAAAAAATCTTTTTTGAGTGGAAACTCTCCTCATAGTCCCATTTTAAACAAAAAAAATGAAAATTTACTAACTAATCATCTGCAGGGAAATCCCATGGCTACCTACAATGATATCTATGATTTCAATAAAAACAGCAATAGTAGTGATAGTTTGTTTGCATCAGCTGCACTGAAAATAGAAAGATCACACTCTCAATCTCCCAAAAACTCAGCTTTTAATGACATACCAAGACCTATAATTCAGAGGTCACAAACCACTCATCAATTTATTAGTGGATTAAAAGAAAATAAACCTTTGCAAAATACCCATTACAGAAACACGTCTAACCATCAATTTGGCCAAGAAGTGGAAAATCTAGTAAATGACAATAAAAATCATTCTAACATCAAGAATTCAGCTCGAAATCCTATAAATGTTAACGAGCAGCCTCAGAATATATCAAAAACTACAATTAATATCGAGAATTCTGGAAAAGAAATAAGTTTTCAAAATCTTACAAATTCTCCATTTAAAAATATAACTAATAATCTATTAAAATCTTCTTTGGATGTTTCATTTCCATTATCAAGTCTTGTCCATACATCATCTAACAGTTCAGGCCAGTTGAGATCATCTGTTCAACCCAATCTCAATGTGCCTAGTCTTAGTCGAACATCTTCAAACTTGAAACCATCTAAAAATTATTCCAGCTCCAATTCTTTTCTTGACTCAATTGCCAGGAATCCTGAATTCAGTTTTAAAAACACGCCAATACCTTTGATTTATTTATGTAACCCAATAAAAATTGAAAGAGATTTCGATTTAATTTTTCAACGTTGTTCTTACAGCTATTTTAGGTACTTGGGAGAAGGAGTTGAGTGGTATTATTATCGCTTAATGGAGTTTTTGGATGGTGAAGAATTGCAGATACCTAGAATTTTTGAAAATGGTGAAAATCTTTTTTCTGTTTTGGAAATGCTTGATAATAAAGATAAAAAACCACCAATAAGAGAAAGCAAATCTATTTTGAATAAATTAAAAATTGAAGAGATTCGGAAAATTGTAGATGAAGTTTTTTTTGGATACGAATCAATGTCTCTAAGTGACAAACTTAATTTTTCAGATGATTTTGAAAATGCACAAATAGTTTGCTTAATCAAGTTTTTAATTTTGATAAAAGATATTGACACTGTGAAAATATTGATAATAATTATTGATAATATAAGAGTTGCAACAGAAATTCAATATTTCAGGCATTTTAAATTGTGGAAAATGATATTGACAGTAATCTTGATAAAACAAGAAAATCGGAAAAAAGATTTTATGAGTGGGAATTTATCTCAAGATCAGATAAATATGAAATTTCAAAGAAAGGGATCAGATAATAATTCAGATATTTTTAGTAATTTTGACACTGATGAGTTAAGTAAAGAGCAAAGTAAAAGCGATAATACTGAAAATTTTACCGGTTCAAATCGTTTCTATGCTTCTTCAGTTGAATCGTCTACTCTCTCAATGTTGCAATTAGTACCGAAAATTCAGGTGGATGGTTCTTCCAATAAAAATGAACAAAATGGAAAAAGTGATAGTAATTCCAGTATAAATAAACGTATAAAAAAAAAATCATTAAGTGATACTGACGACAATAAAGAAATTTTACATGCAATCAACCAGCTGCGGCAAAAATCAGGAACTAGTTATAAAGATAATGAAAGTGCGATTTTAGATGACAGTGATGAATCTGATGAGGAATTGGTAAACCCTAAGTCATTTCCTTCAATTTATAATTCCAATTCCAACAAAGTAAAGAGCAATTTTCTTATCAAAAATCCAAAGTCTTTAGAAAGTTCAACATCTAGTCTTGGGATGCTAGATTCATCAAGTGAAGTGAAGAGTACTGTGAATGTTTCCGATCATAATAACAAGCAAAATGTTAATCATGAAGATGTAGAGTTTAACATTTCACATTCCTTTAGATCTTCAATTTCGCCATTATCATTTTCTGTTGGAAGAAGTATTCCAAAGGATTCGCCGTTAGGTGGATTAATTCGATCAAAGAGCTCTAGGCTTTCTAATTTTAATTATCCATTGGATAAATTTAAAAGAGATAATGCAACTGAGAGACTACCTGGAACTCTTAGTTTAAAGAGCAATTTAACAAAGCAAATAAAATACAATTCATCATCAGGAGAACATGGCAATGTTTATGCCAGCACAGTTAGTAGTTTTAGAGATGAGAGACATAATCAAAATGCAAAAAGTATATTGGAAGTTTCTCAAGAGCGATTGGATAAGGAAAATCTAGTCAAGAGAATCAACATGAATCATTCTAACGGATTTCCATGGAATCCAGAGCGAATTATCACAAGGGTTAGCAGTTATGCAACTGAAGAAGGAGATATATTAATGTGTGTATCGTTATTATTATTATTTCGTAATTTATTTACAAAATATCAAGCATTAGAATGGGTTCATGGTTTTATTGAAATTTTAACAAGAAAAAGACTATTTTCAATTTCTTCATTAATTTTGAAATATTGTGGATTGCCAGAAATACTGAATGAAGGATTAAAAAACACGCATATTAATTCATTTTGCTTTAATTGCAAAAACATTATTACAAATGACAAAGTGAAATTGAGTGAAAATAATGAAAAAGAAGTTAGAAGTAGATATTGGATATGTGAAAATTGTAAAACGTTTACGAGTAAATGCTGTTACTGTGATATTCCTATTAAAGGATTAAGTTTAAATTTACTCACTTGTGGACATCATATTCATGCTGAATGCTTTAAAGAATGGTTTGATGATGGTGATGAAAGAGAGTGTCCATGTGGATGCGGTGAAGTTATATTCGAATAGTTAAGAAAACAATAAAAAAGGAACTGAAGATCAAAGGGTTTGGTTTACTTTTTTTTGGTTAATGATTTAGAAAATGGAATTTCAGATGGTGGTGAACGTATAATTGCTATTTTACATTGCTATTGTTGATAAGTTACAACAAAACAGATGATATTATTTCAGAGAGTTTCTGAACTTTCATTGATTATATAAAAACTATGGGTCTTATAGATCTTATAGATTTTAATAATTTCAGTCGTTTCATTAAAGAGCTACATTTCAAGTTGGTAACATTGAAATTGAAACATAGGCCAAATGAAATTCAAAAATGAATTTGAGATTTTTAATTTGTTTTTGGGTATTCTTTAGCATAATGATGATTCTTTGATATTTTATAATTGCTTTAAACCAAATTCTAGAACAGTAACATAAAGGCAAAGCAAAACAGTATATGATTAATGTATGTTATATTATTCACTCAAAAAAATAAGAAAAACAACGTTATCGGATAATGACGAACATCCGAGCCGACGGGTGTTCGTGAATGTATATAGTCCGAATGAAAAAGTAGCAATCCGAAGAATCCAGGTTCGGTTGAGTACAATGCGACAATTTCCAAGTTAGGAATTTAGTTAGCCAAATTGAACCTAAATAAGGTGATATTATCTGATTTGATGAAACTACTTTCGCCTGAAGTTAATCTGAAGAATCATGCCAAAAAATGAATGCAGAAGGATGATTAAAATAAAAGAGGAAAGGGTATTTTGCTGCCTTAATTTAATTACAAAATTGAATCGGGCTGTTTGAGCTTTTTGGAGAAGAAAACAGCCAATTGAAGGTAGTTGAGTGAATTGGAAAGGACGACCATACAAGCGGATTTTCCACGAAAAAGAAAGGTAAACAATGCGATGGATCAAAGTTTATTATTTGATGCAAGAAAAAAAAGCAAAATGGAAATCGGAGCGCAATTTGAAAACACAAACGCAATTTAATTTATTTTTGTTTTCGTTTTCGTTTTCGCTTTCGTTTTGAATCTTTGATTTGAACGAGTGAAAGTGAATCGAAAGAAAACCAGGCAGTTGATTATTTTATATCAGAAAGATCGGATAAAAAGAATCAAGAATGCATATTCCATTCATAGGGCGGTTACAATTGATTGAATGGTCGATTTTATTTTTATCGTTGGGATTAGTTTGGACAGAGTTTTCGTTATCGATTATAACATATTTTTTGCCACATTTTATTATCAAGTTTTTTGATGATTTGGTCAAGGTGATATATGAAGAATTGGATAGTCGATTGCAGGTTAATTTAAAGGTGAAAGAGCTTGAGAGCGATGAGATTTCGTTAATGAAGAGGATAAATGAAGCGAGTGATTTTATTCAAATGTGCAAGATATTTGATTATGAAGCCGAAGAACATTTAGTCAGGACAACAGATGGATATATTTTGACTATTCATCGAATTAAGAATGGCAAGAATGGCAATCGTAAGGAAAATAAGCCAGTTGTTTATTTACATCATGGATTGTTAATGAATAGTGAGGTTTGGGTTACAATGATTGATTGCAAGAAGAATTTACCATTTGTGTTGGCAGATTTAGGGTATGATGTGTGGTTGGGGAATAACAGAGGAAACAAGTATTCTCGAAAGTTTTCATCGATTAAGGATAATAAGCACAGTTTTTGGGATTTTTCAATTGATGAGTTTGCGTTATATGATATACCGGATTCATTGAATTACATATTGGAATTGACCAACGAGAAGAACTTGAGTTATATTGGATTTAGTCAAGGAACAGCTCAGTCGTTTGCTACGTTAAGTTTGCATCCCGAGTTGAATAAAAAAATCAAAAAGTTGATAGCGTTATCGCCAGCACTAACACCCAAGGGGTTGAATCATTATTTTGTTGATACGTTGATGAAGTTAAGTCCTAACTTGATGTATTTATTTTTTGGAAGGAGTGCATTGTTACCATCAGCGACGTTTTGGCAATCGATTATGTTTCCACCATTGTTTAACAAGCTTATTGACAATTCGAACGTGATGTTGTTTAATTGGTACGGGAAGAATATCAAGTATGAGCAGAAAATCGCGTCATATTCGCATTTATACTCGACAACGAGCGTTAAAGTGGTTGTGCATTGGTTTCAAATTATGAGAAATAAGAGCTTTCAGATGTTTGACGATTCGTACAGTTTTAATTATTTTTTGAATTCGAAAATCATAAAGAAGCAGCACGACAGTTCAATGAACGATGAGTATAGCAAGTTGAACTACAAGATCCCCAGTTTTCCAACCAGAAACATTCAAATTCCCATGCTATTGATCTATGGAAGGAATGATTCATTGGTTGACATTGATATTATTTTGAGGCAGTTGCCTGATAATAAAGAGAGGGAGCAAGTGAAGTCGATTGGAATCGACGAGTATGAGCATTTGGAGATAATATGGGGAGATGAAGTGGATAAGTTTATTTTTCCCCATGTAATTGAGTTTTTGGCAGAATAGAGTGAGTATTGATGTGAATATGAATGATATACGCGATATATGGTGGGATAGATTTGAAGAGAAGGAGCTGATTGGAGAGTTGTCTTGAATAGAGTATAGAGAGGGATAGTGTGGATAAATAGAGTGTTGATGGAGAAATAGCGTAGACTTTAGATTGTAGATTGTAGATTGTAGTAATAGTGATGGTGATGATGGATAGGGAAGAGGTAGCGATTGTTTTTTAATTGTAAGTTAATTTCATAGTTTCATAGTTTCATAGTTTCATAATTTCATAATTTCATTAGAATTTTACTTAAATAAAAGTAGTTTTATTTAATTATATGCTGATTTTAATCTTGAAACAATAAATGAAATTGGTACTAAAAAATTGGACCACAACTTGGGTAATGTTGTAAAAAGATAGATGCTGTTCTTTATTTGATAATTATTGATAAATAATAATTTTAGTTAATAATAAATAATATTATTCAACAATTGATCTATTATTTATTTTTAAGCTGGTTTTGTGTAATGTTATATAGCTATAATTATTTTATTATTTTATTATCTTGTTTTTTTGTTTTTTGTTTTCGATTAATTGGATTGGTATCAAATTAATTAAATATCAATTAATTGATATTCATTTAACGTATGATTAATTGCTTTGAAATAACAAAAAGATTACACAAAAATAGCCAGAATTGAATCCTTTTTCAGACAAAATTCGTATTTAACTTAAGATAAGTGATAGCTGGATGATAGATAATTGATAATTGTCAGATTAAAACAAACAAAAGAAAGAAAAACACTGAATTTTTGAGTTGAGAAATAATTGCTATAATTTGGATAAATTCAACAAGGATTGAGAATTTAAATATGAATTTAGTAGTCGTAATGGTGATTGTGATTGTAGTAGTAGTAATAAATAAATAAGAAATAAGAAAATAAAATTGGGGTAAAGAAATTAATTTAAAATTTCAAAAATTATACTTTTAAAACTTTACAAACAAAAAAGAACAAAAAAAGACATTAAAGAGCTGTTAATAAGCAGTTGCGATTGATTACAGTAAATTGTGATTTAATTTCTAAAATATTTTCAAACACTATAAGCAATAATTTGGGTTAATTGATTGATTGATTGAATGAATGAAACAATCAGGAGGAATAATCAAGTAAAACAATTGAGCGAAGTTTATTGAGAGATTGTTATAATTGTCAAATGTCGTAAAAACGTTGGAGCTGATTGAGGCAATTGAAAGATTAAATGGAAATGAGTGAGTGAGTTGCTTTGTGGGAACGGTTGGAGCGGTGGTGAGATTTGTAACCGTGAGAGATCTATCTGTCTGGGCACTTTTACCACGCATAAACTGTGCGATTAGGTCATTTTCGATCAATCTAAACTATTTTAAATCATTTTGATCTAAAATTTTTTTAAACCATTTTAAACCACTTGAATTTGGTCAAACGCCAATAGCAACCCAACAGAAAGCAGAGCGTGTTTGTCCAGGCTCTCTGGAGCCGTAGTTATCAGCGAACTAGTGTTTTGCTTGAATAGTATTGCCAATTACTGACTGGAGCGATTCAAGACTGAATTCTAATCAGAAAAGTAAATGAATTTTCTGAAAAAGCTCCCGCTAGAGTTAGTTGCAAACCACGAAATCAGCTGAAATTTCCTAAAGTATCCATTTAACTTTTTGGGGTGTGATGTCTTGATAGAAAAAACTGGATTGCTTGAATGGATTAATTGAGCTGAGATGAAACAGACTTCAGAGTCACAGGCAATCGGCCAGGTTCTGGTTTCAACAGGGCCTTTCGCAGTCATTAGATTTTAAGAAAATTATTAAAATTCCCAGGTTGACAAAAGCTTATGCGGCAAAAGTCTATCTGCCGACACTGCAGCTCCACAAAGCGTCTGGAAGCAGAGGAAGCACAGGAAGCAGGACAAGAGAAGAAGCGGGCTCGGCGCCAGCGCGACTTGTGCTGTTCGCTGGGCTGGCGTCGTGAGCCGCCTGTGCTTCCCGGTCTGGACTTGAATCTGGGTCTGACCGCGGGGCACCGCCAGCGAACAAACCCGCGCCAGGGCTGCCCGCTAAACCCTGCGCAGGCGGTCAAAGCGGGTGGCCCCCGCGGGAACGGGAGTGCAGTGCATGCTCCAGCCCGACACGGTGAGCTGGCCCCTTTGAACAAGAGGAATTTCCGCAAACACTGCCCGACGCAGCCCCGCGCCGGCGTTCTGGCGCGTTCTGGCGCGGGAAAGCTGCTGGTGCTGCTGCCGCCGACAATGGCGATGGAGACGCTCAGGGCCAGAGATATATAAAGTCCTCTGTTTCCTCTTCTTCTCCTGCTCTGCTGCTCTTCTTATCTCTCTGAAAGCCTGCTTTCTTTTTTCTTTTCGGTCTTCTCTTCTCTCTCCCTTCTCTGTCTTTCCACTCTCATTCCCCATATCCAGCCTCTGTTGAAAGTCACATCCCACTACCTGATCTGCGTCCATATTCATATTTTTAGAATTTGACAATCCAGTTTTATTCTGTTAATCTGATACAAATCATCAATTATCTTGATTCAATTGCTTTCCATTTTGCTTCTTTATTCCATAACTCAATTTTATATTCCCAATCAACACTTTTCTGATTCTCTGTCTACTAAACGTATAATCGTACCTTAACTCTTAAAAGCACACAAATTCAACACTTTTAGACAACATAACATCTAAATCATAAAATAATATTCAAACCGTTAGATAATATACAAAAACAGATAACAAAAAAAAAAGCATTATTTTTCCATATCCTTTTATATATATTCCTTTGGATTTTGTTCTTTTTTTTTTATTCTTCCAATCAATTAGTATCAATCAATATCAAATAATAATAATAATAACAATAATAATAATAATAATAATAATAATAATAATAATAATAATAATAATAATAATAATAATAATTATAATTATAATAATTTCATCTTGTTTTAGTTTTTTTATTTTTATTTTTACTTTTCTAGACCCAAATCTTTTCCTATCTTTTGGTATTACGCTCAATCATCATTTTATCTACCAACCAAAGACTCTGACAACTTTTATCTTCAATCCATTCCTCCTATTCTTAGACAATAATACCAGCAATACCCTTTTAAAGTTATTTAATATTAATCATTTATTAATCACTTAATTTTTTGGCAATTATACTACAATTACATTAAATTTCCAATACTAAGAATTTTAAGAATTTTAAAAATCATAAAAATCATAAAATTTACAAAATTTACAAAAATTTAAAAAAACAAATCATATTTAATATTAATTATTTAAACCTCAAATTCGTTTTTTTATTTTATCTTAAATTGCTCTCTAGCTTAATAATCAATCTATATTACCATACTACTTATTAAATATATATACATATATATATATATACATACATATATATATATATATATATATATTTAGACATATTTAGACACTTATACTATACATGAAAATCATAAATTATCCTGATTCCTAACTGCTCTACAAACTACATCTTCAATCTTTTCGCTCCCAATTTATCTCTGACTTCTATAAATTCATAACTTCATCCTTTATTCTACATTTACTGCTTCCTTGTTTATACATATAAACTATCTTCTTTCATTTATCTCAAATCATATAAATATCCTCTATCCACTCACTAACTCACTAACTCACTTTGTATTAGTACACTATATTATACAATCCACAAAAATGGCTGATGTCAGATTTATGGACGATTCAGATTCAATGTTTGACGACGTCGAAATCAAAATAGCACTATTCTTTATAAATGGCTCTAGAGTTGATTTAACTCTAAACAGAGAATTCATCTATGAAAACAGATTAACCGCAAGATCAACTCTCGAAATCTCAATCTCGGATCTAATCTATTACCTACTAATAAATTGGGATCCTTCTTGGGGCCAAAAACCTGTCAATATCTTCCAAATCCGTTTCCTACATCTTGGTAGAGCTGTTCGTTCTGGAATGCAAATAAAAGACATAAATTTAGCCACAAGCACAATCTTCCACATAAGTTTAAGACCCCTAAGCTCTCTAAACAAAGATTACAATATCATCAGAAATGCCTCCTTATTCGTTAATACAGCAACCAATATAAGAGATTATAACAAAAGATTCACTTTATCCGGCCCTGCTAGTCTCCATAGTTACAATAACGAATTTTCAACCTACAACACAAACACTAATCGTCAATATCAGAGATACTCTTATGCTGGTCCTTCTGCTGCAAGTGATGATGACACCTTCGATCCCACCTCTCTAGGCTCTTCCACTCTAAGAATGTCCCCATCAAGACAAAATAGAAACAGTTACATAACAAATGATATTTCAAATGTCCAATCAAATCGAAGTGCAAGTTTTCAAGAAAATAAAAATAGCATTGTTGACACTTCCTCTTCCTCCATTTTAATCAATACCCCATCAAGATCTATTAATAATAGCACAAATAACAATTCTAATAGCATCAATATCAATCCTATTCCTAGCAATATTACTAATCACTCAAGAAGAAGCAGAAAACACTATCATTACAACTCAAATACAAATCAAATTTCTTCTGATGCAAGAACTTCCAAGGAAGAATCAGGCTGTTGTATTATCATGTAACTCATCTTTCATAATACTACATCATCAAATTTTTTACATTTTTTACATTTTTTTTCTTTTACATTTTTTTTTTTTTCTATTTATTCATTTTCCTTTACTTCGAATTCCAAACCTTTTTGACTGACTGTTATTGATTTCTTATGTTTCTTCCACTTTATCTTCTATTTTGTTGTTTTTCCTTCAAACTTTGTTGTTTTTCCTTCAAACTTTGAGACTTTTCATTCTTTTTTGTTCATAATTATATTATATTATATTTTTAATCTTCATTTGGCTTTTTCTTGCTCATTTGTTTAATTTTTTAGTTTTTTAGTTTTTTTAGTTTTTTTATATTCACTATTTTTAATGTTGATTTCTTTTCATGCTAGAATGTTTTTTTTGCTGGCTAAATCATTCTTTTATTTACAAAGGATCTTTTTTATGTATCTTAATCCATCTTGCCCTTTATGTCATTGTTATATCTTTTAAGGTTAAACCAATCCTTATTTTTCTAATTTATAATTCTTTATCAATATAAATTCTTTGATTTAAACAAACCAAGCTCCAAAACCTACACCAGCTCTCTGAAGCACTTTCTCCTAACTCGTCTATTCTTGATTCGCAATCTTGCAGTTTTCCTACCACCATTAAAATTGATAACCACACTTAGTCAAAAACCAAAAAATCATTAATCTGACTGAGATTCAATTGAGGTTTATTTTTTTAGTGTTTGATTTGCACTAATCATGTTCATGGACTATTTTATAATTTTCAAAACTTGTGGAAAACCAAAATTCAAGATTCCCTTGTTCAATTGCTCTTCTATCTGGTTAAATTGCAAAAAAACAACAAAAAAAGAACCCAACCAGAGTCGATTTCCATCACAAATTCTCAACCTTTTTTTTTATTTATCAGAAAATGTTATCCATACTCTATTTCTTTCCCACTTAATAGCACCTAATAGCCATTCCATGGCATTTCATGGCTATTTCATTTTCATTTCAGCCTTAAAAATGAATAAATTCTCTTCAAATGCAGCAGAAGACTACAACACTGTTGAAGAGCCAACAACTTTATAATTCCTTCATATTCTCTCTACTCAACAATATTCGTTCCTTCAAATCACAAGAATTACTTTTTGTAACTTCTTCTAAGGAGAACCCAGCCTGACTCGTAAAGCAAAAAACTGAGCTCTGTATCCTCCTATTCTACCCAGATTTTATGGTTCTTTGTGACTAAGACACTGATAAAGACTGTTTGTTCGGTTGAAGAGAGACATTTATTACATTTAATACGTTTTGTTACATTTGTTACATTTGTTGTATTTGTTGTATTTGTTGCATTTATTGTTTTTGTTGTTTGCTGAGAATGGCCAGAAGGTGTTCTGCAGACAACACCAAAATCCTTGAGGACTTCAAAAATTATTTACTTACCTCATCTAAACAGTTATAATCATTTTATTTCGTTAACAGGAGAGCCCAAACCTTGTTTTGCAAATGAATATTATCCTATAATCTGCCCGCTATTTGGTTTGAGGTTGGTAAATAATATCTGGTTCTTCGACACACTCAACAGGCTTAAGAAGCTGCAAATGAACACACAGATCCAAAGGCATGTTGGTGCTGGAAATGGGTTGCCATTAAATTTGCAATTTCATAACGACGTGGTGCTCTTACATAAAAAACATCTCATTTTGGAAGCACGAATTTGAACAAGCGACTGTTGAACAATTCTTGAATGTAACTGAATAGTAATGATAAATGGAATGAAAACGTCTTTTATAAACCCGTTTTAAAATTAAGCATGGGTTTGATTTTAAAGCCCTTAACCTTTTCAGACAATAAGGTGTTTTTTCTCATCGAGTTTCGAATTGATAACAGATAAGCAGACCATAATCATTCTTATGTGACTGAATGTTTTCAAAATCAAATCATAACGTTATATTGATGGACTCCATTTAATGCGCATGAAAACGACTGACTTTTGTGGATTGAGCCGCCAATATTTATTGAAATTCGAAAACTATAAATGAAAAGACAAATTAAGCAGTGGCAGCAACAACCACAATAAATAACAACAACAACAATAATAACAAATGCATTGAGCAATAAATCACGAACTTCTGATGTCCTCAATCTCAGAAATTGCATGTTTTCTGATTTCACTATTACTAAAAGCTGCCAGGATTAAATGCACAAGTTCAAATGTTTTAAGATCATAAAACTCCCCATTGTAGAAATTTTCCATTATAACGTCCAAATGACTGGAGATTATTAGCTTAAAATTTTCCAATCTGTGATGATTTCCAACTGTTTTCTTAAAGCTCTCAAGTATAACTATATTTTTATTACCAAAATTATAAAAGTTTTTGTAATTCTCAATGTAGCTTAAACAAACAGTAATGATTCTATTTAGTTCTTCACATTCAACTTCAGTAATTGTGTTTCGCTTTAAAATACAATTGATAATTTTTGAATAAAATAAATCAAACAATTCTTTCAATAAAACATCTCTTAGTCTTTTTGAAAAACTTTTGAAATCATTAAATATTTCTTGAAATTTAAATTCCAATTGATTCAAAATTAAGTCAGTAAGATTTGAATCATTCAAACTATCAAAAGAATTAAATTTATTAAATATTTTAAATAACGATCTTTCTTGTTTTAATTTAATTCCTTGCAATAAATACTCGATTGTATCGTCAAAAGCCCCTGATGTTATGCTTCCCTCTGAAGAATATGAAGACCTATTTGAATATGATTGGTATGAGTCTGGATCGATATTAAAATTATTGGATTTTTTAATTGAATTATTTAAATAATAACAATCATTGTAAAAAAAAATTTCGTCTTCATATTTTGAAACAAAGATGACATAAAAAAGTTGTAATAGCTCATTTGTTTTATTAATAATTAAGTTTCGATTATAGTTATTAATAATCCTATAATTTTGAAAATAATTAATGAAGGAGTTAATGATTTTAATAATTTCATCTGGAATTAAAGTTGTTTTATAACTATCTTCATCATAGTTTTCAAAATTATCTAAACTATCAGATTGTAAACTTTCATTTTCATTCTTAACATCAGGTTTTTTAATAGTATTAAAAGACTTTTTAGATTTTATAACATCTGATTTACTATCGGGTTTAATTTTTGTTGATGATTCACTATCATCAAAATTAATAGACAAGTTATCATCTAAATCTTCATCACCCCAACCCCAATCATTAATTTCAGCTGAACTTAAAGATATATTATCATCATTTAATAGGCCTTCACTCCTTTTATGAGTTAAAGAAGGTTGACTCCTTTTATTAATAATAGAATTTTTCGAGCTTTTAGAATTTTTTGAGTGATTTTCTGAGTTTTCATCAAGATCTAAATTTAAATCTATTTCACTTCCCCAAGGATCATCATCATTATCAACATTTATGTCTAAATCTTGATCTTCAATCCAATTATCGAAATTATCTTCCCATTTCCATTCATTTTCATTATTTTGAACTGAAAATCTTTTTGATAGTTGTTTGGAAATATTCTTTGACATTCGGGCAGAGAATTTAGTATTTGGATTTTTTGAGAATCTTTGGGTTAATCTTCTTGTTAAGCAAACCTGGTCATTATTTAGGAAACCTTCTTCTGGGATTACATCAGCTAGTAAAGAGTTTTGAGTTTGGCGTGATTTTGGTTGTGTGCTATTTGACTTTGAATTTGAACTTGAATTTGAATTTGAATTAGTATTTTCAGTTAAATTGATTGTTGAAGTTGAAGCACCACTTATTAGGGCGTTTAAAGTGTTTTCATTAAAAGATTGAAATTTATTGTGGTTTGAGAGTTTATTTGTTGATTTTTTTTCTTGAGATCTTAGAATTAGATTTTTTTCATTGAAAACGTAATATATTTTGGAGTGATTAAAATCAGTAGCATAATTTTTGATTTGATTGAGTTTTTTGGATAAAATTTTATCTATCAAGAAGAAATTTTTCAAGTTTTCCATATTATCTTGCCATAGTTTCAAGTCATGAGAGCCTATGATTAATAGTTCTTCAGATTCTGTGTTTTTAATGTTTTTACTTTGGATTTCGATTTCGATTTCTGCTTCAAAAGAAGGAGGATTTGAAATTGAATTATCATCAAAAGAATCGGTAATTGGAGAGGAAGAGGAAGAGGAAGAGGAAGGAGGATTTGGATGAAAAAAGGAATCAGGTAGATTACAATTTTTTTTGAACAATTCGATTAGATTTAGAATGAATTTGTTGATGTTTAACAAGTCCTTTTTTGATGTTTTTGATGGAGATAGTTGTATGATTGAGTTGTTGATTGAGTTACGAGGAGAGATGGAGTTACGAGAGGAATTGTGAGAGGGGTTGTGTGAAGAATTAATATTTAGAATGTTGTTTTTAAGATTTAAGTAGTAGAAGTTTAGAAAATGGTAGTTATTTTTATTTATAATGTTTAAGAAAGATAAGAGGTAAATTAGTTTCAATAGGACGATTAAGTCTAGTTTGATTTTGTTTTCTTTGTTGATGTCAAAGGAGGATAGAGAGAGAGATTTGAGGGTATTTTTGTAGTTGTTGTAGTTGTCAGTTGAGGATATTTTGTAGAAGAGAGATAGTTTGTTGTAAAGATTTAAGTTGATGATTTTTTGAAAGAAGTTGTTTAGTAAGAGAGAATTTTTTTTGATGAGTTGGTCTTTGAAGTAGATTGGAAGGGAGTTGAAAAAGAGGGAGTAATTTATTAGAGAATAGATCTGTGAGTTAAAAATTGAGTCAATGGAGCTGTTATTGGTGGATTTTTTTTTCTTTTTTGTGTGGTTGTGATGGATTTTGATTAGATTGATTGAGAATTTTGAGTTATTTGGAGATTTATTGAAAATTAGAAGGTGAGTGTTTTGGAATATTTTGGATAGGATTAGGTTGTTTAGATTTAAGAAATTTTGAGAAAAGAATTGAAGAAAGGAGAGATCATTTTGGGGGAGATTCTGTTGGATATGATTTTGAGAAATAAAATGAATTAGAGATGAAATGTTTGATGAGTTTTGGGATAAGATGGAGAGATAGTCATTGATATTTAGAATATTGTTGTTGTCAAAAATAGTTTGGTTTATAGATATTGAAAGATGGTTGAAATTTAGAGAGATGAATTTGTTAAATAGAGATTTAAAATTCGATAGGGAAGTGTGGATTAAAGAGGATAGATTTGACAATAAAACATTCCAAAATTTGAAACTTTCTAGTTTTTGAGATAGAGTAGAGATTAGTTGGTTATTGATCTCTTCAGTGTCTTTATTTGAATTTGAATTTGAGTTTGCAATTAGTAAAGAAGATGAAGATAGTACCTTTTTGATTGTTTTAGTTGTATTTGCAGGGAAAGCAGTCAAAAAACTGCCTGGGATATTTAGGTCATTTAAAGAAGAAGAGGAAATGTTTTTTAAAGGTAAATTTGATAGGTTGGATACGTTTAGTGAGCTGTTATTTTCATTATTGCTTTCTTTATTTTCAGCAGTGTTATCAATTGTGTGGAAAGTGTTGTCGGTGAGATTGTTGGACGTTGAGGATAGGAGGATGTCGTTTTGAACGATAGTTGTTTTGAAGTCTTCAATTTTGTTGATTAGTTTGATTAGATTGTAGAAAATGGAATCCAATTCAAGAGAGTTCTGGGATATAATTGATTCAGTTTCGTTGATTAGGTTGTTGATAAACAAGAGTTTGTTGAGGAAAATGTCCTGTAGGGAATTGAAGTTCTCGTTATTGGAAACAAATGGAGAAGCTGCTGTATTATCTTCAGCTATGTTACCACCATCATCACCATCAACACCAGTACTGGCACTTAGCTGGGTGTGCTGGAGCAGCTTCAAGTTGTCTATGGAGACAGAAAGGTCGTTGATTAGCTTTGCGTTGCTGTCTGTGTCAGTGAGGTCCACCGAACTGTAGCTGCTGAAGAGTTTGTTCATGGTTGTGCTGGCGTTTAGAGTCCTTTCTCTGCTGCTTCGGATCTACCTCTCATCTGCTTCTCTACCAGCTCTCGTCCTGCTGCACGCGAACCTCTCCCGCCACGTGCATCACCATCTCCGTCATCTCGCGCACCATTGCGGCCCGCGGCCCGCGTCGTCCGAGCACCGCTGCCACGAGCCGGAGCCGATTTCGTGCTCGTCGAATTGTTTCGTCGAGTTTCGCTACGCCCCGGCTGTCGTTGACAAGCACCACCTCCGCCGTGAGCTGCCGCAACTGCGCGACGTGCCCCGCCACCGTCCGCCGGACCGTCTCCTCTGCTGCTTCTGCTGCTTCTGCTGCTTCTGCTACCTGTGCTTCCACTCCTTCGCCCGCACAGTACCGCTCCAACACCACCACATATCCCCTGAGCATTCCCAAGGCCAAGTACCTCTGGTACCCAGTCTGCAACCCAAACTGCTTGCCCTCTCGGTAGTTCTGCTCCTTCGACTCCCGGTAGCCCTCCTCGAAGCCTGCCTGGTAGAACTGCTCCTCCACGTTCAACACCTTGTCCCAGTCCATTTTTCCTGTTGATCTTGCTTCTTGTGCTTCTTGTGCTTCTCTTGTTCTTGCTGCTGCTTCTCTCACCACTTTGCTGCTTCTGTTGTTGTTTTTCTTTCTCACGCTTTCTCTCGCCCCCACTGACTGTCAACTGATCCACTCCTGATCCATTCCCTGCTTCAACAATACACTCACCGCTTTCTCCACTTACATAAGCACTTGTTTTTTGCGGATAATCCCTCTCTCTACAGCCAAAACATCGCTACCCGCACTAAAATCTGCTTTTCCACCGGAAAAAGTCTCTGCTTTCCTCAACAAATCATTTTTAATATTCATTATATCTACTGCACTTGTTTCGTTTTACTCACTACTTAGTATACTATAGTTTTCTTCTTTTTTTTTCTTTCTTCCTTCTTAACTCTTCTTCTTCTGTTGGTTTTTTAAAAACTAATACAAATTCCCAATTCCTACTTCTTGGTTCTTATCCATTAATTGGTTCATTGTATCTATATTTCTTATCTTCAATTGATCTTTTTTCTCTTGATCTAATCTAATCAAATCTATTCGATTCTACTTTACTATAACCATTCAACACTTAAACCATTCTTAAACCATTTACTTATTCAAAAATCAAATAAAAAAAAAAATGTCTGCTATTGCCTTGAAATCCAAATCTTTAAACCCTTTGTTAAAATGCTCTTTACCAATCTTGAAAAACTCCCACTCAAGCCAATTATTCCTTAAAAATTCATACAACTATCTCCTCCTGAATAAATCTTTCTCAAAGAGATATGCCTCAAACAAATCCTATCCTCCTTATACTGTCATTAACATGCCTGCTTTATCCCCAACAATGTCCCAAGGTAACTTGGCCGTTTGGAATAAATCTGTTGGTGACAAATTGCAGCCAGGTGAACCAATTGCTGAAGTCGAAACCGATAAAGCTCAAATGGATTTCGAATTCCAAGAAGAAGGTTATCTTGCAAAAATCTTTGTTGATGGTGGTACCAAAGATGTCCCTGTTGGTAAACCAATCGCTATTTACGTCGAAGATGAAGCTGATGTCTCTGCTTTTTCTGATTTTACTGAAGCTGACGCCGGTGGTTCTGCTCCTGCTCCTGCTCCTGCTTCCGAACCCGCTCCTTCCACTTCGGCTTCTGCCTCCCAACCTGCTGAATCTTCTGCTCCAGCTCCCGTTTCAGAAAAGCCTCAATCATCTCCATCTCCATCTCCATCTTCATCTTCATCTTCATCCTCATCTTTGTCTCCATCAAGAATCTTCGCTTCTCCTTTAGCAAAGACAATTGCTTTAGAAAAAGGCATCGCTTTGAAAAATATCACTGGAACTGGTCCAAATGGCCGTATCACTGCTAAAGATGTTGAATCTTATGTTCCTCCACCTGCTCCACAACAACCTTCTGCCGATACAACTCCTGCACCAACCACTGCCTCTTCCTCTGCCGCTGCCCCTTCATCTTCTGAAGATTATGAAGATATCCCAATTACAACAATGAGATCCGTTATTGCTAAAAGATTAACTGAATCCTCTCAAAATAATCCTTCTTATATCGTCTCTTCAGATGTCTCTGTCTCAAAATTATTGAAATTACGTAAATCTCTTAATGACAACTCCAATAACCAATTCAAATTATCAATTAACGATATCCTCATTAAAGCAGTCGCTAAAACTTGTCAATTAGTTCCCCAAGCTAACTCCTACTGGCTAGAAAACGAGAATGTAATCAGACAATTCAAAAATGTCGATGTATCTGTGGCTGTCGCAACTCCAACTGGCCTTATAACTCCCATAGTTAAAAACGCGCATGCTATAGGCTTAAAAGAAATCTCCTCTCAAGTTAAAGATTTGGGTAAGAGAGCTAAGGAAGGTAAATTGTTGCCCCACGAATTCCAAGGTGGTACTATTACCATCTCAAACTTGGGTATGAATCCAGCAGTTAAATTATTCACAAGTATTATTAATCCTCCTCAATCCGCTATCATAGCTATTGCAACAATCGAAAAGAAAGCAATTCCTGATAAAGCTAATCCAAACGGTTTTATCTTTGATGATGTTATTAATGTTACTGCAACTTTTGATCACAGAGTGGTCGATGGTGCTTTAGGTGGCGAATGGATTAAAGCTTTCAAAAAGGTTGTCGAAAATCCTTTAGAATTATTACTTTAATTTTAATTAATTCCTTCAGTTTCACTTAATTTTACCTAATTCTTTTTTTTTCTTTTTTTTTTGATTGTCACCTATTAAAATTTTATAGATACAAATTACTTCATTTTAATATCTTTATTAATCTTATATATCAATTTTTATTTTTATTCGTTTACACCTTACATCCTACACTATGATTCTCATCGTTTATATTGATATATCTATGTAAGATATGTTTTTTTTATTTCTTCAAACCTTTATTTTCAAATCTCACAATTATTATCTCCCCACCATAAAATTGATAAATCATTCTCAATTAAATCTTTATTATTATTATTATTATTATTGCTATTATCGAAAAATTTGCTAATATTTGAATAGGCTTCTTTTTTAATACAATCATCTTCCCAGATTACATTAATTCCATTATTCTTATTCAAGCAATCTTTAGTAGTCTGCCATGAAAACCTAACAAATTGATTCCATCCGAATATTTTATTTATTGATCTCTTTAACCACTTGGATGTTCGTGGATCTGAAGGATACCCCGATCCCCAATCTATAATACCCTCTTTATTATTATTATTATCATCATCCTCTTCTAGTTTTTTTCTTGATAAATCTAAAGAATAATCTCTAGTAACTTTTGCAACAACTGAGGCACAACTAACTATAGGAAATAACGAATCAGCTTTTTTAGTCACAGTGAATTTTACATTTGGAAATCTTCTGGATAACTTAGTTTGATAACTAGCAGGAGGCCCAACTGTATCAACATAAACTTCTTTTATATTTAAGCCTTTGTCCAAAACTTCTTGAATTAGATTGATTGTTGCATCGTGAGCTTGTTCATTCAAATTAAATGCAGAATTACCATTTCCATTGTTATTATTAATTGGTTTCAACATCCCCGATGAAATATCACGAGCAGTGAGAGTTTTTGTTGCCCAACCTACATTTTTAAATAATTCACTTTCATTCTCGCATATTTTCGACAATAAATAACTTCTTTTATGTTCGGTCAATTGTTTTGAATCATTAAATCCGTATTTTTTAGAACTTAAAACAGAAGAGAATTCCTTCTTACAATATGATATCCCATAAACCATTGGACCCAAAACTGGTCCTCTTCCAGCTTCATCAACACCAAGAATCAAATATGGATCGGGAGAGTTGGATATTTCTAAAGGGATTTCCGAATGATAAGTAATTGAACTATGATCTATTTTAGTATTTGAAAGTATCAATGAGGGGGAAATAGAAGGCGGAATAAAACTTGAATCAACAAAATCTTGAGTTTTCTTTTGAAAAACTTTACTGAATTTAGATTCTAATTTTATTCTATCCTTCCCTTTTTCAATTTCAATCTTTTTATGAAGTTGGATTTTTGTTTCATCTTCAAGTTGGTTTTCATGTTTATTTTCATTTAAGAGACCATCATCATCATCCAGAATATTGACATAAACTAAATTCTTTGTTGTAGTTTTTTGATTGTGATTAATCCGGTTATCATTATCATTATTTTTATCGTTAATATTGATTTTGATTTCATCAATGGTTTCCTTTTCAGATGCTAAAGAGTTTGTGATTGATCTTTTCCCATTGTTTAACCTTCTTATCTTTTTTGATTTTATAACAGACATTATTGTAACATTTTGTATAGTAGAGATTATCTTGGGATAAAATTTTTCAGACAAATTCAAAGTTCCAAATTGAATCAAAAACGCGAAAAGTTAAAGTTCGAAAAAAAATAATAAAAGTCAATCCGTGTTTCCTGATACGGAAAAGTTTAACTATTATTTATTAACTATAATCACGTTCCATCTCTTCATTTCCATCATTTCTATTAACATTGGCTGGACATTGTGGGCTTTGGGTGACTTTATCGAAATATCTTCCATGTTCATATTTGTGCAAAATATCAAAAGAAGTGGAAACTGATCTGATATAATCAATTTCGTTTTGATCTAACTGATCGATATCATTCTTGATATTATATAGGTTTGATCCCTGAAAAACAACATCATGTTTTTCATGAGGTAAATGCTTTTTATAAATGAAAAAGTTCGCACCAGCAGAAGAATATAGAGAACCAAAGGGCAAATAAGGAACGTAATCACCTCTATGAATTACTGTTATATAACCACTCTGGGGAAGCTGGTTTGCTTCAATCATATAAGAGACATTTTCAGTATCAAAGATTTCATCTATCCATTCACACATTTTCATGTTACCAAATTTCGGCAAACCGTAAGAAATAATTAGAGGGTCATAACCAGATAACTGAAATTCAATACCAGCCAAAATAGCAAACACTGCACCCATTGAATGCCCTGTGATAAACAATCTATAATCTGGATAAGTTTTTCTGAGAGAAACTACAGATTCTCTAATGACTCTAAAAGAGTTTTTTAAAGCACTATAAAACCCGAGATGGACCAAACAAGAATCACCACATTCTTTATACTTTGATAGGATTGGTGAATAAGGCACAGGTTTTGCAATTGAGTCAGTTAACCAATCAATTAGCTTAGTTGATCCTCTAAACGCCACGATGATTTCTTGATTTATATGATTTACAGCAGTAAAACCAGTCATACCTGGTAACCTATCGTTATTATGTTTATTTGGCTGAAAAATAGTATGAATTTGTAATTTGGAAGTAATCAAATCATTAATACAGAGTGATAATTGACATGAATCAGGTAATTCACCCAAAGTCAAACCATGATCAATGCAACTGGTAACTGTGCAATAGTTAATACCCTGGACAAGCTGATCATATGTCTCATCGGAATAGCTATAGCAGCATTTAATAGCTATAGCTGAAATAAATAAAAACAAGAGTTGTGTTATATCCATCATGTATTTGATTTCAGCTCTTGTGAGAGAACATCACCAAGGATAAACACCAGCAAACCATTATTTATCACTAAAAGAAAGCCATCTCGCACAGCACATTTTGTGCTTCTTCTTCTGAACTAAGCGCCAATCTTCTGCTGCTTTTGCTTCCTTTTCGCGAACCCACAAAACAAAAAACGCACGTGGTATTGTCGTTCTTCCTTCAGCAACACAATCACCATCACCATCATCACCATCACCATCACCAGCTGGAATTCAAAACAAGAAAACAAAAGATTGCAATGTCAGAGTACTGTTCTGAAATTTTACCGGAGGAAGAAGGAATACCTATTTGTAAGAGCTTATGTTCCAGCATAACTGAAAAGCCTCCATGTTGTTTGAGAATTCATCCAATTGATACCTCCATCCTCATTCTAGGAACGTATAAAGTCAATGACAACAACAGCACAGATAGAAAGGGTTCTATAGATATTATGAAATATAATAACAGCTTTAGCTCCCTCGCCTTGATCAAGACACAAGAAACATCTAGTGCTATTTTAGACTTAAAAATTTCTCCCTTTGATTACACCTTGATTGCAACAGTACATTCAACTGGGAATATTACTCTATGGAGATTGACCATTGAGGATTCTCTTATTGATTTATCTTTAATTAAAAACTTTCAGTTATTTGATGAGACGTCTTTAATAACCTCAATAAATTTTTCATCAGTTGATGATTCATTGATTTTAGTAACATTAACAAGTGGCAAGATTTATACATTGAAATTACAAAATTCTTCGCTTGATATACTAAACTCATTTGATGAAAATCATTCTTTAGAAGCATGGACGGGAAACTTCAGTAGCTATGATTTTTTGAAAAATGTTATATTTACTGGTGGTGATGATTGTAAATTATTAGCTCATGATATTAGGTCCAATCAATTGATTTTTAAAAATGACAGAATTCATAATGCTGGCATAGTTTCAATTCTAACTCCAACTCCAGGCGATTATAACGGAAACGGTTCTTGGAATGTAAATGGAAATCATTATGAACTCATGACTGGCTCTTATGATGATAATGTGAGATCTCTTGATTTGAGAGTATTGCCTCCAAACGACTTGATATATTCTTTACCACCAAAAGTTAATCAAAGTTTGAACCTAGGAGGTGGTGTATGGAGATTGATACCTTTTGGTGGGAAAGACGATACTGATGATAGATTACTATCGTGTTGTATGTATAATGGTGCTAAAATCTTAAACAAGAGAGAAAATGAAAATGAAATTGTAGTTGAAAGAGTGTTTAAAGAGAATCACAATAGTATGGTTTATGGCGCTGATTGGTCGACAGATGGAAAATTCGTTGCTACCTGCAGTTTTTATGATCGTCTAGTTCAAATCTGGTCTCCAGGTTATATATACTAATAAATTGTAGCAAACAACAGCTGGATGATATATATATTTGTATCATTATACAATAACGTTAACCTACTACCGATTGTTGCTTATTCTATTAAAATTTGAAGTTTAAGATGAGAGAATCATTGGTGGTGCTTCTTGTCACCGATTTTTCACTGGTCATGACAGTTACTTCTACATACATTCAAGTTCTCAACCCTGTCAAAAATATTATTAGCAACTAAAATATCAAAATGGAACACAGCATTGAGAATAAAAACCCAACAAAAGTATAATAAATTCATTAAACTAAATTAGATCAAGGAGAATCAAATTAAGATAAAATAGTTAATAGATAAATAGATAAATGGATAAATAAATGGATAAATAAATAAATAAAAACAAGCGTTGAAATGCTTTATAATTACCAGAACTTCCAGCTTGACTCTGGCTCCTTACCAGCTTGTATATCTTGATATTCTTGTTGTTTATCTTCAAGTTCTTGTTGCAATTCTTCAAGATCAGATTCTTTATCGCTGTCAGAGCCGGCTTTTAATTCTTCTATTTCTTCTCTGAGATCTTCTATATCATCTCTGACATCTTCTAAAGCTTCTTGTTTGTCTTCTTCAGCTTCTTTTCTTTCTTCTTCCAATTCTTCTCTTAATTCTTGAATTTCTTCGTGCAAACTTTCTATATCAGAAGATGAAGCAGAAGAATCTTTCTTCAATTCATCAAGCTCTTGAAGTTTTTCTTGGAGTTCATCTTTTATACTTTCAATGTCAGAGCCCTCGTCGACTTGTTGGGGTGGAGGTGGAGCTTGAGCTTGTTCATAACCATAACCTTGGTCAACAACGGAAGGTGGAATTGCTCTTTCTTGAACAGGTTCTCCACCTTGATCCCCTTCTAAACTTCTTAAATATTGTTTTTCTCTTGCAGCGGCCAATTCAGCTTGTTTTTGTTCAAGAGCAGTTTGAGCTAATTGTACTTGATCTTCATCGGCACCCTCAGTCTTTAATTGTTCAACAATAGTTGCCTTGTCGGCTACTTCTTGGATTAATCTTTCGATATTAGCGTTTTCATCAGCCGCCCTAGTAGTAGCATCATCAGCAGAATAAGAATAGGCAGCAGCACCAGCAGCAGCACCAACGGCACCGACACCAACAGCAGCAGCACCATAGCCCAAACCAGCATCACTGTATCCAGGGGCAGGAGCATATCCGGGAGCAGGAGGATATCCAGCAGCAGCATAGGCTTCAGCCTCGGCTTTTTTTCTTTCTTCTTCTTCTTCCTTGTACTGGTCTTCTCTGTATTCTTCATAACAATCTTCTAATTTGTTGGCAGCAACACCACCAATAACAGCACCAGCTAAAGCACCAAAAACTTTACCCTTTTTACTCTTTTTACCACCTAATTTGGCACCAATAAATGCTCCAGCACCAACACCGGCAGTTGTAGCTAAAAATCCTCTGGTGGTTTCACCATCGGAATCTTCATTGGCTGAACGAGAGGAATCAGAATCGTAACCCCTAGTAGCAGTAGTGTCTGGTGGACCGGAAAAGCTATTAAAGAAATCAGCCATTGCGAGTATGAATTAAAAGAAAATAATTGATAGACAAGTAAAACAGGGAAAACCTAAATCTCAGTGTAATTAAAGAGATATTGATACGTAAGAAAGGGTGGTAAGTTGCAAGAAATGGCAGCTCAATGATGGCTTTTATATCTATTTACTTGGTTTTGGTCAAATACAAAGAATTGGGTCGCGAAAGAAAATTTAAGAGGTGTTCAAAACATATTTATATTGTTTTACTCTTGAAAGTAATCGTAACCTATACACCGGAGTGCTATGTAGACTCTGAAAACAAAAAATAGCTGAGAAAACAGATAAAAGGTGTCTTAGCCAATTATTTTTAATGGCATCCAGAAGATGATTGGAAAGGAAGAGCAGTGTGCACTGGCTTATATGCTTCGTGGATGTGGTGATGAACTCATACACCCAACACCTGCTCTCTAATAACTTGCATCTGGAATGTTTCGTAGAAAAACCACACAGATGGGTGTGCCTCCAACACAAACCACAAACCTTGACGGCTGTTCTCAAAAGGACACCTTCGCAAAGCGATTTCACCCTTAAAGCATAGCGCCAGAACTTGTAATAGCCTACACCTGGGCTGCTAAGCGATAGCTAAAGGAATACAGATATACATCGATACAGTTTACAGTGTTACACCAACACCGTTGCAGCGTTGATCAATTGAGTTGACCAATTGGCATAGCTAACACAATTGTCGCAATTGTTTGTGGAGCAACTGTTTGGAGTGTTATCTACATCTGATAGTGCTGATGAGTTTAAAAAACAAATCACAATGTTGATTTTGCGTAAAAAAAACTTACTTAAATAACTATCATCAAAAATAAAAAGTATCACAATTAGAGATAAAGTTTATCTTCTAATTAACCAAGTCGATCATTAAATAACCTAATATCTTCTGGCAGCTTGTTCTTCTCTGAATCTGGCTAATTCTTGTTGTTGTTTTCTGAGTTTTTCTTCAGCGTGTTCGATGTCACGACGGGAAGCACCTTCTCTCTTTAATTGTTCAACCTTACCAGCTTTTTGGGCAACGGCATCAATCAAAGATTGTTCATCACGGTTACCCCTCTTGCTACCTCTGCTGCTGCTTCTGCTGCTGCTTCTGGAGTTTCTTCTGTCTCTACTTCTGCTTCTACTTCTGCTTCTGGAATTTCTTCTTTTTGACTTTTCATTGTCTGAGTCTGAGTCATCGTTTTTGTTCTTGTATTGGTTGTAAGCAAAAGCAGTACCACCAATGGCAGCAGCAGCGCCAGCAGCAATACCGATTTTCTTACCGTGTTTAGACAAGAAACTTTCATCTTCTTGAGGTTGTTGACCTCCATAAGATTGTTGGCCTCCATAAGATTGTTGGCCTCCATAAGATTGGTTACCGCCGTAAGATTGACTTTGGTTTTGTTTATTTTCTTTGTAATCTTCGTATTTATCTTCCAATTTGTTAGCACCAATACTACCACCAATGGCACCAGCTAAACCACCAAGGATTTTACCAGCAGTACCTTTTTTACCACCAAGTTTGGCACCAGCGTAACCACCAGCAGCACCACCACCAACAGTAGCTAAGAATCCTCTTTCACCTTCTTCACCTTCTTCAGTTCTACTGGATTGACGTTCTTCAGCTTCCTTGTTGTAGTATCTTTGCTCATCATTAGCACGTTTGTTACCGTAGGAGGAATTGGAATTGTAGTAATCAGCCATTTCGATTAGAGATTAGGGGTAATTGAGGGAAAGCGATAAGATTAATTGATGAAATTAAAAGATATCAAAAAGATTATAGGGTTATAATTAATGAGAACAAGATTCTGATTAAATTATATGAGTCTGGTTTGGAGAGAAGAAGAAAAAAAGATGGACTATTGAAAAGAGAGGAGAAATGGGATATTTATATGGGATTTCTAAAATTGGCCCTGTGTATGGAATAATAATGTCTCATCTGCATTAACTAGTGAATAACCCAGATTGATTGGAAGAAATTTGAAATTGAATTAAGTTTTATTGTGGAGCTATACTGCTAGTATAGTGGTATAACCACTAAGAAAAAGGACGGCCAGTGAAGACTGGGAGCGAAAGAGAATCCAACAAATCCCAGCGAACTGAGTCCGGTCCTTAAAGTTGGTAATGGCAATGTGTCTTTTTTCCTCTCTCTCCCTTGCAAAGTCTTCATAAACACTATCTTTTTCGGGATTCCATGCCTCACTACTTTGCCTCCATCTACTTATCAACGCACAGCTGCTCAACAATACTCCTATTCTTCATGTGTCGCCACAAGTCATTGAATTTGATTACAATCCATAGTTTCTGGCTGAAATTCTCTTAACTTCTCAACTTCTCAGCATCACTAAACCTCGAAATAAAATTCACATTTATACTCTTTTTCCCCCTACTCGCTGGCGTAGTTGAGGACGATCGTTTAGGCAATCTCAAATAAGGATGTTTCTATAAGAGAGGTGTGTATAAACTCTAATGTTAAACCACAACTTTTCATTTTCCAGTTTTCAATTAAAACTTCTCTAACAGGAGGTTCAAAAAAAAAGCATTTTTTTCTTTTTCTCTGAGACACTAAAGCGGTATACATTTGAAACTGAAACTTTAGATACCATCGTGACAAACCTTGCAAAACAGTAATAATCCGGTTTTCAAATGAAATTTCGTTTCAGAATTGAAATAACTATTCTCCAACTGGGAATAATTATATACTGAATTCATTTTCTGATTTAGAAACAAACTATAAAAAACTATAAAAGCCATTTTTTATTTGAAATATGATACTGCAATTCCAACCATTGCTGCAATTCCAACCATTGAACATCCAGTAATCAATGAGATATCCAATTGAACGTTCAGCTGAACATTCAATTGATGGCTACAGTTAAAATCAAATCGCTGTAACTATTAAAGCCAATTTGCAAATCGTCTTCATTTATCTTAATCAAACTTAACCGATCTTGATTCATTTGATTTCATATGATTTCACTTTATTTCAATGCATTCCAGTATTAAATTACAAAATTTACAATCCAAATTAGCTCATTTGAATTATATCATTCTGTTGTAAATGATGAATTGCAGTCAGTAGTTAGGTTTATAATATTGATTGCCACCCAAACCACCGATCAAATTACACCACCCCGACCTAAATCTGATGAATTCTGGCTGAGTCTGCATAATTTAAAATGCTGACCAAGCATAAACCTCAACAGTGGTTTTAATGCAATTAGTTACATTGCACCCATATATCTGGATATATTAATAGTAGGGCTTTGCTATTTTCTTTGCCCTATGTACAAACACGTGTATTTTAATGATTTCAAAAAGCCTAATGCAAGCAGTGCTCACAATGCTCGACTTGCCATGAATCACGCGGCAGGCCTAAGGGGAACTACGGCCTGAGCTCGAGAATGTTGCCATGGAAAAACACCGTGGGTCACGAGGAAGCGTTATCTCTGGCGGTGCTCAAGGAACTTCCACCGCTATTCCTACAAAGCATCTGCCTCTTTACCTGTGCGACTGGTTTTTGTCTATTTTTCAGTCTATTATTTTTTTTGAATCGCTTTTTCATCTTAACTATTATCAAGAGTTTCTGGTATCTAACTTAACCAAAGATAAACCACCAAAGAAGAAGAATATAATAAAATGAGCACTTTCGAACCAGTTATTGTTATTGATGGTAAGTCTTATTCTAATTCTCCATTCTATTTTTTACCTTTCATTCCTCCTCATTTCTTATATTTTTAATAATAATGGACTATTTTAAAATCTTTTAAATAATCTCCTCCAATAATGATTTTCGTTAAAAATATCAATTAAATTCTTTCTCACTTATCATATTCAATTCTAATATTTGTAATTAAGTGATTAAGAAAATCATATTTCTTTTAGTCAATTTGAACCCAAAAAAAAAAAAAAAAATATAAAACATAATCGGAATTAATAGGTAGAAAACAATTGCAAAAAAATACACAAATTTCAATATTAAATAAAGAGAAAATAAAAATGAATGATGCAACAAATTAATATTAAAATATTTATTATCCAGTTATCCAAAAATAAAAAAAAATAAAATTCATTAATATATCCTCATATTCTTTAATTTTCAAATTGTAAAATAATTCAATCTTTTGTATTTTTTTACAATTATTAAATATCCAATCTTCAAATCGACAAGATAAAGTAATCGAAAACAACCAAATGCATATATGTAAAAGGAATCATTCAGAAAAAGTGATTTACTCTTATTATGATTTACTTTTTTTTTTCTACTTTTTTTTCTCACCTCATAATTTTATTAATAACCATCATCATAACTATAATTATAGTTACATTCATAATTATAATTTTTATCAATTTTGGTTTTCATATAATTAGCCACATAGCTCAATCATGATCATTATTAATAATATGGGTTGAATTTTTTTGATTATTTTTAACGAAATTTGGTAATATTCTCAATTTGGTTTTAAAATAGTTCTTATTGTTAAAATTCTTAAATTCTTAAATTCTTAAATTCTTGAAATAAAATTTTGTTAAAATATAACTTTTAAAATCCCTTTCAATTGTTTATAATAAAATGAACTCAATCACATCAAATCAAACTAAAACGTTCAAATTACTAATTCTTTATTTTAATAGGTAAGGGTCACCTTTTAGGTCGTCTTGCTTCCATTGTTGCTAAACAATTATTAAATGGTCAACAAATTGTTGTTGTTCGTTGTGAAGCTTTAAACATCTCTGGTGAATTCTTCAGAAATAAACTTAAATACTATGATTATTTAAGAAAGGGTACTAGATTCAATAAAACTCGTGGTCCTTTCCATTTCAGGGCTCCCTCAAGAATCTTCTACAAAGCTATTCGTGGTATGGTTGAACACAAAACTGCTAGGGGTAAAGCTGCTTTACAAAGATTAAAGGTCTTTGAAGGTGTTCCACCTCCATACGACAAAAAAAAGAGAGTCGTTGTCCCACAAGCTTTAAGAGTCTTAAGATTAAAACCTGGTAGAAAATATACAACTGTTGGTAAATTAAGTTCTGAAGTTGGTTGGAAATATGAAGATGTTGTTTCTCGTCTTGAAGAAAAGAGAAAAGTTAGATCTGCTGAATATTACGCTAAAAAGAAAGCCTTTGGTAAAAAAGTCATTGCTGCAAAAGCTTCATCTGCTGAATCTACTGCTGCCAAAAAATTAGCTGCTCTTGGTTATTAATTTTATTATATATTTCTAAATTTTGTTTCATTTCAATAATTTAATTATTTAATATCAATAACTAAACCTAATTTAAATCAAATTAAAAACTATTTAATTTCTATTTGTGCTATATTACACTTGGAAATTTGTACATTTTATTATAATGAATTTCTTTAAAGTAGTAAAGTTGACAATTGCTTTTGTAGAATATTATATAAACTCTTTCTATAAACAAATATGGTTCGAAAAGAACAAAAGGAATAATAAAAAAAAGGTTATTTACACAGGTTCATATCTATTGAGATATCTTTAAAGTTTAGTATTCTACAATTTTATTGTTTAATTACATCAGTTAATTTTCCGAAACTCAAAACATCATCAATATTGTTACTATTAGTCAATAGCATTGTTAATCTGTCGATTCCAATACCCCATCCACCTGTTGGGGGCATACCGTATTCCATCGTTTTAACATATTTGTAATCTGGAACTAATGATTCATTATCATTGAATTCTTCTTTCAATTTTAATTGAATTTTAAAATTGTCATCTTGTTTAAATGGATTATTTTCTTCTTCATATGCGTTTATTAATTCTTTTCCTTTCATAAATAATTCAAACCTTAATGAAATTTCGTAATTACGATTCCGAGAATATTGTTTAAGTGTAGATTTTGCTAATGGAGATAGTATAGCTGGATGATTATAAATAAAAGTTGGATCTTCACATAATGGTTCAACGTATAGTGAACATAATTCATTAAGCAAATTTTGAGCGGATTGTAAAATTGGTGGTTCAATATTTAGTTGTGAAAAATAATTTAATAGATCCTTCACATTTGATAAATCAAGTGGCAATTGAATCTTTGTTTGTTTTTCAATTGTCTCAATAAAATCAAGTCTTTTAAATGGATTTTGAAAATAAGTAGAAATTTCACTCAAATAATTATCTAATTTTGTATTTTGTAAAACATCTTTATTATAATCAACAAAATTCTTCAAGATGAAATTTAGCATATCTTCAGAGATCTTCATTAAATCCTCTAAATTAATAAAAGTCTGATAAAATTCACAAGTGGTAAATTCAATATTATGTGTAGGATCAAGACCTTCATTTCTAAAAACTTTACCGATTTCAAAAATTTTATCAAATCCACCAATTATCAATTTTTTTAACCATAACTCAGGCGCAACTCTTAATTGAAGTTCAGTATCTTTAATTTTTTTAGCGTTAGTTAAAAATGGATTAGCATTTGCACCCTTCGATGAATGAGCGATTATTGGTGTTTCAACCTCTATGAAGCCTTTATTCGTCAAAAAATTTCTTAAGTTGTTTATTATATAACTTTTGGATAAAATTATATCCTTGGAATGTCGATCAATTAAATAATTGGCAATTCTATTGCCTTTTCTATTTTCCTCATTCAAGGCAGGTGGCACTGGTTGCAATGCAGGCGAAGCTAGAGAAATAGGTTTGATCAATCTAATGGATAATTCACCTGCTTTAGTTCTCATTGGAAAACCAATAACAGAAATGGCATCACCTCTCTTGAAATGGTTATGCAAATTGAAAAGCTCTTCCTTTGATATGCCAATCTGTGAATTGGAAACAATAACTTGCAAACGGCAGTAATCTTGAACCAAATCAACAAAGATTATGCTTTTTCCTGCTTTTCTTATAGAAAATATTTTTCCCTCGATGATGTATATATTGCTTTTCACCTCTTCACTCAAGGTCCCAAAATCAAAACTGGAATATTTGTTGATGAAATCGGGAATTCTCATTATCTGAGCCCGATTCTCATTCCCAGTTAAACTGAACCGTATTTTGTCTATCATTGGATAGTACTGTGCTGGATTAGCAGAAACTGTCTCCTTCTTCTGTTGGTAATGTTCATTATCTGCTGCGATATCCTGTTTCTCATTGTGCATCTTCTTTCTCTGCTGAGAATTGACTTCTGACGATCTATGTGCTCTGAGGATTGTGGGCAAACATGTCCTGTTTAGTGCTCGAGGCAACAACAAGGAAGCAGAACAAGCTTTGTTCCAATTCACAGGCTTCATCATCAACAGCTTTGTGCTAGGCTCCTTCATCTCTTTCTCCAGATTCGTCTTGGTTGGGTTCAAAAATATTTTGTCGGAACTCTTGCAAATCATGTGGTACAGTCGGAACTCGCTTTTTATTTTGATTCTGCTTCAAAATCAAGATGGGAATTTGGAGCTGGGCCTGAAGAAACTGAAAAACCGATCTTGAGGAAGTAAGTATTTTTGGCTGGGGGGCAATGGCATCTGTGGTAAGCGATAACGAGAGTGACGACGATAATAATACAAGTTTAACAAGTTCTAATAGTTTATTTCTTTATAATTTAACGCTACAAGAACCATCTGCTTCGATTAAATCTGTGCATGGGCATTTTCTAGGTAAAAAAACAGAGGAAATTGTTATTACAACCTCAACTTATTTGCGACTTTACAAACCTGATCCTTCGACTGGAAAATTGATCAAATTATTCTCGCAGAATGTTTTCAGTATAATTCGTTCGGTTATTTCCTTTAGAATCACTGGCAATGCATCCAAAGATTATTTGGCAATCACTTCAGATTCTGGAAATTTTTCAATATTGCAGTTGGATGATTCTGGTAAAAACTTGAAGTTTGTTTCTTTATTCAACGAGCCGTATCAAAAGACTGGTATCAGAAGATTATCCCCAGGTTTTGTAATTGACTCAGATTCTAAAGGAAGAGCTATAATGTTGTCTTCAGTTGAAAAAAATAATTTGTTATATGTGCTCAATAGAGACCATGAGACCAATAAGTTGACTATAAGTTCTCCCTTGGAGGCTAATCGCTCCATGATTCTAACATTTACAATGTGTGGGTTGGATGTTGGCTACGATAATCCAATATTTGTTTCAATTGAGGTAGATTATGGCAATATCAATAACGAAAAACGAAAACAATTGACTTTTTATGAATTAGATCTTGGCTTAAATCATGTTATCAAAAAATCAACTTCTTTAATAGATGAATCATCCAATTTTTTAATTCATGTTCCTGGTGGAAACGATGGTCCAAGTGGTGTTCTAGTTGGCTGCAAAAATTTCATTCAATATCGGAATTTTTCAAATAAAAACTCAAAAATATTAACTCTACCAATTCCAAGAAGAATCGTTGATTATGAAGACAATTATATTATCACTGGCGTTGTTCACTCAATAAAAAATAGTTTTTTTTTCTTACTTCAATCAAATTTGGGAGATTTGTTTAAAGTAATTATAAACTATTCAAAAAGTTTACAAGTTCAGTCAATGAACATTAAATATTTTGATACAGTTCCTATTGCAACTTCATTAATTATTTTAAAATCTGGGTTTTTGTTTGTTGATTCAGAGAATTCAGATAAACTATTTTATCAATTTGAAAAATTAGGAGATGATGATAATGAAAAAGTTTTCAATTCCCATGACTATTTTAATACTAGTGAAGAGATTGATAATTTAGAAGAAATATCTTTCAAAACAAAACCTTTAGATAATTTAATTTTAGTCGATATAATAAATTCAATAAATCCTGTTATTAATTCACAACTGATTTCTTCAACAGCTTCTAATTTAACCGAATTACCCAAGATTCTTTCATTATGTGGAACTAACTCAAGATCTTCATTAAAACTACTTGAAAATTCATTAACGACTAGTGAATTGGTTGATTCGGAATTACCACAAAATGCTGTATCAATTTGGACAACAAAATTATCTTCAAAGGATGAATATGACAAATATTTAATTTTATCATTTATTGAAACCACACTAGTGTTAACAATCGGTGAAAATGTTGAAGAAGTCTCCAATTCAGGATTTGTATTGGATTCGCCTACTATTTCAGTTCAACAGTTGGGTTTAAATTCATTGATTCAAATTCATACCAATGGTATTCGACATTTGTCGTATCTGAACATGGATGATGAAAGTCAAGAAACTGAGCCCAAAATTGTAGAATGGTTTCCTCCAGCTGGCATTAAAATTACATCAGCAGCATCAACAAACTATCAAGTGGCTATTGGTTTATCTAATAGAGATTTAGTTTATTTTGAGATTGATGATGACGAACAATTGATTGAATACTCAGAGAGAAAAGAAATGCCTGGACAAATAATATCATTATCATTGGGAGATATACCCGAGGGAAAGTTACGATCACCATTTTTAGCAGTTGGATGCAATGATCAAACAATAAGAATTTTATCAGTTGATCCATCTAGTACATTGGAGTTATTATCGGTTCAAGCTCTAAGTAGCAATGCTTCGTCATTGATTATTATGTCGATGTCGGGGAGTTTTTCATCGGAGATATCAAACAAATCATCCTCATCCTCATCATCACCATCATTAGTGAAAATTCGAGATAATACATTATATGTTCATGTTGGAATGGCAAATGGTATATATGTGAAGACTATACTCGATCCAATAACCGGACAATTATCAGACACATCAATACGATATTTAGGGCCTAAAGGTATCAAATTATCTAAATTGAAAGTTGATGGGAAGGAGTGTATTTTAGCAATGTCAATAAAGACGTATATTGGATTTATGGTGAAAAATAATTTCAAGATAATTCCAATTAATTATAAATTCAATTTGGACCATGGGTCTAGTTTTGTTAGTGAAGAGTGTCCAAGTAATGGAATAGTTGGGATATTTGAGAATAATCTTATGATTTTTACTATTGAGAGATTAAGCGATGAATTTAATATTGAAAGCATTCCATTAATGTATACGCCGACTAGGTTTACAAATTTCAAAAAAGAGCCAAATGTTTTTTATATTATTGAAAGTGATAAAAATGTTAGAGGCTTTGAAAGGAAATTAATCGGGGAAAAAGAAAACAAAGGCAAACCGGATAGTGATAATGGTAGTGGTAATGGCAATGGCAATGGTAATGGTAATATTATTGAGGTGGAGGATATATCAGAAGAGAATGAGTATGAACAATTTGGATATGATAGAGAGAATGATAATAATGTGTCTTGTTTACAAGCTATAAATATAAATTCAAAAGAGTTAGTACAGCATTTTGAATTTTTAAATAACGAAACTTGTTTAAGTTTAAGTACGTGTTATTTCAAGGAGAAAGATATGAGTTGTTTGATAGTGGGAACAAAAAGTATTTCAAAAAGTGGGACAAGCAAGTACTATTTAAAGACATTCCAAGAAATTGGAAATAACAAAATAAAGTATTTACATGATACGAAAATTGACGGGGAAGCAGTGGCATTAATTGAGTTTGATGGGAGATTGTTAGTTGGAGTCGATAATTTTTTGAGGATATATGAGATTGGGAAAAAGCAGTTGTTGAAAAAGGGAGAATGTCAATTAAATTGCAATAGGATTATCAAGATATTAACACAAGGGTACAGGATTTATGTTGGGGATATTCGAGATTCGATAATATTTGTTAGCTATAAGAAGAAGAATAATTTGTTTATTCCGTTTGCAGAGGATATAGTAAAGAGGCATACAAGCAGTTTTAGCATAATAGATTATGATACAGTTATTGGAGGCGATAGATTTGGGAATTTTTGGGTATTGAGATGTCCCAGGAAAATTTCGAAGATGTCAGATGAGGATTTAGATGGCAATTATTTGATGTATCAGGACAGTTATCTTGGAGGGACACCATATCGGTTGGAGTTGGTGTGTCATTTTTTCATTGAGGATATACCTATTTCATTTGACAAAAAGTCGTTGAATATCAGTGGGTTAAATGAGTCTATAATTTATACTGGGTTAGAAGGTACAGTTGGAGTTTTGATACCCATATTGGTTAAGAGCGAGTTGATATTTTTTGAGAAATTGATTAAATTGATTAAAAAAATGAAAGAGGTATCAGTTTTGGGTAGAAATCATTTAAAGTATCGAAGTTATTATGTTCCAATGCGAAACGTTGTTGATGGGGATTTATGTGAGACTTATTTGAATTTAACAGAAGACGAAAAGAGAAAAATAGGGATTGAGATGGATTACACAGTTCGAGAAATTGAAGGGAAAATTGCATCAATTCGATCAAAATTTGGATTTTGAAGTAAAATTCATCAGTTGTATATAAGTCAAAAGTTGATAAATTGATAAATTGATAAATTCGTAAATTGAAAAGATATTTAAAAAAAACAAAAAAATACAAATAAGTAATTAAATAAGTAAATGTATAGTAAAATGATTGGAGATTTTAATGAGTAATAGCTATGAATATGATACGGTTTGTTTTCAGATTCTACATATCACAGATTCTATTTTTTATGATCTTGGTTAAGACCCTTGGGTATCTGTTGAAAAAACCAATAATCCCCTGGTGTTCAGGTAAAAAGCCAAAACTACAAAAAAAAGAGCAAATCATAACAAAGAGGATTATCAGATATGATAGAAAGGAAGAGAGGTAGAATAAAAAAAATATAAAACATTATAAAAAAAATGGAGATGTCAACGATAAAGAAGGAGAGTAGAAAAAGCAGAAAATAACTCCAGTTTTCCATTCATTTTCTCTTCTCAGCTTCCATCTCCCTCTAAATTCTAAATTGGATTAGGCGAAAAAAGGCCCAAAAGGTCTTATCCTCATCTGCAGCTTCTGCAGCTTTGCGAATGGAGTAACTATTACGAGCCGCACCAGCACTGTGGGTGCAATAGTCACAGAACCAGAGCGGCGGGTGCACTAGACTGGGGCAGCTGTGGGTGCGCGTTGAATAGCATGTACCCCAGAAACCCGCATTGGGCGCCCAATAGGACTTTTGTGGGTCTTCTGAGGGATTTATGTGGGTTCTCGGTGGTGAGTAGAAGCGTGGGCGGGTCTGGACGCTTGCAGCAGCGGGTCTGGGCTCGCGCACGTAGGTGAAGCCCGCGAAAAAGCCGTTGCAATTGTGCTTTGTTCGCGGGCCCTGGTGGTTTTCAGAAAGCGGGACCCCTGGAGTTCCAGCAGGCTTCGGATATATCCAGCTCACAACCAAGCCCGCTGTTTTGCGCCCACATGGACGTGTGTGCACATGGAGCGTTGATGGGTATGAGTCCAGCCCTGAGAAAACAGGACGCCGACGGGTGCAGCAGCAGCGGAAGTGAGGTGAAAACGCGAAAAAAGCGAGGGTTCCTCATAGGGTTCTGGGGGCTAAGCATTTACGAGCGGACGAAAAGACATCGACCCCTCCATGGTACTCCTCGCAGAACGCAGAGCACGGGATTTACCCCAGCTTCATTGGCCTGCAGATTGTTCCTTTGGTGCTTTTTCATTTTGCTCGATGTTCCACTTTTTTTGTTGAAAGTCCTAAAATTCCACTTGCAGGTGATTCAAAGTTGGAGCGCAGGGAATTTCACTTTGCACTGCTCTTTGGCAAAAGTCTTGTTAAGTGTCTTATTAAGTGCATGGAATATGCCAAACGAACGAGGTTTCAAGCACAAGCACAACAAGAAATGCTAGCCATGATGATTATTTCTTTATCAAACACATTAAATTCCTAATGCAAAGAGCATAATCACTCCGCTCTAGTACCCTCTTTTTTTCTCTTTTTTTCCCTTTCTTTCAGATGCTGCCCTTGCTTTTTGAGCTCTTCTTTCTTTGGTGCACACTCGAAAAAATACCACTTTTCATTTTCGGTTAGAATCTTTTTGTTCAGAAACCTAAACCTAGTTTTGGTCCTTTTGTTTCCTTATATATCTTCATCGTCTTATAAATATATCTTCGTTTCTCGATTGTTTTCACCCATCTCTTCTTCTTTTTTATTATTCTCTAATCTCTCAACAACAACTTATAAATTCTTCAATTTATACTAATATTCAATCTCAAAAAAATACAGTATCTATTTTTTTTAATTTCCGGTTTTTAGAAATATCCAATACCTTTATTCTTTCTTAGATAACAGCTTTTTAGATTTCCTATACCTATATCCAACCTTTTCATTAATGTCTAACTCAAAAATGTCTTCTGAACACTACGACTACGAAAACGACCCACACCATCCAGTTACCACTTCTGGTCCAAACAACGAGTATATCCACATTGGTAACACCAAAGTCAGAAAAGATGAACTATTAAGTGCCTTTGGTGGTGCTTTATACACTGGTGTTCACGCTGCTCCAACCCACAAATTCGCCAATCCTGGTCCATTAGGTCTCTCTGCTTTTGCTTTAACTACTTTTGTTTTATCCATGTTCAATGCTAGAGCCATGGGCGTCACAAACAACAAAGTCGTTGTCGGTTTAGCCTTTTTCTACGGTGGTTTTATCCAATTATTAGCTGGTATGTGGGAAATTGCCATTGAAAACACCTTCGGTGGTACTGCTTTATCCTCCTATGGTGGTTTCTGGATGGCCTGGGCTGCTATTCAAACTCCTGCTTTTGGTATCGCTTCCTCTTATGATGACAAAGTCGAATTTTACAACGCTATTGGTTTCTTCTTATTGGGCTGGACTATTTTCAGTGCCATGCTAACTCTTTGCACCCTCAAATCAACCGTCGCCTTCTCTGGTATGTTTGCTCTTTTAACTGTCACCTTCGTTCTCTTAACTATTGGTGATTTCACTCGTAACACAGACTTTACCAGAGCTGGTGGTATTTTGGGTGTTATTGTTGCTTTCATGGCCTGGTACAACGCCTTTGCTGGTATTGCAACTCCACAAAACTCTTATATCACCGTTAAACCTTTCTATTTACCAGGCGGTAAAGCTTAGAGAATATATCCTTCTCCACAAAAAAAAAAAATTATTCTGCTTTTTTGCTTTTTTATTTTTTTTTAAAACTTCATCTTAAAAATTCAATACAAAATTAAAAAAAAAATATTCTTCTAATAATATCTTATGACTTATGCTTACACTTTTGTTTTGTTTTGTTACCCTTTTTTTTACCCCTTCATTTTTAATTCATTTTTTATTTTAATTCATCTTCTCAATATTAATTAGATTTTAATTTAAACATTTCATACATCTAACTATTAACTATTAGCTGTAGAAATCCATTTCAATCAAAAAAATCCTGTCAATTCAATATTAATTAATTTAATATTCGTTTAATATTCATTCAATATTCACTTAATAATTTCTGATCACAACCATATACAATTTATATAATTGTCCTAATTTTGTATTCATCTCATCGAATAATATCAACTTTTCTCTATTTTTTTTCCACATTTTATCAATTTTTATCAAAACTTTTCAAAATTTCCAATTTTTCTAAATCTTATTTCCCAATTTATCCTCTTTCTTTCTCCAACAGTATTCCGTATTCCGTATTCCGTATTTCAAATCTATTCACCAACACCATACACATTCAATCTTTCTTTAAATTAACCCATACTTGCTGGATGATTTTTCTCAAGCAACGTAATGTCTAAATTTTATAGGAATTTTTGACTCTCCAATTGTAGATATTTTCACATTTGGAATCTCTTCTTTCAATTTATAAAACTCTTTCTTGCACATATGTACCCACCTTGTATTTTAATTTCTTTCAACTTGGACAACTCCAAAAAATCTTTTACATTACTATTTGTCATGTTTGTACTTATCTCACCTAAACTCAATCAATTCAAATTACTCCTATTCAAGTACTCCATTAAATCCTTCCAAGGGTTTCAACATTAACCTCAACTCTATTCTCTGTTTTTCTTCACCAACTAAACTCCCCTTTGTTTTCATCATTTTTTTGAATATTGGATGGATTTTAGACCTTTATGAATGTTTTGTAGAACATTCTGAATCATCTTCATTCTTTGCAACATAATTATCTACTAAATTGATATATGAACAATTGTTCAACTCCTTGATATGAAATAATTTTTCTATACGATTATGCGACAAGCTCAAATAGTTTAAGTTTTTCAAACTTTTCAACCTTTTCATCTGCGTCATTTTGTTACCAAATAAATCCATTATTCCTAATTTATCTGAGCATCTTCCACTGTTCATTATTTTAATATCACTAATCATATTACTACATAAACTAATATTCCTCAGATTAACCAAGAATCTAATATTTTCAACCACTGTTATTTTATTCCATGAAACATCTAAAACTGAAACATTCACTAAATCTTCCAAGTTTTCAATCTTTTTAATCCTTTCAATCTTATTATATGATGAATCTGGCTCTTAAACTCTTTAATTGATCCAAAATTTTAATCTTTGCTATTTGATTAAAAGACAAATCAATTCTAATTAAATTTAACAATTTACTGGAGAAACCTTCCAATGTTGTTATACGGTGGTTTTGTAAAATTAGCTTTTCTAAACTAACAAAATTATAAAAATAGTCATCAATATTTTCAATGAAAATTTCCAATAAATCTAAAACTTTTAAATTTCATAATGCACTTAAATTTTTGAAACATTTGATCGAATTATATGCCATATAGAGACGCTTTAATTTTCTAAACCTGAATACATTATTAATCTTTGAAATAAGATTCCTATACAAAATTAGTTTGACCAAATTTTCACAACCATTCAAATTATCAAGTGTTGTTATTTGGTTCTTAAATAATTTCAATGTAACCAAAATAACTTGGAAAGAAAAAATTTTTAATAATTGTAATTTCATTATCGAATAAATCCAAATATTTTATCCTGTCAGGGAAATCGATATTTTTCAAATTGGAATAATAATTTTCTGCCAATTTGAGATGTTTTAAATTTATAAGTTTTAACACACCATACCGAATTTTGGAAAGTTTCACTTCTTTCAGTTCTAACCTAGTTAAATTAATTAAATTATAGTAAAAACATTCATCTGAAATGAGTGATTGAGGGCAAATTTTCAAAATTTTTGAGTAACTGCATTGTTTCTAACTTTGGAACAACTGTTCGAAACTAAAACTGTAGCACGTCTCATCACCAAAGTTAAATATTTTTAAATATAAATCCCAAAGCAAAGCATCGCTAATAATGATTTTAACATTAGCTTGGCTCAGTTTTGGAAATACATTTTCATGATAAAGCAAGACATCCTCTAGACTTGATTGCAGAAGAGAATCATTTAATGCCAATAAGTACTTGATATTCTTCAAGTCTTTCTGATAATAAAGATATTTGGGTTAATCGAATTTGGCATAGATATTGTACAAGCACTATGAAATGTTGTAATATAAATTTGGTTTATTGATATTTTGGGTAAAAGATCTGCTATCAAAAATAATAAAGTACTACTGAAAGAACTACTTCTCATTCCCAGAAGTGTTCTGTTTATTTTAATTGGTTAATGTCTCACTGCATCATTTCCATCATATGCACATTTGCATGTGTCTAGTGATGCATGCAAAAAGCTTATATGTGGAGCAATGGGACTGAGTATATTAATGTTAACTCGTTGTTTATGTTTGGATATTTCAGTTTATTGCATCACAAGTCAAGATGAAATAGTTTTAATTCTTTGGATCCAAATCTTATTGAAAAGTTTTTAAGACAATTATTTGAAACAAATAACTGTTAAAGACTAGATGGAATGAACGTGTTCTTTAAGCTTGTTATTCCATTATCATTCAAATCAAGATATTCCAAATGATGGCTCTTATCGTTAAGCTGTATGGAAAAGCTCTCCAACTCGTTTCCATTTAAAACTCCATATATAACACTCTTAAGAATTAAAAAATGTTTCATGCTTGCCAACCTATGATGTTCCATCTGGGGTATTTTAATTGGCTAATTTAATATATATCTTCAAAGAAAACTTTTCAATCTTATATGAAAAACCAAATTTTATAACATTTTCTGGAAGATGAATGCTTTCTAAATCTTTAAATACATTATAAGGAGCAATAATTGTTGCCAATTTTTTAAACTTTCATTTTTTTCAAAAAAATAGCTGTCTAAATTGTTATTACTTTCATTTAATATCTCAAGATTCTCTAATGCATCAAAATCATCAAAATTGTTTGGTAATCTTTGAGTTTCAATATCGCACATGTCTAAAAAAAAGCCAAAAATTTTAATGAAGTTAAACTGCCAATATCTTTAATTTTATTTCCTGCAGTATTTAAATGTCAAAGTTTGCTCAACTCGGAACATTCATTTAAATTTAAATTCAATTTTTTCACCGTTTGTTAATTCTATTATATTATTTGTTTGAAATATAATTCTAATACTCCAGCTAATTCACTAATAACATATTAGTAAATGGCTGCAAACTATAATCCAGTTTCAATTTTTGTAAATTTTTTAACTGTAATAAGGGTTCAACTTTAACAATAATATCATTAGCCAACTTTAAACTAACTAATTCAAATTCTTCTTTTATATTTTCAATACCACTTATTTTATTACTGTATATATTTTTTAGTGAGTCTCACTTCAAATGTTACACTTTTCCATTTTCAGGCAAAAACAAGGCACGTGATTTTAATAACCTAAAAAAAAATTTGTATCATTTTTCGATATTGATAAATTTTTTTCTTTTCGAATTAGATGTTTCTTTGGTAATGTTTTCACTATCATAAACCAATTTTCTTTCCTTCAAATTCACTTTTAATTGTATGTATTCAATAGACTATCCTTTTATTATTGTGTTTTATTATGATGAGTAAATTTCTGCGTTATCGATTTGATATAGCTCAACTTTTTTCGAGTTGAGATTAGGAAACCACTTTAACAAGCTCCTGATATTTAATTAAAAAAAGCAAACAAACAAACATTATTATTATTATTATTATTATTATTATTATTTAATTTAATTTAATTTAATTATTACAAAAGATTGAATATTTTACTAATCATAGCATTCCCTGTTAGCTTTGCTTTAAATTTATAGTCAACTTTAGAAATTATTTGAAAGCCATTTCTGTTCTTTTTTGTTTTTGTATTTCTTTTTTTATAGCTTTTTCTTTAATAAAAAAATTTTAACAGTCTAATAGTAAAACATAACTAAGCTTACAAAGACAGCGTAGTCTTGATTGTAATTACAATTATCATTATAATATAAATATTATAAGTTCAAAAAAGTATTGTTAAAAAAATTAAAGTAAAACCTATGTAGTTCGTCAAATTATTACTTTTTTTTTTCATTCTATTTTTCAATCCTCTTCTGCAATTGAAACTAAACGCTCTTCAATTTGATCAGCTGTCAATACAAAAAATCTATCTTTAACTGCAACACCAATTTCAATATCATTTTTCTTCAATTCGGTACCTAATATATTACTTAAAATTATAATAGATTCATCTACCACTTTAATCCAATTGCCTTTGATATAGTCCTTTTTCTTAAATTTTTTCTCTAAAGCTGTTGTGATTTCATCTTGTTTAGGTCCAATCGCTGTTGCCTTTAACCCAATAAAATAACCCGCTGGATCACATTTATATAACAATGGTCCCTTTTCATCGTCAAAGGCACAGAATGTCAAAGTAACTCCCAAGGGTCTCATATATGCTCTCTGAGTGTAAATCTGGGATAAATTAGCCATTCTTTTAGCTAAAATATCACATGGAATATCATATCCATATTTATAACGAAATTCTGCTGCCTCTGCTTTAGCTCTTAATGCTTGTGATCTGCCATCTGCAATTGATCCTGTAGCAATCATGCCAACTAATGGAGTTATTTGAAATAAATTTGATACTGTCGATGCATCTAACAATTTATCTGGCACTTTCTTTTGAGAAATCAATACAACTGAATCTTCTCCACATATTCCAATGGCATTGATATTAGCGGCTGTTATAGCTCTAAATGCGTACTCAACTTGATATAATCTACCCTCTGGCGAGAAGATCGTAATGTGTCTGTCAAAACCTGCTGAATCTACGTTGATAAATTGAAATTAATTTTCACTGTTAGTCTCATAAAATGCCCACACGATCATCCACAATCAGCCAATTACGCCAAAAAAGATAACATACTCGACATCTGTAAAAATCCTTAATGCTCAAATGAATATCAACAACAAATCTCTCAATAAAACAACAATTGTGATCTAAAGACGAAAGATGGTCCTGAATTACCCAACTGTTTTGTTAGATAGTGGCAAAGAGCTCACATTTCAAAACTACCGGCCGATTTGCGCTCGCGACCTTTGCGGGCCATCCCATGTCGGCCTTGGAGCGGTCGCTGATTAAGCGCTGACAAAGCCAAAGCCTTTTGCTCCTTCTCGTGAGTAGATATATAAAACATCATTAATTATAAACTATAAACGATGGAAAGATAATATATCGATGCTAAAGTTGCACACACTGCAATTGCATCGCCTCTATTTGCTTGCTTCTATTTACTCGCTACTGAGGTGGTTTTCTTCTTAGTGATTTTTGGGTCTTCAAAGGAATGTGATTTGGATCTGGCTCAGGATAACTTATGCTCCAACTGGCATCTCTAATCAATGTGGGATCTTGAATGTAACATTTATCAGGCAATAGATTTTTAGATTTCTGCAAAAACTCTTCTAGCTCGTTTTCATTACATTTTAGTGTACTATTCCTAATTATAGACAGATCCAATTGATCCAATTGATCCAACTGGCCCATCTGATTTTCTTTGTTCTCTTGAATGGTCTTATTTTTAATGTTATTATCTTGTGCTGTGTGGTGGCTTGATAAATCAAGCTTAATTTTATCATTGGAAGGCAATTCACTAACTTCATTTTTGTTGAAATCATTTTCTTTTTTTTTTTCTTCTTTTTCTTTTCCAATTTTTTCTGGTGGAAATAAAGGTAATGGTTTGAGATAACTAGCAGGTAATCCGGAAAAATCCTTTTTAGGTGTATTTCCTTGATTTGTTCTTATTTTTAAATCAAATGAATGAATTTCAGATATATTTTTCAATTTATTCTCAGACTCTCTGTTTATATCCTTTTCATTGTCAGATAAAGCCAAATCAGACTGAATATTGATATTATTGTTATTTTTGTTTACATTTTCTTTTAAAATGTTTTTTGAATTTTCAATCAAATCCTCATTTTCCACCTCTTCAACACTTTCCGAAACTGGTGATATTGTTGATATTTTTGCCAAAGGGGTTCGATTAATCCTTTTGTGTTGTGCATTTCCTCTTGATATAAATGGAGCCAATGCATTAATTGTTTCAGTTCTTGGAATAATAGGATTTTCGTCCAGGGCTAAAACCATATCATCTTCATCTTTGGTTATTAAAATGGGTTTCTTTCTAACCAACGGTTCTTTTTTCTCAAGGCTTGTTTTATTTATAGAAAAAGGTAGTGTTGTTTTGCCAATCATTTTAGAATTTTCTTCGCTGTCATTGTCTTTGTTATTTCGTTTATCCTCGCCCCTTTTTATCTCATAATTTATTTGTTCTTCAAGCTCTTTATAAGAATTTACAAAATCTTTAAAAAAAACCCCATTTCCAGTTATATTAGCTTCTAAAATTTCAATTTTCACCGGTTCCAAAAATTTATTATCACCGTTTTGATTTTCGTGTTGTTGCTCAGATACTAATATTTTTTGGGTCCAGTTTTTATAAAGATTTTTAGATTCCAATTCATTTGAAGTCGAAGAGGTTTTTGCTTTAATTTTTTCTGGATATATAGTTAGAGATGTTGATTCTTCAACCAATGGTGGTTCAGATTTTGATGATTTAAATAACTTTCTAAAAGGATGAGGCGATTTTCGAGTTTTTTTTGTATTACTGTTATCCAGATTATTCTTGATTAGTGAATATTTTTCTAATGAAGGAGACTGTTGTGAATTTTTTTTTTCTGATTTTGAAAATGTTAAAAATTTTTTCAATTCAAAAGATGTTCGTGATTGAGATGTTTGAGATGACCATGGTGATGTATTTGTAATTTCAGATTCAGAGTTTGGTATTTCAATCGGTTTGATATTTGGCTTAATAGACAGACTTAATGAGTTAGAAATTTGGGAAATAGGTTTAAAAGGTAAAGCTTGTTTCTCAAATGTTTTATTTGAAGGGCTTTTTTGGAATGTTTGATCTTGGAAATTAGTTGGCTTTTGTTCCATTGATTCTGATGGAAAATGCATTGGCTGCATTGGTTTTGGTTTAGCTAGTTCTGGTCGAGTTATTTGTTCTGAAATTATCTTATTTGGGAATGTTTGGGGAGAATTGTTTTGAACCATTAGTTTGGGAACATTGTATGGCAGTTGATCAAAAACTTCTTTTTGATTGACTTTTTGATTGTTAGTAATTTCATTGGATGAGAGTCCATTTTTATTTGGTTGGTGAATTATGCCAACTTGGGGCATTTGTGGTAAATTTACTAAATTTCGAGTCAATTGAGGTTGGAATAATGTGTGTTGAGCTAGTGGAGCTTGAACTGGTGGAGATTGAACCGGTGGAGATTGAATCGGTCGAGATTGCATTAATGGAGGATTAATTAAATCTAAATCAGGTTTTTTTGATTCAATATTTTCTAACTTTGAATTATTTGCCTTAGAAGAGTTTTCTTTGTTAATATTATTGTTTACTTTGACCTGATTAGCATCAGAATCAACTATTTTAGATTCAATGTTTTTGGATACAGTATCTGATTGAGATTGAACAGGATCTGAGGTTACAATTTCCTCTTTATTAAATTTTTCAGATAAATTTTCTGTTTTTGAAACTTGATGTTCTGCCTCATTCAAATCTTTTGAAATGGTTTTTGAAAGTTCTTTTGAAAAAGTATTTGTAGGTATTGAAACAAAGTTATCAACAATAGGATAGTTTTGTCCAATTCTTTCAGATTTGTTATCAATATATTTTTCATTAGATTTGACTGTATTGTTTGGAAATTTTTTATTCTGATTATTAAATTTGGAATTTGGAAATATTTGGAAATAAACATCCGATTTAAGTTCATGTAAAATCATTTTATCAGTTTTATATTTTTTGTCATTGATTGATAAATTATAGATAAAATAACCAGAATTATCAATCAAAAGTCTTAAAAATAGAGCCTCATTTGCAGTCTGATAAGTAGTGGTTCTTTTCAGTTGGAAAAAATAGGGACCAAAAGTTTTAGAAATAATAGAGGAATTGACCTTAGTTTTTCTAAAAACTTCTTGATAAGAATCAATTTCAGAAAATAGAGAAAAAAAATTAATTAAATATATCATTAGATGCAATTGATAGGCTGAGTATTGCGAAACATCTTTAAGAGTAAAGTCAATGAGTTCATCTAAAATCAATTTAATTTCCGCTTTAATCTTAGAGGAATTTTCTGATTGGATAGAAAAATTGTGATCACTAACACTAAAAATAATTGATATATTAGAATGAATACTGCTTTCACCTAGGAAAGATAGAAAAAAGGGACATTTTTTAACTAGAATATCGCAAAATTTTTTGAACTGTTGGTCAGAGATTAAAGGCTCGGGCAAACAAGATAGATAGTGTTTTAAAACATCGCTTGCAACATTATTTGTAATAAAGTATTCAATTAAATTATCATCTGCAGCCCATCTCTTTATTTCTTTATTTCTCCTTCTTGGATCGTTTTGGTTTAAAAAATCCTTATTAACATTACTAAGAATTTGACTTTTATCGTTACTATGATTATGATTATTATAATCAGCAGTGGCATTGCTAATAATAGTAGTGTTATTGTGGGAAATTTTAGAAATATTATTATTATTAATATCGTTATTATCCTCATTTTTGTTGCCATTGTTATTATAAGGAGTATAGGATTTTCTATTCCAATTATTATTTTTAAAAGATAAAGAAAATTTTTTATTGATTGATGCAGTTGGAAGAGAGAATCTTTTGATATTGAAGTTATTTGTTGGGGATTTATCTTCAAAATAAGTATGACGACTTAATTTTTTATCGTAGTTTTGATTACTATTTTCTGGGTTGGTTTGAGGATGTTTTCGAAGAAGTTTGACATTAGAGATTGGGTTGTTGTGATTTAAAACATTTTGATAAGTTATATTTGGATCATTTTGGAATTGAGGCAATTGGTTTATCTGATTTGTTTGATTTTTTTGGATTATTAGGTTTGTTTGATTTGACGGATCTGTCCTAAAAATACTTTTGGGTAATTTATATTCATTATGAAGTTTCAAGGCTCTATCAGGATAATTTCGAAATAAATTAACTAAAAACTGGAGAGAGTATTCACTGCCATGGTCGATAAATACATTAAAGGATTCTGTGACATTGTTATTTAAAAAGTAGTTGACCAAAGATATAACGATTGATGGTAACTTCAAGCCAATCGTTGTTATGGTATCTTTATTAGCTGAATCTATTAGATAAGGGGCCTCAATAACATAAAACCGGGAACGATTCATCTCAAACGCCTTTTCAAGAGAAGATCCAAATGGAGGATCCAAAATTTTGCTTGATTTTAGAGATTTCATAATTATCTGATATGTTTAATACAATAACTAAGATCAAGATCAGAAACGGTTGGTTTCTCCTGGATGATGAATTTAGAAGTAATAAAATGTTGAATGAGTTAATGACAAAGGCACAAAAAAGTAGGGAATATTCTCAATTGATGAAAAATGACTAAAAAATAGCACAGCAAGCAAGGACTAATAGTTAAAGGATTAAAAGTGAAGAATTCCTAATGGCTTTATACTAAAAACCAGAGAAAAACGGATTAAGTTGGTTAATGGATAATCCTTAAAATAGTTAAACCAGGGTTGGGGATCTGCGTCTGACTGCATAAACAGTGTTTGCAATGAATAACCAAAAACCAAGCCCTGAACTCTAATTCTTTGGGATTTTCTCCGCGGTTCCAGATAATTTTTTTATCTCCGCGAAAAAAAAGTTTTTGATTGAAATTTTTCTCTACATTAATTGCAAACTTTTATCAATTGAAAGAGATACTTGCTTGTGTTGGTTTTGGGAGCAACTGCTAATTTGATTTTGACGATGGAACTAATTCAGATCAGTAAAGAAGAGAGCTCAAGGCTTCTCAAAGACAAGAATATCTTAAATGAGGTTGTTCTTGACAAATATAGACTTGCAGGTCAAATAACTCAGACATGTTTAGACTATTTACTTAATTTAATAAGAGATTCCTATCATTTGGCAAAAATGAATCCATTGTCTTCAACCGAGCTATGTATTCTTGGAGACTCATATTTATCCAAAGCCTTAAAAAATGTATATAGCAAAAGTTCATTGTCTGTCAGTGAAAAAGGCATCTCAATGCCTGTCACAATTCAAGTCAACGATATACTATCTGGGGTTTCTCCAGAAATAGATGATGCAAAGTCATTAAACTTATATTTCACTCCAGGCGATATTGTTAAGATATCTTTCGGCGTTCATATTGACGGTTATACATCCAATGTTTCTCATACAATCGTAATTTATCCTCCACCTAATCCAACTCAACAGCCTTTGGATAAAAATGATATTAAACCTGCTGGTCCATTATTGGGCCCCAAGGCTGATGCAATTTGCGCTTCATACATTGCAATTGAAGCTGTAGTGTCTTTAATGGGTTTGGCTGTAGCACCCGAAAAAATTCCTAAAAGTTTCAATTCTAATAATATAAACGGAACTCTAATTAGACAATTAGTTGATAGAATTGCATCAATTTACAACTGCGTTGTTGTACCATCGTCTAAAGTGAGAAGAGTAAGAAGATTTCTTGCTGGCCAAGCTGAAGGTGTAGTTCTTGAGAAGGAGTTTAAGGGGATTGTTTGGACTGAAGCTAATCAGGAAGCTGGTTTATTAGCGAGATCTGAAAGTACAGAATTAGAAAAATATAATTTAAATGAGAAAGATAAAGAATTTCTTGTAACTCCTGGAGAAGTATATTTAATTGATATCCATATGGCACCGCTTTCTGAATTCAAGAAAGAAGTTGGGTTGGTGACATTAGAAGAAGTCAACAATCATGCTGGTAGTAAAGATAATAGTTTGAAATTGAGACCTTCTATTTTCCTTAGAGATTTTGCTTATTCTTATGCTTTACGTTTAAGTGCTTCGAGGAAAACTATAACAAAAATTGATCAAACATGTTCAGTGTATCCTTTCAAGATATCATATCTTTCAGATAATTTTCCAATTGATCCAAAAGGAAATCTACCCGAACAGATTAAAAAAATACAGGACGATATTAAATTGTTAAGATTGGGAATGAGCGAAATTGTTAATCATAGATTAGTAACAGAACGACCAGTTACAGCTGGAAAATTTATACCATTAGAAGAAATTTTAAAGGCGTCGAATCCAAATGGACAAACTAGTTCAACTGTTTTACCTAATGCTTTATTAGATATTCCATTACCAAAATTAGGTATTACATCATTAAAATTGCAAAATTTAGTAAGATATGGGAAAAAAATTCCAATTGCTAGTGAATCAACAACTATCATATTAATTAAAAATGGAAATAATTTTACTAGTGGTGGTAAAGGCGAAGTGCTAAGATTATCAGGTGGATCAAAAGTCGCCAAACCAAATTGGGTTCATAGCGATTACAGTTTAAAAGGAGAAGGAGCTGAAGAGATTGTTAATATAATAAGACTAGGTCAAGATAGTAGATTTGGAGTTAAAATTAAAGAATGTCAGCCAATTAAAATGCAATTTTAAAAATTATAGATAATAGAAGATTATATATGCTCAATTGTATTATTATTCAAATGTTTATTATAAAAACAACCATACCCCCGCCACCAAAAATTGATATTCAAATTTAATGAATATAAAATCCAGAAAAAATTACTTGAGATTAAATGTATACCTATATATGTTAAACTTTCTGGGCAGCAGCAACAATGTAATCTTGAGGAATCAAGTAATTGATAGAGCCATCAAATTTTATTGATTCTAAAAGATCATTTTTTAGCATTTCTAAGATGTGTTTTGGAGAATGATTTGCCATAAACCCAGAATGCATGTAAGTCCAAAACGAATCACTTAAATAAATTTTATAGTTTTTAAGATTACCTGATAAATTGAAAGAATTTTTGATTTGATTGTATGGTAAACCACCAATATGTTGAACACTACCTGAAGTTTGTTTTTCAATTTTGGGCTTGTTAAAATCCTCGATCTTGTAACTATCAAGATCTTTTGAATGAATATCAATAATAATTAACCAACCATCTTTTTTTAAAAAGGTTGATAATCGATGAGTTACTTTATCTAAATCATGAAAATGATGATAACCCAAAGTACAAAGCACAACATCAAAATCGTTTTCCCTAACCAAGGATGAATCAAAATTTTCAGATACAATATCAAGGTTATAACTTTGAATGTTATAACCGGACTCACTTAAATGTTTGCATTTCTCATTAAATAGCTCTAAAGCATCATCAGATATATCAATACCAACATATTTACTATTTTTACCAATGTTCTGAACCATCAATTGAGACACTAAACCTGTGCCACAAGCAAAATCCAATACATTAAAAGACTTGTTTGGATTGAATAGTAAATTTGAGTTTTTAGGATTTTCGTAATCTGGGACATAAAAGTCTTTATTTGAGTAGCCGAAAACTGGTAAATTTCTATCACCAAGTGATTCTGAATCTTTGTCATTCGAATGATCCAACTTTGGATGAAAGTTCACTGGATCAAAACCTAACAATAATTTTGTTAGGATATAGTGTGCCCCAGACAATTCAATGCTATGTCTATCATAGAGTTTGACCATGTCCTTGTTGAAATGTTTTTTGTTTTCCTCGATTGCATTCTGATGGTGGTTTTCGGAATTAGTTGGAATCATTGTGAAAACAATCTGAATTGAAGAAGAGCTATGCGACTAGTCTAAGAGATAAAACAAATTGGTGAGACAACTTGGGGATATTATGTGACTTATATACCATTATATACTAATGGGATTTAACATCTTGATCTCAGTTTCGGTCTTTCAATTAGGTCCAAGAGCCCTATTTTGATTGTCGAAAAAGCCCTGTTGGTTATGTTAAAGCCCTGCCTGTGTGTTGTGACCTTCGATAACCGGTTTCCGGCCGTTCGTTACGAGATAATACACCTTCGAGCATTCGTTCTAGTCGTTCAAATCCGGATGCAACATTCGATTCAATTAACTCAACTCTTTGATTTAATTCATTGATTTTGGAACCCATTAGTGGAGTATCAAGTTCCCTTTCGTTATCACTATTAGTGTTCTTGAGTTGGATGCTGTCAGGTTGACAGTCGTCGAAGGAAGGATAGAGATTTCTTCTAGTGCTCATGACTTAGTAGACTTCTCTTTCCATTTCCTCTTCGTTTATTTTATTTCTATCTAACTATTTAGTGATTATATTTATATTGTTTGGATTGCAATCTTCATCAAGGTATTTGTGAATTAAATGTTTTTTGTGAAAACACAATTTTTGTTTCATAAGTGGTTAAGTCTTGTGTATTTGGTTTGGGGCAACGGACAATAATGACTTCACGAACGTCCGAGTTCGGATTGTGTTTTCCGGTCACACCTCGTTTAACATAATGCTTATGTAAGTAAATGTGATATTATCACATTGTTTAGGGCTTGTAAAATGAGACGCGTCCTTTTGAAGGTTGAGAAACTGCGTCAAAACGCGACTTTCCCGATTAGGTAGCTGCCTCTTTTGTTATTTTTTCATGTTTACTAACAGCTGAATCTTTCACTTTATGAGATCCACTATTTTGATAATATACCTTTACTATCTGGCTTGAACAGCACCGCCAAAATATACCCTTTGCAACTCACAGTTTACAATGTTTTCCACCTCTTCTTTTATACCATCCAGTAGTCAGCCTAATATTCCAAGCACCAATGTTTATCCTCATAGGCAGACCGATAATTTTCAAACTCCCCAACCACCTCCAGTGTCCAATATTAGGCGAGATATCGAATTTATTGAGAAATACGTTGATCTTACTGGCGAAAAGGTTCGAGAATCCTTTGAATTGTTTCTAACAGAGTTTATTGACGAATCTCAAGAAGATGTGTCAAATTTGCCATACCAAGGCAAGCCCTATATTGCACAGATTCATGCAATGAAATTATATGAATTAAGTACTATATATATTGATTTCCAACAATTATTGACCAGGGAAAATGGAGTTTTAGCTACTGCAATTCAGGAGCAATATTATAGATTTTTACCTTTTTTGCAAAATGGTTTAAGAAGAGTCATCAAATCTGTTGCTCCTTCTCTTTTAAAAGTTGGTTTAATCAACTCAACTAATCCATCCTCAAATAACAATAATATCAAAAATGATACCAATGCCAATACCAATTCCAATATCAATACCAATAGCAGTAACAATACAAAAAACACTCGTAACCTTGATGATAGTAACATAAACAGCAATTCCTCCAATTTATCTTCTGCAGATTCGTACGATAGAGTTTTTCAGATATCTTTCTACAATTTACCAACAATTAATAGAATTAGAGATATAAGAGCTGATAGAATTGGGTCCTTAATGGCCATTTCTGGAACTGTTACTAGAACAAGTGAGGTTAGACCAGAATTATATAAAGCGACTTTCACTTGTGATATGTGTCGTGCAGTTGTTGAAAACGTTGAACAAGTCTTCAAGTATACTGAGCCTGTTGTATGTCCAAATCCAACTTGTCAAAACCAAGCTTATTGGACCTTAAATGTTCAAAAATCTCAATTCATTGACTGGCAAAGAGCTAGGATACAAGAAAATTCAAACGAAATTCCCACTGGTTCAATGCCCAGAACTTTAGATATCATTTTAAGAGGTGAAACTGTTGAAAGAGCTAAACCCGGAGATAAGTGTAAATTTACCGGTACTGAAATCGTTATTCCTGACGTCTCTCAATTGGGTTTACCTGGTGTCAAGCCCACTTCTATGAAAGATAGAAGTGGTATGGGCACAACAACAAATGGCCTTAATTCTGGTGTTACCGGTTTGAAATCTCTTGGTGTTCGTGATTTAACCTATAAAATTGCTTTCTTTGCAAATAATGTTTCATCTTTAATTAACAAAAAAAATGGTGCTGAAGATAATTTTGTTAATGAAAACCAAATTAAAGTAGCTACTGAAGAAGAAGAAAAAGAAATGCTTTTAAACACTTTGACAGAAGAAGAAGTTTCTGATTTGAAAGATATGGTTAGTAATGAACACATATTCCACGATTTAGTCAGTTCTATTGCACCAACAGTTTTTGGTCATTACAATGTTAAAAAGGCCATCTTATTAATGATGCTATCAGGTGTTCACAAAGAAACAATTGAGGGTATTAAGCTTCGTGGTGATATTAATGTTTGTATTGTTGGCGACCCATCCACTTCCAAATCCCAATTTTTGAAATATGTTTGTGAGTTTGCTCCGAGAGCCATTTATACTTCCGGAAAGGCCTCTTCAGCTGCTGGTCTTACAGCTGCTGTTGTAAAAGATGAAGAGAATGGGGAATTTACAATTGAAGCCGGTGCTTTAATGTTGGCTGATAATGGGATTTGTTGTATTGATGAATTTGATAAAATGGATATTTCTGATCAAGTTGCAATTCACGAAGCAATGGAACAACAAACGATCTCCATAGCAAAGGCTGGTATTCATGCTACATTGAATGCTCGTACTTCAATATTAGCTGCAGCCAATCCTATTGGTGGAAGATATAATAGAAAAGCAAGTCTCAAAAGTAATTTAGCAATGACTGCTCCAATCATGTCAAGATTTGATTTATTTTTTGTGATTTTAGATGATTGCAATGAAAGAATTGATACTCAATTAGCAAGTCATATTGTGGATTTGCATATGAAAAGAGATAATGCAGTTGAATCGCCATATAATGCAGATCAGGTCAGAAGATATCTTAAATATGCTAAAACATTCAAGCCCAAAATGAGTAAGGCTGCTAGAGAATTCTTAGTTGAAAAATATAAAGAATTGAGAACTAATGATGCACAAGGCTTTGGTAGATCTAGTTACAGAATAACAGTTCGTCAACTAGAATCAATGATTCGATTATCTGAAGCAATTGGAAAAGCAAACTGCACTGATGAAATTACACCCGATTTTGTGGCAGAAGCTTATAATCTAATTAAAGATTCTATTATTAAAGTTGATAAAGAAGATATTGACATAGATGATGAAGATGATGAAGAATACCAAAAGTCAGCCGAGAAATCAAATGAAGACGCAGTCTCTGATACTATGCCAGATTACACAGAAACTTTTCATGATTCTCAAGTTCGGGATCAAACACAGAGTGAATCTCAAGAGCAGATAAAAAAACATAAAAAGAAAGAGAAGATTTCAATTCCCTATGATAAATTTATAGAGATGACGAATATAATTGTTCGTAAAATTCATGAAGAAGAGAAAAAAGAAGGTGACAAGGGAATGACAGGACGTGAGCTTATTGAGTGGTATTTGTTGCAGAATGAAGATCGATTAGAAACTGAAAAGCAGTTCTGGGACGAAACAAGATTAATCAAGAAGGTATTGAAAAGATTAACAAAAGACGAAGTATTGATGGGGATTAATGTTGAATCCGATGAGTTGTTGCCGGATGCTGATGTTGGGCTAGAGAATGTTGCAACTCCAGGAAGGAAAAAAACCTCTTTAGAGGATTTTGTTTATATTTTGCATCCAAATTCTGCCATTATGGATTATTTTGGCGATGGAGGGGAGAAATAAACCAATACCAATGTATCTTAAATATATCTTAAATATATCGAGACGCTGGAATCTGTAAGTTTCTGCAAAACGTTTTTCTGATTTTAAAGTTAAACGAGTCGAAATCTGAGAAGAGTGAAAAAATAAAAAACTGGAAGAGTTATTGAATGAGTAATCTGATTGGGCTTTGAGTCTACAAGTACAAATACTCGTCATTTGAATTCTCATTTTTTTTATATTTCTGGTTTAGGGGTTTCTTAGTCAAGTACATAGATAAATAAACACACAAAAACAAAAAAATGGATTTAGTGAATCATCTAACTGACAGATTATTATTTGCAGTACCTAAGAGTAAGTGAAAAAATGGAAGCAAGTGGATTTTGACCAATATTTATGACTCACATATATGGACTAAATGCTAACAAAATATTTCCAGAGGGAAGACTTTACGAAAAATGTATTGGCTTGTTAAAGGGTGCTGATATAAAATTCAATAGAAGCAAAAGATTGGATATTGCTTTGTGCACTAATTTGCCAATAGCATTAATTTTTTTACCAGCAGCAGATATTCCAACATTTGTGGGAGAAGGCCGTTGTTCTCTTGGTGTTACAGGAGTTGATCAAGTCAAAGAAAGTAATGTTGATGTTGACTTAGCCATGGACTTATTATTTGGTAGATGTAAGTTACAATTACAGGTTCCAGAAAATGGAGAACTTAAAAAACCACAAGATTTTATTGGAAAGACAATTGTTTCAAGTTTTACAAGCTTAACAAGAGAATATTTTGAAAAATTAGAAGGCAAAAAGGATATTACTACCAAAATTAAATATGTTGGTGGTTCAGTCGAAGCCTCTTGTGCATTAGGAGTGGCTGATGCAATTGTTGATTTAGTTGAAAGTGGAGAAACCATGAGAGCAGCAGGTTTGATAGATATTGATACTATATTAGATACCTCAGCACACTTGATTATTTCAAAAAACCCATCTCATCCAGAATTGGTGAATGTTATCAAAAGTAGAATTGAAGGTGTTTTAGCTGCACAAAAACATGTGCTATGTACTTATAATGCACCAAGATCAATATTGCCAACGGTTTTGAAATTAACACCAGGTAGAAGAGCTGCAACAGTTTCTCCATTAGAAGTTGACGATTGGGTCTCTGTTTCATCGATGATCGAAAGGTCTAAGTCTGGAATCATCATGGATCAATTAAAAGAAGCCGGTGCATCTGATATTTTATTATTTGAGATATCCAATTGTCGTGTTTAGTGGCCAAGCAATATGATTGGATTTTTTTTATAGAAAATAGAAATAAGACTTTTATTTAGAATTTACTTAAAATGAACAGTTTTTGACCATTGAGGAACAAATTAAAAATTTTGATGGGTAATTAGCTCACCAAATAACGTTCATAGATGCAATCAACCTCAAAAACCATATAGATAGATTTTAAGCAGTAGAAACAATTTTAACACCAGTGTTTTTCTAAAGAATATTTTTTTAAAAAAAACATCAAGTTAGTAAAACTAGAAATATGTGAAATAAAGCAATTGAAAAAAAATGTGAGAGTGCTTACTTTCCATTTTTCAAATTCCTGGTGGGTTTTCACCAATTCTTTAGATAATGTGTCCAAAGCCCCAACCATGCTCTCTATCTTGGTTTCTAATACTGGAATAACTTCTCTTGTAGTCTTTTTAACAATAACTCCACTTATCATTCTAAAGCATTTCCTGTCAGCAGGCACGCCTTTCAAAGTAGCTACAACAATCTTGTGCTCATCATAGTCATTTTTTAGCTCTGTGATTTTCTCGTTGATCGACTTTATAGTATCTTGAAACCTCTCGTATTCAATCTGGAGCTGTTCCTGAGATATTTTTGGTTTGGGGGACGACATTCTTCAACAGTTTCAGTATCTATAGCTTCTGCTCGCTGAAAAGGACTCGCTAAAAATTAACATCCAAAGGAAAAAAAAAGATTAAAGCTCTTGTGAAACTCGAACCGGAAACAGAATTCATTTTGGATCAAACTTAATCCATTACGCCACAGAGAAACAAAAGCAATCAGGGACAAGCCTTATTTGACCCGAAATTTGCTGAATGATTCAGGTTGAATGTCCTGGTTCTGAAATTCTTTATATTTGTTAAACATAATAAAATAGTTGATTCTTGCTCATTTATCTCGAAATTTAAGGGTTCTACATTGTATCGTGTCCCTACTTTCCATCTCCATCTCTATCCTATTGTGTTCTTGGTCTGTTTAACCTTATGAGAATTTTTCATGAATAGGGAATAACATCAATAAAAGTATATTATAAAATCAATTAATTATAGTTATAACTATATTGCTTTATTATCGCAATATTGTAAATTTGATTTTTTTTTTGAATCCACCTTATTTAATTTTTTTTTGAAACTTTTTCTCGGAAGTTATCATTGATTTTTTGAAGATTAACCAAGATGCCTCCTAAAAAGAATGCCAAAGGAAATAAAGATCAAAATGCAAAAGCTAAGCAGAAACAAAAAACCAGAGAACTTTCTGATAAAACTTTTGGATTGAAAAATAAAAACAAATCTTCAAAAGTCCAGAAATTTGTTAAACAAGTCGAGTCACAAGCAAATGATGGGCTAAAGAAAAGACAAGAAGCTTTAGCGCAAAGAAGAGCTGAAGAAAAAAAGGCTGCTGAACTTGCGAGAAAAGAAGCTGCTTCTTTGTTCACTCCAATAATTCAACAAAAGGTTCCATTTGGAACAGATCCAAAATCGGTTTTATGTGCTTTCTTCAAAGAAGGGATGTGTAATAAAGGAAATAAATGTAAATTTTCTCACGACCTAAATATTGCAAGAAAAGGTGCTAAAAGAGATATGTATACAGACTCAAGAGATAAAGAGGAGGAAAAAGAAAAAGAAGTTGAAGAGAAACAAAAAGACACTATGGAAGATTGGGATGAAGATAAATTAAGATCAGTCATTAAATCAAAATTAGGCAACCCCAAGACAACAACAGATAAAGTTTGTAAGTTTTTTATTGACGCTGTTGAAAATTGTAAATATGGTTGGTTTTGGACTTGTCCCAACGGTGGTGACGCTTGTAAATATAAACATTCCTTACCAGAAGGTTATATTTTAAAGACAAAAGAACAGAGAAGATTGGAAAGATTGGCACAGGACGCTGAAAAGAAGATAACTTTGGAGGAATTTATTGAAAATGAAAGACAAAAATTACCACCAAAAGAAAAACTAACTCCGATATCCTGGGAAACTTTTCTTAAGTGGAAAAAGGAACATAAATTGAATAAATTGAATAAAAAAACAAACATCAATTCTCAGGGCAAGAAAATATTATCCGGTAAGGATGTGATATTACAAAGATTTGGTGATAAATATGTTGACAATAAACCGGTTAATGATATAAACAATCCATCTTCAACTGATGATAATTCTAATGATAATGAAGAAGTGGAAGATGTTGAAGATAATGCAGAACATGGAACAGCTTGGGATTTATCTGAGTTCCAAAAACAACTCAAAGAAGCAGAAAAAAATGAAAATATTAAGGATTGGGGTGATGCTGAAAATATTGAGCTTTACTGGAATTCAGATAATCCAATTTTAAATAATGATAAAGCCACATCAACAAAGGTTAATACAGAAGCTGAATCTAAAGCTACTTGAGAATTTTTTAAATTATAGTTTATATATTATACATTATATATCGATTAATTTTTAATAATAGTTTATATTACACGGTTAAAAACTCAAATCTCCATTTTTTTTTATTTTTTTTTATTGTGTCTTGTTTCATTTCATTTTATTTTACTTTATGTTATCTTATTTTATTTTAACAACAAACAGAACAATGATAAAAAATTACAGAAAGAAAAAAGTAAAACATAAAATTTGGAAGAAAAAGCAGCATAAAAAGAAATAAAGTGCTAAAATTTGTATAATTTATAATCTAATAATTTTGGCCATCAATTTTTTTTATTATATCCTCTCTTACATCTTCAATTTTATACCAAAATTTTAAATCCACATCATCAGGTAATGATTTAAGCTCAATTTTTAATCTTTGAATCCAGTACTCAGCCTTTTTATCAGCCAACTGAGTGTTTGTCTTAATGTTTGTAGGTAAGCTTGTATAACTACTATTTTCTTTCAACTCATAAGCATAATCGCTTGGTGAATTGAACATGTTTGTTTCTAAATTTGGTAATTCAGTTGTTGTGTGAGAATGTTGAGAGTGCATTGGAGGTATACTTCTCCTATTAGTCGAGGAATAATTTGAAAAACTTTTAGTAGGAGTAAAATATTGAGAATTAGAAAAAGAATCTGTAAAGGCTCTTCTTGGCGGTGGTGGAGGTGGTGGTTCTTTTTTAGTGATTTCTTTTTGCAAATTATTTAATATAGGTTTTTGTTCATTTTTTTTTTCGTTAATTTGTTCTTGGTCGGTAGCTTTAACCATAGTAACAGAATTGGAGCTTTTTAAGTATTCTGGTTTCTTTGGAACAATTGGAGGCATTTTTCTTTTCAATGGAGCCTTAGTCAGATTATTAGATAATGTTTTGTTAGTATCAACCAATTGGATCAAGTTTTTATTCACGATATCAACTGATTGAATCAAGTTGTTATTTTTAGTATTTGACTGAGAATTATTAATGTTGTTGAATGGTTGTCTATTATTTGGATTGAGTGAGGCTCTCTTATTCTTATTCAAGACAGTTTTGATATGACTTTGAGCATTAAATAGCTCCATGGGAAGTGGAGTAGGTTTTGGAGGAGTTGGAACTTGCTTTGGGATGGTCAGTTGTCTTATTAATATATCTTCGTTTGTGGGATTTTTTCTTAGTGTAATTGGTTTATGAGATTCAATGTTCCAGTCATAATCATCCTTTTCCATTTCATCTTCAGATGAGGTGACAGAGGAGTCAGAGCTATAGCCTTCATTTATTTTTAGTTGATTTTTATTTATTGATTTAGGGGTATAATCGGAAGATTTATTATTAGACTTGTTTAAAATCTTTGAAAAGTTATTATTAATTCTACGAAAATTGATCAAATCTTCTCTTTGAATCAATATTTTTTTCAATTGGTTCAAAGTCTTAACATCATAACCAAAATCGCTGAAAGAATTGGGGACGATTCTAAGATATATTCCTAATACTTTTCCTGGAAACCTTCTGACAATATCTGTGTAAGCTTCTAAATCTTGTTCTCCAGAATCACCCAATAGGATGAATTTTCTGTTTGGAAATTTTTGCAAAATAGTGTATAAACCAGGTCTTTTTCTTTCAACCGCTGGTTCCATGAAGCTATTTAAATAATTTCCAGAGTATTGCTTTAGATGGAAAGAGCCTGGAGGCATATTAGTTAGTTGAAAAAATTGAGAAATTATTGAGTATAATTGCCAAGGAGAATTGGAAACATAGTGAAATTTAATATCTTTAGAAGATTTTTTAGCATAGATTTCATTAAAAAAGTCAGATATGCCTTCAAGAGTCCAATTTTTGATATCTTTGATAAAGACGTTATTGAATAGGTTTCTTTTATCGCTAACAACATCTGTTTTCTTAATTGTATCGTCTATATCTGAGATTATACTGATGCCATTTTGATGTATAAACAAAGGTAATTGGAATTGAAAAATCTCGTTGTTTGAATCCACAAAAACGTGAATAATTGATGGTTTATAAGAAGATTTTAATAAGATATCAAATTTTCCATTGTAGTCTGTGGGTAGTGTTTTAGTTACGAGACTTTCAAATGGAACATCATGATCTGAACCAAGTTTAATAGTAATATTGACCTGTGGTAAAGACTTTGCCATAAAATATTTCAATCTCTCTTTTAATACATCTTCGGGATTTGCCTTTTTTCTTGGGGGTAAGCTTGTAGATGATTGACTATTTGAATTTGAATTTGAAATATATGGAGAGCGATTTGATTCGTTTTGGTTAATTAAATCAAGATTAGCTGGATTTGAGGCATTTCCCAGAGACGTGAGATTCATTTGATGGCCAGTTGTTGAAGAGATGAAATTTGTTGCCACTAAATTTGCTCCCGCCTTTAAGGGAGTCTCAATATTACCATAATCAGTTGCGTTGGATCTGATTAGTTGTTTGGCAACAGTAAAGACTATTTTGTTTTTCTTTGACATAGTTTGTGGACAGTAAAACAACCAACCCCTTATGTTGACGTGGTATAGACTATCCTCTTGCCAGGTATATGAGGGATATAGAATGAACTGGGAATCCAAAGGAACAAAAATTTCATAATTATTCATTGCAGAAGCATTGGAGGCATTTGTTGTGGTTGAAGCCATCGTGGAAATATCATCATCATCGTCATCATCGCGATTATTATTGTATGGTCTTTGGCGGGCAAGGTCTCTGTCTTTGAACTCGTAGTTGTAGGCTGAAATTGATTTAGCTTTAACCTCAGAAGCTATTGTGTAGATTCCATCTAGGAGCTTCTTCTTTCTTGATTTGTAGTTGTTGTTCTGGTATGAGTTTGATAGCGAAGAAGACTCAGATGTCGATATTGGGCGCTGTGGAAGGGGAGGCCTACATTCTGTATCTGGATCCACGATCCCACTGGCATCAGAATCGTAGTTCTTGTGATTCAACAGACTCATGCTCGTTGGCCAGTGTGATGGAGCTGTCATCAATGAAGGTTGAGTATAAACAATGGAATACTTTGGGCTGGAGAAGAAAGAAACAGCTGTTGGTGTCGCAGCTTCTACACTTGGTGGTTACTGAAAAGAAACTCGGGTCCAGTTTTCCATTGTTAAGGGTGTGCTGCAGACTCAAGCACAGATGCCTTTTCCGACAGCCATCGCCTTCGGATATCGCCAACCTTCTCAGCTTCCTCAGTCTTCCACAACTCTCTGGCCCAACTGCCAGAGAATCCAGCGAATGAGGCCAGCAACATGTTCGTTCGATGTGCTAGTTGGATATGCCCTCAAAGTTTTCGTCCCACTGGTCAAACCAATGAAGGTTGGCGTAGAGGTTGGGATCATAGCTTGTTGTGTTGAAGTTTCGGTCCTTTTCGCTTTCACTGGACTGAAGACTGCCAGATGCACCGCCATCGGCTGTGATCAGCTTGAGCTGCTGCTCAATCATGCTATTAGAGACTGGCGAGTTGCCATTAGTATTGGTGTTTCCTAAATAGAACTGCTCGCTGTTAGCATATAGCTTGGTAAGTTCATCGAGAGGATCCTCGGTATAGACATCGTTTCCATTCGTGATTCCTATTCCATTGAAGTTCCTTTGAAACACAGAGCTTGTGCTGAGATTGGAATTCGACCTAAACGAATTAAAGTTGATATTATTATTGCTGTTATTGCTATTGCTGTTATTGCTATTACCATTGTTACCATTGTTACTATTGTCACTATTGTTACTATTGTTACTATTGTTACTATTGCTGCTGCTATTACCATTGTTCAAACCTGTTTGAGCCGGAGGCGGCACAATCCCGGCTTGTGATTGATAGTTCATTGATGGGCCACTTAGGGAGGAATAGCTATTGTTTCCATTAGATATACTACCTGGTCGTCTTGCCAACGATCCAACACTAGATAATTGAGAAGAGATCTGATTTTGCAATGATTGCTGAGGTTTTGAAAAATTGGAATTTTGCGATAGCGCAGGCGATGTAACAATAGGCTTATCTCTCACACTAGAAATCGGTGAGCTCGATTTCACTTCATTGGGATTTGAAGGCATACCTGAAATGGAAGATGAATTGTTTAAAATTCTTTGCAAAAAATCATTTCTATTCATTGTTTGGTTATTGTTATTATTATTATTATTATTATTATTATTACTATTACTATTATTACTATTATTACTATTATTATTATTATTATTATTATTATTATTATTATTATTATTATTATTATTATTATTATTGTTATTATTGTTATTATTGTTATTGTTATTAATATTAGGATTCACAAATTGCATCGAGTCCTTTCTATCGTTCACTCCAAATTGAGAAAAGTTGTCAATGTTTACATCATTTGATCCATGATCAATACCAATATTTAATAATGCCTCATAACTTTCTTTAAATTGTAGTGTCATCATATGGTTCATCATTTTTAATACCCATAAACTTTCCTTTGCCATATTAATCTTGTCGTCGAATTTTATAACTTGGGTTTGTTTTCCGTTTTTATTTATTATATCCAATTTTGGTGATCTTAAAATTGTAATATAATTGATTGAAAATTTTAAAAAAACTCTGGCTTTAGATAAAAACAACCCATTATTAATAAGTAAAAGTGATATTATTCCAATATTGAATAACAATGACAAATTCAAATACCAGGGCGTCAATATTAAATTGACACTATTTTGATTTGGAGGAGAGCCCCCATTAAGCAATAATTTGTTAAAATTATAAACAATATTAAAGACTTTTAAAATTTGTTCACACGAATCAACAACGGTTTCAATCGATAAACTTTGAACGTTTACTTTTTTATTTAAAAATGGCATTAAACTTCTAGAATTCAAACCTAATAACAAATCATAATAATGAAATCTTAACTGAGAATTAAGTAATAGTTTATAAATTTGATCCAAGTTGTTATTTTCAATATTATTTGAAAAATTGGAATTTTCAATTTGAATTAAATCATTATTAATATTATTTTTGAGCATCCAGTTATTCCATTTTTCTAAATATGTTTTAATCTTATAAATCTCAGATAAATGTAAAGCATGAGAATTAAACGGTTGTAATTTACTAGAAATTCTAGCTAAATGAATCATAGCCAAACTCTCAATTGTTAACCAACCGTCTTTTTCAGTTTCAAAATCCATTGTTGGCCATTCTAGATTAATTTCATAGTCTTTAATAGAATCAGTTCTACCACTTTGAAATCCAAATAATTTATCCCAAGTATAAACACACCAAAATATTCTTTTTGCTTTAATTTTATCGTAAGGTTTAATATTTTCTTTCAAATCAAAATTTGAAAAGTTTAAAGACATACCCAAAGCCATTCTGATTGCGCAACCTAAAGCAAAGTAGGAAGAGGTTTGACGATGAGTTGTTCTAAGATAAAAGGTTATTAGCAACCAGCCTTGAATAATTTCAAAAGATTCCCATTCAAAGGATAATTTTTGGATAATATTATGAGCACAATCAAATAAATTTTCTTCTAAACTTTTGGGAATTTCAATTCCTAAGGATTGATCTAGTTGAGAGAATTCCAAGAATCTGAAAGATATGGCATAAACTATGTATAAAATGGCAGTGAATAATCTTGTATTTCTATTTTGGTTTTTAAGGTGTAAAGTTTTCATATAAGTGTTGTACTGTTCAAGAAAGACCTTTTTATGTAGAATAGTAAAAAGAGGATTAATTGCATCGAGAAAAAACATGACTAATTTGTCACTTAGTATTATATCATTGATCAAACAATTGAATGGAGGTAAAATTCTTTGAGATAAATAATGGGAACCGCTCATGTTCCAAGCGTAAAATTGTGTTCTAGGTTCTATTACTTTTTTTTGAGATTGAGTAGATAAAGAGTTGTATAGTAGCTGGCCTAAATCCTTTGCTATGATGTTGTGATATTTTCTCATTAATCTCCATTTATTTGCGCTGAAAAGGTATACATTGTCTTCTTTGTAGCCATAGTCGCTATCAATATTAAAATTATCGATATCCGGGTCTAAGTTGTTATGATTTTTGTTATTATATTGGATGTTGGAGTTAATTTTAGGATTATTTACTAGATTAATTGGGTTGTTGAATGAATTGTTGATTGAGTCGTTACTTTTATTATTTATTACGTTTTCAAGGAATCTTACTTTATTTTCTAAATATTGGATGTAATTTGAATTTGAATTTGAATGAAGATTTTTATTGTCATTATCATCATTATTGTTATCGAACTTTTTAAAGTTATCGCCTTTGTTATTTATTGTGTAGGGTTTATCAGTATTATTGTTACTATTATTAGTGCTGTTATTAATAGTGGTGCTAGTGCTGTTGGCACTGTTGGAATTGCTGTTGATATTAGTGTTATTGATGCTAGAGTTGTTAGTATTGTTTCCAATTGAGGTTTGAGAATATGAACATGAATGACTGTGTTTAATGCAAGTAACACAGGGTTGTTGACCATCACATTTAATTTTTTGTCTTTTGCACCTATCGCAAGCTTTATTTACTCTTAATCTAGGTTTCACAGACTGCTCTGATTTTCTTTTTCTAGACTGTTTTAAAGTGGTTAATTTTAAATTGATATCCGAAGACCTTCGATAAACTGTTATCTTTGAGTTGTCAGTGTCATTATTATCGTTGGTAGTAGGGTTAATTACAGCGTTCGGATTATTGGGGTTATTGAGATTGTTAAGATTGTTAAGATTGTTGAGATTGTTGAGATTGTTAAGATTGTTAAGATTGCTAAGAGTGTTTAAAGTATTAAGAGTGTTATAGTTACTAATATTGTTGAGATTATTATGGTTTAATAGATTTGGATTTGAGTTTGAATTAGAAGAAACATCTTGATTCGAAATTGGCAAAGGGTGATGTTGCAATAAGTTGTGGTTTAAATTTTGATTTATATTCAGGTTTCTGTTGTGATTTAAATTCAGGGATTGGTTTGTAGGAGCAGACAAAGAGTTATTAGAGGTGTTAAGATTAGAATGATCGGAATTCATGTTTAATGAGTCCATCAAGTTTTGAAAAGAATCAAAATTGTCTTGAGAAGAGAAAGAACGATTATTGGCCATTTACTTTGTCTATCTGGGACAAATAAGTCGCTTTGCAGGCTAATAATAGGATGAAGAGAAGAACGTCGACCAGTAGGGTGAAAAAAAGCCAGAAAGCACAGCACAGCACAGCACGTTCAGCAAAGAACCAGAAACAGCACGACCCAAGAAAGAAAGCAGCAGGGGCAGCAGAAGCACCACACGGAAAACGGCGGTCTCCCGAGCTGCTGCTTCCGCTCCGGCGCCTGCTACAGATGCTCCACCAAATTCCCCACGGCGCACGTGGATCTCGGAAGTGCGCAATCCGAGTAGAATACCTCGGTTGTGAGCGGTCACATGTTGCACGCATTTTGGTGAGGTTGAATTTTTTTTCCAGGCTATTCAACAACGACATCTACAGCCATAATATAGTTCCAAAACAAAGCCTGTGAAGATGCCAAAAAACAAGGGAAAAGTATGTGTGTTTGGTGGTCTACAAACTGTGCTGTTGCAGCCTGTGCTATCTGGGAATATAGCTATTCCAGTTACTAACTTGTTTTTTCTAATTAGGGTGGTAAAAATAGACGTCGTGGAAAAAACGAAAGTGACAACCAAAAAAGAGAGTTGGTCACCAAGGACGAAGGTCAAGAATATGCTCAAGTTGTCAAAATGTTGGGTAACGGTCGAATTGATGTCCAGTGTTTTGATGGTATCAAGAGAATGGGTCATATTAGAGGTAAATTAAGAAAAAAAGTTTGGATGGGCCCCGGTGACATTATTTTGGTGTCTTTAAGAGATTTTCAAGATGACCAATGCGATGTTATTCAAAAATATAATGCTGATGAAGCCAGAAACTTAAAAAGTATGGGTGAACTACCTGAAAGTGCCAAAATTAATGAAACTAACTTTGGTGGAGATGATTCTGATGAAGAAGTTAACTTTGAATTTGGTGCCGACGACGATGACAATAAATCTGATTTGGACATTGATGATATTTAAATATTTCAATATTTAAGTATTTTATTTTTTTTTCCTCTTTTTTTTCTACTTTTACTTTTTCTTGAAGTATATTGAGTTTAAATTTTCTTTTTTTCGAAAGAATAATTGAAGTGAAGAAAAAAAAAACCCTTTTATCAATACACATGCTCAAAGCACACTGAATATTGGTAATCAATCAATTTATTAATTAATTAGGTTATTAATTAATTAGGTGATTAATTAATTGATTACTATAATTTTGAGAATCAAATTTCTTTGGCTTGAATTTTTAAAACTGCTTGTGTCAATTTCCAAAATTGTAGATAATGTAAAAAGAAAATCGAATCAAGTCAAAATCGCAAAATGCTGGACGTTAAAACGGAACAATAAAATGCAACAATATGCTAACAAATAAAATTTTCAAACAGGGTAAACTTTCTAGAAATTAAAGTTTGATTTTGTTTATCAATTCTTCTACTTTTATTTATATTTCATAAAAATGAATTAAAAATAAATTAAAAATGAATTGAAGTCTACAAACACATTTTTTTTTTCTTATACCATATATCATGCCATATATTATATCATATCTCATATATAAAAAAAATAAATAAAATAACTCAGATTAAATTAATTGAAATATGAATACAACTCATATTTTTTTTCTGCTGTATAATTTATTTCAATTGCTGTTGTTTTTTTAAAAAGAAACAAACTAAGCAATATAAGTGGAAGCAGAAATATTACCACCACGACCGGTCCAGTTGATGTGAATATCTTCACCTAATGGCAAGTTATCAGATGCAGCTTCTGATAAGACCTTGAAAGTATGAGCACCAAAGTAATCTCTTTGAGCCTGTAATAAATTAGCTGGCAAACGAGCAGATCTGTAACCATCGTAAAATGCCAAAGCAGTTGAGAAAGCAGGAGTTGGAATACCGTATTGAATACCTAAGACCAAGGTCTTTCTCCAGCCAGCTTGGGCTTTTTCAATAGCAGATTTGAAAAATTGATTGAAAAGCAAGTTTTCCAAATCTGGGGTTTCTCTAAAAGCTTTTGTAATTTCAGCCAAAAAGACAGATCTGATGATACAACCGCCTCTCCACATCAAGGCAATGGCAGGATTGTTCAATTTCCAGCCGTATTCCTTAGCGGCTTCTCTAATCAACATGAAACCCTGAGTGTAGGAGATGATTTTGGAAGCATATAAGGCTTGTTCTAAATCATCAACAAATTGGTCTTTATTTTCTGGAGTTACAATGCCGTCTGGGATTGGTGGGCCAGTTAAAAGAGTTGAAGCTTTAACTCTTTCTGTTTTGATAGCAGATAAACATCTTGAAAAGACAGCTTCACCGATCAAAGTGACAGGCATACCTAGATCTAGAGCGTTAATAGCAGTCCATTTTCCGGTACCCTTTTGACCAGCAGTATCCATGATCTTTTCGACTAATGGAGTGCCATCCACGTCATCATATAATAAGATGTCTCTTGTGATTTCGATCAAGAATGAGTCTAAAACACCAGTATTCCATTTGGCAAAGACGTTACCGATTTCTTTATCAGTGAATTTGGCGACTCTTTTCATGATATCGTAAGCTTCACAGATCAATTGCATATCGCCGTATTCGATACCATTGTGTACCATTTTGACGTAATGACCAGCGCCAGCAGGGCCTACCCAATCACAACAAGGTTCACCATCAGATTTGGCGGCAATTGATTGGAAAATGTTTTTAAGATGTGGCCAGGCATCTTCATGACCACCAGGCATCAAAGAAGGACCATATCTTGCACCTTCTTCACCACCAGAGACACCAGAACCAACAAATAAAATGCCCTTTTCTTTTAATTCAGCGTATCTTCTATTGGAATCGGGGAAATGAGAGTTACCACCATCGATAATGATGTCACCTTGGTCTAAATAAGGTAATACTTGGTTAATGAATGCGTCGACAGCGAAGCCAGCTTTGACCAATAACATGATTCTTCTTGGTTTTTTCAAATGAGCAATTAATTCAGGAATTGAATGAGCACCGATGATGGATTTACCCTTGGCTTCATTTTGCAAGAAATGGTCAACTTTGGATACGGTTCTGTTGTAAGCGACAACAGTAAAACCATGGTCAGCAGCGTTAAGGATCAAATTTTGACCCATAACAGCCAAACCAATTAAAGCGAAATCAGCACTGTAGACAAAAATTTCCTGAATAAATTAGTAAATTGAATTCAATTGGTATAAGTGGCATGCGTTTAGTAAGAAACAAAAGAAAAGCCAGAACGGAAAGAAAAGAAACGCTGATTTCAATTGACGATATAATTGAGCAGGGAAAAAAAAGAAGAAAGCTTACGTTGCAGCAATAGAAGACATTGTGGGGGAAAGAGACAGTGGTGGAGCAAAAAGAAAGAAACAGAAAAGAAGGGAATAGGTGATTTAGAGAGAAACACTAGAAGCAGTGAATAGGGCAGGGGAATTGGAAGCATTTATATGTCCTGGAACAGAGAGCGTATGGGACTGTGCATTAGTAAGAGAGGTGGGAAAAATAGTGTTTAATGTTCCGATGGTTTGACATAGCGATAAACAGCACGGCCGGCGATTGGCCCACGATAAATAGGAAAAGGACTTTGATTTGGTGTGGGAGGTGGATTGTATGGGGGTATGGTGCTGGAGGTTAATCGGCGGTAATTCCTACGCACCAGCACCAATACGCTCCAACACACACCCTCCAGCACCAGGGCTTTTCCATCTCTGAGGGTTTCGTCTGAAGAACACTGCGAACCGGCAACTTTCGCTCTCTTCTGGCTCTTTTGCTGCCTCCCAGCTGCTGCTCTTCCACCTCTGCCTCTGCTTTATAGCCGTTCTTTGCGTGCTCCCGTTGCCCTGCGCTCCCGGGCGCTCTTTCCGGGACTGAGCACGTGCTATACTGGGATATGGCGGAGATACCTGTATTTACGGGACGCTTGGGGTGTTTTCACCTGACACAGATTGAGTACACAACCATTGATCATAGTCTGTTTAGTGCGTGGTGCCGAATTGTAATACATTGTTGGTTCCTCTATGGCATTGGCGATATGAGTAATACCTTACTGAGCTACAACCTTCAATAGCCCAATATCTCAGGATCTTAGTGATGTGGTTAACAATCCACCTTTACTCAATGTCTTTTTTATTTCCGCATACTTTCAATCAGCAACAGAAGGTTAGCGATGCCAATAAATGTTAGGTTTCGTATTGGAATATAATAAATGGAGACTGAAATTTTGTTTTTGACTACAATGGTCAATTATCATTCAATTGAGCGAATTAATGAATAATTTCATATAAAGCCATTATAAAAATATTATAAAATATAAAGAATGAAAACAAAAACTTGTGCAATAGACAAGATTGGAACAGGATTTGAATAGATATTTAATAAAAATAATGTAGTATAATATGAATAATAATAAAAACGTTTAAACAATGGATAAATTATAAAATATAGAGAATAACAATAAAAGTGAAAAAAGAAAAAGAAAAAAAAGAAAAAAAAGAAAAAAAAGAAAACAAAATAAATAAATATATTATTATTTTGTTCTTTTTTGTTCTTTTTACTTTTACTTTTACTTTTACTTTTACTTTTACTTTTACTTTTACTTTTACTTTTACTTTTACTTTTTGTTTTGTTTTGTTTTGTTTAGTAAGGATTGAAACTTCTCTTTTCCTTTAATAACTTGACCTGTTCCTGATCTTCTTTAAATTTCTTTAATAACGAATTCATTTCAATTTTCTTTTTTTCTCTAATTTGAAACCTATAGAAATCCTCTTTTTGTTTTTTCTTTTTGATCTTGTCAATCTTGTTTTTCAACTCACTATTATTGTTCAATTTTAATTTAGACACTTTTCCCATAATAGTTTTTTTGGTCCTACGATGGCTCTTTGAAACCACCAATTGAAACCCATCTTCGTCAATTAAATTCTCCTCTTTATTCATTTCCTCAAGTTCTCTTGTCTGTTTATTATTAAACTTATTCATCGATATATTCACAGTAACCAACAATTCTTCTGTATTCAATATTTGTTCCCTCAATTTATTTACATATCTCTTGTATCCATAAAACTCATTATTTTCTTCATCTTCTGAAGTAGGATATAACGGTAAACTATTGCTATCTTGGTTGTTCTCATACATTTTGATCAACTTTCGATAATTTTTCAAAAATAAATTCAACGCAGATTTATCGATAAACCGAATTATACAACAGTTTCTTGGTAACTTGAACACCTGCCCCTGTTCCTCTTTATAATTATATTCCTTGTTATCTATATCATTAAATTCATCTGTCAATTTATCCAAATTTATATCATGATTCTCCAACTCGTTATTAACTATTATATCCTCAACTATTGCACTGTTATCAGATATCTGATTCGTAATTATGTTTCTCACTTTCTTCAATGTGATATCCTTAGGGAAATTTATAACAAATAAACTTCTATCATTATTGTCTTTTGTACTATTGCTTCCATTTTTCACTTTAACCTCATGTTTCTTGAAAAATATATAATGCAATATCTCTCTCTTGTGAACTGTACTATATATCCTCAAGGGCAATATAGAAAAACCCTTAATTTCTGTAATTATCCCCATCTCTTATCCTCAATTTTTTCTTCAGTGTTATTTCTAACCCTTCTTTTCTTGTTTTTCAAATAAAAACAAATTTCCAATTATACCCCCAAAATCATAGCAAAAAAATTTTAATATTTTTTTTTTCGTTTCTCAAATCCAATGCTGCGGTGCTATTAATACATACATGTACGGATGTGTACATAACAAAGCAGACCTGTCTAAAAATACCACCAACGCGGATATAATATAGCTTACATAACGCCTTATCTAATAACCGCTTTTTTTTCAAGGCTTGTTCTAGCCCTTTATCTTTTTGTTTTTTACAACAGCCTGTAATTTTTATACCTTCTAACATTCAATGCTATTGTTAAAGGCAAACCTTCCAATATCTTCATATCCACCTTTATTTCTGCTCAATTATCCTCTCATTTGTCTTCTTTTCTTTTATTTTTACTTGCTTTGTTTTTGGATTGTTTTTTTTGGTTTTGTTGTTCTTATGATATGATAATCTTCATATCTTAAATATTATCAGAATGAGAGATTTGAATATTAACGACCTATTATCCTGGACTTCCATTGATGTTCACAACTGGATATCCTCACTACAAGAACTAAATACAATAAACAACTCAAATTCTGTTAACAATAATGAAGTTTATAACTGTAAAACAATAGCCAAAAAATTCTTGGATAATAACATTACGGGAAATCAGCTCATTTATCTTACAAATGACTCCAAATATTTTAATGATATGTCAATAAGAAATTTTAAAGCAAAATTAATCTTAAAGAAAAGTATCCTAAATTTAATTGAGGACTACAATAATCTAAATATTGATTTAAAAAACTTGAAAAATAACCAAATCCTATTAACTAACAACATTTACAATGCTTTGCCAATCATTAAAAATTTATTAGTTTATTTATTACACTCATCTCTCAATCAAAACATTAACAATATCAATAACAACATTAATAATAATTCCATAGATGTAAACAATACAAAAGACTTGTTAATAAACGATTTGAGACTAGATCAGGATTTTGAGAAATTAAACGATAAATCAAAACAATTAAAAGATGAAATTTCAAAATTATTTAAATTAATTAGAGAAATGAAGCCTTTGCCTGATTTAACTCCAACAGGAAATTCACATCGAACTTCAAATCCCAATTCCAATCCAAATGTCTTGAATAATATAAACACTTTAATTGCAAACGACTCATTCTATATCAACTCAAAGAACAATAACTCAAACTCCTCTTTACATAGATTAAATTCAGCCGCTTCTTCCCTTGTCAATTCTCCAATTAAAACAATGTCAATATCCTATGCTACTGCTGTAACTTCTACAAATACTGAAGTTAAAAATATACTTAAAAAAAACAAGTCCTCTAATGGGAATATGAATATAAACAACAATCATAGTAACAGCAATATTAATAACAATAAAAGTAATAACAATAACAACAATTCCTCCAATATTCCTAATACAACCAGAAAATCCTCTATATCAACTATCGATCTTCGGATCCAATCAAATAATAACAATAGTAATAACAATAGTAATAACGCAAATAATAGTAACTCAAATTCAAATAATAATTCTTCTTCGCAAAATACTATAAGCTCAAACAGTTTTACATCTTTAATTCGAAATAAATCAGAAAAATATTTAACTAATCCTTTAAAGAAAAATAGTTCAGGATCTGGAATACCAAGCACTTTTCTTAGTTTAAGTAAATCAAGAAATAAAAATCATAATATAAATAATTTGCATTTAAATCTTTCAACAACAAATCTAAATAATAATAACAACATCAGTATTGTCAACAATAACAACAACAACAACAACAACAACAATAACAATAACAATAATAATAATAATAATAATAGCGGCAATAGTAATAGCAGTAATAACAGCAGTAATGCTATCAATAATAATAATAATAATAATAAGAATGATTCAGCAGGAAATAATAATGGCAATGATCAGTTTAATTCAAATAATAGCAGAAGATCAATTGCTGCTGCTTTTGCATCTGCAAATAACTCATCAAATAATATTGTAACATCTTCAATTCCTTATCATACCTCTTCACCAACTAATATTTACTCTCAATCTGCGGCTGCTGCATTACCTTCAACTCATTCTAAATCAACTATTAATATCAATGGCATTAATGGTGTTAATACTAATAGTGCTATTACTGCTGGTTCTACTTCTACTACTTCTACTATTAATAATAATAACAATAATAACAATAATAATAATTCTACCTCAACGATTCCCACTCCTCTATCATCTTCGTCATTTCATCACCCTAAAATTTTGCCACCAAATAATGGAAAATCATTTAAAAGAAATCTTAAAATTGATGATGAAGAAGATTCATATGATAAAGTTTTAGAAATGGTTCGAGCCAAGTATAAAGTTGAAGATGGAAATTATGTATTGGTAGTTTGTTACGGGGATAAAGAAAAAGTTATTAAACCAAATGAAAAACCGATAAAGGTTTTTAAAAGTTTGATTGAATACCATCCAACTTTAATACTAAGACAGCTTAATGAGACAAGTGGTGAAGAAGAAAGTTATACGGGAAAAAATGTTCCAGGAGGATGTTTTTAAATTAAAGGGATGATTTATGAAAAAGACTTATTAAAGGAAGAAAGATCACTGAGTTAATTATTTATACTTTGGTTAAATTTATTTTAAAAAAATTAGAAATAGTTTAGTTTTTGTTTTTGGATTTTTTTTTTATTGATATTCTTAGTTGACGATTTATTTCAATTTATTTCATAGTACTTTTTGATTTATTTACTTGTTTATTTACTTGTTTATTTATTTATTTAAACTTTTTTGATTCTTATGTTGCATTACATTTTTTAAATTTCACGAATTTTTCATTTTCTATTTTTTATTTTTTATTTTTTATTTTTTATTTTTTATTCTCCATTTCTACTTTCTATTTTTCATTGTCTATTGTCCATTTTTAAATTTTATTTTATTTTATTATTTATATAAAATATAATAAAATAAAATAATATTATTTGAAAAATTTAATTATTAGATAAAAGAATAAAAAGACTAAAAGAGCACCTATATAAAAAAACCATTTATCTTTGAATGCGATTTTATCGATTTGTCTAATGGTTGATTGAGAGACACCTAGAGTATTTAAAGAATTTAGTAGTTTATTTTGAATTAATCTAATATATTCGTTTTGTTCAACTATGTTATCAAATGCTTCTCTGCCCATTTCAAGTATTTCATCTAACTGTTGGTTTGAACGATTTAAATTTTGAGTTTCTTTATGTAGATTGTGGTTATAATCTATATTCGATTGACTATAGGGATTGTCATTACTGATACTGGTACTGTTGCTGTTATGACTGTTACCATTATGAGTACTTCTATTTTGAAACCGGTTATTTAGGTTAGATTCAGGAGAGATGAACAATTGGTTTCTTTGATATTCCTCGATATAGTTTTGTTTTTTCTTTTTTATTGACTGAAATAAAACTTTAGATTCAGATAGCTGTTTTTCAAAATTTGATATTCTTATTGAGATTTTTTCCTTCTTAACAGGATCATGTTCATTTGAGGATAGCTTGGAATAATCCAGCAAAGTTCTATCCAAAGATGATATGGTGGTAGAAATTTGTCCTTGAAGAGACAAAGGAGCGTCCTTATAGTTGTTTTCAAAAGTGTTCAAATCTTTGTGCAATAGCTGAGTTTGCTTAAGGGCTAAGTTATAGAGAGAGTTCATGGTTACGGGTGCTGCTGAGAAGTCCTGGATGGCTGGAATGCTACACACAAGTACTGGCAATTGACCAAGGCTGTCTGATTGGTGCGAGATTGTTGTCTGGTTAGTCTGTAGTTATTGTCTGGCTATGATTATATCGTTGTGGATCAGAGCCAGATCGGGGCTTTCAATTCGTCCACCAAAAACGTACAAAACCGCAAGTGTGGTGCTGCTTCCAAATGCGATAGAAGTACAATTACGTAGTATACACAAATTGAGGCAAATATCTGCAAAGATATGCACTGCTTGTATATTGTACCACACTAATGGCTTCCAAGTGTCACATGGCACATGGCACATTTTTTCTGTTTTCTGGAAATATCTGAAATAAAGATATTTCGGTTTTGATGTGCAAACCAAAGAGCATTTGAGAAACCATGCCAAAAACACTTTTATTGCAGTAAATACCCCAAGGATACTCTGTGCTTTGTTAAGCATTGCTTCAACAAGCGCCTGTGATGGTCGGCTTTATTTCAATTATATTTCGAAAAACAGTATTTGGAGTGGTTTTATATCGTTGGCAACATGCTCAATATCATTGAAGCACAGCTGGAATCAAAAATTAAATGTATTTCGTTTCCAAGATAATATCGTTTAAATGTTTTCATTGACATCATAAAACGAACCGATTATTCAAGTTCAATTTGAGCCTGAAATTGATCTTTCTGTCTTTAATTCTTAGGGATTTGCAGCATTGTAACTCCTCCTACTGTTCTCTATATGCATTTCATGCTCAATAAGATATTTTCAAACTTATATACTCAACTCGTCTGTCACAATTCTTGTTTTCTGTATCTACCAATAGAATAACATATCTAAAAGTATCTCAAATTCCCTTCATAGTTATATATCTTTCTCACACCCAACAACATCTCAATCTCAACAAACCAACTCGTCGTGTCGTAGTGTTACCTTTGGCTCCAGTCAAACAACACAGGTTTCTCGAACAGCCATATCAGCTCAAGTTGATATCTCTGATATATGCTCCATCTTCCATTTTTTTAATGACATTGAGGTTTTTGAAACAAAGACAATATGCTGTGCTCTTCTCTTGTTTCCAACCTTCATTTCTACACTCTGTTCCACTGCGCTTTCCCTCGCCAATCAAGTGATGCTAACAGCTCACATCCACTTCGATCTTTACCATCTCACAGCACTACCACCATGATCTTCGTCAGTATCACCACTCAATCACTTCTCTGAATTTTCTCTTTGCAAATGAGAAAGAACGTTCTTGATTCTCTTCTTTTTGAAGATAGTTCAGACGATGCTTCTAACTCATCTTCCTCTTCTGTGAACTCCCTCGATGAGATTGCACTTTACTCTGATAATAATCTTCCACAAGGAAACACTGACGCTTCAAGAATAAACAATCTTAATAATACCAAACACATCCCCAATAATAACACAACTGACAATAATAACAACAGAAACAACAATAATAATCACAATTCGGATTTCAATAACTTGGTTTCAAATGATCTTTGTAAAATCTCCTTAACTTCAACCTTTCAACAACCCTTTTCTTTCAATTACCCAAATCAAATTGAAAATAAAACTTCTAGCATAGATGATCCAAATGAAATAGCAAAACTAACCACTTCTATTCGTTATCAAATTGCAATTGATGGCCTAAAAAATAAAAAATTTAAATCAATTAGAGCTGCTGCCAATTTTTGTAATATTCATAGAAGTAATCTATCAAGAAGATTAGCAAGAAAATCTTATTCAAAAGAACAAACCTATAGAGCAAGAAAAATTTTAAATGATTCTGAAAAATTTTATATTAATTCCTTCATCAAATTATTATCCCTAAAGGGAAACCCCTTATTTAAATCAGAAATCGACCTGTTAATCAACTATACTTTATTTACAAAATTTCAAAAAAAAGACTACTATAACACTAAAAATTTCCCCAAAACTTACTTGAATTTCATCGATAAATATACAAAAGTTACCACAATCGATGAAATATCCGTTTCTCATCACTTTTCTTCAAGATTAATTAAAAGATTCTGTTTAGATTTTTGTCGCCATAAAAAAGAAGTCCGAAATCAGTTAGCTTCTTTCAGTAACGAAACTTTTATAATTCAAAGTTTTTACAAAGAATTAAATCAAATTTATAATATTAATCATTTTAAATCTGAAAATATAATTTATGTCGACGAACTTTGTTTACATTTAACAAATTCAAGAAATCCTCCCTTTGTTCAATTAGGAAATAAAGACGTGTGTTTTTATAAAGATAATGCCTTAGGCTTAACTACTCTTATAGAGGCCTTTAAATCTGATGGAGCGTATTTCTCTCCCTTGGTTATCTTTGATGATAAAGAGTATTTTAGCACCAATGATCTGAATGTAATTACTATAGAAGATGCTACCTCGAATCTCAATACTAATATTAATAACAATGAAATTCCTAGAAAAAAGCAAAAAAAAAGCATTCAAAACATTGAAAATAATAATAATAATAATAATAATAATAATAATAATAATAATAATAATAATAATAATAATAATAAAAATAACAATAATAATAATAATAGTAACGAAAAAAAATCAATCTTTTCATTTGTTAAAAATGACGAAAGATTTTCCGATTGGCAATTTGAAATCACCAAAAATGGTTTCTCAAATTGTTCAATTTTTTTAAAATTTATTCAAAAAATTGTCAAATCTTATAATAATCCAAATGAAAAAAAACTACTTATAATAGATGGCTTTAAATCATATCTAAACATCGATATAATTATTTATTTAATTAAAAACAATTTTCAACTAATTATTTTACCCCCAAATTCTTCTGGTCGTATACATTTAACTGACAGAAATATTTTTCCAGTTCTAAAAGAAAATTTTAAATCAAAAAATACCTCTAAATTCAGCTTTATAGAAAATATTAATTTTCTTGAATTTAATTTAAATAGAGACGGAAATGAATGTTTTCTTGAAAGTCAATTTTCTAAAAATGAAGAAAACACCAACAACAATCCTGATGATCGAGGTGAAAATGACAATCCTGATGAAGATAAAGATAAAGATGAAGATGAAGATGAAGATGAAGATGAAGATGAAGATGAAGATGAAATTGAAATTGAAATTGAAAATGAAAATGAGAATGAGAATGAGAATGAGAATGATAAAGATTATGCCAATGGCAATGTCGAGATTACAGATGCTGCTGACAATAATAATAATCAAAATAAAGTTCCTACTCTTAATATTGATACCAATGCTGATAAAACTAAAAAAGAAAAGTCCACTCCAACACAGAAAAAATCTCGTAAAACTTTAGAAGATAGACTTAATCGATATTTATTGTTAAATGGAGTCATGTTTCCAGTTTATATTCTTAAAGAACAAGAAAAACTTTTAAATGATTTGTATTCATTAAGAAAATCAACGTATACAAAAGAATTGATTACTGATGCATTTAAAGAAAGTGGTTATTATTATAATTCAAATAATTTTGAAGAAAGCAATTTAATTAGACTTACAATTCAACAAAATATTTTAGACCAAATTGATTTAAAAATAAATCAAGTCAGAAATGATCCAACTGAAAATTATTCAGATAAGAATAGCCAAAGTTTATTAAACGAATTTGAGTTGTTTTTGGAATCAAAGCTACAAGCTCAGAAGATATTAAGACTTAATGAGAATAACCAAGAAGGGTATCAATTTAAAGATATATCAATATCGGAAATTAATGAAATTTTTTTTAATGATAATAACAAGGATAGTGAGAACAACAACAGTAATAATGGGAACCAAAACGAAAATAAATACGAAAATTATATTAATAATAGAAAAATTAATCAAGTCGCTATTAATTCACCCAACCTTGTTAATTTTGGTGAAATTCAAAAATTTATTGATGAACATGAGTTTGATGGAAATAAAAAAGGTGTCAAACCAGTTCGAAGAAATGCTAAGGAGAAGGTCCGAGCTGATGACTCATATAGTATTTTAATTCCTGAGATTGAAATGGTTTTTAATCATTATTATTTGCTTTTCAATAAAAATTTTGAAAGTCGAGAATATATTGAAAACCAGATCATGAAAATGGTTCTTTTATTAAAGGATGATAGTGGGATCGGAAGCACTGCCGAAAAAAACTATAATCCAACAGTATTAGGAGTTGAAAGTGATTTGAATAAAATGAACATGAACTTGAATACAGTCAATTATCTTTGCAGCAATAACAACAAAAATATAACTTTTTTGTTTGCAACGTTACCATTTAGAAGCTTTTCTAAGAGTGCAGATTTGTTCTTAAATTTCAAATTATTATTGTCATTTTGCAATGAGAAAAAAGTCCGGTACAATAAGTTGAAGAAGAAACAGGAATTTAGAGATTTTGTTAGCTTGCAAAATGCAGAGGAGCACTTGGACTTGAATATCTTGACGCAAGAGAACGAGCAGAAGATATCAAACGAGGTTGAAAAAAAGAAAACAGAGTTGGTTCGATTTTCAGAAACATTTAAAGAGTTGAAGGACTCATACAAAGAAATCGTGAGAGAAAATGAGGAGGCCAAAAAGCAAATCAACCGGATCAACGAGCACTATGAGAGGGTGATCAGAACCATGAGAAACCAGTACAAAAATTATCGGAATTATTAATGGACAGGTGTGATTGGCTAGCTGGGCAGGATGAGTTGGAGCAATCACTCTTGAGACTGGAAATAACAAAAAGAAGAGGAATTCGACATGCCAAAAATAAAAGAGCAGATGAATGATATTCTGTTACAGCTCTGGAGACTAAAAAGCAAGTGAATCAGTGGGTCGCTTATTTTCCCTTCATTCTGGAAGTTTATAGTTTAACTTAGTCTGTAGAAGCGAAATGCCAACAGTCAAAAAGTCTGAAGGAATCTGAAATCTGGGGAAGAGGTATATATAGCTTGAGTTATCGTGATATAGTCTGTAGTTGTTGTTATAATCACAAACGATCCAGCTATTCGCTTTCTTATCTGTCTTGTTTTGAGTGCTATCAGCCTTCATTTCGGCTCCCACCAGTTCACTTATTATTTATTCTTCTTCTCCATTGGACGAAACAGCTTCAAGACACAGATTTTAAAACAGGCTCGTCGCTCACTTTCTTTGCTTTCTTTCATTTGATGGTTTATTTTCCCACGTCCAAGCTACAACGCAGTTCATCAACTATGCCAGGATACAGCATCTCCCAGGTAAGTTTGCACCTTTCTCTTCAGCGTGGAAAAATTTTCGTATCGTTTCCATATTTTTCTCAGGGCTGTCCAGTCTTACCTTTCAGCCTAACTCTTTTATGGGATCTATTTCCAATCAAATTCGCTTTATTAAACACATTGATAATTCGGATTTGGTTGTTTTAAACTCTAACAGCTCTCTTGAATTACTCATTGGCGAAACAATACTAACATTCTTCTTCCTATTTTTGTCTCATTTTCCTTTCGGTGCTCGTTATTTCTTTTTTCTTTCTCTTTGTTAACTTGAATTATTTATTACTAGGTGGATACAATGAAGTTATGTGTTGTTATGGTTGGTTTGCCAGCCAGAGGTAAATCTTTAATCGCCAGAAAAATTGTTCGTTATTTGTCGTGGCTATCAATCACTGCAAAATCCTTTAATGTTGGAGAGTATCGTCGTGGGTACCAATCTCACCCTACAGCAGAGTTTTTTGACGATGAAAACTTGGAGAGCTTAAAAATTAGAAAACAAGCCTTGAAATTAGCTTTAGATGATCTAATTGACTGGTTCAATAATTCAAATGGAATGGTTGGTGTTCTTGATGGTACAAGTATGACACGAGAAAAAAGAGAATCCATATACAACATTTTAAAAACGAACCAAATTCAACCATTGTTTTTAGAGAGTTTCTGCAATGACCAAGAAACTATTATGCATAATATTTTAGATGTTAAGATGACTTCACCAGATTATATTAACGACGAATCAAAATCAGATGACAATAAAATTGATAGCGAAATGAAGATTAACATAAAAGATCCTGAATTTATCATAAATGACTTTTTAAAGAGAATCAGCTATTTTGAAAAGTCATATGAACCATTAGACCAACAAAAGGATTCCGACAAATCCTTTATAAAATTAATTAATGTCGCTCAGCAAATCATCATAAATAGAATTGAGACATATTTACAAAGTAGAATTGTTTATTTTGTCATGAACTTACATATTAAACCAAGAACAATTTGGCTATCAAGACATGGTGAATCAATGTACAATCTTGAAGGCAAGATTGGTGGTGATGCTGGTCTAAGTCCAAGAGGTTTAAAATATGCTGAGAAATTGCCTGAGTTAGTTAGACAAAGCGCTGGTTATAGAGATTTAACTGTTTGGATTTCCACTTTAAAGAGAACTGCAGAAACATCTCAGCACTTGCCATACAAAAAACTACAATGGAAAGCCTTGGATGAATTGGATGCAGGTGTTTGTGATGGAATGACCTACGAAGAAATTGAAAACAAATTCCCAGAAGATTTCAAAGCAAGAGATGATAATAAATATGAATACCGTTATAGAGGTGGAGAATCATATAGAGATGTTGTCATTAGATTGGAACCAATTATCATGGAATTGGAAAGACAAGAAAATATTTTAATTGTTACACATCAAGCAGTATTGAGATGTATTTATGCTTATTTTATGAATGTTCCTCAAGAAGAAAGTCCCTGGATGTCGATTCCTTTGCATACATTGATCAAGTTGGAACCAAAAGCCTATGGAACAACTGTCACAAGAATCAAAGCTAATATTCCAGCCGTCAGCACTTATAAAGAAAAGGGAACCAGCCAACTAGGTGAAGATTTGACTGATACTTCTAATAAAAGCAAAAATATTATTATAAGCGCTAAAGAAGAATTGTTTAATGGAACTCGATAAATTAGCAGAGAGTAATATAATGATATTGTAATATTATACAATAATTAATCAAAAATCAGTTTTTTGTTTTTTAATTTGTTTGTTTGATCTTTATCCCAATATCCATTAATATATTTCATATAATTTTATCTGATTTTTTGCCATAATTGATTGTTTGCCACTTTTTTTTCTTATGCTATTCACATCAGTTATTTATGAATTCTATATATTGTTTTTAGTTTCTTTTTCTATTTAATCCACATAGATTTCTTCCCAACAAAACAAAAAAAAGCAACACAAGAAGCACAGAAGGCACGTGTATGCCCTTTTTTCTATTCCTGCGCGGGTAACCCTTCTGTATTTTCTTGTATAAAAAAGGCGAATTTTCTCCTAAGACTTTGTCTTCTTTTTTCCTTTTTTTTTCTTCATACTTACCTTGAAAGGTCATTGGAGATCAAGAAGTCCATTTGGCCATAAATTCTTGTTTACATTGCACAGCGTATCAAGTTTTTGTGTCGGTTTCCCTTCCTTAAGGGAAATGCGGGTTTCATAATTTTTGATTTTGGTTCATTTACTTCATTTACTTCATTGAATGTGTGTAAATTTACATTTTTTTAAAAGATTTCTTTTAAAAACAAACAATATTAATTTTTTTTATTTCTAATTTGTCATAAGATAATTAGACTTAAAAACTGTTAATGTTTACTTATAATCTTTACAAAATGTACAATTCAGTCTTTTCATCTCAGCGCTTGTAGAAATTGTTATTGTATAAATCAATAAACATCAAATATCAAATTGTCTATTTCTAATATTACATATTTGTATTTGGTTTATTCCTGTTGATAAATTTGTTTTGCTATCGTTTTCACTTTAGATGTTGCCTGGATCTGTAAATCAAAACACTGTACCATTTCTATCAGCTTTTACAACAAAATAAATTGAATCAAAATAAATCAAAATAAATCAAAACAAAACAAAACAAAACTACACAGAAAACTGTCAAACTAAAAGATGTTTGCAACATGGTTATACCCAACTAATAAAAGGTCAACGACCATTTAGAGGGTTCAGGAATATGCTGCCATGAATTATCCAAGCTGAACTCAAGCAAATCAATTTCTTAAAATGCGAGTTCAAAACTCAACTCACTTATTATACAATTTGTCGACTGAGCACCCCTGTCTCAATATAATTTAAATAAAAAAATTATAGAAGATTTATTCGACGTTTGCTGCAACCCTTTAAAAAAAGAGGACCAAATATAAAGTAAATCCATTTTAAACTGCCTCTCTGGAGCCGATCTGCTATGAAAGACTTACTACAACAACACCGATGACAGAATCAAAGGATCATTGAGGTCCCCATAACACAAATTGATGATTTTAGATAAAGAAGAAAAGAGAAAAAGAAAACAGCAAGAGGAGCTGAAAATTTTTTTGTATCCCACAAATAAAATAATAATTAGGGTTACGTTTTCAAATAAAAATAGGGCTCTAATAACGCATTACTTGTCACCTGACCAAATCAACGTTTTTTTAGCAGATGCTTTTGAAGAAAGAACCGTGGAAACATCAGAAGCAGTGTCATTATCATCACCAACACCACCAACACCGCTATAAACACCAAAAGCAATAACACAAACAATGGAATCTTACAAGAACACTTTTTTGGATTCAGCTGTTGAGTCAAATGCCTTGAAATTTGGTGAGTTTGTTCTCAAATCCGGAAGAAAATCCCCATACTTTTTCAATTTAGGTTTATGCTGTTCTGGAAAAATAGTATCCAATCTAGCTGAAGCTTATTCTCAGGTTATTATCAATTCGAATATTGAGTTTGATATAGTTTTCGGTCCTGCTTATAAAGGTATCCCATTAGCTGCTGTTGTTTGTTCCAAATTGTATGATTTAACTAAAAATGATCCTGTTTTAAAAGAAAAATATTCAAAAATTGCCTATTCCTTTAACAGAAAAGAGAAAAAAGATCATGGAGAAGGTGGTATTATCGTTGGTGCAAACCTAAATAATAAAAGAGTTTTGATAATCGATGACGTTATGACTGCTGGAACTGCTTTTGGTGAAGCTTATGATATTATTCAAAATGAGAAGAGTATTGTAGCTGGCTGTGTAATTGCCTTGGATAGAGAAGAAAAAACCCCTGATAGTGAATTCAGTGCTCTTCAAGTTGTCTCAGAAAAATATAAAATTCCTGTATTGAGTATTGTCACTTTAAATGATATTATTCATTATTTATCTGATAAAGCAGATGATGAAACAAAAATAGCAATTGAAGCTTATCGTACTGTTTATGGTGCTGCCAAAATTTAAGCTTAATCAGTACATTGTTTTTACTTAATACTCGTTGGTTTAATATTCATTAATTCAATATTCAGTGCCCCTTAAATTCATATTCACATTCACTAAAAAAACTTTATATTCAAAAACTATATAGAAAATAATATAATTATGGACGAATTTTAACAAATTTCTTTTTTTGAGTGGGTAATTGTGGAATAGGTGCTTCCTTTTCATATATACTTTTAGCCATTGGATGCTTCATAGTAAAACTACTATGTAATGGAACAATGTCATTCATTTTCCATCCTTTAACTTTTGGCACTTTTTCAACTTGATAATCATTGGTCATTAAATCAGGATTGGTTGGAAATTCCTTAACCTTTGATAATGTTGTGGGATGAGTCTTTAAATATTTTCCAATACTCTTCATTAACCATCTCTTATTCTTAAATTTTGGATCTTCATATTCCAATGTCTTTGCATCTCTAATCAACACTCTTACTCTACCTGGATTACCAAAATCCTGAGGATGCGTTTTTTCTGGTTCAATCACACATGCAAACCCTATTTGTTTTAAATAGTCTCCTATAGTTTTAGCTAAAGGATTTTCAACACAGAATTCCTTTGGCATTCTTCGCCCTTGTGAATGCGACCTATTGATATCAAAATAACATGGATAAATTAGCTGGAATTTTTTCAAGCTTTCAATATCTTTGTCCGATAGTTGTTGCCTATAGTTATCAGCAAGTACTGAGGGATCTTTTCCTTGCATAGCTGGCACCAAGGGTACTTGAGGAACGTCTCTTGGTTGTGGCACCTCTCTTCGTTGTGGTATATCTGGAAATAGTGGAAGATCATAGTAGTTCTGGTCTCGTTTTATTGTTTTTTTGATCTTTGGTGCAATTGGCGTGCTGAGAGATGGATCAAACTCAGCAATGTCCATGTCAAAGTCATCGATTCCATCTGAATCATCTATTTCCTCAAGGGTAGGCATCTTTATCTCTTCTGATTAGTTGTTCTTCCAACAAAAACAGCACCAAAAACAGAACAAGACTGAAGTGTCTTCAAATGTGAGATTCAAACCACGTGCCGGTTTGCTTCTTCTGCTTCCTCTGGTGTAAGTTTGGTAATGTTTATTATCTATACACAATATATTACACTTTAGCACTTTCTCGCGCTATCATGGCTCATCAACAAACTCATAATAGTTTTCAAGCTGTCGTTGCCTTACTTCTCCTAGCATCGGTTCAGCGTCCATTCTTCTTCTTTCATGTGTTTCAAAAAAAACGATGAAATCTTCAACAGGCACTTTATCACAGCTTACTGCTCTTTCTATTTCTTCTTTTGCGTGATCGTTAAATTTTCTTTTTAGAATTGATCCAAATTTTTCGTCCTCATTGTCTTTTTCATAAGGTTCTATTGGTTTGTTGGTTGCTTTGTTGTTTTGAGGTTTTTTGGTTGATTCAATGAGAGAGTTTGTTGAATTATTTCTTTTATTACCTGTGGTATTTTGCGTTAATGGTTGATTATCGGATACTAGATTATTGCGTCTGTTATTTGCATCAACATAAATTAAAAGTTCTGCAAATTTGTCAAATTTAATAGAAGCATTTGTTTTGCGGAATGATTCTGATAGCAGATCATTATTTGAATTAACTTGACTTGCTTCTTTTATAAAGTCACCACTATCACTATTATTTGGTGATTTAGTATTTGGGTGCAAATCTTTTTCATCTATGGTACCTTCAATTAAATTTGATACTATTGAATGAATGGTATCATATTTCCTGAATGCTGGAACTTTTACTCTTACTGGCGATGGACTATTGTCTTCTAATGGACTTTCAATATTCTTTTCACGAACTATTTTTGTATCAAGATTTTCTAATGTGTTAGTGTCATTATTCTGTTCAATAATAAGAAAAAAAAAGAAGACTCATTTAACTTACATGATAAAGAGCTCATTCTGTTAATTGTTTTTTTCATCAACTCAAAAACTGTAATTTGTGTTAATAATTATCTTAAAAAAATAAAAAAAATAAAAAAAAAATAGGTTTAATCGCTACCTGTTGTTGATTTTGTTATTTCTTCTTCATGGATGCTATCAATTGTATATGAAGACTCTTCTGATTCTTCATCACTTAAGTATTCCATTTCTAAATAAAAATCTTCATTTTCGTTTTCGTTTTCATTTTCATTTTTTTCAGCTAAATCATTGTCGAGTTCCATATGATATTGTTTTTCCGATTCATAATAGAATTCTGAGTTTATTGATGAATTATCTGTAAAATTAAATGGACTTTCAATTTCTCCAATTTTTTTGAATTGAGACTCTTTTTTCAAGTTCTGGTCTTTTAGTAAATTCAATTTTTCAATTTCAAAATTAAATTTTAAAAACTCTTCTTCTGGTAATGCATCAATTTGAATTTTATTGTGTTGATTTCTTTCTTCCAATGGTTTAAATTTGGAAATGTTTTTTGTTTGATTATTCTTAATATTTTTGATTTTATTTATCATATTGATCTTATCATTTTCTTTGAGATTTGATATACTTAATCTGTTAAAAGCGGATAAGTTTTTTCTATAATCAAAATCAAAATTTTCATCATAATCATTTGAAATGAAAGTTTCTAAGTCTTGAATTAATGCTTGGTTTTTAAATTTTTTATAGCACGATAGTGCCTCTTCAGGAAATTGGTCCAAATTTTCTGAATTGATATGAAATTTATTGGATTCTTCTTTTCTATTTTTTTCATATTGAATGTTTGGATTTCTTAATTGAGGAGTTTGCTTTTTAAGATTTTTAATATCACTTAATCTAAACTTCAAAGATGGTTGTTCTTGCTTTTCATTTTTTTTCTTATTATTAAAATTATTATTAGTCTTTTTGTTTGTTGTTCCATTTTCATCTTGAGATTGACTGTCTTCGGAAGTATCTACGCGTTGATTTTGATAATGGCTTAACGATTTTTTAATATTTCTTAGTCTAAAAGAAGATAAATAAGAATTTGGTTTTTTAAATTTAAAATAATTTGACAAATTTCTTGAATTTTGAAATTCTTTCTTAGTGAAATTATCAATTTCATTATCATCGATATAAAAAGATGAATAACTTTGACTAAATGAGCTATTATTAATGCAGTTATTGTTATAATTTGAATTTGAACAACAAGATATTACGCTGATTGAGTCAACTGATATAAATGGTTCACTTATATTTGAATTTAAATAAATCGACGAAGGTCTTAAACGAATTAGCTGAACAAGTTTTGATGCCTTATTATTTAAATGTTTCAATCTTAAACCTCTTCTCCAAACTGGCCTATGGCCTGAAACATTTATACCTTCTGCTAAATTAGATGATATTGAAGCAGTTCTAGGGGCCATAATTGTTGATATTTATTTGTTTTTCCAATATATTTATACTATCGTCTAATGGCGGTTTTAAATTCTTTTTTATATATTTTATATATTTATTATGGGAGTAAAGTTTCTTCTTATCACTATTTTAAAGTGGACTTGTAGCAAATTTATTGATATAGTTAAGCAATTTAGTTCATGAAGCAAATTTGTTTCGCACAATGTTGATATAATAACTTGAATTATTTATCTATATTTTAAAGCTGTAAAAATGCTCAATATTTGTAAGTTGGAAGACTTAGCGGTTAATAAAATGGCAAATTTTGGTTGAGACTTTACACAGACACAAAAATCAGGAGTTTTATAGTAGTTTTTTTTTTCTTTTTTTTTTTTTTGATTATTTGCATTTTTTTTTAATTTTGTGATTTGAAAATATAACAAGTAAAAGGCAATGAATATTATTTGTTGAAAATCTATAGAATCATAAAATATCTGAAAATAATTAAAAGAAATGCTAAACTAAAGTCAAAGGTTCATGTTGAATGAAATAAGTAAATAAATAATGAAAAATCAAAAGCGTCAAATAGAGTCAAAATATCAAATGATCATTAGTTGAGATTAAAGACCAGGATAAACTTGTTTTGGCTCATATGGAAACGATGGACCAACTTGTTGAATACTGACTTTAGCAGCCCAGTGACCAATATCAATACTTTCTTTTAGTGGTTTACCCAAGACTAAACCAGCAACAAAACCACCAGCAAAAGCATCACCTGCCCCATTGGTATCAACAATTTTTTCTACTTCTAAGGCATGAACGCTATATTCGTTAATGATAAAATCGTCAGTATCGATTTTGTAGGTGACAGTGATAGTTGGTTCTAAACCATGAGTGAAAATCACAGTCCTTGGATATTTCAAGTTTTCCTTTGGTGATTTTGCAATTGATTTAGCAATCTCAATCAAATCAGTTGTGGAGGTTAAGTTGTGAGATGCAGCATATGATTCAGCTTCGGTTTCATTACAAATGACAAAATCACAATATGGAAGAACCTCATCTAGTGGATTTTTGAAAAATTGAGGAATGAAAGCAGCAGATAAATTCAATACTAATGGTTTGTTGGTTTCAGCGGCATGCTTTCCTAATAATTTAATTGCAGCTGGAGAAACAGTTAAATGGAAACCACCAATATAAAAGATTTTAGCGTTTTCAACAAGCTTCCAATTTTCTGGTTTTAGTAAATGAGAAGGTTCAAAATGATTAGCAGCAGCTAAATCAGTGACTAGAGATCTGTCAAAGTTACTGATCAAAGCAACGCATTTTCCAGTTTCAAAATCGTCTTGAAACATGTAATTTGAAATTAAACCAGCTTTTTCATTGGCGGTTAAAAGCAATTCAGAATATTTATCTTTACCAACAGAACCAAAATAAACAACGGATTTTGAAGGTAAAATATATTGAGCAGCTCTTGCAGTGTTTTGAGCAGCACCACCAGCAATAAATTTGATATCAGGAAAGCCTAGGACTTCAGAAAATAAAGGAATATGTTTTTGATCAGCTAAAATGGCATCATTAGCATTCAAATCGTATTTTTTCAAAATTGAGGCATCAACATTACACTGAAGATCTAATAATGGGTTACCAAGACAAACAAGTGGAAAAGACATGATTAGCGAATTTGATTTGAGGAATATCTATAATTATACTTATGAATTCTGTTCAATTCAATTCAATTTGCACTTTGACTCTAATTGGGTTTTATATCAGGTCTGTGAATAATCGAAGATACTTTTTTTTTCAGTTTCAAAGTTCAACACATGATGAAATCTTGTTTATTTTCATGTGCAAATTACGTTGTATAGCCACAAATTAAACTCAAATCACGTTTGAATAGTAAACTGCTAGGGATATCTGAGGGATCCAAAAGCAGGGCATTTTTGTGAAAACTCAACATAACCCAAACTTCAACGAGTCCGTCGCTTAGAAAATCCTTGTATGGAAAGCGGAAAATATAAACGGAAAACCATCCGGTTGTTATCACGGATGGAGCGCGGATATCGAAGTTTGATTCTATACAACAATTTGAGAGTATTTTGATGAATTTGGTGAATTTGCTAATGGTGCTGTTTATGATTTTGTCTATAATTTAAAAAAAATAAATGGATTTCAATTTACGTCCAGGTCAAATGACTGCAAGTCTTTCAATGGGTAGGTTTTAATCTTTTCAGCTATCTCCAAAAAGTCTAAATACACCGAATTTTTGATGGTAAACGTATGTATACCAGTTTCCGGATATGCTCTGGTCTTCACATCATGATTGTACTTTTTAATCGCAGAAACTCCCTTTTCTAAAAAATTCTCATATGGTTTAACAAATTTAGGCAAGGAGTTAACTCCATGCATACCTAGTAGATCACTCTGAACAATGACTTGAGCGCTTGTGTGATTTCCTGCACCGATACCAATTGTTGGTATTGAAACGTTCTCAGTTATATATTTAGCCAATTTTTGAGGAATGCACTCTAGCAAAAGTAGTTTAGCACCAGTTTTTTGCAAACATAGAGCATTTTTAAAAATTTCTAAAGCATTATTGACATTCTTTCCCTGCGCTTTAAAACCACCTAAAGAATTATGACGTTGGGGAGTTAAACCAATATGTCCAACCACCGGGATTCCAATTGATGATAGTTTTTTTATTGTATCAAGATACTCAACTCCTCCTTCTAGTTTGACTGCATTGGCTCCATTTTTGACTAATTGTATTGAAGATTCAACGGCTTTCTCAATAGACGTTTCATAGGTTCCGAAGGGTAAATCTGCTATTAAAAAACTTTGTCTCACTCCTCTTGAAACAGATTTGACATGATATAAAAACTCTTCAAATGGTAATTCGTTGGTTGATGGATATCCCAGACTAACCATTCCAAGCGAGTCTCCAACTAAAACAATGTCGGTTTTAGCTAGGTCTGCAAATTTCCCTGTTATAAAATCGTGGGCAGTTAAAACTGTTATTGGTTCTTTTTTATGGTAAATATTATAGATATCTGATATAGTCTTTCTTCGAATTTCAACAATCTTTTTATCATTTTTCAAATCACTGCTATTGGAATCATTGATGTCAAAACTCGGTTGTTGATAAACGGATCTTGCTAATGAAAACGAGTGAAACTTTTTGAGATTTCCAGCAAATGATCGATGGAACGAAGGCTTGAACATTTTGATTCTATTGTTACCAGCCAAAATATCCATATAAGGATATTTCTTTTATTTATAGAAAAATAGCAAATTTTATTTCTCCGAAGGAACTCTTCATCCGATCGTAAAGATTTGCACAATAGTAGCCACGATATACAACCACTGTTTTGTGATTTTGGAACTCGTAAACAATCTACAGCTTCCCCTGTGAGAACTGGGATTTTGATTTAATCTGTTTTTTTCAAAGAGACAACTATGAGTATTTTATGGGATACAATAAGTAAAAATACCGGGTAATATACTGTTTACAAGCTCTAAAATCACAAAAAAGTGGTTGTATATCGTGGTCGTCATTGTAAAGCAAATCATCATTTTGAGTAATGAAGGTTAATTTTCGACCATCGTTCCTAAAAATTTTCACCACTCATTTTTTGAGGCTGTTTAGATATAGTCGGATTCAACTTGCTTATTACTTATTACTCGCACCTATTGTTTATTTGTTACTTATACATTTATTATAAACTCTTCCTATGACTGATAAACTCTTTTGAAAGTAGCAAACTTCTGGTTCTCTCAATTTCTATCTAATCAGTAAGCTCAATTAATCTTAAACAGTTTTGCATTTGGTCATATTTTAACCTGAATGCTTTTCCTTCGTCTCTAGGAACCGAGCATAATGTCCACCTACAAGCTAGTTCAAACCAATTCCAGCATTTATTAATATAATTACTCAATGACGTTCTAATGAAATTGGTATCAAGTTTTTCAATCCCAGATAAATGAAATTTTTCATCCCTATGTCCTATGACTATTTCTTCGATTCCGCTAAAACACATTGAAAGTATGTTCTTAGAAATTTCAATTTAGATTTGTGAAAAGAGGGCTCTCCCATTCTATAGCTTGTAAAATTTGAAGACAAATAATGTGAAACAAAAATAGATTTAATTTCAATATAATCTTTTAAATCAATTTTTTTTTGATCCACAGATGTAATAACAGCACAATCAACTTCTGATTTAATTAAAAATGAAATCTTATTCTGGCAGTCCCTTCAAGTTTTATTATCAACTGCCATATCAAATTTCACAGCTGAATTAAATTTTGTATGATTATTGAAATTCTTTAAATCCTTTCTCATGATTTTATCTTTTTTATTAATTGTTATTTTCATTTCAATACTTTTATCATTGTTTAATATTGTACTCTTTGTCAAGAGTTTTTCAAACATATAACCACAAATTGAATTTTTTAAAAACATAGTTTCAACATCATTATTACGTTTATAATAATTAATCACTTTTTAATCGTAAAAATGAAGAGCTTTAGATAAATAAATTGATTCATCAAAATAGCAAAGATCAAATTTGCAATTCCTTTGAAAATAAATAATTTTAACTAGCAATGATAGACAGCTTTCGGTAGATATAAAATTGATATCATTCTCAAAGGTTTTTGCTTTTTTTTCATATTCTTTCAACTTTTTTAAAAATAAATCAAATTTACATGAAGACATATCATATTCAAACATTGAAAACTGTTCATAATCGGTACATAAATTGATTTGCTCAAAGCAATTTATATCCACTTGAGAATCGTAATATACTAACGAGCTAAAATCTTCTTTTTCTATTTCACCTTTATTAGTTCAATAGTAGAAGATTTCCTTAAGATTGCTTTTCATTCAAAATGGTTCAATTATAAAGTTTCTAGATATACTTAGTGGTAATGCTAAGTTTGGACATGGCTATCAAGTGTTGTAGCGAATCAATGATAATATATTAAGGTAGAGAAGTATACAAAAAAAGAAGCCACTAACAAAAGTTCCCAGCTCCATTTTATAGGGAACTTGTGTTAAGCTTTGGAGCACGTGATTAAAAAATTCAGTAGGCATATAGATTAGTTTGGATGCACGTATCCTTATTTTATAAGGGGATAGATAGTAGTGCGCAATAAGATAATTAGGTGTAACCAAAGGAACAGACTGTAAGACTATAGAGTAGCAAGTATGGCTTATTTCTAAGGGGAAACGAGCTTTTGATTCGAGCTCGATGGTCGAAGAAAAAGAAAAGAATAATTTGTTGTTTTCGTTTCGTCAAGAGAACGGAACTTGGTCCGACTATTTATAGCAAAACTTATCCGTATCTCGGATACGGATAGTAAATGTACGGATAGAATAAGCAATCCGCACACTTTCCAGACATCACGTTACCCGCCTTAGAAAGAGTAGACTCTCAAGAACTGGGTTAGATCCCAGAGGGTAACGAGAGCAGACCGATAACAGACGCCTGTAGACCGGTAATAACCCAATTGGGACATCCGATTGCCTCGCAACATATCAAAACCAAATGACAATGATATCTTATATGCATCAAAAGATGATGTTAGTAGCAGTAGAGTTCCGGATGATTATGATTATTATAATATCAATAATTTCAATGCTTTTAAAGAATGAAAGGGTTTATTAAATGGTGGTGAAAAACAGCGTGTAGGATTTGCAAGAATCTTATTCAAAAATCCAAAGTTTATAATATTGGATGAATCCACTAACGCGATTTCAAGGGAAGTTGAAGATTATTTATTTGATTTGATAAAATCAAAAAAGATCACATATATTACTTTAAGCCACAGGCCACTGTTAATAAAATATCATGGTCAGTTGATAAAGTTACATAAACATGGTGAATAGGAATTTGAAACATTGGGAACTGACACTNCTATTGACTCAATTGAAAAAGAAGTTCTGACGATTGATATGAAATTAAAGCAAGTTGAATATATGCAAAACAGAAAAATTGAGCTCAATGATTTGCTCAATACTCGAAAGGATGATGAAAGTGATTATGAAGAAGTAGAAAGGGAGAATTCAAGGTTTCACTTGATGAATTTTAGTGATAGTAACGATGATCAAGATAGTGACAGTGAATTATCATTGAGCAAAAGTCTATCTGCTTAGTTTTGTATTTTTGGCCCATAGAATATTAGCAAATAACTGAGAATCTGATAGCCTTGAACATAGATTGCAATAATTTAACAAGGGATATAATACTGGATTCAATATGTAGTAAGGATG